TTAGTATAAAGTCAATGAGTAAAATATACATATACAATAACTATGTCATTATCTCTATATTATGTGTACCACCATAGATATATTAATAATTGTATTTTTATGTCTATGGTACCTACTCGTATTTGACTACAATATTGTATAATATTAATACCATAAATTATTTGGATTAAAATTAAAATAGTATTAACTTGGATGTTGATTGTCCATATTATGACATGTGTAATAGCCAATAGGTAAATAGGAGAAAGCGGGGGGCAAAATCGTATAATCGGAATGTTATCAAGAATTGATATGGAGGTAAACTGAATACACCAATTTGAAACGTTTTGTTTGTTTATTTATTGAATATGATATTGCACTTGTTCTGATATCAAGTTTTTAAAATAAATACGCTTAGTATTTACATTAGATTACTAAAATATTATCAACATTTTAAAGACTGAATTTTCATATGAGAAAAAAATTGTACAGTTATGTTTTAGTTATTGTTCAATAGCTAATTAAGTGCAATTTACGTTTGTAATTTAGATACATTTATTAACTTAATGTATGATATGAAACTCGATTTCTTTAATATTCTTGTGGGGCAAAATCGTATAGTTATTCACTGTACGGTTTTCCACATTTTTGAAAATTGCTATGGTTGAATTTCAGAATTTTAATAGTATTGAAATGTTTTATTTTTATTAGAATGGTTCGTAATTATATTCGAAAATCAAACAGACAATCATGGTTGGAAGATAATACATTTTTAACTAACAAGATTGAATATATACATATTTTACCTTCTTGATTTTAATTAAACTTTACAAATTAATTTAATTTAAGTCCTATACAAATCGAAAATTTACCATTAAATACAATGAACTATGTTTTTTTATGTTATCCAGGGGCGGCTTCAGAGGCTTGGTTGGGGAGGCAAGTAATATGTTTCAGAAAACTGTATTGAAAATATATTTTATAAGTTTATTTATATTTTTTAGTGCATAGGTTGTAGATAGATAACTCTAACTACACACTTGTACATATCTGCAATAGTCATTAGTATATAGTTTATTTTTTTAGTATAGTTTTTAACGAAAATACGGGCTTGAGGGGTGGCCACTAGGCCCCCTGCAATTATCATCATATGATTTTGTCCCCAGGTACATACGGATATACCCCGCAAGGCCACACCTGGGGTGGATCCGTATTTTTCCAAAATAATATAAAACACAAATTAAACATATTTAAAAAATAAAAACGCAATCATGTTTCAAATAAAAGTTATAGATCGTAAGTTTTTCCATGTAAATCAGTGTAAAATATATAATATCGTAAAAAATTACAAGATTTTAAGCCATGAGAGCTTAACCATACGGAATTGCTCCGCTTTCCCCTACCTATCAAAACATCAAATTTACAATATAAAATAAATACTTTAAACTGAATTTTCTTGATTGGCAGTGATGTTAATTATTGGTAGCTGACATCCCTTCCAATAGTGCATTAGTGCAACGCGAAACTGATTTTAATCGCATGTGTTTTTCCATTGTTTATAAATAGGATTATCCATATGAGTATAATCAATAGACCTTATAAGATCTACGAGTATAATATAGGTACGGAACGCGACTTTAATTAAATTCATTTTCGATAGTACGATATTTATATCTTATGATACTGATTACTAATCGTACCTATAACTGACAATGTATTATGAATATAATATATGGGCTTTAGGCTTTATTATTATGATTAATTAGTTTTATCTGTAAATATAAAAATGAAATTCTTTGAAGTATAGTATCTCATTTAATTTGTTTTTCTAAAATTCCAAATTGATTTAATTGGGAATAATACAAAAATTTAAGTCGATTTCAAAGAAGCAGATGAATTAAGTTAATTTTAAAGTAGTAAACTAGTAAACTAGTAAATTAGATTAAATGAGTTGAAATTAACTTTCAACTTATTAACTCGTTAATGCCCAGCCTCGAATATTATGCATTATATTTACCACCGGGTAAAAAAAATTACCAATTTTTCAAACTAAAGCTTGAACAAATCGGTTAGGTTAGGCATTTAATAACTGTAAAACGAGACTAAGATGAAAATTCGTTTTTTTCGAGGAATAAAATATTTTTTAAAAACTATAAAATACTACCCATGTATTATATAATACCTTGTATCTACCTAGAATATATTTATTCCAGCCACATTAGTGACCTTTAATAATTTTTTTCAACCCCTTCCCGACAAAAAAAAAAAATAAATAATAATTCTGGGTATACCCTTGGTCTTAATTATTGGCTATAAGAAGTGGCCTGTCAAAAACAGCAGACCCACAGTTCCCAAACTCTAGATCCGCCACTGCATCAAGCCGCATAATATTCGAAGTGGGTATAGGTACTGTTATATCCACACATTAAAGGCACACGGTAGCTTAAATACGGGTGTTCAAATATTTGTTTTATATAGTTTTTAAACACAAGTTCGAAATTATAAATATATTTTAAAATAATATTAGGTATTAAGTTATAGCCGTACTCGCATAATAACCACCGCGATGAGTACGACCTACGACTGATTTGAACCGATAATACTCAGTCGAATTTGAACACAAATATAACACGAGATATAATAAATAATACTAGAAAATATAGGTTCATCATCGCGCGACTGTCGGTTTTTTTTTTTTTTGAGACCTGGAGATTACCATACAGACGAAACGAAAAAAAAATGTATTATTAAACTGCTCATGAAGGGTAAGTATTTTATTAAATCTAATCAGCATACCTATTTATAATACGTCATCGTACAATAATAATGATCGACGTTTGGTTTTTTTTATGTAACCGCCACACACAGCCAGACTGATGAAACACGAGTGTTCCAATACTGGCCCATTCTAGGAGCCAACGTTTGCAAACAAAAATACATTTATTTGTATATTTATGTTTACCTATATAATCGTCCTACAGTCTACAAGCAAAATGTTTACTTCACAATACATTAGATAGGTAGGCACCTAAATAGTTACTTAGTATTAATAATAGAAGAAATACTATTGTCGTGTTGTTAATATTGTGGTGCTTGGTTTATCGTTATATATAATAATTACCTACAAGACTAGTAATTTAAACCTAAAGATGAGCTTACTATAAATACTATGTAGGTACTCGCATGGTGGCCATATTTCTTTTAAGTTGCAGTGGGTATACTATTTATCTGATCCATTTTTTACAAATCATTATTAATTAATAAAACAAGATATTGAAAGTTACAATATTTGTACATTATATTATAAATTATAATATAAACAGTACAGGATTCGTGTATACAGTTTTGTTAAAATCTACAAAATTACAATAGAACCATATCAATTACAATTCATTGTTAAAAACTAAATTTAAATAAAAATTTAATAATGTAGCATTAAAAATATTAAACATACTACAATAATATATTTATAAAAACATTTTTATAGTTTAAGTTTTAAAACACTAGAGATATTAAAAATCTTATTGTAATAATCGACTGGTTATTTAACATAAACTAATTATAGACAAATTATAAGTTGAAAGCTAACAATATACGTGATTGCATTTTCAAATTTATATAATTTATAACTGCATAAGAGTTATTAAAAAAAAATATATGTCATTATCCAAGCCAGCAAAAATGGAAAATTAAATACAAACTGAAATAGACTTGATTCAATAATTACCTACAGACTAGTCACTAGGTAGTAGGTACTTCAATAAATATGATTTTTTGAAAAAAAAGATTTGATTTCAAATATTCTAAGGGGAAAATATTATAATCAAATATGTATAGTATGAGTACAATACTCTAATAAATAATTAATTATAATTAATAATAATAATACAATACAATTGAATGGCATGATACAGAAAGTAACCAACCCCCAAAATTTAAAAATCGAGATTTTTATTAACTAGGTATATAGAAAATGTTAGATTACAAATTTTGGTAAAAACAACCAAACCAATATTAGAGTGTAACACTATCTATCTATATTTTATTAAAGTACCAATAAAAGTATAATAGTTTGTATTTTAAAAGTAACCATGCTACAAGTTTACATTAGGTAGTTAAAAAAAAGCTAACTAACTTAATCATGAAAATAATGGTGAATATTGAGGAGGAATTTTTTAATAAATCACTAAAATATATACATCAAATTTATAAGATACATTAGAATGATTTTCGTAAAACTTCAATTATATCCGAATAGTACATTTTGTGGGTTGCTTTCGGCATATTACCAAACAATTAATCTATATTATTCACTTTGACAGAAAATACTTTTTTTCATTTACCTAAAAGAAATATCGGGCATCTTTTTTAAAATTATAATGTTTACATGATTTATATTTAATCATAGTAGTTACAAATACATATTATATTTTAATCTTATAATGTGAAAAGAGGAAGGTTGAAAACTTGTCCTCAATCTAATAAATAAATAGGTAGTTACTGAACTTTTACATTCATCAATTACAATTTTAAAGAAGTAAAAGTTAATAAGGAACAGAATGAATTATAGTATTATTTAATTGTAAAAAATATGGCAAACAGAATTAGGTAATTAAATTACTATTTAATACATCACACATAATATTGCACAACCTTATAGTTGAATAGTAAAAAATATGAACCAAATAAATAAAGTTAATAAATAAATCAAATTATAATTACAATTTATAGGTAACATTAATCAGTCCTTATTAGGTATATTGAGATGAAAATAAAAACTTTTTTACATCAGACTACATAATAGTTAGTTGAATTTAGAGATCCTTATTCATTGTATTTGATTATAAACAGTATTTAGTTGAATTTCTATATTAAGTAAAAACTATATTTAGTAATTTTATTTACTTCTATGCCATTTATAAAATACAATTTTTTTCTTTCTTGAGACTATTATTTATATTTAGTTACTCCATAGTATTCGTTTGATTATTTGATCTACAATTTTGAATATCACACTTTTCCTAATCAAGTACTATAATTTCTTCATTTTCATAATCAACCGTATTATCCTGATCAGAAGAATCAGAAATCTCAATTGTTAATTGTGTTTCAATTTGGTTTTGATTTTGTTTTATCTTATAAAAATTATGTCTCTGAGCTGCTTCAGAAAACTTTAGATTGCTTCTAGTCATATTATTGGTAAACTTGAAGTAAATTTTTGACGGTTCCATTTCATTATTTAATTCATTAGCTATTGCAGTCCATACAGGACTTCTGCAGTTTGCAATCAAGTCATTACGAAATACATCATTTTTATGTTTATAAACAGCGTCATAGAATAAATTATCATCATTTACTTCTGACTTTTGGCAATTATTTTCATTTCTTCTAGCAATTAGTTCAGTTTTTAACGATTCTTTCCATATTGATTCATTAGAATTAATTACATGAATCCGATTTTTAATAACTGAGGTAGGTTCATGGCTCCAATCAGTTATACATTTCTTAATAAGTTTTGTCCGACATAAATCAATGTTTTGACGAAATTTCCAAAATGCTTCACTGGGAGCAAGTAAATTGTTCATTAGATTTGAAACGTCTAACCAAACCGGATTGGATTCCATAGCAAAAATACCATTATTAATAATAGAATGTTTGAAAATTGAAATTGCATCAAAAAACATTTCATTCTCAATGTTTTGGTCTTCAATAGAACTTGGTTTATCATCTTCTTCAAAAGAAAATTGATTAACTTGAAAATTTGGAAACAATTTTTCTTGCCAATTGTGAGTGTTGCGTTTAAACCTCAAATAAGCTGTTTTTGCTTTGATTGCATAATTAAGATGTTTTGATATATCATTCCAAACTTTATCAGTTGAAGGCACTATACAATTATTTTTTAGCAATCTATCTTTAAACATAAAACATGCTTCAATGAAGTCATTTTCTTGTACATAACCAACTTTTTGTCTCATAGATACTAAATCTTCAAAACTAGTATCTACTTCACCTTTTGAATAGTCATGGTCCATCTGAAAAGTTATATTTGATGAAATTGGAGATGTAACTACCTCTTTTTTATCTTGTTCACAAGCTTCTAAAAGTTTCTGTTGACAATTATGTCTATTGTACATAAAGTTATTATACAGAGTTAAAGGTTTTACTAAAAAATTAAGTTTAGATGCAATTTCTCTCCAAATCGGATCACTAGGTTTAGCATGAGACCCATTTTTTAATATGGAATTTTTGTGACTTATTAAAACATCTAAAAATTTGTCTTTATCAATACCTCGATATCGAGTCAAGTCATTTTTTTTTGAAGATTTCAACAATTCTGTACGGCAGCCATCAATGTCTTTAATGAATCGTATATAAATTTCCATTGGTGTTAATGAATGGTTTAATTTTTCACTAATTTTTGTCCAAACTTCATTATTAACATGTGCAATAGCATTATTGTTAATAACTAAATGTCGATAAGAAAATATTGCTTCAAATAACTTATTCTCATAAACTGTATCCACACTATCAACACCAAATAGTATAGTTTGACAATTGTTGTAATTATTAATGATCCGTGAATAAACTTCGTTTGAGGTTAGATTTTTTAAACGACTAGATATTAGTTTCCAAACAGGATCGTCTTCTACAGCAATTTGTCCATTGGGTTGTAAAATAGAGTCCTTAAATTCATTTAACACTTCATTAAAATTTTCAAAAGGTTCATTAAAAACTTTACATTCAACAATTGGTGTTAATTCAGTCATATTATCAGATATTTCAGGACTTTCACCGGAAAATACACTACGTTCTGTTTTAAGAGCTTGAATCATTTTTGTCTTACACGAGTCTTTATCTTGAGAAATTGCTTCATAGATGGCTTCAGGAGTTAATGAAGAGTTAAACCTTAGAGACATTTCATTCCAAACTGGATCATTTAAATCTACAACTTGATCACCATTCATAATTGAGTATTTATACAAAGAAATTATTTCAAAAAACTTGTCTTTATTGATAGTATCTTCTGATAAAGCAGTTTGCTTGAGAAGTCTGTTTAAACACAACTGGGAATTTCTTGTCACCCTAAAATATACAGTTGCAGGTTTTAAAGTATCATTAAGATCTCTTGAAATTTGAGTCCAAACAGGATGAGAAAATTTGGCTATTTCACTTCCATTCAGTAAAATATCTTCGCGATATTTACATAAAACATTGAAAAACGTTTCGTCAGACACACAATTTGGCTTATTAACCTTGGGTACAACTAATGGAGTAAAATTTTCATCTTCTTTACATGCTTCAATGAGTTTGGTCTGGCATAAATCATGATTACGAATAAATTTAGAGTGAACATCTGATGGTTGTAAAACATGATCTAACATTTTCGCAACTTCAGTCCAAACAGAATTATTATATTTTGCTATAGAACCATTTTGTATAATATTATGTCTATGAGTATATAAAGCTTTAAAAAATTTTGAAGAGTCTTCAAATTTTAAACTTTTCTTTTTTATTTTGTTTATTGGTGTAATAAATTTTCGATTAGGTACATCATATGTCTTAGCTTTAGAGGGATCCAGTTTGCAATGTGTTAGCAACTTTTTATGGCAATTATGAGTATTGCGTTTGAATCTCAAATAAATACTATTGGGCTTTAAAGCATAGTTCAAGTATGCTGAGATATGGTTCCAAACAGAGTCGACACTTGGCGCTACTTCTCCATTTTTCAAAACTTTATCCCTAAACACAAACAAAGCATCATAGAATGTGTCATTGTCAACATGACCTGGTCTTTTTTCAACAACTTCATGATGCATATCTGTTTTCATCATATGGTTTAATACAGATTTATCTGTTGTTTGACTTTTAGGATCTTTCAGATATGCTTCAATTAATCTAGTTCTACAAGAATGTTTATTTAGAACAAAACGGTTGTAGATACTTTTTGGCTTAAGTATATTATCCAGTTTTAAAGCAACACGATCCCAAATAGGGTCAGAAGAACTTACAATACGACCATCCTTTACAATTTGATGCATAAAATCGAGAAGCGTACAAAAAAATGTTTCTCGAAACATTTTCTTTTCAATCTTATTCATTGAAAAATATTTTGAAGTTGTTTCACGCTCAATATAATCATCTGTATCTGATTCAATTTGTGACTGATTTTGATTCAATTTCACCATGAAATGATTAGAAGGTAATAATATACCGGACATTGATTGACCTTCAACATTATTAATTAGGAATATTTGATTGGACTGGACGGATGAAGTAGATGGCACTAATGTAGTTTTCTCAGAAAGCTTTGTTAAAGTAGATGAATGAATATGTTTAGTGGTTGATTGATTATTATATGTATTCATTTCTTCCACAGTTTTAAAAATGCTTCTGGTAGACATTTTTAATCTGGAAAAAAACACATAAACATATTAGTCATATAAATATTATAAAATATACATAGTATTAATCTTTAAATTACAGTATTTAACATTTATACATTATTAGCTAAAAACGCTTATTCAAAGAAAGGTTTAGTTATATAATCAAAATATCATCAAAAAGATATTTGTTGGTAATATCTCATAAAAAATGGCTATATAACTTAATTTGTATTTATTTAAGGAGAAATTATGTGAACAAAACAAAACTGACAAATTATATGCACAAGTAAAAAAATTATATTTTAGTGATTATAAGTAGGTATAGCAGGAATGTATTGGTTTTATTATGAAGTGTGCTTTTTTTAATTTATTTTTATTTTCTACCGGTAAACAACTTTTCTACAAGAAATTTTACAATAATCAAAAATTTACAAAATACTTTTTTTTGTTGTATTTTGAAACTAGTTGGTGCATTGGGTAGGTGAATATAATTGTTACAAAAATTATGAAAAAATTAATATGAAGTTTATTATATTAATTATAAGTGGTACTTGGTGATGAAAAAAAGTTGGGCGTAATGTAGTCGTTTTTTTATAACCATTTTAAGACCAAATTTTGAGTTATGCGAAGTCTCAATTATAGCACAACTCTACAAAACCACGTTCTTAGAACCCTACTCGAAATTATTAGAATTTGTTAAAAAAAATTTCAAAAGTTATTAAACAATTTTTCGACACGTATTCAACAAATTGATGTCAGCACAAAAAAATTGAAAAAAAAAGATACGAACATACTTCTCACATGAGTGGGTGTATAGGTGAGAAGTTGGGAAGGTGGGATATAGAGAAGAATTTAATATATATCAGCTAATTTACAACGATTAATCTATGCTAACGAAAAATAATTCTAAGAGGTGTTCGGTTATACATGTTTTGAAAGACCATAATATTTACTATTTTCGTTAAAATTTGATATTAAAATCCTTATAAAAAAAATTCTAAATTACACACATTTTTTTTTATCAACAAAGTACCTACTGAATGAAAATTACTTAAAAATATTTATAAATAGCTTAAACATAATTAAAATGTTTTGAAAATTTCCCCACGTCTAGAAAAGGCAAATATAAATTTTGTGTCCAAATTATCTACTATGGTTTAGATTTATAGTTCTATAATAATGACTGTGCTAGTAGTACGCGACTTTTTATCGGATTTGATAAGAACATTCGTGGCCGCTCAACGCTGTAATCCAATACAGGTCATCGTGCGACTATAGTATCTATCTATATTCGTGTCTGGATGCACGATTAAAGATTTAATCGTGATTGGATGTCACGGTTTCATCATTTTTGTTGTCTATTGTCATTCCGAATTCTTGTGCAACAGCATTTATTTTTGAAATGTAATTTGATTTTGATTATTTTCTTTACGGAACAGATGACCACTGAGGAACGTGTTTTGGTAATCAAAATGTTTTACAAAAATAATGTAAGTCCCACAGCTACCGTTCGTGAATTGTGTGCGAGACTAGGACGTAATGTTGTTCCAAACGAGGTATCAGTTCGAAGAATAGTCAAAAACTCAAAGTTTAAAACAACAGTCTGTGCAGAGTTAAAAAGTCTTAATGCGATCCTGCGATTTCTGTTTGTGGGGTATTTTAAAATCAAATGTGTATGTAAACAAACCCCTAACGATACCGAAATTAAAGAAAGAGATCGAAAGGGTGAATAATGATATGCTGCCGAACGTTTGTGAACGAGTCATCAAAAACTTTAATGACCGCATACTTCAATGCAGCGCTTCCTTATGTAAACATATATGCCAGGTGTCATTTTTTATACTTGAATATCAAAAATGTTACTGATTATGATAATAGTAAAAAATAATTCTTGAAAAAATGTATGTTTTATTGCGATTTTTAACTGGCGCTATATTCCGCACACCTATACCTATAATAAAATTAGAAAATATTTTGTAAAATTAAGTTTTAATTAATTTATTTATTAATCTAAATTATACAAATAATACTTGTACAATAGAAATAGAAATATTATTTCTAAAGATTTTTAAGTCATTTTATTTAATTTTGTAGTTGTTATGTATTTTTTTTTTTTTAGGCAATTTCTTTTTTACCTATCTTTTATGCCATTTTCCATATGTACCTCATATCTTTGCAATTTAAACAGGTGTCAATTTTTAAAAAGATAATCTATAACTGTTTTTAAGAGAAACGAGCGATACCAGTAAGTATACTTGTAAACATCTTGCTCAACAGAATCAGCTGAGTGCAGTACAAGTAATTGGACGGAAACCGATGATAAAAAAAAAAAAATAAATTTTTAAAATTTTTATGTAATATGTAGTTACCAGTGATTTGTAATGCTTTATTAGAAACGCCCATAACAATAACAAAGAACGTGCAGCTCAAGCCCATTAATCTCGCGATCGCTCATAACTACTTTTGTTTTAGGCCTTTAAGCACGCAAACGTTTTCTATGCTCAGCACTTGTCTCGCACTCTTGCTGTAAAACTGGAGGGTATTTTATTTTATAAATATTCATTTCGATTTAGAGGGAGCAAAAACATTTAGGCACCTACAGTAGCGGATGGGATTTTCAACATTTTTCTGAAAAATCATATATATTTTAAATGTATACATTAATAGATTAATTAGACAGCTTATTAAAATTATACCGGCGTCTGGGGAGGTCCGACCTCCCCCCATCCCACCCGAAAATCCGTCACCAGGCACCTAGGTACCGAAAGCGAAAAGTTCGACTGTAATCGAATAAAATATACATTATACCTGCACGTTAACCAATATTAGATTCTATATTCTCTATATATCTATTATCTATACATAATTAGTTAAAACTTTGCGTCCTCTGGTTCCCTGAAATATCGCCATCCTGAAGTAATTGAATCCACCAGATGCGTGTCGGCAAATTAATATTTATATTATTGTATAATAATTCCCTCGATAAATATTAATTTTTATTATTGACCAATGTCGCTAACGTATTATTCAATCGTCTGTTTAATCCAAATTTAACTTTCCGGTACCTAGTTAATTTCAACAATATACTAAGACGACGAATGGTTCTCGCTGTGTGCGACCGTCTTGTACGCGTATTGGCAATAATAACAACGAACGGTTATAAAAACCGGCCACAATCGGTATAAAATAAATGAAAAAAATTTTTTTTTTTAAAAATGTTCAGTCGCGAGAGAGAAAAAAAACAGCCGGGAACACCAAATGCCCGTGTGAAAAATGATGACCGGGCCGAAATTGTCTTCCGCGTGCGGGGTTTCTTCGCGAAGACCAATTGTCCTAGACGAACACTCAAGTGCGCCCGCTGGTCGCACGTGGATAAAACCGCTACGCGTTACGGTAACGGCAGGCCGGCAACACGGCGGTAAGCGGTCCGTCGCGGACCGTTCGGTTTTCCATTGCGTTGGGGGGTACGGCGATGAGTCACAACACAAGCGCTGGCAACCGACGCAAACTACGGCACAGTCGGCGGGCGCGCGCGCGTAGACTTTACTCGCTGCACGTTTTCAGGGGCCGCGAGGCGTGAACCGATCGGCGCGAGCGGGAACCGTTCGCCGTTCGCCCTTTTCGTCTCGTTCCCATCGATCACACGATGCGCGATCCGTGATATTTATAAACCGCTCGTGTAACGCGTGCGTCACGGCACACGCCGCGTCCGTCCGTTCCGTTTTCCGGCAGATATCCGCGATATAAGTGTCTTACCAAAACCGGGGGAGGGGAGCATAGACGTTTGTACACCAACAAATCTAATATCAGATTGTTGTTACTCGGCTCCTCGTTATAACGCTGGCTACTCGCTGGCTGATCGTCGACCGTGATTATTTTCATAGTGAAAAGACGAAACTAGCATTGCATCACTAAATGCGATACGGACAACATGATAACACACAAATTTCACGACGAATTAACAAGCCATTGGGCCAACTACACTACGCCTCGTCGACCATCCGAACCCTCTTAACGCCAATCAGTCCTCGATAACACCTCGGAGAAATCTAACTAGAAGGCATTCGCCCGAGGGATCTGGGCGTTTCGCTTAGCGGCCCTGCCGATCTGCCGTCCAGGGATGATGAGACAACAGCGGCTCACCGCCGTTTCCCGACGCGGCCGGCAATGCTTCTACCACACGGGGGGGAGGACATTCTCCTTAGCGTGGGAGGGGACGAGAGAACGGCTGAAGCCGGAGCAAGGGCCGTCCGAAGGGCAGTTCGATGACCAAGTCGTCCACTTCGGGCTGGCGGTTACCGCGTCACCGGACCCCGAAAAGCTCGGCCGCCCAAGACGGTCTCGGTATGGGGTCGCGATTCCGATAATGAGGGCTTCTAGACGAGGAGGGTGTGTTTTGGTGTTCAAAAATCATCCCCCTTCGACTGTATTAATGTTGAAAATTATAATTTTTACCACGTGCAGTTATACATCGGGTTTCTATAAGATGCGTATACAAGACGCGTAGGTAATCATTATGTATAATGCCCACGTTGCGCGTGTTACACAATAAAGTTACAGAGCCACATATAAACACAAAATAAAAACGCCGCTCTAGGAAAAACCCTGGGCAATGCGCATGGAAAAGTACCTATAGTACGTAGGCCTGTGCATTACGGTATCCGGCCAAAGCGGCCGAAAAAAATGACCGCGAATGTAAAAAACGAGGGAAGATACAGTAGGTATAGTTATTTTTTTACTATGGATACATTATAGGCAATCATAATGTCGTTTGGCCAGTAACGCGATTTTCAACATTTTTCTGGTAGGGGTCCTGAAAAATCAGGCGTATTTTCAAAACGTATTTAATAGGAGCCTCTTTTTTTTTTTTTGTACATTTTATTGAAATTAAATCAGTGTTTGGGGGGGTGGGTCCCCCCTCCCCGTAAATCCGCCACTGCGTTTAGTTCATTAGGCATTTAGGTGAGTATTAAGAATTTGGGTGTTTAGTGATAATACAATAATTAAAAAAAAAATAATAATCTATTGCGTATTTGGCGACAAATTATATACGCTACACATTTCACAAAGTTCTTATTATCGTCAGTATTAAAATTTAGAATTTACATTATACAAGTTTCGTTATTATGCACGATCGATTATTTTAAAATTCGCTAATATTAATTCGCGGTTATTTGTTTCGATATTTTGGCCTGGACCCATGCATAACAGATATAGAAATTTACTTTCCCCACGTGTTTTGCCAAACTTATTGATTTATCACGTTACTGGGCGCAAACAAGTATTTTAACGTTACGAAATGTGTTTTTCTATATACGCGTAAACACGCATACCCAACCAAAACATTCCCGTTTCACTTATTCCGTACGAACCACCAGCATTATTTTTATAAATTATCCGGAACCGGCAGGAAATGTCGGAGAATTTCGTGTTCCGGACTCTGTGCGGGCGACCGCGGAAATTCGTACATAACATTAGTTGGTAGAAAACAGAAAAAAAAAACAAAACAAAACAAAATACCAATATCGTGTAATAATTTCAGTTCCTATAAAACTCTGAATAGGTACGGGCGAAACGAGGAAAATACGCTTTAAAACAAACAAATAATTAAAAAGTACGTGCGTGCGCAAAAGCAAACATTTTTTTTTTTCTGAACCTTTTCAAATAAAACGTACAAATAACCGCGTGAAAAAACGTGAATATTTTCGATCCGGGAACAGTGCGATTTTGATGATCAGCAGCACTCGTTTTGGAACCAGTCGTCGGACCAGACATATTACTAACAATAGGTATACGAATAAACGACAACCAACGGCGGCGTAGCCGGAATTTATCAACGATGGAAGGGGTGCGGAGAGGGGTAGGGGGTAGGGGAGGGGTGAGGGGTCTACGGGCCTCCAAGCTCCTCGACCTTACCGGTCTAAAATTGACGGACTCGCCTAGAAAAATGGTACTATTCGTAATAATTTACGCGGTATTATTCGAACGTTGGTTTCGGGGGTGTGCGACGGAGACGGCGCTATGTCTATACAATAACGTAACTACGTAAATTGTTTCTATAATTTCGAGTGACCCGTCACACGGTGATCGGGAAAATAGACGGCACAATCCATATCTGTGAATCACAGATCCGCGTTCCCGCGTCCCTAACCGGGACGGACAACGCTAAATTTACAATATTACGCCGCGGTTGCGGCAGTGGGCGAAATAAAAAAAATGTACGTTTTGTTTCGGCCTTTACATTAAACGACGGGGGCTCGTGACGTGCCACTGGCACACCCGGTCTCGCGAGGGTACCAACTATTGCGGAGCGGCAGAAAAACCCTCGGAAGTCCGGCGGCATTACGAATAATTACGATTACAATAATATACGAGGGGCTGGCGGCGGTCACCCGGTCCCGGCGTTTACCTGGTTAGTGGTTACAGGCGGCGGGAACGATCAGACGGCGAGTCCGGGGCGACACGTACGCCGCTCCGGGACGGAAGCTGTGTCGGACGCCGTCCGCTGCAAGCGTACGCGGCAAATATAACAACGACGGACGGTTCCGTTCCGCTGGCGCATATGAGAGGTACGCGACGACTGTTGGACAACGCCACACGACCGTCAACGCAGGCCGGTACGACGAACACCAGAGCACCCGTCGGCCATCGGCGCACACTGCTACTGGCGGTGCGGCGCAACCGCGCGTGCATCACAACCCGCGGGCAACCGTGCGCGTGGGCGGATCGATAACGCGCATAAATCAATTCGCGGGCGACTTTGCGACAATACTCGAAGCGCGGGACACCCGTAAGCTCGCGCTCGCCCGCGTAAACGTTGTTCCGCAGACGGCAATGTTGCCAACCAGAGCCCGACACGAATCCCGCCAATTTGTCGTGTGAGCCGATTGACGATAACGGCTATCACCCGTTCAATGTTATTATTTGTGCGTTTTAATGAGAAGGCGCCCGGCCGCGGGGGCTAATAGCGATTGACGGTTATCAATACCGTTTATATCCTTTTTATTATTTCGTATTTCGATCGCATTCCGGCTATTCTGTTCGTAGAGAAGTTGCCGTACGCGCTTTTGGACCACCTCCGGTTAACGGTTCGTCGCGGCCATGTCCAAATCGTCAAACTCCAACGATTTGCGCACAGAGCTGGCTGAACTCGTCAAGCGTAAATCGGACATCGCTGTGAGTTTTCCTGTCAGTAAAATTACCACGAATTTACTACAGTCATCGTATTGACATCCGAGATCAATCATAATTTAAAATATTTCAGTACCTATTAAATATCTAAAACCAAAAAATGTGCATATTAAAGCAACTAAATATTATGTACTGTAATTAATCACTGTTTTAAAATTTGTATACTATATTTTTAGGAAACTTTGGCTAATCTTGAACGTCAAATTTATGCATTTGAAGGAAGTTACTTAGAAGATACCCACTTGTATGGTAACATCATACGAGGTTGGGATAGGTATCTTACATCAGCTAATAAACTTCCTAACACTAAGAATGAACCACGTAACAGGAAATTTAAAGAAGCTGAACGCCTTTTCTCTAAGTCTTCTATTACGTCAATGGCTGTAAGTTTTCTACCATTTTGCTATAATATGCAATCAGTTAACCGTAAAACTACCCATTTCATAAAATCGATTATAATACAGACTTAAAATGTACACTGGGAAAAAAAGCACTGTTTAAAAATTCAAATTAATACTTCAAAAAAAAAAAAGAAATTCATATTTCTGAAATCTAATTTTCCCGAGTCATGGTTATGATTATGTAAAAATACAAAATCATAATTCAGAGAAATAAGACGAATATAAATAAATTTCCAATAGTATATAGTGTATATTTACATCTTGCATCATATTCTGTTTTTTTGCCCCCCTTCTATCCATCCTTGCCGCATATGACTCGCTACTCTCCATTAACTATTCCCACATTTAGTTAGGTAGCTTTTATTTACTCATGTAAGGTTGCATTGTTGAAGACATTTGAATAAATGTAATATAATTAAACAATATTTATTAGTGTATATCTTATCTGAATGAAATTTGATTAATGATATTACATGTTTAATTGATAATTGAGCATACACAGAAATAGTAAATTAATATTGAAACTTTTTTCAGGCTGTAAGTGGTCTAGTAGAAGCTCAAGAGAAAGGTATAAACAAGTCAATTTATTTATATTTTTTAGGAAAATAAATGGGTTAATATGGTTTTTGTAATATTTTTAGCTGAAATTAACAGTGAAACTGAATCGCAGACAGGCAATAGTGGCAGTGAAGATAACACAGCGAAAGAAAGTGGAAAAACAAATAGTTTGACGAATGGTCCAACCACCCCTAGAAATCTATTGGCATCTGCCAAACGAGCTTCTAGTACAAAAAAAGTTAAGAATCGATGATCTTCATTCAACAAACTCAATAGGGTAAGTATTTAATATAATCAAATAAAATGCATACAACAAAAAAAAACTGACATACATACTTCACACAATGGGTGGGTCATTGAAGTTAGAAAGATTAGGTAAGGTTAGGGTATAGAGGGGAATTTAATGTACATTTGTATGCAACGATTAATCTTTGCTAACAAAAAACAATTCTTAGTGGAGTTCAGTTTTACAGGTTTTGAAAAAATGTAATATTTTTACGATTTTTATCAAAATGTGTTATTAAAATTCTTATAAAAAAAAAAAAATTGTCTTTATTACAAAGTATGACTTATAATGGAACCTCCTGTTAAGTTTTCAAGAATTTTTGTTCGGTCTAACAATTTTATTCACGAATAAAAATTACGTACAAAAAATTCCAAAATTAAAATGTCTAAATAGCTCAAAAATAAAAATGCCTAAAATGTTTGTAAAATTTTACCATGTCTAGAAAATACAAATATAAGTTTTCTGTCCTAATTTCAAGTCTCTTTAAGTATTTCAAACTGAATCATAAAAAAAAAAAAAAAAAAAAAAAAAAAAAAATTTAAAATAAAATACATTTCGTAAATTTTTTTTCTGATTTTTATGAAAACAACTTGTAAAATTTTCTTTCAGAAAAGGTGCTACACTTGAAAATCAAAGCAAGATTTCTGGTAGAAAGTTATTCACAGAAAAAAAAAATATATTTTATTTCTTTATAATTGAACGACTAAAATCTGTCAAAATTGAATTTATTAATTGACATTTAATTTTATCCTTCCTCTCTTTTCCCAAAATAGTTGTATCCCTGATCCTTATATCTCTACCTAACACACTCAAGCACATCCTTTTACAATTTATAAAAAATAATACCTACACAAATAATGTAGAGAATTAAATACCAATGTATATAAATTATTACTTTATTTCATTTAGGTTTTAAAACAGTTCCAGCGACCACAATGAGAACATAATATGTTATTTCAATACACAACAAATTTGTAAATAATATGTATGCATTATAACTTATAATAATAATTAAGGTTAAGCAATATCTGCAATGATAAAATGATTATTTTGGTGATGAATTATAAAATTGGTGTATTTTTTTTTTTAATAAATGATACATACAAACGATTAATAAATGTATAATTTATGTAGTATGAGCATTGTTTTTGATGACATCTGTTGTCTCCATTTTACAGATATATTACATAGTAAATATGCTGAACTCAAATTTACCCATGATTTAAGTGATTGTTTGTAAATTGAGTTTTGAGTGATTTTGACCCTCTTGGCTGTTTGGTTAGTAAATCTAACTACTAAAGATTTCAGAAGTTTGTGTGTACGGAAGCACGCCACTTATATACATAAGTTATTATTCAACACCTTGTCCTATGTGAATCCGGTGACCTCATTATGGTCAAAATAAATAATTCTGTGTTAACATGTCTGCATTTCAACGCGCGCTGTTTTCGTCATTAATGCCATTCATACAAATATTTCCATTTTTCATTTTATGCTTTACATTAATTATATTATTATTATAACATTTTAAAAGTAATTGAGGGTACAATTCACCAAAAACCAATTGATTATTACAAATAAAATAATTATTTTTTTATTTTTTTTAGTTAAGTAATTAAGTTTAGTTCCTTCACATGGTAACTATTTTTTTTTTGTGTATAGTTCATTTTTAGATGCATAGTAATTATAAAAAATTAAAACTAAACATAAATACTGATACTTCTATAAAAAAAAAAAAACAAATGATTTTATTGATAAAATCACTATTGTGCCAGGTTACAAAATGAATTCTCTTGACGCTAAAAATGTATATACATCCATTTCTAAACACATAACAGTAATTTTTTTTAAAATAAACTTATACATTGTAATAAATTTAATACAAACCAAGTACAAGAAATTATTCAATCAATAAATGTAATTATTGAAAAAACTATTTCCAATATAATAAATTATATTCGTAAAAAGATGAGTTATTTATGAATGCCCTTTAAGTGCTCTTTTATCTGAAATTTATATGCAAAATTATGAAACCAATAATATTTTTAACAACAAAATATACAATCCATTGATAAAAACATATCATAGACATGTTTAACCAAATAAAGTTGTCAATAATAGTTAAAAACTAATGTAAACAAATTTAAAAACTAACATATTGTCACATAAAATATCAAAATAATATGTCTAACGAGTTCATTAAAATTCTGAACAATATAAATAATGCCGAAAATCAATTTTAAGACTAATAATAATTTATTCTAACATATAAACACAACAGAACTAAAAATTTCACAAAATATTCTCACTCTTTTGAAAATGCTGGTATATATAAACTTAAATGTAACTGTAATAAATTTTATATAAATAAGACAAATAGAAATTTTAAATTAAGATATAAAGCATAAATTTCAGAAATAAAATTAAAAGGCTGCCCCTAATTCAAATTTCGCTAAACATGTTTTAGAAAATAACCATAATATAGGTTTTGATATTAATACAGACTTAAAAATATTAAATACCAAAAATAACATTTACATTAATTCAGTTTTAGAAGAATTACAAATACACAATGAAATAAAGAAAAAAAAATTTTAATAATATTTTAAATTTTCAACCAATTTTAAAAATAATATCATATTTTTTAGCATATTTATGTCTAATAATAACTGATTTTAAATAATCTCTTCTATGAAAATACAATTTTTTTCTATATTCTATGTAAAATGACCAATGTGTATAATTTTTTTTCTATGTATTCCTTCATTTAATTTTTTATATTCAGTCGCGTTTTACATTTTTACTGTGATATACTTGATGATGAATTTTTAATTCGAAACATGTCGTATGATACACTTATAATACTCCAGGCGGCACATTCATTAATTTATTTTATTTTTATATATACATTTTATATCCATATATTTTTTACAAGTATTAACCATTTTAATAATTTTGTTTTTATTTTATTATTTTTTTGTTATTTAAGTATACATTTTTCAAATGTATATATGACAACACACTACTGTTCTACTACATATGCACTAGCATATACTGCACCCACATTTGCCATGAGTGCGGTCAATGAAAAACATCCGATACAAATTTTATTGCACTGCAGTGAACTCATTGGATTCATGTAGGACACATCGTAAGCTTTTCTAATATTAAATTTTATAAAAATAAATTAAGATAATTTACAATACATTTGTTAACTTATTAACTAAATATATACTTAACAAAATATATATGATGTAACTAATAATAATTATAATTAAAGAATATTATAATTGGTTTTATGTACTTGGAGAAGTCAATGATTAAGTATTGTTGTATCGCATTCACTATTATATAAATTTCCTAAAGGTTGAAATTTTCATTTATACTGATCATAAAATAATCTTAAATTGTAGTAACTATATTTATGTGTAAGTGCCTCTAAAATTATAAATATTATTAAATTTAAAATTTATATTTTAATTTTTCTAAAAAAAAAATGTAAAATGAAGTAATTTTTACTTTTAAAAGACTGGTATTTTAAATATACAGGCTGTCTCATGAAGATCAAATTCTGTTTATTTTTTTTTTATTATTATTATTAAAAACCTATAAATATTTGTAGTCCTCTTCCCTGTGAATAATATAAAACAAAAATAAGAACAGAATTTGATTATCTTTATTATCTCCGGATATATTCAAGGGGTATATCTTCATAGGACAGCCTGTATTATCTGATTTACTAATGAACAAATAGTTGTATTAACCACGACTGTACTGAGTGTCCACTGTAATCTATTTTCTTCTGTTTAATAGGTAATTTATCACCTTTAACTACCTGTAATATTTATAAATATTGTTACTGTTATTTAAATATCAGTAAAAATAAAAAATACCTTTTATATTTATGAAAGTGTTTTTATTTCCTTTGACTATCCAATCCATTGTAATTAACACTATTACGAGTCTTTCATTAACCACTAAGACCTTATTGTAAAGCTGATCAAACTTTTTTTTTATGTATAGTATGCTATAATTACAATGATAAACGAACTGTTTATGAATTAACTATGCAATTTATATAAAAAAATAAAAATCTAAATCATGGATATTGGATGATGTATAAAATTAAACTTTATTTATTTATTGTAAACATTTAGGTACCCTTTGATAGCTATTAATTATCTAGTTATTAACTTATATTATATATTTCCATTGATCACATTGTGTTAAATTGTACAATATTATCATTTATTTGCCCAATAGAAAAATAGATTTATAATTTATAACTATTTTTATTAAAATAATTACTTACATTTTAAAAACTATGATTTTATAAATATGCTTAAAAGTTCCAAAACTTTTAAAAATGCATTTCAATTTTTTAGTTTTACAAAATGTAGATGACACAATATGTACAAGTTTATATATGGTCTTCTTCTCCTTTGCTTTTTGTACAAAAGATCCTAGGTACCTACTTAAAACTTTCAACTTTTCCTAAACTGTTTATTTTCATTAGATGTCCTGTTCTACCAAACTAATACTCTATATACCTCTACTTGTCCTTAGTACCTTTTATTAAAGTGCTACTCTACATTCCTCAAACCTATTGTTAACTTTTTCCTGAATTTCTCCTATCATAACTATATCATCTGCAAATATCATGGTACTTTGTCTTTTATTTCCTTCGTAACTTCATCCATTACTACAGAAAATAGGTAAAAGCTCAAGGCCAACTTCTGATATATACCTATTCTAACCTCTTCTGTTATTCTACATACACTTCTTATACTCATATTTGAATCTTCATAAATAAAAATCTTTTAACCAGTCTATGCTCCTCTAACATAATAATAATTTGGATGACACAATATATACAAATTTATAGGTTACCTATAATATGTATTGTTAAATTTTTAAATTGTACAAATAATTAATACAAGAGAATATGTTATACTTATAATAATAATGTTTGAGCTTAAATTACAATAATTTTAAACTAAAATTATTTTTAATCACTAATCAGAAGGTAGGATTGTGATCAAGAATCCACAACCATGATAGAACTTGAGAGTGAATCCAAAAGAAGGAATATTGATAATTATATATCAGATAAATATTGTTTGATATTGACCTAATTAATGGTCTCGGAGGTTTTTTAAAGCATTCTCCATTACGGAATCTGAAAGTGTTTTCAAAAATTGTTTGGGTTGTAAACCAGACTTGTTACTGTTATTATAAAATAAGGATGTATAATATATAATTTATCAATGTATTTATATTATATATTTTAATATCTTTTTAAATTGTATCATTTACAGATTGAACATATAGTTAAATGGACTTATACATAACAGTTATAAAAAATACCAGAACATTGGTTTGTAATACATTTGAAGTAGTTTCGTATCAAGCTGAGTGTACTCAAAATAATTAATAATTAAATTTATTTAATTTATTTATATGAGATATTAATTAGCTTTATATGTTAATTTATTTTGTAAACTCTAATGTTTTAAATTGTTAAGATGAAATAACTTTGGGTTAGAATTTCATTAAAAAAAAAATATATTCACAATTTGTTTTTCATTGATAAATTTAATTTTAATATTTCTTTTACTTTTAGTAAATTCTAAATTTTTTTAAAATTATAAAAAAAAAAAAGAAACTACTGGAATTTGAACTAGAAATTATTAGCATTAAAGACATCACAGACTTAGAAGTTCTATTAAAAACTATATGAAATAAAATACTGTCAAAGAGTTGATTTGTTCATTTAAATAAATTTTATCATATTTTAAGTTGGTCCAAAGTATACTGAGACAAATAGAAAATGGAAACACAAAGAGTGCTATACAGTTTTAAAGAAAACTGATAGATATTAGTATATCACATATATTTGAATTATTTAAGTATTAACAATTAAATTAAAATATTATTTTACTTTACTGTTTCAAATATAGGTATAAACCTATTTTGTAAAAGACTAAAATATTCAATTTCAAAGAAACGTACATATTTTTGACAAAGGAAAAATTACTAAAACAACTAAAAACACTTTTTTACAAAAAAAAAAAATTATTTGGTATTCATAAAACAATGATTTTAAATAATTGCCAAAACAACAACTAATAAATATAAGAAATGATGATCTTAAACCGAATGAGTTGTTAGAAAAATCAGGAATTCCAAACAAATGATCTGTTTTTGTAAAAGAAATTTCTTAAAAACAGCTGATACTGGGGATGGGAGTATCCACTGTTATGGATGAGAAATTGTGAAGGTAGGATACATAAGGTTATTTATAACCTTATAACCATAAGGTTCATTTATATTTGTAAGGAACGATAAACCATTGCTTGAGGAAAGAGGATTTCGAGCGCAGTTCGGTAATACATAATTTGAAGTGCAATCATTTTTTTTTTGCGATTTTCATTTAAATTTGATTTCAAAATGCTTATTAAAAAAAAAAAATTGTCCAATTATTTTGGAAATTTTACCATTTTGTAGATAAGTCCAATATAAGTATTATTACAAAGTTTAAAGTCTCTACATGTATTTATAACCGAATTGCAGCAAAAAATTTCTTAAAAGCTCCTAAGTTTTGGCCATGATACAATAAAAAATAAAATCAAAAGGGCATCAAAAATGTATCTTGTGATTTTTCGATTAAATAATATTTTCTGGTAGAAAACGTCATTCATATTTTTATAAAATAATGAAATCATGAAATTGCACGTTTTCCTACATTTTTCCCACTTAAGTGATTTTATTTAAAAAATGGCATCATAAGTCAAAAAACGACCCCCCTAAAGTACTATTTAGACAACTTGAGCTTTCAGAAAAGTTGCTATAAATAGAAATCGGGGCAAGTTTACTAGGAAAAAATGTGTTCACAGATTAGAAGAAAACAAAAATAAACATCTAAGTAAAACAAATAGCTCTTTAAAATACTAAACAGAAGCTGCAGTGGTAATTGGACTCTATCCTCTTTTTTTATACTATATATACATATATAGTATAATTACAAATAATGAATTAAAATTAAAATAGCCATGCATAGAGCACAAAAATGAAACGGACACAGATATATAAATATATAAGTTATGTGCATTACTATGAAAATATGGCAGTACTTATATGTACTAAATAATATGAGTATTATGCTAAAAACATTGAAAGAAAACAAAATCATAAAATAGGCGTGGAGAATGAAATACTAAAAATCAATAAATAATACCAAAAATTACAAAAAATGGTTATTAACTAATGTTATTACCTATTAAAAATATTTGAATCGTTCAAATACCATGTTTCTAAAAATCATATGATCATATTATCACATTGAGAAATAATAGCCTGATTACCAATCATTCAATCAACAATCGTGGTTAAATTTAATATAACATTGAAATTGTATGGAATAACTAAAGATTCTATGAAATAATTAGTTAAAGCATAATAATTTTTTCACGTGTATATAATAATATGCTTTAAAAAACTATATTCAGTATATAATAATACTGAAATTTGTAGGCAATTCATAAATTACATAATTATTTCATAAAATAATGGCATTCAACAAATATACTTATTAAAACTATGATTGTTGTTACATCTATGACAACAGCGGTATTAAACAATTTCTGACCAATTCCAATCATCCATAAAAATTACAAAATGCAGTGATGGCAAATTTATGTTAACCTTTTAATAAATATTATATAAAAGTTGATACTTTTAAACTGTAGAAATCATTTACAACAAAACACTGTCAAAAATTTTAGAACTAATAATTCCAAATTAAACCTTTAATAAACATACAATATTACTTAGATGTTATGATAACTATTTACTAGATATATATTATATTGTTATAAATAATTTTCTATAAACACATTTAAAAAAAATAAATATATATATATATATATATATATATATATTATAATAGGTATATTAAAATAAACTTGTTTTATAATTTGTTACTGTATAAAAATAAAATAATTATAGTTTTGTATACAATTATTCATAAGACATTTGAATTTGGTATAAAATTCCAAAACTACATGTCTATTTTAATTAAAATATATATCACGATGATTAATTGACACTAAATGATATAAAACAATTTTTAATATCAATAACATACTAATATCTATTTATAACAAATTCAAAATAAATATTTGTATAGTAGGTATTATAAAATTAAAAGGAAGCAATACATATTATAATAGATTATGTTATGACAACATAATTTGATGTTGATGCTGCATTATTAGTAAATCTTTCATGCCAACGATTTTCTAAAAAATAATTAAAATGCAATTAATATTATATTATTATTTAGATGTATTTAACAATTGAACTCTGGTGTAAATTGTATACATTTGTGGGTCCAAGCTAATGTATGGAAATAAAGAATGATTTATTATCGATTGTATAAAAGTACTTACGAAATATTAATGTGTTTGATCTTTCTTGAGAAAATAACCAATTAATAAAATAAAACATAACAGGCAGCAGAAGTACAATAAATGAAATGAATAATAAAACCCATTCAGAATCATAATTAGATACATGACATTTCCATTTTAAACTCCATTCAGTTTGTGTATTATTAATCTATACAAATTAATTGATTTTAAAAAAAAAATTTCAAAATGAATTCATTAATAAATTTAAACTTACTAAATCAACAACATCCATACAAAATACATTATCAATTTTATGTGTAATATAGTAACTGTTTAATGTCATATAAGCTTCTTTGCAATCTGTACAAAGTGATGAGCTATGATTCGTACCATTTATTATGTGCTTTGTCACACAAGAATCCAACACATCCCCTAAATGCATTATATATTTAGTTTTATCATTGAGCGTTCCATTTAAATTTAAACACACTGTAACAACAAAATAAAACTTATGTTATCTTTTTGTATTTAAAATATATGTACACACTAATTATATTGATGTACAAACATTTACAAGATGCTTTTTCCCACATATCTAAAACATAATTATAACTTGCATACACCACTTGTAACCGATCAATATTAGTTAAAAATATTCGACAATCTACTTCACTGTCATTAACATGTAGCTGAAATAAAAAAGAAAAAAGAAATACAACTTGAATTAATACAGAATCATATCATTAAATTGTTACTTTTTGGATGGCTTCATATCTCTCAAGTACCCGATAATACTCATTCGCACAATTTTCACACACAGTAATTGGCCGAGCATTAGTGATTACGCATAAAGTAAAATTAGCTGTTTCGTTGGCAAACAATTGCAAACGATTTTCACATACATCAGGTAGAACATCACTATAGAAAGAATCAACAATCAAAATTTAAATAAGATATATGAGACATATATAACAGGTACATACACATTTAAATTTATTTTATATAAATTGCATTGCATTTACGTATTATGTTTATGTAATATGAAGTTAAGTTCCAAAAAGTGACTCCAGACTGGTGAACCGGGTCACCAACAGGGAGGATAACACGAGTGAGGGCAACAACAGTAATGTTAAGTTAGTTAAGTTAGACACAGGATTACTTTAGTTTGTTGTATAGTTTTTTAGTTACCTATATATGTTAGTCTGTTAGATGAAACAGTATCTAAAATAGGTATATTAGCTGTAATTTTCAATAAATGATGACTGGGGAAGTATTGTGAAAACAGATCCCTCACTGCTTTTGGTTCAAACGCAGAAAAAAAAATATAATAATAATAGGTAAAAAATTGTATAGTATAGGTATAAATTTAATAGTATAAACAGAACAGTATAAGTCTATTTTAACAACAATTTTTTTTAAAGAAAAGTTGTGTTTTTTATTGCTGATTCTAAAAGAATTAAAACATTTTGAGAGCGAACAGAAGTAACCAAAAGCCTGGTTTCACATATAGCAGTTTAGGTGTGCATTTTAGATACTAGAGGGCCATATGACAAAATTTGAGTTGATGAATGAAGCTGCCCTGGAACCCTTGTTTGTTCCGTGAAGGTTATGTATACGGTTTTAAAACCACTAGAATTTCTAAAGTAATAATTCACAAAAAAGATCTAATTGCACTATGATCTTCCATCATTAAAACCCCCCATATATTTCAGCATAAAGAAATAAAAACATCTTGTTTTTTTAATTTTTTCTGTCATAACTTCCTTAATAATGATGTATGAAAACTTATTCTATGAATTAATGTCAAATAAGTTTTTCAAACAAAAACAGTGGTTCAATAAATTAGACTTGTTCAAACAGAACAATCCAAAATGTATTTAAAACATATATATATATATTTATATATAATTTATATACTTACATAGATTTAGTATCTGTAGACTGTAATGAGAAACAAGTGTTAAAATAAAACAAGTAAAAATATAAAAGATAAATTATCTTGGCCATCCCTGGTGATTTATACTGCAATTTTGTTACTGTATCATTAGCAAGTAATATTTGGTATTAATGTCAGCCTTAAATTTAGTAATTAGAACTGAAAAAAAAAAAAATTACATCCTCCACAAATATAAATCAGGTACTATTGTTTGAACAAATTGGTAACGAAAATCATTTTTAGATTAAGACCAAGTATGAACAGTATAATATATGTTCATAATTGACATTTGAGACCTATAGATGTCTGTAGATAGCTCCTATACAATTGATAAGAAATTTGTTCTTGGTTATTACCACGTACATTAAGTTGCATTCGCGAGAATAATAAGGAGTAATTTAATATTGATTAGCTATCAAATTTTAATTGTTTTATCAAGTGTACCTACTAATTTTTATCTATTATTAAACTACAATATTTTGTCATGCAATTTAATTATAACTAAGACTCGGATTTACATGCACTAAAATGCATAAAAAAATGCCTTTAAAAAATTAATTTTGCAGCAAAAATACACTTAAAAAATGACATACATTTTTTTAAATTAATATTTTTATTAGATAATATATAATATTAGTATTTTGTTAGAAAAAAAAAACTTGAAAAGCCGGACAATTTCGCACGTGGGTGCAGTCGCGTAAATTCGTTTAGATTAAAAATTTCTAATACTTTTTAGCACTGATTGGACTCTCAGACAGTCAATTTTAAAATCTTAAATCCGAAACTTACAAAAATGGTAGCTAAGAATATTCCCTATTGTATGATATGGGTATGAAATCCGCACGACGCGGCTTAAAATTTGGGAAGGTAGTAGAAGGGAAAGTAAATGTATATTGCTAACGAAAAAACAATTCTGAGCGGAGTTCAGTTGATAGTGATGATGTTTTGTTAGCAATATATATAAATATATAATATTATAGTAAAATAACTTAATAGGCATTATATATTTTCTTTAACAATATTTGTTTAATATTGTACCGATTTCCCCGTTTCTTTCATATTCACTGGGAAAACTCTTAAAGTAGACACAGTACACTGAAGAGTAAATTCGAGCCAGAATAGATTTAGTTTAGTTAGACTGTTCTAGCTGTGTATATACACTATAAAGAAATTTAAAAAAATTAAAAGAGCTAATCTTCTTAGATCAGTCTATGACCTGTAGAAATTTGTACATGATATGTCTCTAGAGAGCGTAGTTGATGATAATACTTCGTACGAAAAATGTCGAAATGAAAACGCATTGCAGCTGCAATTATAATTTATAGTATGATTAAAAAGAAACGGGAAATAAAAACGAAAAAGGTGTGATTGTGAAATTGGATATCAAAAAGACATAACGAAGAAGTGCACATAAAGTTACTGAAAGAAATGAGTGTATAAGATACCACTTCGAACGATAATTGCATACGAATGTCCAAATCTGATTACCAGAATCTTTTGGAAAGAATTACACTAAAAATTATAAAAAATATACTCACTATGTAATGGCGTTGATGATAAATTAGTTATTAAGTGGTTACACTGATTTTGATTAGAAGTAGAAAAACCATTAGATGATGCCCAATCAGAGTATCAAAATAATTTCCAGAAGATAAGATAAAGAAGTACGTAAAAAGTTCAAAATCTACTTTATGTCTACAGAAAAAGAACTGATATGGCAATATCAATACATTTAAGTAACATTAAAATATTTAGAAAAAAATACAAAAATAATTTTTTTTGCAATTGAAATTTTACTGAAATAATACGTTAATAATTATATTATGTGTACTATACCTACTTAATTAATTTTATTTATTTATTAAATTTTTTTTTGTTTTTATTAATATAGTTAGTAAAATTACATTTTAAGCAATCTATTTTTAGGTTTTGAGCAAAATAATTTATAATCTATTATTAGTTTTTCCATTATGTTTATATTTTATTTTATATTAATTTAATTTTATATTTTACTAGCTGAATTACCCGGCGTTGCCCGGAAACAAATTCGTGACAAATTAGATAACGCCATGTATTACCATTTACCGTCTTAAATTCATAATTATCGATAATATACACAATAACCTATCCTTTAAAATTAACAACTTACCCAAATCCTAATTAATTATTAACTAACTTAATTAAAACTGCATGACAATTGGATAAGAAGTTTCGAAGCCAAACCGTAACAAAGATTTCGCTTGATTTCAGTTTTACGCACGTCCGAATTGCTGGTAGTGCGGAGTGCAAATGAAATGAACGTTTAATATTTTATATGTTACGCAAGTCCAAATTAATTCTATAAATAGAATTTGTATGTGTATTGGTTTATGTTATCGGTGTGCATTTTATCGTTCATTATAATAAAATAGGAGTATTGGTGTACGCGCGATGCATGAGATTATTTTTATCGATAAACTTCTCGGAACAATTATTCTTATCTACACGACGACGAACAAAAAGGAAGGTAGCTGGAGACCCGCGGGCCGCACAATACGTATTGGCGGTGAATAATTATAATTACTCTACTAAAACTCAACATTTTTGAAAATCCCTCCTTATTACACGGTGAAAATATGAGAAGAACCTATATTCCAAATTTCAAGTTCGTACGTTACGTAGTTTTTGAGATACAGTGATCAGTCAGTCAGTGGTATTTGGATTTTATATGCATAGATTATGGGAAAAATGTATTGGCATTTATTCAGACGGAGTCCAAACTACGTGTGGAAAAATGACAGGCCTAGTATCGAGAGTACAGAAAGTTGCGCCATATTGCAAAAGCACACATTGTGCGATACATAGAGAAGCTTTGGCTTCCAAAAATATGCCTGACCAACTATCCTCTGTTTTGAAATGCGCTGTAAAGGTCATAAACTTCATTAAGGCTAGAGCCCTCAATTCTCTACTGTTCAAATTGTAATGCGAAGAAATGGGAGGGCAGTTTAATACTTTGCTATTTCATACTGAAGTGATTTGGTTATCTCGTGGCAAGATTTTAAATAGATTGTTTAAGCTGAGATCTGAAGTTAATTTGCTTTTGATTGAAAAAGACGAAGACATGAAGAATGGTTATCTAGATTAGCCTACTTGGCTGATATTTTTGATAAGCTCAACCCTTTAAATAGGGGCTTACAAGGCATAAATATGACAATATATACCGTTTATGATAAAATAAATTCTTTCAAAAAAAAAAAAAGACATTTCTGCATTTCCTAATCTTTCCTCATTTATTGATGAAAATGAACTCTCTCTGAAAGATTTAAATGCTGACATCTAGGAACATTTGGAAGCACTGAAGATGAATTTTTCAAAATATTTTTCTGAAGACTATTCAAGGAAAAATTGGATTAGAAACCCATTTTTGTTAAGAGTGAAAATTAGTTCCATTCAGCCTAGTATTGATGTTCTTATACAAAATAAACAACAACAAATATCACATTAATTTTATTATTAATTTTTAAATTGTAATTTAAAATCTAAATATTTAGATTTAACTAAAAATTAAGATTTTTTTTCTTTCATAAATATCAAATAATTAAAATGTAAAGAAATGAATGAATAAGTGTTGTGCCCTAGTGTCGTGTTGTATTGCTTCCATAATTCTGTTAATTGTTGTTGGCCTTCTAATTCTTTGTGTTCTTCAAAAAAGCTTTGTGACATTAGTTCATCAAATGTATTTTTTGACATCAGGTACCAGAATAAAAGTTAGAGCCATTGTTTTATACTCAAAGCAAAATCTGTGTTTGAAATATATTTTTTACTAATAGTTTGTATTTTTCGACATATACATATACTGTCCAAAATTAAAAAACAGCCTCTAATTTGGACATTACTAAAAACATTAATTGCACCAAAGGACATTTTTGTTATATTCTAGAATAGTCATTGGTGAAATTTTGAAATTATATTTGACTATAAAAAAAAATAAGGTTTTTTTTATATTTTGATGGATAGTTTCCGAACTTTTTAGAATCCAAATATAATGTTTTGAAAGTTATAAAGTTTAAAAATTGTATGAGTATACAAAACTTGAAGTTCTTTAAAAATTAGTAATTTTTCTTTTATTATCTATTTTTAACTATTGACTTGTATCAAATTAAAACATAATGTCAATTCTGTATTACATTTTGATTTAATAATAATATATTCAATAAATAAAAAATATATACAATATATACTTTCCTAAAAATATTTATGAGAAAACATTTTTTTAAAGAACAAAATTATGGTCAAATATATTTATAATTAAAAAAAAAAATATATATATCTTATCTTATTTAAATTTTATAATGCAATGATAAATACATTTTTTAAGTATAGTACCTATTACTGCATTATTTACAAAATGAACGGAAAAACTAAATGAAACAAAAATTGATAAAATAATTAAATTAACAATATTGATTGACTTTTAAAAACATGAGGTAAATTATTTAATCAGGGAATAAACCCGGTTTTCAAAAAAACCCGTTAAAAACTGCAATTTTTTTAAAGCATTATTAAAACATAAAAAAAAAATAGTTCAGATTTGGGATTATTAAGACTGTAGTTCAATTTTCAAATATGGTAATAAATCAGTTTTTTAAAAAACCGGTCGATTCCCTGGGCCTGACCAAAAGAAAACATCAGTTATTTTACAAAATAATCAACATTATACCTTAGATTAATAATAATTTAAATTGTCACAAGTATGTGTTCTTTAATCTTAATTTTAAAAATAGTAGTGAAATATTTTATTTGTATATTTCTAATTAATAAGAGAAACATGAATACTACATTTAACTATAATTTAATTTAAAGATCATCAAACTGTTCTGATAAATACGCTCGAGTAGTTGCAGAAAAAGGTATCTTAATTACTTTAGTCTTAGCGTTTACCATCATTGAATCCAACCAGCCTTGTAGGGATGGTACTGAAAGTATGTCAACATTATCTGATTTGTCGGTATCAATTTCAGAAATTTCTAAGTCTTCAGGTTGTGATTTTGGTTTTCTCGACCTTAAAATTGGGATATTGTTAGAAGGTTCTCTGGTTTGTGACATATCTATACTGTAGCCAAGATTATGTTGATTTTGTTGATACTGAGTAATGAATAAATCAGTTACTCGGAGTAACTCGTGTGTTAGTCCCCAAACTACATGTGTTAATGTTTTGGAAAGTTTTTCCAGACAATCAAGTAGATGACAATTGGTTGTTGCAGACTAAAAGGAATACATCGTTTTAATAAGATTTAATAAGTGTGTTAAAAATTACAATACAATACTTACTTGGCTTACATAGGCAGGAATTATCAGTAGAGCTGTTATACCATCACATTTTTCTAATTGCTGCTCCACGCAATCACTGAATTCAATGTTTATTAATTCCAATTTTTTTAACTTTTTTAATGATCTGATGGCATCAAAATATTCTTTTGCAAATTTTTCCCATCTTCCACAACAATTCTCTAATCTTAAGGATCTTAAATTGGTTAATTTTTTTAAAAACATAGGAAAATCATCAGGTAAGCTTTCACAGTCTCCTATTTCTAAAATTTCCAGGCTAGTTGAAATTGTTCCCAAACCTGTGCAGATATCTTTAGGGAATGATTTAATGGACGTCAACGACTAAAAAAAAAAAAAAAAATAACTGTTAAATTAAAAACATAAAAAGTAAAATCATAATAAATATTATTACCATCATTGAAATAAAAATAAATTGTATACAAGAATAATTAGTTAAACAGTTATATTATACATTTATTTATTTTTAAAGGACAAGTAATTTAATTTAAAACAAATAGTGGTTCAGAGAAGTAAAAACATTATAAACTTCTCCATCTAAAATTATAATTATAATTTGACTTATTTTTTAAGTTCAACTTACCAAAGTTTTTAGGTTGGTCAAACATGAAAACGACAGTTTTGGCGATGATAACAATTTAATTCCAGTTAGACCTTTTATCCGAAATTCTGTTAGCTTTGACAAATTGCTCACATAGTCTATATTAAAGAACATAAGTTCATTTACAATTTTTGCATCTTTCGTTACATTTGGATTTCTGAGAAATAATACAATTAAATCATTAGCTATATATTTTATAAAGTATAAAAATTAAAAAGATAATATTCTTAATATTACTTTATCGAAGTGGCATTAAATTTTTCAAGTTGACGTAATGAACACATAACATCATGAACAACACTCATTGGACATCTATATAGTTCAAGAGCTTCTAAATTAATTGCATTGGTTATCGCTTTAGAAAAATTTAACCAAAAAAGATCAAAATCCTGAGCTTTTGAAGGCATTAACATACGTCGAGTGTCTAACGAAATAGACTTTTGCATGTTAATAAAGTCTATTAATTTTTTCCAGTCACAAACCATCGCATTTTTCAAACGAACATTTTGCCACTAGAAAAAAAAATGAATATTTTAAACTAAAATAATAAGTCAATGATTAAATTAAAAGAAAATTATTGAAATCTAAGGTTCAGATTTAAATACATTTGTAACTTTTATTATATACTGACTGCTCAAGTGATCAAAAACACACCATATCTTATAATGAAAAATTATTTATTGCAATTTTTGCAAATTGATTTTTTAAAAAATATTAAAAAATTAATTTGTATTATAAAACCGTATTTTATAAGAAAAAATAGTTTATACAAATAACGTCATTTTACTAAGTTTTTCAATATAATAGGTCTCAGATTTATCTTAACCTTAGTTAGTAAGTAGCTATTTTCAATTAAAAACATACTGTATAATGTCATTGGTTTTAGATATTATCTTTTATTTTGTTGTCATTAAAACAGCACAATTTTAATTAATTTATCTATAGTTTTTGAATCTTAAATTAAATTTATTTAGGATATTTAAATTTGAGCACTATGAATCACTATTATAATTATTAAATTATTCTTACTAAACATGAATCCTTAGCAATACATCTCCAAGAAGAGCACACTCTGGTTACAGTTAAAAGTTCTTTCATTTTTAAATATTGGAAAATACGCTTCAGTGAATTGCTCATATAATTAAATGATTGCATACTTAAATGTTGACTGTTTATTAGGGTAGGTAAACCATTCATTTCAGATGTTCTGTAATAATTTGATAAAAATAATTTGAGTTCACATTTATTTCTTGGTTTTAAATTGAAAAAGCTTTTTTTTTTGTTTGTATGTTCTCGACCAGGCACATATAAAGTATACTACCTTTAAACATGCAAACAAAAAAGGTCTTAGAACTTGAATGAAGTAATAAGTAAATAAAAATAGGGGTTGAAAGGAAATTAAGGATGTAGGTTTTCCGCTCAAATCTGAAAACAAACATAACCAATTGAATTAAGTATTAAAAAAATATTTGTTACTTACTCTCATCTATGAAAATAAGACTTATGACCAATGCTACTTTGTGCCTGGTCAATATTACATTCCCCCAAAATAAAGGGAAAATTAAATATTTACTCACTCATCTAAATTTTTAGGTTCCTGAACAACACAAGTCATCAAACTAGGCCCTCGTGTCTGTTTCATTTCATACACATATTGTTCATGAAAACTGCCAGCTGACATAACAGTTTTACAAATATTTCCTTGACATGTAACTGTATTTATAAAAGAATCATCTTCATCAATATGTTCATTTATCTCACTGTATTGTTCTTCACTTTTGGAAACTGATGTTTTATCAATAAAGAAATTAGAAGAATCTGATGTTTGATGTACTTGTCGTATACGAATTGGTTCGACACGTAATTGTTCTGGTTCTGAAACACCAACAACTACAGTATGTGATGACTGCACACGTCTATTCCTTTGTCGTACAGACGATCGACAATTCTGAAAAAAATAATATCACTGAACAGAACTGACAACGAAATTTAAATTTCCAACATATATGTATATACAATCACTTACTATGCAAACATATCCTACAATTTTTAAATTGGCATTTAAATTGACACAAGCTGGATGATAGTAGACCAGACATTGAGCACACATTAAAGTTGCAGGTTCATTACTGTTAGGGCAACGTATTCCGCATGGAGCCTGCATGATAACTTCTCCATCTGATGTTGATAACCTATTTTTATCCATTCACGTATATGGTTTGATTGAGGAAGGATTATGAAGGAAGCGTAAGGATAACAACCCCTTAATTTAGCATTAATTTTGTGAAGCCAATTTAGAAACTAACAAGCAAAAAACTGTTTAAGCAATAAAAATATTAAATAAAATTTATATGCTACCGTTGTTTAACATTTGTAGAATTTTCCATATCATCGAGTTTTGGTGAAGAAATTGTTGATTCTTGCCTTTCTTCAGCCATATATTCTGACATAGTTGTAGTTGTATTTAAAGACTCTAAATTATCTAAAACAAAATAAATTTGATTTTTCAATTTTTAACTATTTGGACATTTCTGTAGTTCTGCAAATAATTAATACAATGCATAAGTACTATGTGCAAATAAAACTGTACAAAGCAGTTCAAGAGATCCAATGTAAATTCATTAAAAAATTAAGTAATGTTATCTACCCTTATTGAACAAAAATTGTAAATATAGGAATAGAAAACTGTTAGCAAGTTTAATGTTAAAACCATAACAAAAAATACTTACATAATAATTAAATGTAAATAGGCTTTACTACTATTAAACATATATATATATATTGCAATATACAATTACATGATGCAATTAATTTTGACCACTCCAGCATATTATCTAAATAAAACCCTAACAATATGAATACACGGACAGAACGAAAGAGCAAACAGTTTGTACACAATATAAAACAGCAATACAACACTATTTTTTTTTTCTTTTTTTAAATGAATGAATATTTAATAAAAACATCTAATTTAAGTTAATTATTTAAAAACATGTATAATACCAACTATAAATAGAATCAATCAGATAGTCTTGTAACATTTTTCCATAAAAGAATCTTCATGATAAATATGTGAATATATATAAAAATGTATCCTAATAATGATTATGTTATTTAAAATATTTTTACTTTTATTTTCTTTTCTTGATTTCAATTTTTTTATGTTTTTAAAACGAATTTTCATTTTGGTGTTTTCATTATCAGATAGTTCAAAATCATTCACAGGTTGATGTGTTGGCGTTTTTGTTTTTTTTGATTTGACAGTACTGCTTATAACACTGTCATCCTAAAAACACATTAAAATATATAGAAACCAAAATTAAACAACATCCAATAGAATGTTCAATAATCTGTCTTACTTTAGATGATTTAGAATTAGCCTCTCTAATTAATTCTTTTGACCGATCATTCATACCAATAGGTTGTTTTAAAAAGGTGAAACTCTCAATAGTTAATAATGAATCCGATAAGTCCAGTTGTTCTTGTATTTCTCTCAATGATCGAAGTTTTTTGTTTATTGGTGAATAATAATATACATCACCATTTCTGTTAGTTTTATTATTAGTATTATTAGGATCACCTAAAGTCCTGTACACCAATTCTCGTTTCCACCCTAAAAAATAATAACTTATAATTAATATGAAACACTATTTGAATCGGGCAGATGTAGTGCAGACATGAAATCTCAAAAAACCTGCAAAACAGTCAGTCTTACTATGACTGTTTAGCACTAATAAGCGAAAAACAATACGAACAACACCGACCGCGACACAGCAATTGGCTATCACAAGTGCAATTATTATTTTCTATTAATAAAGTCTTATAGAAAAATTTTTTCTACAGTGTCCAAACGATTCTTAATAACCTTCGTAATATTATCTATAAAAGAAAGTGTAATAACTTGATAAATTGCGCGTCAATTTGTCTGTAATTTGCTTTTCAGGCTCTTCAATTACTTTATCAGCAGAAAATAAGCAACATTTTTTGAAACAAAAAAATGACACCTGATCGCATTCAAGTACAAAGATTTTAAATGTAACTTCCATCTCTCGTTGTCTTTTGGCTGTAGCAATACTACTTCTACGAGTGTACATTTTACGATACTGTACATGAATTTTCACAAATAATTGTCTTTTAAGTATTCAAAATGTCCATAGTTTCTTATACTACTTGAAGCAATTAGTTTGAATTACACATTCAACAATAATTGTTTCACTTTCGTTCAAATGTTTACTATAAATGAAGCAAACTTACGACATTTATAAAATGTATTTAGTTCCATAATTTATTATACAAAATCGAAAAATAATAACATTGAACAAGTAATATACACACTAGTTACATCAACGAAATGCACAACACTAAACTATATATATATCAATATTTAAACAAATCAATAAGACTACAAGAAATACTAACATAATATACACAAGTATTATACAATTTTATTAATAGAAAATAATAATTACGCTTTCTACAACCAGTTGGTGTTGTTTATATTGTTTTTTGTTTATTATTTTATAAACCACAATATCTCAATTCACAGGTATCACAATATCAAAATATTCATAAGGTTTCAATAAGGACTTTTAACATTTCATTTGTCATGATATATTTGTGGCGTGTACCCAATTTTCAACACAATGTGAATTCTGTTCTGTAGTAAGCATTTTTTTTTTTTTTTTGTCTATTTTGACTGGACTATAACCAGTGGTTAAATTTGCCACTAAACATGAGTTCTCAGTTTTCGCAAATCAACAAGCAACACTTTATAGGACATTAGTATTAATGAAGAATCAGACTAAAAATTAAAAGTAGTTAACAGGGAGAATTATATAAGGGTGTGACAGGGATAGCCTTAATGACAAAAACCCCAAAAAAAGAAATATAAACAAAATAATACACAAATACACTTACCATGATCAAATGGTAGTTTATATATTGGATCAGTAATATCAATGTTTGTTCTACGGCCAGAACTACGGCGACTCCTAGGTGTAGATGTAAGGCTGAAGGTTGGCGTGGTTAATTCTATAAACATAAAACAAAATTTTATTTGCACACATAAAAAAAAATGCATGCCACTATTTAAAATATTTTGAATTGCACTGTAAAATATGGGCTAAATGTAAAAATATAAGTTAGTTAATAACATTAGGGTTTCAGCTTTGGTAGTTTATAAACTACAGTTTTAAAATTCTAAGTAAATCTGAAAAGAACACAATGAATGGAAAAGGTAAGCTAAAATCTAGATACAAAAATTAGTTTATGGCCTGTTTAAATACTATGAATTACATACAATAATAATTTGAGCAAGGAAACATAATTAAGTACATTTCACCTCAGCAACCAAAATATGAACTCAAATGAAATATATGTTAAAAAATTTTAATTTACATTAAAATAAATAACAAATTAGAAATCAATGATGAAATCTTTCCCTTTATCAAATAATGTTAGTAATAGGCATAGTAGTTTTAAATTATCCTTATTATAAATACAATGTTAATTTTATAGAAATTATTAAATTAATATGAGTGAGCACTATGATGTATATTTGTTTATTTTTATAATTAGCTGCAATTTTGGGTACACAATATTTTAGGAAATAAAGATATATGGTGCTTTTAATATTAATAATTCTTATCTTAAAATTGTATTATCTAAATACCATAATTTAAATGTAACAACAAAATGTTGTAATTTATTTATTTATTCATCAAATAGTCCAATGTACAATAATTTATTATTTAAGATAGCCATGATATATTATTAATTATTAATAAGCAATATTAAAAAATATATAATAATAGTACTCGTAACAAGAACAACAATATTCATTTATTGAATTTAATTATAATTTATTAAATGAGGTAAATAGTTACAAGTTACTTAATGGTAATAGGTATTTAATATAAAGTAGGTTTGCGCTATTTGTCCAGTTTGACTGGGACAGTCCTGGATTTAAAGGCATGCCTTGGTGTAACTTGTTAGTCATTCAGTGTGTCCCGGTTAATAGAAGTTGAGAGCAAACTTATAAATAACATTTGGTCGGATGAAAGAGGTAGAATCAATAAAAATATAGTACAATTCAGGCTATTCAATATCATGTCCTGGTTTAGAGATTTAAAAATCTTTTAACCCTATTATACAGCTTTTTATGTATTTTTGATTAATGTTTGTTGTTTCAAGTAAAAAAAACCTATTTTGCTCTTAGTAAGACAGAAATAGTTAATGTGGGTAATATAAATGCATATATAAATAAAAATTATAGGTGATCCGAATTTATAGGTCTATAAATCATAGATTTAGAATTTTCTTAAGAAATTACCCCCATATATTTTTAAATAATAAGAAAAAACAACTTTGTGAAATTTAAACTCGATAACTCTTTCTCATACCGATAAAGGATTACATTATTATTGCACAAGATGGTAGTTTTTTAATTTTTCCAATTATTTTGGAAACTAAAATATTTACTAGAATACTAGAGAAGAGACACCAATAAAGGTAGTCCGAAATTATAGCAAATCATTAGATTGCACTTCGGTCAGTAGTAATGTCGGTTTTACATAAAAAACATAAGGAATTTATTGTATTATAATCTAAATGGTTAACTAACGAATAATTACTATACAATTTTTTTTTTAAGTATGTGCTACTTTTAGGTTGAAATATAATTGTTTAAAATTTTATATACCCACTAATTAATAATAAATTAATGAATTTTGTATATTGTCAAATGATCAAACATTTTAGCAACCATGCAACTTTTGCAAATCATTAGTTTTTGAATTATGGCGATTTGAAATTTCAGTTTTACAATAATTTGGCTAAATAGGTAATTTTTTAAATATTTTTATTTATTAAATTAGACAAATTTTACAATATATATATATATATATAAATACACACATTAAGTTAAAAATGTTTGTAAAATATTTGATTTTTCTCTTACCTGACGAGGTTTTTCACAAGAAATCAAGGGATATTTCAATTTAAACTTTTTTTTTTTTCTGTTATCTATCCAACATGGTTTTGCAAAAGTCCAGTTAAATCAAAATTTAGTCAGAGTATATAATTTTGTCCAAATTTAGCCCTCTATATAAGATAGGTAGGTAGGTACATATTATATAAAATAATGAACGAAAAGTGGGTATTTCTATTATTTTCGTAGACCCAACCTAATAGAAAATCATCAGCCGTATTTATGATTTCAGTGCTCAATTTTCACTGAAATTCCCGCCATTTTTACCAAATCTACCCAATGAGCAGAAAAAAAGTATTTTATAAAATCAATTAATTTTCTAAATCTAGCAGTAGTATATTCTTGAAAACACATCTATTTGATTAAGGACACAATTTGGTCTCAAAAAAAAAAAAAAAAAAAAAAACGTTCTATAGTAATTATTCATTAGTTTCACCATTTAAATTATAATAATAAAAACTAATAAATTCCCTATGTTTTACATGAAAAACCGATATCAATACTCGATTTGCGATATTTCCGTACAAAATTAAATTGTTTCGCTTTGACAACCTGTGTTTGGCGACCTTTCTCTAGTTTTGATAGGTATAATACAGTACTCAGTCACATTATAATTAATTTTGGTATTGAATTCTATTCAATGGCCATTGAAAGGAGCATGTGTTTTTTTGGAACAAAAATTAGAAAAAAAACTTTTATTATTAGCCTTTGTCATCGTATGTCTGGTCCAAGTATACCAACAAATTTGATGTTTTTGTAATTGTACGGTTACAACTGACTTGTCACAGATACTTCCGGTTTTAACGTTTTATTTAACTAGGCATAATACTGGAGTGAAGAGAATAAGAGTATTACGAATACAAATGTATAATAATTAGTAGTCGGATCTGTAGTCAAGTAACAAGGGTCTTAATAACATGGTTACCTGTGTAACTCTAACTTAAGTAAATACCAAATAAAAATCACTCACAAAATTTATGTCTATAAAATATGGCTCAAATGGTTTATATAGTTTTACCAAGTCTAGAAAAGGCAAATATAAGTTTTGTTCAAATTTTAAGTCACTATAAATATTTTTATTTAAATGAATTATAAATACATTTTTTTAGTAAATTTTTCCATTTTTATGACATTTTATTCCAGTTTTTCTCAGATATCATAACTGTTTGGAAAACTAAAAAACAACTTCCCAAAAGTACCAAGTAAATAAAATTTTGTTTCAGAAAAGGTGCTACACTTGATACATCAGAGCAAGATTTCTGGTACGAAAATTTGCACAACAAATTAAGGGGTATTTCTAAATTAAATTAATCCAAACGAGTGATAGCTTGGGTCTCTAGATGCACCCAAAATGCATTTGTTTTCAGCACTCAGGTTTAAATTTGCGATCTATAGAATGACAAAAGGTACGTACCACCACTAAACTAACTACAGGAGACATCCGATAAAACTGACAATATTGAGCTATTTAACATAAAATAATAATTCTGACTTCATCATCATTGTTAAATCAGCTATATACATGTTTAAAACAAAAATTTGAAAAATTATCTGTTCACAATATATTTTTTCTCAAAAGATTTTCGTCAAAATTTGATATTAAAATTTCTTAAAAAAAAAAAAACACTACATGCTCAATTTTTTGTTTTGACCACTAAGTACAACTTTGAATGCATCTCCTGATCAGTTTTCCAGAATTTTTACCTAATAAAAATTATGTTGATTCTCACAAAATAGCTCATGTTTTGTAAAAATTTTAATTTTTATATCTAGAAATGGCAAGTATAATTTTTCTGTCCTAATATCAAGTCCCTACAAATATTTTTAACCGATTACAAAAAATAACAAAATTGAAAATAATATAAGCATTATTTTTCTAAATTTCCAGTTTTATAAGTTTTATCTAGGTTTTTACAGATTATGAAAACTGCATGCAAAATAAAAAAATTACCTAAAATACCATCTAGACAATACTTCCTTTCGGAAATGGTGCCAACGTACATATCAGAACAAGGTTTCTGGTAGAAATTTTCGTCACAGTATAAAAAATAAAATAAAATATAAACGCCTAGTAAATCCTTTGTGATTTTTACATACAATTTAAAATAATATTTTTTTAATAATATTAGTATACTAAATTTTGTTACAATTAATCTAGAAATAAATAATTTTTCAGTGAATTGAGTTTTCGATAAATCAGTAGGGCACATATATTATTATTGTGCCAAAAAGGTACAGATTAAATATTTTATTTATAAAAATAATAATAACAATGATTAATAATTTAAAATTGTTTTCGTAAATGTTTTAGTTTTTGAAAAATAATTGGGAAAAACAGAAAAACAATGAGCCCTTTAATGTAGCCATTTTTGATTAAATTTTTATAAAATAAATTTTGGTCACTAAAAAAAATGGGAAGGTACACTTCTTCAAATGTATAAATAATATTTTTTTGGACCACCTTAATAAATATTATATATTTCATTTAAATTATAATTATAACAGGAAAATTAAAATAATTGTAACATTATCCATATTATTTTATAGGTTAAATTTTTATATTACTCACCCAAACTATCTTGAATATCAGTTTCAAAGGATTCAACTGATTCAGTCTGCAAATTATCTTTTTTAAACTTTTTAACATTATTTTCAGGAGTAGATCCTATAAATGTATACAAACAAAAGATAAATTAATCATAAATAATACGAAAATATTAATTGATAGAGGATATTAAAACTTACTTCTTGATTTGGATTGACTTTTTTTTTCTAGACGATTATTGTTGCTATTAGATTTACTGACTGTCGGTTCATCTGTAGATACTTTCAATACTTCTGCTATAGTATCCCTTAAAACTTTTTGGAATAAAGATAGTTAATATGGATAATTAATAACACAAAGAAATAGTATAAAATAAAAACATAAAAACAATTGGCTCACGTTTTTTTTTTTTTTCAATAAACATTGTCAACTCATCATCACCAGCATCAAACCCAATAAAATTATTGTCCTCAGTCTCCGATTTCAACAATTTTTTTGATTTTGATTCCTATAATATAAATAGATTATAATATATTTTTGTTTTATATTATTTATATACCTATATATTTATTTAAATAATTACGCAATACAAACAATTATTATTACTTATTAAATATTTTTTAAAATTCAAACCAAATTACAATTCAGGTTTTCATTTCCGTTCCAAAAGAAAACGCAACTAAGTAGTGACCAAAATTTATCTATTCGTACGCATTTCCACTAGTATGCCAGCCCAGTTTTTTCTTGAAGATAACCACCGGGATAGTGGTACCTTGACATTCATCACTAGTTGTTACCTATTGAGTGGGAAAATATAACTACAAGATGGTAAAGGGTGTTTATTTTGACGCGTGAATGAGTTGCGTTCTCTTATGGAATGGAAAATAGTATACAATTTATTTACACGGAGCCTTGCAATAAAACACATTTTAATAAATAAGTCTTCAAATTGAGTAATAGTATACTTTTAAAATTTTTGATAAAATAAGGAAGTATCTACTAAATTATAATTTAAAATTGTTTAACACATAGAGGTAATACGAAATATTTTTTAATAAAAATATAACAAGTTAATTACATTTTATTTTGATACATAACATACAATATTGATAGAAAATGTCTTGAATAAAATAAATAATTAACTTACCATTTGGAAAAAATTTTTTTTTGCAACCATAATAATAAAAAATAATATTAAGTGTTCAACAGCTAAAATGGATAAGAAAAGATTGGGAAGAACAGTTGTCAGTACACAGCATTATGAGATATGTGTCAGTGATACCAACATAGAAATATTTCTATAAAATATAAAATAAATTGAAGTATTTAATTTCAGGGGTGCCACCAATTTGTTGTACTTAAAATAGTGGATAAAGTGACTAAAATGTATAAAAAGAAGTGACCAAAAAGAGACTTACTTATACATAACAATTAAATGAGTTTCATAAGATTTAGATTAATTTATAAATATATTATTATAATTTTGCATATGATGTATTGTATAATTTGTGTTAGATTTAACCATGAAATGTTATTCAATCATAATAAAATAAGTATTTATAATTTAAAATGAAGTTAAACTAAGACACATTAAGATTGAATTATTACCAATTTTGAAGGAAATCAATAATCAGAAAATAATATAAAATTTAAAAAATAATAAAAGCAAGGTTCAGTATATTTACTAAACATCTTAAAAATCAAATTTGTATTATTCTTTTAAATTATATAATATTTATTTTTGAACATTTATGGATATTGCTACCTATAAATTTTGTGTTTTAGTTTCTCTATATTTTGAAAAACTTATTTGTTTAAATAACTCAACTCATATTTATAAATTTAACTATTATAATTTCAAAATAAAATATGTCTATAGTAAATAGATTTTACATTCTCAATTATAAATAAACATAATACTATGTATTTGTTACTTACTTTTAAATTTGATGTACTCTTTTTCGCAAATTGTTCCATTGTTAGTATCTAATCAAATCAAAATTTAATAAAATATTAAAATTATTGTTTTTAAATAGTGACCATATTAAAATTAAAATAGCTAAATATTACAATAAATTACTGTGACAATGTGGTTTTACTCTATGTGTTTTTATTCAGATGTTATCATCAGTCAATCCATTTCTGAATTTGTGTTTTAAAAATTATAATTCAATCATTTTGATTTTAAAATATTTGTAAATTATAAAAAATAATATTTTACTAATTGTGCTAACAAAGAAGCAGCTGTACACCCAAAAGATTCCTTATATTTCAAAGAATTGTGTTTCCAGATTTTGGAGAACAATTTACTTGTGACTAACTCACTAGCAACTTAAATAATAAACTTTAATATTAAATAAATAACAAAACAATATTTCCAAATTGCTTAAAAGATTAAAAGATTTTTCATTACAAAAAAAAAAAATGTTTTAATTATTATATCTGATTTAAATGCATTTAAAATGGTTAAGCACAAATAGGGACATATCTAACAATTAAAAATGGCTACAAATGGTGCATGTTAATTTTTGGAAGATATCAAGATGATTAATTTTTAAAAAAGTGAATAATAATGAGATTTATTCATTTTTACGTCTAGCTTCTTCTCAGCATTTCGTAGACAGTTTTTTGTGCCTTCTATACAATTTGGGGTTAAAGGCATGTCCCCCATTTTGCAATTAGTGATTCATATATGTATTCCCTTACAAGGCTACAAGGTTTGTTCTAACTTTAAGTTATAAAATTAAGGGGGTATAAATATTTTGTGATAAAGGAATAAGATATTCATAAAATAATAGGTGATAAAAACAAAAACTAGATAAAAGAAGAAATTGAATGCTCAGCTCCCATGGGAATTTTTTCTGAACCGAACTATTCACTGAAATGAACAATTTTAACTAGTTTACATTTAATAAACGATACCGTTAATTTTAATGTAAACCACCGTTCACTATTAAGTATTGATACATTCAACTAAGTGAACAATTCGTTAAAATCAATATGAATATCCTATAAATCATTTGTCGTTCACTAATACAATGCTTTACTTTAGTAGTACCACACTACCACAGTTTGTTAAATGATAACAAATAAACGTTGAATGAATTAAATATTTCACCTAAGTGAACATCTAGTTCCATTCCTGGTCCATTATCCGTTCAGTGAACTACTTATATTTGTACATATCGTTCACCATTCAGTAAACTAGTTCAATTTGGTGAACAATAAACCTAAGTGAATGAGTAATTGCATTCCTAATTTGTACATTATTTTAAAAATAACAATGTTATAATAAAAACTTTTAATAAAAATAATAGTTAGGTCACAAATGACTCGGTAGAAAACCTAATTTATTCAAATTATGAATAATAAAATGCAATAATTACAGATTGTATCATCTAAAATGACAAATAAGGAACTGCTAAACATATGTCGTAAAAAATTAATTTTTTTTTAAAATTTTATATACAATTGTTTTACCTCAATGTATATATAAAAAATTTTAATTTAATATTTATATAAATATTACTAAATACATTACATCTTTAAATTATATAAATACAAAATTATAAGAATTTGTAAACTAATATCTGTAATATTGTGTACATAAATATTTTTTTAAGGGACAATTATATTATATTATATATGTATATATCATAATTTATAATTTAAAACTTCACTAATCATATTAAGGTTGGTTTACATTATGCATAATGTGAGATTTAATACGTACTTGTGAGGTATTGTAGCTGTGTCCAATTTACATATGAAAATAAACACGTTCGAAAATTAAATTTCTACACAAAACTCACACAAATAATGTTGACAAGTATTCAGAATCTTTTAATTGATACAATTATTGAAACCAATATGTACAACCAATATAATAATAATTTTCAATGATCAATTCTCAGACGCTACATGTTAACAACAATCAACATTAGAATAAAGCGGGAACTAACAACCGAAAAAACGAATAACACGCAAAATTCAAGACAAATCAAATGCGATGACGAATAAGGATAAGAAATAAGAATGATTTAGGGGAAGGGGATGACGCTAATAAACAGTGGGGTTAACCGTCTTTATAATTGAGGTTATACCAAGAATTTTGTTTACTAAATAATTAATTAATAAAATAAAAAATTTTAATTGTTTTTTCAATTTAAAATAGAAATTAAATAATTAATAAATTATTGTGGTAATATCGTTTTAATAATTTAAACACAGTAGTTTTAATTTAAAGCTCTATTTAATGGTTATTAATTTTTTTTTTATAACCTTAAATAAGTTACCGCCATTTTTTTAAATACAAAAGTTAATGATAATATTATCAAAATAATAATGTATGCACTTCATAGACGTAATACAATGTTGAATGTTGAATATTCTGTCTGTGATGCCCAATGCGCTTCCATCCACAGGCCTTGGTTCCAGTTTGGTATTTGCATAGCTGACTTAAAAATATTGAGGTGATATTATAAATTATTCGTGGTATTTCATATAGTAAAGTTAAGTCGTCTCTTCATAGGACATTATATTGTTTGCAACTTGTCTGATAGGACTCTTTATTTATTTTGGATATTTACATTTTAAGAAATAATTTTAGCTATAGGGTATTTTGTTATATTTATAAACTTTTTCAAGTAGATAATTTGATGTTCACTTTATCACAAGTTGTCGTACCTAATTTAATCATGTATTCGTGATCATGACACGAAAAAATTACTAATTATTATGTTAGTAGTTAATTAAATTGTTTATTTTAGTTTGTCTAGTAAGGAGAAAAGGAAAGTTTTTTGTTTTCTCAGACATGGATACTGTACATAAAGAATTTGGATTATCAAAATAAGAATAATATGTATAAAAATTAATTTGATAGTTCAAGAGAGTATACATACCAATACCATAGCCGGACAAAATTCGGGAAGGAGGCACCAATAATTTGTATTATAATCTACTTATGTATTTTAGATTGATAAAATATTAAAATTTAAATAAAGAATAAAAAAAAGATATAGGGAGGGGGGGGGAATATGCTCCCCTAAAAATTGAATTTCCCGATTTTTAGTCTCAAATAATTGGCAGCTCTATATTGGAAATAGTCATAACTTTATACTATACATTTTATTTTTATTCATTATGTTTGCTTAAAAATCATAATTAAAAGTACCTACTATTATTTAATTATAATAAAAACTTGTTGAAAAATTATATCTACTTAACACATTAAAGACAAATATAAAAACCTATTATTACAAGTATGTCATTTGTCATACATTTTTTCATCTGTGTTACCATAGATACCCACACGGTACAGGGATTAAACTATATATCCATTTTAATTACACTAGAACTAAAAGATTCTTAATAGCCAAGACTATATTCATATTAGTTCTGTATTAAAAAAATCAATATTCTATTTATACTATTAATGTAAAAAATGATTATATTTTCGATTTTTTTTTTTTCACTATTGTTTATTTTGTGATTTTTGAAATTAAAATTAATCATAAATACATATGTATATAATAATATAACACATATAAAATTTCAGGTTTTATATTTTAGTTTATATATATATATAACTTTGTACATGGAGAGCCACTGTCATTAAAAAAACCTTAGCCTTAATGATTTAATCATATTAGTTCTATACATTTTAAGTACCAATATTAGTATTCACATTGTTTTTGGGGGTTAATAATAATACTAATCATTGTTTGTGATTACATCACTGAGAATCATTATTAATGCTAAATGTATTTATTGGAATGGATAGGGAGAAAAAATCAAACTATTTTGTATAAACAGTGGTCAAATTAAATATTTATTAAAATAAATATGTAATAATCAAAAAAATAAAAAGTTATAAGACTTGTTTAAATAAACATTATAGAAAAAAAAAAACAATTTTTAAATTTAATTTATTGTAATGAAATTGTTTCAGGCAATAATAAGAAATTCAGGATTAACACAAGATTGAAACAGGGAGATGCTTTCTCTCCAACACAATCTTTTCCACATTGTGTTGGAGGAAGTGGTTTGAAAGACATTAAATATTAGCATAGGATTCAAACTATAAGAATCTAAAACTATCAAACTAATAGCATATGCTGATAACATAGTATTACTGTCCAAATCTGAGAATAACCTTCAGTGTACGGTAAAAGCCTTTATGAATGAAAGTAAACAAATAGACGTAACTATAAATGAAGAAAAAACAAAATAAATAATACTGTCACAAAAAAATAATTGATATAGTAGTTTGGTAGTCAGGGATATGGATTTCGAATGGGTCGAAAACTTCAAATATTTAGGAGTGGAATTGAACATGTTGAGCAATAACTACAAGGAAATATATAAAATATATTAAACTCAGCTAAAAAGTGCTTCTTCAGATTAAAGACAATATTAAAATCTATACCGGTATCAATTTGATTTAAACTAACTTTATACAAAGTAATGATATGTTGATATGTCTAATAGCGCTATATGCCTGTGAAACCTGGATTACAACAAGAACAGACGAGTAGAACCTAGCAAGATTCAAGAGGAAGGTATTACGACAAATATTTGGGCCCAGAAGAAACCAAAACACGGAAAAATATGAGTGAAGAAAAAACGAAGAGGTAAGAAATATGTAAGAGGATTCAGATATAATAGCTACAATGAAAAGTAAAAGGATAAGCTGAGCAGGGCATGGCATGTATAATGAGGTTGAAAACAGACAATTGGTTAAGTAGCCAGTTAAAAGACAATGAGCAAAAGACCGCTCTGCCGTCCAAGACAAAGATAGATAAATAGAGTCCATAATGACCTGACAATGCTGGGAATGCTAAATGGTGAAGAAGCTTAGGACTTAATTAGTCTATACTAAGCTAAATATAAAAAAAATATTTTAATTTATTACAGAAATATTAAAATCATATAAACCATTTTTAAATAGTATTAATACATTAAATGTAAAAATATTCTACAAATTTACTAAAGAATAATGAAATAACAACATTTTTAAATTTTTTTTTTTTTTTCAGAATGTATTTTGAAAAAACAATCATTTAAACAAAAATTTACAGAACAACCTGGACATAATATTTGTAATTTGAGTGCTTGCTTTCTTCTATCTTGCTAAACCATTTCAATGTAACAACTACAACTAATTGAATTTCTTTTTCATTATTTCCCTATTATATCCCTTATTAATATTACTGTAAGAATCACAATTAAAACTATGATACCAAATATAATAGGATGGGCATTGAGTACCATAAAGGAACTTGCTTGGAATTGTTTTATTTTTTTAATAGATAATAATAGTGATAATAATAGATGATAAATCATGATAAGGAAGTAATGAGAATCAAAAGAAAAAAAAACAAGGCCTATGTTATAATCTACCTAATAATACAACAGCGTACATGACAAAAAACAGTGAGTAACTAATCTGGTACTCATGAAGTCTAAGGACAGCTCTATTAAAATACTGGGGCCCATTACTTTATTAAAATTTAAACATTTATTGTAAAATCAAATAATAGTATTTTCTTTTAAATCAAAATGGTCCTAGATTACAATCAATTTAAAAATATTATTTTTAAATTATATAGTATAATTATTTCAATATTTGGTTTGATTAATTAATGTATTTGACATTTAACATAATTAAATTATAAGAAAATTTCTCCAATAGATGTCTTAGAATCAACTTTATGCAATCCACAGATATGATCGCCTTCTTCAAAATTAATCGAACTTTCCGTGTCACTTTCAATTTCTTGAATAGTCTGTTTTGATGACATCTATAAATAATTAATTATTTTTAATTAACTAGATAAAATACAAAATAATTGTGTGCATCAATATTATAATTAATTATTAAATTACATAAGTTTAGTTTAAAGCAGTGGTTTTCAATCCTCTTAATTTTTCTTTTTATGTAAGAAGACTCCTTAAAGTTTGTTTAACAGAACTTGAACACTAAGATATACAGTATACTCAATACTTATCATTGTTAGTAACCCCCCTAACTATCTTTGTGTTCCCTTTATGATTTCGACCCGCAGGTTTTTAAACCAAGAGTTTAAAAAACCAGTATTTTTTATCATACAAATAATAACATATATATTTTATTTATACCATTGAAGTAGAAGATTCTCCTGTTTCTTTGTACAGATGATTTGGACAAGCATTATCAGTATATTCTAAATTATTATTGGATGGTGATGATTTAGACAATACAGCATTTATATGACATTCTTGTTTGATTGATGAAAAGATTTGATTGTTCATTAATGTATGTTCAACATCACTATTATTCTTAGAAAAGTTGAAAATGTCTCCAATAGACGTCTTAGATTCGACATTATGCAATCCACAGATATGGTCGACTACTTCAAAACTAATTGAATTTTCTGTACCACTTTCAATTTCTTGAGTAGTCTGTTTCAATGGTATCTATAAATTATTAATTATATTATACTGCCTAGGTAAAATTATGCAAGGAATGGGAGTGAAATAATAAAACGTAGGTATCTGTCAAGTCAAAATAGCCTTTAATAACTCTACTTATATCAAGAAATATTAGTTTAAAAATAAGAAAAAATCTATTGAAAATGTATATATGGAGTATGGATCTTTATGGTTATGAGACCTGTAAAATATCAGTACTCAGAACAAATCTGAGAACAAAAAGGACTGGAGTTGTTTGAAATGTGTTGTTATAGAAGAATGTTAAGGATAAATTAGATGGACAGAGTAATCAATAAGAAGTGTTGGATCAGAAAGAAAGGTATTATGGAAAAATATGTGATGCGAAGGATTATTAAAACTGATTATAGAAGGAAGCGTAAAAGGGAAGGCTAAGATAAGAGTATATTCAACAGATAATAAAGGACCAAGGATGCAAGTCTTATGTAGAAATGAAAAGGAAAACAGATAATAGAGAAGAATGGAAGATGGCTGCAAACCAATCTATGGATTGAAGCCATAGAGAGAGATAAAATACAGATAAATACTGTGTGCATCAATATTATAATTAATTATTGAACTACATAAGTTTAATTTAAAGGAACCAGTTTTTATTATATATCAACATAATATTTTATTCATACCATCGAAGTAAAAGAATCTCCTGTTTCTTTGTAGAAGTGATCTGTACAAGCTATATCAGTATGTTCTGTATTAGTTGGTGATAATTTAGAAAATGCAGAATTTAAATGACATTTTTGTTTTTTCAATTGAAAGTTTTCACTGTCTTGAATTTGATTGTTTATTAATGTATGTTCCTCAATATTATTATTTTTTAAACAATTGTCATCTTCAAATTTGGATAATTGACTTTCTAAACAAAGTAGCGTGTATATATATATGTTTACCATAGTTGTCAGTTATACATTCATCTCAAAAATATATAACATAAAAACTTACTCAATAATACTATTTCATTGGTATTTTTTCTAAAGGAAACAGTATTTATATTTGAATTATTATAACTTTCCCCTTGAATCATGTCTTCAGAAGATCCATTTATCTATTATATTATTTTAAATTCAAATTATTAGAATTTATAAAAATCCAATTTTATTTTATATTTTATTCAATAAGTATATAATTTAAAATACTTCAATATTATTTATTGTAATTTAGTTTAAAATGTTTGAATTTAAAGAATTTAAATTTGGATAGCAAACGTATATTTGCCATTTATATAAGTGGTAAAATTTTCAAAACATTTGAGCCATTTTCAAGTTTTTATAGACATTTTAATTTTACTGTAATATATAATGCATATGTAATTATTTTACCATAATGGCATATATTTATTGTTGATAAAGCAACATTATTAACTGAACTTTACTTAAAATTGTATTCTGTTAGCAATGGTTAAATTTTGCACAGATATACATTCAATGTCCCCTCTACCTATCCAACTTCTCACATATGACAGTGGCCCATCCATCATGCAAAATACCTACGTCTGTATTTTTCAGTTGAAATTTATTGATTAAAAGGAAGGAAGGTGTGTATATTATCACATAATATAATATAGCAGAAACAAAATTTCAAATTAAATTATAATTCAAAATTATCATGTACCATTATACTACAAGTAAATGACCTAATCATAGTGTAATATTACACACACACACATAAGTACAGATTTAATATTATGTATTATGCATGTTAAATATTTTATAAGTTTACTTTTATTTCAGAACCAGGTTCCTCTAAATTCGAAATTTGATCAGGCCTGTAACAAAAATAATTATAGATAGGTTAAAATTATCAATTTAGCTAGAGGTAATATATTTAAAAGTAACTTGTACATTTTTGAACTGGCAAAGTTGTTAGAGCTTAAGTATAAAAAGTCTTTAACACTTATTGTATTGCTTGACCTAATATCATGAAAATCTGTAAAATAACAGTTATTTTATCTCAACTAATAACATATATAAGATAATTTGTATAACTACTTTTTGGTTGATAAGTATCATTTAAACAATTATTCCCAGGTTTTTCATTAATAGAGTTCGAAACACCAGCTAGTATGTTATCTCCCAAAATAACTGGAAATATCATTAGTGGATTCCTTGCTAAATAGAAGTTTTTAATATTAGTTAAGCGATTATCCATTTGACGATAAAAGTTTTCCATTTCTAGAGCCATTTGTTCAAATGATTTTTCTAAAAAAAAAAAAAAATGTATTTAATTTGCAAAAGACAACTATATCAATTTATATTACTACTACCATCATAATCATTTTCAGCTATTTTAAATAGTCTATTTTTGATGACTGTTTCACTAAAACCATCTATACTATGTTCTTCTATGAGATTTTTTACTTCATTTGAATCTTTATTTTCCATCAAATCTGTTTCTTCTAAATTGATCATTATTTTCTGTAATTTATGTACCAATGGATCACTCAAACTATCATTATTTGACAATATGTCATTCAACATCCCACACAGAATTCTGCGTATTTCATAGCGAGTTACTGTGTTGTTTTTAGTGTTCTTTGGTAGAGGTGATTGGCATGTACATATTTCCGGTTGTACATCAAACATGACTTCGTGGTATGCCACATTTGGTTTGTATTTATTACTATAAATTAAATATATATTATTATTACTATCAAGTAGTTAATATACTGTATACAACAACAATTTATTGCAAAAAAAAAAAAAAATTTATACTTATACATCAATTATTTTAAAATATATTTTTTGTTTTTTAGCTGCAGAATAATTTTCAATGAAGAATGAGATCTGTATTGACTTGAATTTTTTTTATATCATATAGGTATCTACTTACATAAAGAAAAAAATTGAATTGTTTAGGAATTTGAATTTAAAATATATATATTTTTAAATGCATTAAAGTCCTTGCTATTCTTATTTTTAAATTACTAATAGTTTTTTTAAAACAAAAATCCTAATCCTATTGAAAATGTTGATAAATGTTTAAAATAAAATACCATGAGTTAAAAATATGCATTTTTTAATATGTAATATGAAAAAATTAAAGCAGTTTTATGTAAAAAAGTGTTTTCCGAAAAAAAAAAATACCTATCATGGTAAAACTAATAGCTTCATCACTACTTTTATCATTGGAAAATATAATATTGATATTTAATTATAACGAATCTTACCTGAGAGTTTTTTTACTATCAGGTTTTATTTGAATATTGGTTACTTTTTGCGTAACTAGATCGGGTTTTACATTGACAGAAGGAATTTTTTGCACTGCTAAATTTTTGATATGGCAATCACTATTATCTTTTTCGTTGACACTATTAGCAATGAAGTTCACTATACCAACATTATTTGCATAGTCTTTTATTGACTTCAGTGGTTCAGAAGAACTTTTTAATTGCTGAGAATTGTTCGCATTGCATGAATTTTCAAAAAGTTTTTCTTGATACGGAGACTTAGGTTTTGTAACTGTCTTAGGTTTTTCATTATTTTTATTTATACCTTTAAACTAAAATATAAAATACATTAGATATACATTAGTACTAATCAAATTAATTCTTATTTCAAAAATCTTACCGATAACTGTTCTTTAAAACTAGATAGAGGGCGTAGAGAGATTTGTAATGGAATATCTATATTTCTGCAAATAAACGAAAAATAATTATTTACTAATGCATTGCCAAATAATCAGTCCTTAGTACTGAACTTTCCGAGAACGATTATTGTTATGTTATATAATAGTTATTTTAAAAACGCTCGAAAACACCCGTATTCGCAGCGAAGTTAAGAACAATGAAATGTATTATTGTTTGACCAGGCCCATAGCCAGACCAAATCATCAGGTGGGGTGAACCAAATTTTAGGGGGGATCTACTAAATCATAACATACCACTACATGCACACATTTAATACTTGTTGGATGGTACAACGATTAGGTCTGGGGGGGAAGGGATTCCCTCTTACTCACCGTGGCTACATGTCTGTGTGTGACGTACTTAAATACTAACAATAATGTATAATATATTAAAAACGATAAGAACCCGGTCTCGGTCCCACATCGGCATAGAGAACGCGGAAAAAAAAACTGAACGAAATAAATTGTTGACGATTAGTTGGAAATTGAACCGGCTGACATGCTTGTTTCGACCAAAGCCATTTTAGTCGTTTTCAAAATTAAGTTGTCAATGATTTTTAAATAATATAATATGTATATTTATCATGTATATATTATTAACTATTTTTAAAAAAAGTCATCCCAAAAGTTAAATATCTCAAAATAATATTTGAGTTTATTTATCGTTACCCAGAAATAATGATGAGGGGAAACACAATATTTATTATACTAGACTATTATAGTTTTATTTCACTATCAAATTAATGACATGTTAGTGGACAAACGACTTTTCATATTAATATAATAGTTACCTACATGACGTATAAGTTAGCAGTTGCTAGTAATCGAGTTTCAAGTTTTGAACAGTTTTAATTTAAAATATTTGCTCAAATCAATAATTAACGATGGCTATGTTTATAAATAATAAAGTAAATGAGATAAAGACACGGTGGCTTTTAATAAATATAAATATAATTTCGCTTCAAAAAATTCAAGCACTGATGAAATTCGTTGGCGATGCGTGAAACGTACGTGTACAGTTACATTATACACGTCCAATTCTAAAATGGTGAACGAAGAGGATATTTTAAACACTGACCAGCTTCGACATAATCATAATTCATGTAGTAATACAGAAATAAATCGTCAGTGTTTTATGTAAACGAAAAGCTACTGAAAATCTTTACATACAGCCAAAAATAATAATTTTAAAAGAGTTATCAGAAAACATTCAACTAACTGATAGTTTAACTTTAAATTATTTTAATGTGATTAGAAAATCAATTAACAGAAGTAGACGTAAAGTTTGAGCAAACATTTTATATATATGGTTTTAAAAATGATCATTATATACCATTAATATTTATTTTATTTGCGGACAAAAAATTAGAAACATACATTATTAACAATATATTATATTGAGTAATGCGTTTTTAAAAATAGTTAATAATATATAAATGAGATATTATATTTTTTAAAAATCATTGCCAACTTAATTCGAAAACGACTAAAATGGCTTTGGTCGAACGGGTATCTGTACGATTTTGGGCGAAAAGGGTGCCACCCGAACCGGTGACTAGTCGACCAGCTTAACCTAACGCCTAATACATAGAACTTCCTGTTCATTGGAAAACGGTATCGTTTTACAGGTATATGAGTATAGAAACAACAATAATACGATTATTATTATTCTTAACAGGGATTCCTCCCGTCGGCCGGATCCACACAATAATAATAATAAAATACGATAAAAAAATATCCTTGAAAACAGCTATACGAACAACAATGAACAATGCTATCGGAAATCTCATTAGTTAGATAGAGAGGTCCCTTCGTCATCAACCTTGAGTAAGAATCTTATAAATTAGGTTAGCTTAGGTTATGGTTAAAAGTTAAATCTAGTGTGGTATAGGCTGATACGCAACCATAATAGATATTCAAATTAATGGGCCCGATATAATTAAATTATCAAATGCTGGGAATGTCGGGGGAAGAAGTATCGAATATTTCGAAGCGAAATTTTCATCCGCCCACAATACATATAAAAACCGAGAGAATCAAACGCCATCGTGGTGGAGTGGTCTGTTTTCTTTAACAAGTGTTGGATGTATAGTAAAATAAGTCATGCATATTCTTACTTTTTAAAATGATTTTTATTGGTTATGTTAAATTAACATGTAAATGCGTTAAAATCGATCGAATTTTATAACCCCCTGGCACTTCCCGCTAGCGAAGCAGTTTTGGTTCACAGATATTACACCTGATATCAATCCATTATATCTATCCTTAGTCCGTAATTTTTACTAAAATTGAATTCTGATGTAACAACCTTTGACCTATGTCACTAGTAATGTCGGCAGACCGAAATTTTGGTAAAAATTGTTCGTTAATCTTCCTTAAATATAGATCGGCTTCTTTGGCAGTCTTTTTTGCTTTGTTGATCAACAAACACGTGTTCACAAAGTCTTTTTTCGACGCGTCTTTCTGTGTACAATAAACAGTATAGTCATCAAATATGTATTTAATCATATGTGTTTCATGTGAAAACAAAAAATGTAAATTCAAAATAATATTAGGTACCATAGTTGTTGAAAACGTATCAAATAGCCGTGGATATGCAGACACTGAGGTAGAATTTTCGTTTTTGTTATTACCGTGGTCGCTGTGAACAAAATACCAATTATAAGTTCTTATAATATATAGAACAAGACTGGAAAAAAAAACATACATCATTTTTACCTTACAACTACATAATGAAATAATTTATAAATATAAATTGGTTTTTCGTAGACCATTCGGGCAATAATAATAAGTGTTTGAAATATTACGTGTTTCAATGTTTTTTTAAAAATAATAAAATGATTAAAATATATTATTATTTTATAATTTTTTTTAAGAGGACGTTATACTCGCATCTACTATCTCAATCCAACTAATGAGTAACATACAAAAACAATACTTCCGCAGAATAAGTAAAACTAGCTTAATTTTGATTTCAGAGTAAAATTACCTATTATGAAATTTATAGGGAACAATATTTTGGAGGGAATGCCATTGGTGTTTTTGAATTATGAATCATTAAAAAAGTTACAGTTATTTAAAAAAGCAAAAAAATAAAGGTTTTTGTAACTTTTATATCGAGCTGTATATTTTGAATAATACAAAAACATTATGACATTCCCTCCAAAATATTGTTCTCTATAAATTGTATAATAGATACTTTTACTCTAAAATCAAAATTAAGCTAATTTTATTTATTCTGCGTAAACATTGTTTATGTATGTTACCCGGTAGTTGGACTGAGACACTAAATGCGGGTATAATGTCCTCTCAATGAACGTTTTTTTAATACTAAGTATGCTATATTATGGAGAGAAGTCACTATATATTTGATAAACCCCAGAACAAAATAGACAATAGTGGAAAAAAAGGAAAAAGAGCTGACACAGTTGATACTGGAGACAGATGTGCTACTGTTGAAAGTAGAAAGCTGGTAAGGTAGGATACATAAAGTTATTTAATTTATATCTGTAAATATTGATAAACCATTGCTAACAAAATCGATTTGGAGTGAAGTTCAATCATAAATATTTTTAAAGTTCGTAATATTTACGGTCTTCGTCAAAGTTTGATATTAAAACTCTTATAAAAAATAAAACTACATCAAACTCAATTTTTTTTTACCTCTAAGTAGGACTTATAATGAATCTCCTATTAAATTGTCAAACATTTCTGTTTAGTCTAATCATTTTATTCACTGAGTATACCTACCAAATAAAAATTACGTAAAATCTCTATAAATAGCTTAAATTTTATAAAAGTTTTACTACAACTAGAAAAATTAAATATACGTTTCTGTTAACATTTTACGTTTCTACAAATATTTTAAACTGAGTAACATAAAAAACAAAATTTAAAATAAAATAATTATTTTCGAAAATTGTCTCGTTCTATTTAAGTATTTTTTGTTTTTTCTCAATTATTAAAAAAACTACAAAGAAAATCAAAACACGATACTCTTGATAAAATAAATGAAAAAAAAATTTAACAAAAAAAACATCATATAAATATAATAAAAATAATGAAAACGGTCACGCCGTGACGTGCTGTACATATTTGTTGTTTTACCTATAATTTTCTTTCGGCTTTTTCTTAATTATTTCGATAACTCCCTGGAAAATCAAAAAAATGACAAGAACTAATGCACCAACTGTACACAATTTCCTTTCGGGAAAGGTGGTACGCCAGTACACTTAAAACATGAGAGCAAGATTCCTTTTCGAAAAATTGCTTATAGATATAAATAAAAACACGCAGTAAAACCAATAGATCCCTCACTACGTTCCAAATCTAAAATTGTTTTTTTTTATTCCGAAACACGTGAAAATATTTAAAAACATATAAGAGACATAAAATCGTCAGTAAAGCAGAGTTTGCGATTTTTTCGCGTCTACTTTTTATAATATTAATCGCGACCATAAAAGTACATAAACAATGAGCACCACATATATTTTAGCCGGTCGTTTCGTGCGAAGGTCACGTGACGTATTTTACATTGAGTCTGTGGTAATATACCGCAGCACGAACATAATATTTTGGAGGTTAGCGCGCAAACGCGGACCGACGACTCTCGCAATGCAACGTCCGGGTTTGACCTCCGACCGGAAGAAGTTTTCGCGGTTCGACCGGCGATCAATAAAACCGCCCACACAACGACCGCGTTATTTCTCTCTCTTTCTCTACCTCTACCCCTTTTTCATAACAGTGACGTCATAGTAGGTACGAGTTAATACAATGCCGTCGTCTCTTCTCCCTGGACCACCATGATGTACACCTACGCACAATTTACACACGCGAACCGAACTCAAAATCCCATATATTTTGCGAACCTGCACTCGACAGACGTCAAAATGCTTGAACGATCGATTCGATAACAGAAAACAGAACACCAGTAATATCAAAATGTACGCGTATCTTTAAAAAGAACCTGAATGCATAATACCGTAGGACGTAGGTATTTCATAAAGGAGATCATAACATGCGGCCTGTTTTTTGCACAAAAATGTGCTTTACAGAGTTCTCAACTGCCCCCGTAAAATGGTTCGATTCGGATAATTTTTTTTTTCTGAAAAAAAAAATACTTCTTATTAGGCGTATTTGATTTAAATTTAAAAAATTCCAATCGATATGATAAGAGTTTGAATGTCACCAAATTTGTATTATTATTTAACTTATTTTGTTTATGGTTTTTACTTATATATTACCAATACAAAATAACATGAATATAAATTCTTGTTATTTTTTGTCACCCTTATTTTTGGGGGTAAAACCACTACCTACTTTTGATTTCCAAATGGCAACCTATATTAAAAATTCTATGAATAGATGGAATATTAGTTAAAAGAAATGTTTGTGTTGAAATTTTTGATTTCTGTCGAACCGTTGACGAGATATTCCACTTTTAAATTTAGGTTGGAGAAGATGGTGCATTATTAACACGCCACGTGCCGTACCGACATACAAATGATACTCCAATACTCTCCCCTCCAACCGATGTAAAATAAAAACGGACAAGTATACGGCATTAATATTTCGGTATTTTAAATTTGTTTGTGTTTTGATTATGACACGGATTGACCATGTGAGCATTTAAATTAATTTTGTTTGTTCGTTCGTGTGTACAGAATATTAGACGTCAATGGGTCTCGAACAATATTGACCAATTCGCTCCTATTCCTAAATAGTTTCTATACGACGCACAACAATAGGCGCCCAGAGGGGATCAAAACGGAGCGTTTGCCCTCCCTTATCTTTTAATATGGCAATACATTTGTCATATTTAAATAATTTGTCTAGTTATTTTTATCGAATTGTAAATTGCATAAAGTATAAAATATAAAATCTCGCGCTCCCTCCCCTACCAAAAAAAAAATGTTTGCGGGCTCTAATGTGCACAACAAAAAACCAAAATAACAGTCCACACGGTGACTCGAATGCTCGCGGTATTCCTTTGAGCATAAACCAAATGCCAACAGTCGGTGCCTCGCCGTGTAACCCATTCGGCGAACGCTGACGAAGTGACGAATGGATTCGAACGCTCAGGCACATGTTCACACGATTGCACAACGGGTCGCACGCAAACATGCGTAAGCATTCATCGCGAATATGCTCTCGTGTGTACGCGCTTAATTCATGTGTTTCGTATAAAACTAGACCAAAATGTTATTTGAACTATAATCTATGTAAAAACGTCGAATCCGTTAATTAATAAATGTTCATGTTATTTTACCAACATATGGTTTTTAATATCATATTCCATAGAAACGTATCAGGTAGATTACAGTGTCACACTAATGACAAGGTATTAAAGAGTATAATAATAATCAAGCGACTATAATATATTGTATAATTTTGTTGAAATTCAGGGCCGTTTTCACCAACATAAACAATCTCGTTTATCTGATTTTCAAACTGAGTTTATGGCCGATAACAGATTTTATTATTGTTATTATTTATTATTAGATTATTATGATAGATCACAATTTTATTGGTAAGTTCTCTTATAAACTCCAAAAATCAAAGTTTATGTTGGTGAGAATGGTCCTCAAACGTTACACTGTTCATATTTTTACATGCTCTCCAGATGTTAATAAACACTATGTGGATTTGAAAACGGTAATGTGTTTCAAAAAAAAAAAAAAACAGCAGACATCGCAATATTTTAACAATAAGTGATAATATTGTTCCGTAAACAAAGTAGCTACAATGCATGTGTCTTATTCTGTTTTTCTACGTCCAAACAAAACAGTAGAATAACGTTACCATTATCACATGGTTGCCAGATTAAAATAATACTTTTTTAATATTATCGATATAATATAGGTAACATTTGTTATCTCTTTTTATCGTACAATGTATTCAAAATATATTTTTGTACTTCCAATAGTACCTACTCAGGATCTAATAGACCTAAAATAAAAATTATTTCATAAAATTAAAAGCATTTACTATGCTTTCACATTGTGGAATTTTTCATATATTTATGATACGAAATTACCATCAAGATGAAAAGTTCAATGTAACGAATATCTATCAAAAGATCTCGTAGTGGAAGCATAGTAATTTCTATTGTATTTTATTTGGTCATTTTTATTTTAGGCCTATTAAATACCGAGTAATATTAGAAGTAAGGTACCTACGAAAACACATTTTTGCAATATTTCCAGTGAGATGGACAGAGACAGCAAATATTACTGTGGCGCCCACGTAATATCTCCGATTATAAATAATAATTTGTCAGTGTAAAATATCCAGACGATGAAACGCGGCGTGTTTTAAAACCGTGTGTGCGTGCATAAGCAAAGCTCGGAAATCGATAAAAATTATTCTGAAACCCGTTAAGTAAATCGTAATAACAAATTATGTTTAATAGCATAATTTAAAATATCGTCAAAAATTATAAACCAAACAAGAGACTGCGAAAGATCTGCGCCATATTTGCGCAGTTTGAGATAGAATTACGCTTGTTGATTATTTACTCTAATCGCAAATAATATTACATTATTGTCGCAACAGGGACAGCGAAACTTAACATTTTGTTCCACAAGATATGTGTACTAACAAACTTTTGTTCCAAAAAAATGTTTATTATGCCGTCATGTATACATTTTACAATAATATGTATATTGCGTAAGGTTATACTCATATGTAGTCACTATATATAATAGTTATTAAAATATAAACATATTTTAACGGTCGTATGGTTTAAATTAGTGGTGTTAAATAGAGGTTTGCCTTTTGTCAAATCTAAAATGTATTAAAATATAATGGGCAATACCGGGTCTACCTGTTATAAATGTACAATTCTAGTGGCCCAATGACCGTATACTTTTTTTGAAAAAAAGTGTAATATTATGATTTATGACGTATTGACGTGGGTACCTATCGACAATTTCCTTTTTCTCATTAAACCGTCCATTCGTAATATCATTGATTCGCTTATTACACTATTCGGAAAGATATCTCAGCTATCTTGTATTATCCACTCTCCCAAATTTGGATGGAGCCGTGGCTCATCAGAAACATTGACGTTACGCTACGGCAACACTCTGTATATACAAACTACAAGACGCCCCGACGGTTTTTCCGTACGCCGCCGCCGAGCCGTATTGATCCCGTGGAACGACGACGACGCGGCTGAGTTACCCTCCGACAGACTTTCCGTGACAAAAGCGTGTCTCCCACTTGTTAATAATATTAATAATAATGATTGCCCTAAGCCGATATTAGACGGATCGTAGATGTCTGACTTCACGACACGAAAACAATCACCGTAAACGTTTCGCCGGCGTCGGTAACGGTGAACCCCAGCTCGTCCGGTCAAACGCCGACGTGGTATTATTATTATTATTATTATTTTTGTTTTTGTCGTGTTTTAAAACAAACATTACACGCGACAGTAGTGCAGCTACGAATTGCGTAATAAAATTATTTGGAATACTACTACACTTGCAATATAATATTATAAACGTATAACTTTTGATAACCAATAATATTATAATACGGTGACAATAATAATTGTGTACCGACTCCAAACATGTGGCCGACACGTACACAATGTGTTTTTTTGTTTACACTGCAGTCGGCTCGAAATTCGCGACAATACACACTTGTAATTTGTAAAACGTTAATGATAAAACCTACACGATCGTATTATATTCGATGTATCGTGTTATGCGAGACCGTACGGACTGCGGTAGATTTTAAACGATCGACAGGTTTTTGAGCGTATTGAATCCGTTCAATATCCTGTTGATGTCCGCCCGATTGCGTGTTAATGGGTGTTGACCATGGCTGATATTAATATTCTTTTTTTTCTCGATAATTAGAGTACAGCGACACGAGCCGTACAGTCTGAACGTGATACAAATCATCATTATAGCAATATAGCCGTCGCCGGCACCTCGGCCATTAATCGTGCACGTGGTGCAGATTCGGGCAAACTCGCCCGTTATATTAACGTGTGTCTGCGAAGTTCACGAATTTCACGCACGCGGTACAATACACGCATCCACGTCAAACCTGACCGAGGTTGACTGCTGTCCGTCTATAATTAGACGCGAGTCTATTTTCGCCGAGAGGGTCCCCCTGCAGGTCGCGCCAAGAATTCCGAGGGGAAAAAAATAAAACGAAACGAAAGACCGCCCCGTATATAAGTAGGTACACAACGCACCAGCGCGTACCGTTTATAAATGGAATCTCGGGGCGGAAAGCCAAAAATCTGGCGGTGACGTAACCCAACAAACAGCCAGACGACGTTTAGCCGGCGGGACGTCGTAAATGAACGGCCGTAAACATATCATAACTTGCGTATACATTGTATAATAATAAATAAATGTGTTTTTTAAACCGGGCGTGTATGCTTTTGGTATACCAATATTATAGAAACGTTATAGCCACAACTAGGGTCAAAATGTAGACTGAAAATTTACGGTATTTTATTAATAACGTTTTAGATTCTGAGCGTAGCGAGGAATGTCCTGGTTGTACTATGATGTTTTATTTGTTTAAATTTTATTTGGATTTAACTCAAAAAGTGCAGACAATTTTTCGGTCTTCTGTAAAAATGTTCGACGATTTGACCTAAGATTCATAAGTGGTTCTTATGGCACCGGTGTGCACTGACGGCGTGATGGCCAATTTAGGCGGGCGTAGGTATGTGTGGCACCTCATAAAATTATTTGATGAATTCGTTAACGAAAATGATGAAGTACAAGACCGTCAAATACAATAGCCCATTAGTTACAGTTCCTGATTCTTCTGGGTTTGGGTTGTATCAGATTTTTTTTTTCACTTTAACTGAAACATAGGAAAAAGAAACTCACGCCACCACTTTATGGCACTATGAAAATATCGAAAATCTGTGTTCGCGATCGTCTTTTTATAAGCGTTGAAAGTACAAATTTTGATGAAAATCGCAAAAATCACGGTATTTCGCGTTCCATTTTTAGATTTGTAGATCACGCTTTTTTGGCTCTATAAAAAATTTTTAAAATCTGAGACAAACAAACACTGAAACTTTTTCGTTTATTTTGTAGTTAGGTAGAAATTAATAACATTTTTAATATAAGTTTATCATATCACGATCAACCAATAATTAAACTTCGCTCAGAATCGTCTTTCGTTTTGGGCAATCGTTGCGCAAAAATTATCCTGTATATAACCTTCCTAAATCACCTACAACAGTGGCTTACCCGTATACATATTTACTAATGTTTGTTCGTATACAATATAACTATCTATACTCTATAGGAACAGATCAAAGAGTACGATAAGTAACTATTGAATCATTATATTCGGCTGTAAAATATTGAAAACCATGTTAACATATTTTTATTTATTTGTTTGCCATCAGACGAATTACTCTAAACAATTTCCCGTCATCGACGAAAACCGTACAATCACGCCTCGCGCGCATTCTGCAATTTACATCGACTGCAATTTCCTAGTGGTGTAAATCGTTCAATCGTAAAGTACGCCGCGGCACACACTGGCGTGCGAAACGTTAAAGCAATTAATGTTTGTGCGCAGAACACGTTGTTAAATACGGACGACGTTCCGATCAACGGAATACGTTTGTGGCGCGCGCGGACAATGGTGCACGACTTTAGAGTCTTTGTGTTCCCTACTACTTTTTAAGGAGCGGGTTAACGAAACGTGTAAACATCAACAATTTGTAATCCGCCCGGCGAATGAAAATTCGGAAAATTTACGTGTTCTGAGTAAATTGAGCGTCCGCAAATTCCAATGACAGACCGATGGGCCCAAAAGAAATTATAGTGTAATATTATAATTATTGGTCAGCACCGTCCGTTTTAATAGCGACACAAAAGTCGTAACACACAGTGTTATTCATAATAATAATATCATGTGTATTGTTGTATATTATGTATTTTACTTCGAAAAATTGTATAAATAACCGATTTGATGAAAACATTATCGCGGTCGGAATAATAGCTTTTAAAAGTAAGTGATCAAGTAAATCGAGAACGTTTGTTGGTAATATCACGAACAATATCAAACGAAAACAAAATTAATTTGCGTACAATATTTCGTCATCCAAAAAATATTACTGTCTCGATTCTACGCGTTTGTTAAACCCAGCGATGGGCGGTTTTAATATAAACACAACAAATCGAACGTTTACGAGTCGCAGTGCGTTTTTAAATATTCAGGTATACCTTGTAAAACAAGGTCGTTACAGAAAAAAAAAAAACATTGTCAATACTGAAATATGGCACGTAAAAAATATAATGGCTTATTATAATTATTGATGGTATACGCGCGTTCGGCGATGACACGTTATGACAACGTAAAAAGCGCGGTAATTGCCGCCCGAGAGACAAATGACGAATACGAATATTCCTAGGACGAGTATAAGAAAAATACATCAGAGTTATGTGATAATAAAAAGTATTGTAATAATTACGGAATTGGATTGACCTTTAGAAATCGTATAAAACGTTTATTTCGAAAACTCAATTTCCTTGCATTTTTTGTAACCAATCGGTTTTGATTCTAGCCTATTCAAATAAGTACTCCGGTAGCATACTACGGTGCTGCTCTGCGCGAAATACGGACGATTCAGATTATGAATATAACATAGAATGTTCGAACGGGACGAAAATCATTTGAAATATTATAATATAAAGGCCGGACGTGCTAGTATTACGGATGAACAGTGGGTGGTTCATATGTGGAAAGTGTGAAAGGTTTATACCTATGTTATTATATTACTATATCATCGTAAAATAATTTGATTTATACGCCGAAAGTAAAGATAAACTTTCCGAATCAAAAAGAGAATCTGGGCGGTGTACCTATACTATAGCATTGATCTTGTTTTTATTCCCATTGTAGCCAAGGTATCCCGCCAGAAATCAACGAGATAAACTCGACGTATTAAATTATCGTGTGATCGGTTTTTTAAATTGTATAAAAAAAAAAAAAAAACCGTTTGAAATATCATTTATTTCAAATTAAAAACACGTGAAGAATTCCGCATCTTTTTAACGTACGGTGTGCACAAAATCGGAATGTTTGTCGAAAAAACTTCATTCGAGAAAGCAGAAAACGTGTAATGGCTTATTTACGTTACACGCAGAATTTAAAATGATTATTCGTAACGCGGTACGCGGAGGATAAGAGGATAAATAAAATACCGGTTATACGGTTTAAACGTATTCCGATTACGTATATGTACGGTGCCTACGTATAATACCGTATGTATAGAAAGGCGGCAGCAACAGACCCGAAAGGGACCGCCGCAGCCGTCTGCACGCCATCCGGCGGCGACCCTTCGTAATACGCACAATACACAATAGTCGGAACAGTAGGAGCGGCGATCAATACAATGTACCCCTTCCCTCCTTACCTTCCCACCGCGGCAAGAGATTTAAAATACCTCTCTCGTTCGGGCCGCGTTCGTTATATATACACTATAATACGGCATCTCTCATAATATGTATACGAGTACCCGTCGTTATTAGTCATACCATCGATTTTATATTATAAAATCAATGGTTATATGTTATAAAGTTTAGCCATAATATTATCGTATGCGAAATTTAAGCGATGACGTCATGATACGACAACATCGCGGCGAGTCTGTCGTCGGCGCGGAACACCCCGCCCGTATATTATTAACATTCTGCACAACGGTCTTGGCAACCCGTACACCAAAAAATCGGTCGGTTTCGATGGTGACCAGCCGTCGTTCGTGAACAACCGACACGAAACATTCGGCGACCGTACTCCGGTAACGACGACGGCGCAGCACTACTGTTGCGCCGAGAAAATCTCGTCGAAAACCCACTCGTTGAAAATCGCCGTCTCGGCGTGAGCAATTGAAAATTGTTAGGTGGGGGTCGGTACCGCCGACACGCACTACACACATACCTTGGGACTTTCATCGATCCGGCCCCGAAGGACCACGCGCAAGAGTAAACGATATCCATTGTGCGTGAAGCGCGCACGTCAGGACGTATTTTGGACGGAACCCAATCTCGGGCACGCAGTGCACGTGGACGATTATTATTGTTTTATCTTATGAAAACGCTGGTCTCACTCTAGTGAGCGCGGTAAAGACTACTCAGAAACTAGTATATAACAAGAAATTGAATAGGTATATCCATAAAATAATAATTAATATTATCACATGTGTTTAGAGAAAACGGTAGTTTTTATTTGACGTGGTTATAACCGTGTATTATACCACTGGTAATAAATTATACATAATGTTCTTCGATTACCGAATTGGGTCTTTACAGATAAAAAAGAAAACATAATTTAATGGGAAAATGCGAAAGGGCGAGAAACCACAAAATCTGGTACGATAGGTTTTTCTTTTCCACAAAACGTACATGTATGAGATGCATACAAGCGAGATTGTGAGTTCCTTTACAGACATCTCAATTTGAAAAACAAAAACGTCAAACGTAGTTTTTTCAAAACATCACTACCAGCCTTAATATTATAACTACAATATAGGTACATAATTAATTAATGCTACAAAACACAGTAATATACATTTTGTGCATCTAAAATATTGATATAATAATATTTATATAATATATGTAATAATAATCGTATATATTTATATATATACATACACACTGACAATTATACATATTCGCTTTTGACTAGCACAGTCTATTAGGACCGTTTTCCTTAATTATTATCAAATTTTTTTTTATTTTTTTTTTTTTTAAATTACAAATTCTAAATACATACACGACCTGAGTCAGTCTTGACGACAAAAAGATTGCCTCCTTTTGTTTTCTTTCAGTTATGATAATAATATATTTGGTCGGTTAGTCAACAACAATGGACACCGACCGTGTTTCAAAGAAAAACGAAAGATAAACAAGAACGTAACAAGGCTACAAATTATTCTAAATTTTGCCTAAAAATAAAGGACTGCCCCTACGGGCATACAATACCGTTAATAATAACTATTGGCATTTTAACATAAAAACGAAAAAAAGATTTATATATAAATATATATACAAACACATACACAGAAACTTAGTAAATAAATGCATATTTTTTACAATTGGGCCTTGATCCTTCCAGGCCTAGTGTCTGATAATCTGATAGGATCCGTAGGTGGCGTTTCATATGTGTATTTTTATATGCAAAACAATTATATTATTAAATATAATATAACTAATATATATTTTATAATATTTATGAGTCTCGTTCTTTTTTCACTTTAAATTCTTCGCCCAGTATGGTGGCTATTTCACCTTGCATGAAGGCCCAGGGCACGTTAGAATTGGCCAGTGGGCATTTCTCACTACTCGGACAGTAGACCTAAGAAAATAATAAAAACGTGTTAAAAACAAATATAGAGGGCTGAAGAAAGGGAGAGAATAAATTTTATCAGATGAACTCACTTCAGAACCGGCTCCTTGCCGTTTGATACTATCCCTCGAGCACGGAAAACAAAACTTATGGTGAGGAACGGACGGGCACTGAACAAAGTGCGTGTCTTCCAATCGCTCTTGGCACAATGTGCACTTGAGTGTGGCCGTGTTGGTGGCGACTGCGGTCGCTGACGCATTTGTCAACGGCATGGGTGGTGGGACAAGCGGTACAGTAGGTGCACCAGCATCCATAGGAGTACCCGGAACCCCGTCGGGGCCGTTACTACCACCGGCAGGGGCGGATGTTGCGTTTAACGGGCCTCCTCCTGCGCTGGTACCATTGGCAGTGGGCCCTCCACCACCAGGACCGTTACCTCCAGAGGCACCGCCGGGTGCACCAGGTCCGGCGGCACCTCCACCGCCGTTGGCCTCGCTCGAAGTCACTGTTGTGGAACTGACGTGACGGCTGCCTGATGATCTACGTCCGCTGGACGAACCGCCTACAAAACGCGACTTGTTAAAAAAAAAAAAACAACAGCAAATCAACAAATCTACTTCAAGCAAAAATGTAGGTAGTTAAAAAAATAATAGGACGGCATGCGTGGCTATTATAATAATATTTGAATTTTAAAAAAATAAGATACGAAACGAGTTAAGTTTGGCGTTTGGCCCGTCGAATGCACCACAAAATTAAAAAATAAAAAACAATTTTACAACTTTGGAAATAAATAGCATAATTATAATTTATAAGCCTACGAGAATAAAGTAAAAATAATTTTATAATTTCAACCGACACGGCGTTAATATTTCGACTAATAGAAAAATATTACCTACTGGCCACTCACTAATCGATGTTATTATATTATTCGGATAGGGACACGCTCATATCAAATAATAAAAAAAAAAAAAAAAAAAAAAATCTCCATCACTTTTTCTTTTTTACAGTATTTAAGAGATAAAAGAAATAAATTATTATTGAACAGTTGTTATAAAATTTTTTAAAACTATTTTCGAGTTATTCAATAATGAAATCCGGCGACATATTAATATTATTGTTTATTCGGTTTTGTAATCAATAAACCACACATTCTATATTGATTAATAATCCTTACGTGCTCTGAACGTAATCGTTGGAATGTCGCGTAGACGAAAATTAGTCTACAGATACAATCTATCTTTCGCTCGGCCGATCGTATTTATATATTTTTTTATAAACGGGAAGTGAAATAACCTGTTCAAATTCCGACGAATTTTGTTCGAAACGTACTAGGTTTTTGGTTATCTTATATTATATTTGCGTCGATACCGCTCAGGTTCCGTAACAACAGACGACGGGCTATTGAGACATTATGCGGTCGTTAGTACGAGCAGTTAAACAAATAATACAGTTTTAATTGGATTAACAGAATTTCCAAACAATATTGTGCTGACGGCGATGGCGCCGATAAGATACGGTATTATTTTCGACTTTATCATAATATTATATACTTCGATAATAATACTTGAACTATGTGCGTGCGTGACGATAATCATACCGGAAAGCTATCGATCTATAAATACGAGTAATCTAACAAACTGTCACATGCACAGATTGATAATACGAGCTTAGTGCACATGTGAGAGAGATGTACAAGCGCACTTATCTGACCCGGACGCCCCTATTAGCCCACTTAATGCGCGTTTTTTTTTTATCAATACAATAAAAATATAATAATAATAAAAGTGATAGAGATAACACTTTAAACTACTATAATAGTAAAATAAAAGCAGGCAGTAGGTACTACAACACTAAAAGAATAATCTAGTACTTATACAGTTTGCGTCTAATAGGCGGGCGGATGAAAGGGGGCATAACAACAAAACAATACAATATAGTAGGATTAAAATGCGAATGATGACGGTTTTTTGAAGATGTCGTAGATTTTCGACTTAAAAGGATCTCGTGGAGATTTATAAATAATACATGACGAGGGAGACTCGCCGTCCCTTTCGAATGCGGAGGGGTTGGGGAGGACGACGGCAACGATTAATATCGTGTCGTGTGCGTGTAAAATACATACCAGTGGAGTTTGGCGAGTGTTGAGATCCTCGGGACGCGGACCTGGGGCCGCCGGGCGCTTGGGCATTAGGACCGGTCGAGCCAGGCGGACTGCCGCGGGCGCTTTGCGGTGACCCGGGCGGCAGGTTATCGGCGACGCTCATCAGCGCCGCCATCGGGTTGTTGGGCCCGTTCTGTTGGTTCTGCCCACCCGGCTGGCCACCGCTGGCGCCACCCATTGTCTGCATTGACGGTGGACCGTCCGTCGGCGACCCGGTTGTCCGGCCGGCGGCCAGTGGCGATCCGGCCGCCGGTCCGTTGCCATTGGTCATGCACTGTTGTGCCGCGGCGGTTGATGCGTATCCACCTGGCGCACACAAGGGGGCGATCAGTAAAAAACAAAAAAGAAAATGAAAAAAAAAAAACAGGCCACGTGTTAAAAAGCATTCAACTCAAAGCGTTCAATATAGTACCAAAAACAAAACAACCCGCATAGTAGTTATCTACTACTAACTCAGTATTCTTTTGAAAGAAAAAAAGATTAAGTACTAACTATCTAGTTTCTCAGAGATATTATCATTATTGTATATTATTAGTTTTACGCGTAACAGACATTGTGCTGTCCATAAAATCCGTTATCTAACTGTATATTACTGTTATTTAATTTTTGGCTCGGGTTGGCATATATTTTGCTTTAACCGCCGTTTTTCGCCCACGTGTTATTTCGCTTTTAATAGGTCATTGCCGGTTACCACCCCTACCGGTACATAGGAATGCATGTGTCACGGGCGGGTGGAATAAAACGAAACGCACACGAAAATGCACTGCAGGCCGCCGCCCGCATACAATCAATCACCGATGAAGGCGGCACGATGACGACGGGGAGGAAGACCGAATATCTACCGATGAGCGATAGTTGTACGGTATGTTTTGCGCACGCGTACCGTATCGCCGTGTACATGCGTGACGTCATAGACGAGCGTATAACAATATATTGACGTTGCCAAATCTATCGACGACAGCCCGCCCACGATATACGGCGCGTAACAGAAAAACAAAATAACAACAATAAAAACGTATTGGATTTTGGTATCAAGAGGGAGGCGAATTACCGTGACAACCGTGTCCACGGTGAAAATATTAAGCGCGTCTAAAGAATTTTGTGGCCTGCCGGTTGAACCAGGTCGGGGAACCGGATTCTATGACGTCACGGTCCATTCGTCGCAGGCAAGCCGGCGTACTATTATAATATTATCGACGGTATATTTGTGTGTATGTGTTGTGTTATCGTCGAACCAACTACGCCATGCTCCTACCACACCGTAATATAGCAGATAATAATGAATCCATTCGTCGCCTTAATAGAAGAAATAAAAAACTACCGCCATTTACTACACTGGTAAATGGTAAGCACGATGTAGTTCATTTAAATGTAAGTAATTGAATATTATCCGATATATATTGATAAATTGATGCCAACCAAGGAAAAAAAAAATTTAAAAAAAACATGGTCCTAATACGCGTAAACAATAACAACAATAATAATGTTAGGAGCGCATAGTGAAAAAAGCGAAGAACTTGTAACGGTGTTATTAATGGAAAAGAACTACGTACTATCTACGAGCTATATATTGCACTTACCGGTCGTCTTGAAGTTGGACGTATCGAACGACGCTGTCCTGATTGGCTGATGTTTTGGTTCTGCTTTGAACGTCCTTTCGACAAACGGCACGGTGAGACTGACGGCTGGTAGTGAATCGCCTCTCTGTAACGGCGGTCTCTGTTGCTGTTCCTCCATCATGCGTTTGTTGCTCTCCCCATGATGGTCGTCGTCATCGCCCTGCGCACTCAGCCCGCGTTTAAGCCCCTGGCTGCCGGTTTGGGCCCTGCTCGGAATGTGATGGGTCATGTGCTGCTGTTGGCTTTGTGGTAAACGCACTGACGTCCGACTCATGGCCACATCATGGTCGCCGGCATGGCTACCACCACCGGGCCGACCGGGATATTCCATGAGCGTAGGCCGATGGTGTAAAGCTGCGTAGTGGCTAGTGACCGCGGTCGGTGGCGGCGGCGGCGGGGGTTGTTGCGTCTGTCGCGCGGTCAACTGGTGCGCTTGTGGTGGCAGACCCACTACCTCTAATGTGCCATTTTCATGCCGGTGTGAGTTCTTCGGGTGGTGTGAGTTGGCGGCCGATGATCCACTACTGGCCGTTGGTCGCGCCGTCTCCTGAAATCCGTGGGCCCTTTTCATCTGCCTGGCCGTTTCTATTACCAACTCGATGCGGTCGGCGCCTTCATAGTTTACGCACCCACGGCACACGGGTTCGGTAAAATCGTGCAACATGGCCCATGGCATGCGGGGCAAGTCACACAGGTAACAATGTTGTCGCTTACTCATTTGCATGTTGTTGAGACGAAAATACACGCGCGTGTTAGAAAAATTATTTACACGTAAAACAACGCACTGAATCCGAATAAGTTCAATTGATTTTCGTGAAAAGTCACTCGAAAATAATCCATGAATAAAAAAAAAATTATATAAAAAAAATCGGAAAAAACGAGCGCGTATACGAAGACACGTACGAACAGAAACTAAACCAGAAGACCGTAATACACAGCAAACGCGATGAGCAGCCGCAAACGTAGTGACTAGCGAGTAGTGACCATAGATATGGAGTAGTGACGTCGATGTCGGTAGGTGGTGATCGGAGCGGGGCGACCCGACAAACGACGAGTTAGGCGGGAACGGTAGTGGTGGTAGTGACGGTAAAATGCGCGTGCGCCCGCTGAATAGCCAGCCGCCGAGCCACGATAGTGTGCGTGTAGTCGTCTTACGGGCTGCAGCGTTGCCAACCTCGGGTACCGGCCAATGAACACCTTCTGGAGTTCGTGCGTGACGTATTCCCCGAGAACCCGTACGTGACCCTCCAGTACGTACGCACGAACACACACCGTCGCCGTAATCGTCGTATATTATTTTTATCATTGATCCGAGAAACCCACCCCGCCCTCCTCACGACACTACTCTTCCGCGTGGTGTATGATTCATCCGGGGGGCGCGGCGAGGACACGGCGGTGCGGCGTGTTGTTAAGGCCTACGGCGGTGATAGTGGCGGTCTGGTCCGGGAGGGGCAGGGGAGCAATACGTCACACGCGATAAAGACAAACCGCTTCACCGTGCCATGGCTATCGGTGATATGCGCGCGCAAAGCAACGGTGAACAAAATGCGCACACACGCGACACGCGGGCGGCGCGGCGGCCACGTATTCCTACTATTGTAACGCACGCGGTGTGGGCGTCAGATGGTTAATAAAAATATCGTAACATCTCGTCGTTAAATTATTGGTCAACAAACGGCTGTTATGGTACGAAAAACAAACAGCAAAAAAATACCGATAACGTCGACGCCGACATAATCTTTTCTGGATTATCCCGAGCGTGGAGAATCAAGACTATTTTGTCCCAGACCCCAAATATCAGGGCCCGCAGCTTTTCACAAAGTTTAATATTATTTAATTGTTTTCATAATAAACGAACAGAATTATTATTGAAACAGTAAACAAGTATCAATGATATTATATTATAATTTTTGTTCTTATTTCATCTTTACATACATATCATTTGTATGGTATTTTACATGGGTAGTACACCACGAGACCGACAACGTGTACAAATATATTTTCCCACGATCGTTTGTACATACCACCCGCGATGGCGCGCATTTTTCGAGAAATTCCCGCGCACACGAGGTTACCGTAACACCGTCTCTCCTCACCCTTTGGGACAAAAAAGGGAAAACGTGTCGAAATTCTATTATTAGGTATGCCGTCTCGGTTTCCGGATACAATATTGTACGAATAGGTAGCATATAACATGAACCCGGTAACAACAATGGATAATATTGTTTACCGCAGCTCGGAATAGGATACCGTACCGACGGCGACGACCACCCTCCCTGAGAGAACCGTAAAATAAAAATATACCCTACTCCCCCTTCCACATTTGTTTATTATATGAATAACCGGGGATGCTGAACAACAATGTCAAGGTCACCTTTTCCCTCGCACCCGAAACACAACAAACAACAAACCCTCGCTCGCTGCGTTCGTGAGAGAATCCCAAACACATTGTTTGCTGCCGTTCCCGTACACGCCCGTTTTGTATTCACCTGCTGCGGTATTCAGTACGAGGTCGAAACCGGTTTTGTGATCTTCGTCTACGTTTTTTTTTTTTCAAAGTTCTCCTTTTCACAATATAGTTATTATCTCACAGTAAACCCTGTTGCTGCTAAAGGTATTACTCTTTTGTTACGATAAAGAACAAGATTTTGAAAAAAAAAAAACAACCCAACATCAAAAGACCTCGGCCGGTTATCAGAGTATATTTTAGAAAGCTGTATAGACCGGTTTGTTCACCATTTCAAAAATGTTTATTGCACTGTCAATTAATATTATTATAGGTTCTGTGATGGCATTTTCTGTAGACCATAGAAATTTTGTACGTTTCGTTTCATTACTTATTTATTATGCTAAAAACACTAATTTTGCCTTGTATGTTCTACGAATATATCAAACTAAGAATAGAAATTTAATTCGAGTAGATAATATTATTAAATGATAATTCGCAGGATAATTATAAGGAATTAAATGTATACATTACCGATGCATCGTCCTTGAACATTAACAGAACGCTTGCATTTTTCATTTACGTGTTTATAATAATGCTTTAATTAATGTTAATCAATCCATAGTCCATATATAGACGTAATATTTTAAATTTCAGTACTATACAAAATAATACTTTTCTTTTATCAACACAATAATACTACGCGTCGGTCTCACAAATGGACAACCGATGTAAAAAACTCGTTAAAGAATAATCTTTTCAATTGATTTGGGCTTTTAGATAATAACTTAAGGTATCAATTTTTATGGTAAGACGATCTAACTACGTCACGTCAGTTTTCCATCTGATAATATATTTTCTAGTCGACGATAATTTTGGTATACCGTTGTAGCATTTGACATTTGGGAAAAAACGCAAAAACACGTTTAGGGAAATCGAAAAAGAAAAAACAATAAGCCAAAAATTTATAAATGAATTCCCCGCTGCACCCATCGTACAACCATGTGTTCTATAGGTACGTGGTAAACAGCGTCGGTGCCGACCGATGTTTTTTTAACACACGCTGACATACGCCGCCGCGGCACAATACCGACGACATTGACACGGGCGTGATGAAGACGTCACAGACACCACACCGTGTACACGGTCGACCGTCAAATTTCCGGGTCAATCAACTCTTGTCTTATTCTACGGCGGCGGCGGTGATGGCGATCACGTATGCACGCGCGGCTGCACCGGGACGGGATCGGACACATTTTTCGTGCGTTCGCATAGCGGTCCGTTGTTACGCGGTAATGCGCAAACTGAATGTCACTATACCGAAGAGAAAATGGTGAAAAAAAATAAAATGCGCGTAATAAAAATATAGGTACCTATACGTATAAAAAGAAATTCAAACGCGTTTTTTTTTCACTATTTGTTAGAGATCGCGAAAAAAGCCACAAGTGACTGATAAATCGTTTGTCGAATGTATTTTTCATTCATTCCTCGCGGTCTCGAGGCTTTCACCGGTCGGATCGTGACCGATGTGGCGATGCGATGCGCGTAGTCAACCAACAAGCCCGCCGTTATGTGTACAACGAAAACACGTTTATCACGGCAACATTACAACGCGTAAATAATAACGATATCATTTTTATACATTAGGTATACGTTATTATTATTATAATACCGACCGGGCGTAGAAGAGAGAGTTCGTCGACCCGACCCCGTACGTACGAGTGTACGATGACGGGACGACGGCGGCGCGCGCCGAGTAAACGGTTGCGGCTGCGACGCGAGGGAACGCGGAGCGTCCGCGGCTGTGTGACGTCACGTTCTACATTCACACGGGAACGGAAAGAAAGTTCTTAGTTACGTTATTACGATTTACGAGCGTTGTTGTAGGTCAAATGGTGGTGGCCGTCGTCGTCGTCGCCGTCGCTGCTGCCGCCGCCGCCGCCGCCGCCGAAGTCTACTTCTCCGCTCATTCCTATTATAAGACTTCTCTTCGTCACCCTCCGTTCCGGCGACGGTGAATAAGACCGAACCCGTTAACGTCCCCCTCACTTCACCTATCACGAGCGTGTTTACACGCATGCAATGCCGTATCTGAAAAGGGAGGGGTGTGGGGGTTCTAACCCCTCCCATACCAAAAATTTGTCCACAAGTATTATTTATTATTTTCAAGATTTCAAGATGAATGTTGATTCAATTTGAAACACCTGAAAATTTGATTAAGCTATGACCTTGGATGCATGTGTTCGAAATATGACGTACATAATATCGTTTAGCTCAGTGTCAACCGACCAAACAAATTAATAATCAATAATTTATGTATGTAGTGAAAAAGAAATGGATTTATCGCTTTCTTGTGCGTACAATACATGCAAACTGCCTCTCTATTGTAATCCTCGGAATTGCACAGAATTTCTGATGTTGCTCTAACTATATTCAATTAAAGAATTTTTACTAGGACCCAAAAAAATACATACAAATTGATTAATATAATCGATATCTTTATGTTATGGACAAATTATAGAAAAACTGACGCACGATCAATTGTCAATATGATTTTAAATTTAAACTGTTTTGTTATATCCGATCCCCAAAATTCGCAAGAGAACAATAATTTTTATCATATAAATGAAAATACTGATGGGCATTTAGTGTAAACTAAATAAACTGACACCAAAACAGCTAATATTTTTAAAAATATATGATTGATATCTATATTACGATTTCATTAAAATAGGTTATACCTATTGGGTTCTACTTTGGTATTTTATACGAAAAACAAAATAAAATTGCTTAGTGTTTATCAATATAATAAACCTATAAAAAGTAGATTTATTATAAAATGTTACATAGCGTGTATTTTTTTTCTTTTTCATGAATCGTTGAACATAATATTATACAAAATCCGATTTTGTCCAGATGAACTAATATTTTTGACATTTTTACGATTTTCATTGTGTTTGAGAACTAATAAAAATATATATTTAGAAATTAAATGTAATTATGTTTTATTATTTTAGTTGTTTTCATAATATTTCGTAAAATAGCTAAATATACATGGTCATCTTACACGATAAACACGGGCAACCACAAGGGGGGGAAGGTAAGCGGGACATCTGGCCCCCATGCACTTTCAAATATAACTTTATTTTTAAGTATTTTTTGGTGTTCGATTTTATTATACCCCTCCCTGATGAATTTCCTGTATAACGCCCATGACGACAAATATATAAATATTATAAATACAAAATTTGAATCGGGAAAAAATAAATATAATAATATATCTTCAGTCCCTGGGAAGAAGGGCTGAAGTTATTTTTGTATATATTTCAATACAAATTGTTTCTTGGTATTATTTGTGTTATTAAAATAAGACGGACAAACTTCGCACGATGGGTGGGCCACTGTTGTAGGTGAGAAGTTGGGAAGATAGAGGGGAAATATCTGTATGCAACGATTAACCATTGCAAAGGAAAAACAATTCTGAGTGGAATTCGGTTAATAATGTTGCTTTTTTAATAATATATATATGTCATGGTAAAATAATTATATTATAATATTATATATTATCGTAAAATTCCCCGTTAAATTAAAATGTCTATAAGTAGCTCAAAAATGGCTACATGTTTTCAAATTTGATCACGTCTAGATAAAGCAAATATAAATTTTTTTTCAAAACTTCAAGTCTACAAATATTTTTTAACTGAATAAAAACAAAATAAAAAATTTAAAATATAATACATTTCTTAAATTTTCCTGTTTTTTCTACGATTTTCCCATGTTTTTTTTTCCATTTACTGGGAAAACTGGAAAAATTGAAAAATTATAAAAAGGACCACTTTAAAGTACCACCTCAGTCAGATTTCCTTTCAGAAAAAATGCTACATTTGAAAATCGGAGTAAAATTACTAGTAGAAAAGTTGTCCACAGAAAAAAAAATAAACATCATTGTACTTTCAATACGCTCCCTTCGCGTAACCCCACATTATCCTTCCGCTCAGAATCTAAAACTTCGTTTTTTTTTTTTATTCCTTCCGATATGAAAAAAAAGTTATTTTATGACACGGATAAATTCTTTTTGAAATTGTTTAACTATTAACTTAGTTCAGGTTAATTAAATCGAATTATTGTTTATATTTGTCTATTTTAATTTTTATGTCGTGAACGTAAAGATGAATTTATTCAGTAGTGTATTTTAGGGGGAGCTATAAGACGCATCGCTTCCCCTAAAAGCTTTTTATACATAAATAAATAATTAAAAAGATTAAATTTTTAACAAATTTTCAACCAGAAATCATGGTCCTAGGTCCATTATCAAAACCAGGAGCGGTTTTCGGCATTCTCTATATTTTTTTTAAAATCAGAACGTAAGGGGAGGGGGGGGGGTCCAGACCCCTGATAACTCAGGTACAACATAAGTGTTTAATATATATTTATATATTTTCGATTTCGTGTTTTTGGTTGGAATTCATATGAAAATAATAGAAACATTAAAATTAATAATACAAAATAAGCTCAAAATGGAATATAATATTTCAGTCTATAATAGGTAGATACCTACTACATATTAATTTGTTTAATAAGTTGGATTAACAACTCTCGAGTTTGACTGTCTTGGTTTTGATAATATATATTTCTATTCGTTACCATTATTATAGCATAAAGTTTATCTGGTTCATCAACAACTCTACAAAAATAATGCGTGTGTGTAGTATGTACTTACTATGTTGCGTACTATCAAAAACTGATAAGAAGCAATATTATAATGTTAGTTTTAATTTGATCTAATTTAGTCGACATACACAAATATTATAATTAAATATTCGATATATTATATTATTGACGAAATACTAACCTAATTTATTTATTTTATCATATATTATTTCTTAATCAAAATTTACCGACTGTCTAATGTTATCAAGAAATAAATGATTAAAAGTCACTTTGTTTGTATAAAATGTGTGCATAACAAAATTATTGGATCATTATTTCATTAAACTATCAATAGCACCCATAAATCGGATAAACTGCAATTCATTAATTTCATATAAACGTCTTCATATATTTATCAATTATTACTTTGAGGACTGTGGGGTTAAAAAGTTTTAAATTAATAACACTTGAGTGATTGGTTTTTATTCAATCGGTATAAATAATCATGTGAAATTATATACATATATAGTAATAAAATTACAAATTATCATATCCACAAAATACGACTAGATAAAACACTTGACCCATCCACCCACCAGTATGTAGATAAAAAAACCCAAAAGTAAAATAAATTTAGCTGATTTGATTCGCCTTTTAATGCATTACCAACTTGTGCAAAAATATTTTGCAAGTTTACTCATTTCCAATTTCTATCTACTGAAGCGAAAATTGACTTATTGTTTCAATAAATTAATATTTTATTTTTAACTTATCTAACTTTCGTTAGTTAATAAATTATGTCGTCACTGACTCGTAAATTATATAATGTCGAACTCGAATAAACGCAAATCTAACCGACATCGACAAATGGTATGCGGTTATAAAATATGTAATATATTTATTATTCATAAAAATAACATACAGATGTTTTATTCTTGATTATAACTTCGGTATTACGTATCTACAATATTATTGTAGAGAACGGTATTACGCGTTATAGATATGCACACTTGTGTCCTAGATTATAATATACATTACCTAGTATATATATACATATACATTTATTAAATATATGTTAAAAAAAAATTATTATCCATCAAAAATACCGGTAAGTACTTGAAAATCAAACTGTCGAATAGGTATCAAAATAATGAAAAAAAAAAAAAAAAAACATAATAACGATTATGTGAATGTGTAAGAATAAGTAAAATAACTTGTAAAGATTCATAAAACTAGTAATGTAAGTAATTAACTCGTAAGTAAGTACAATGAAAAGTTATACATATTATAGGTAAACAAGTTAACCTATAGTTTGATAACCTATACAAAAATTAGTAAATTCGTAATGATAATATTATTAACATTCGGAATGACAAGCCCGTCAATCTATTGAAATTTTACCGTTTACTATCTGACCCATCGGATTAGTGATGTAGTAAACTCTAAATTACTTAGAGCCGAGAAGTAAGTATCACATTTCGTATACTCGCCACCCATTGATCATCAAATCGACGGCCCAAGCACCACCCTTACAAATAAGTCTTTGCCACGCCACTGATATGGGCACAATATTTTCCAAAAAATTGGGATTCATCGTAGAAGACTCGCATAAGTTGTATAAATGTGTATAATATTTTAGCACCATGCTACCATGTGTGTTAATTCAGTAGATATTTATTATGATTTATGATATTGTATATTATAAAAATATATATACATAATATATATTATTCATATTATAATCCTATCAATAAAATAAGCGCAATTTATAATATATAATATACTAAAAATTGTTCTACATTTTATATAATAGGAAAAAAATTAAACCGTATTAAATCGTTCTAAATTGATAAATTATGTTCTGAATAATGATCAATAGATTAATTTTACTATTATGTATGCTTTTTTTAAAAAATGTATTTTCTTTTTTCTGTCTGTAAACAATTTTTCGAAAATAAATATTGCTATGCAAAGAGTATAGTACCTTTTGCGAAAGTAAATTTTTTCTAGTTAGTACACTAGAGATATCATTTTACGATCTTTTAAGAGGTTTTAGAAATAATTGAGAAAACCAGAAAGAAAATTATAGTTAAAACGGCAAATATTTATGGAGCATCTCGGCATTATATTATTTTTTCTACCAAAAAAACCAAAAAAAAAACCGAGAATATTTACGAAAATAATATTTTTATTATTTTAAGTTTTGTTTTTTGTTGTATTTCAGTTAAAAATAATAAGTAAAATAAAATAAAAATAATCGTAGAGACGTGCTGTAGGTAGTCTGTGAATAAAATTAGTTTGTTAGACTAAACAGAAATTCTTAAAATTTTGACAGAATGTTTATTACAAGTCGTACTTGCAAGGTTATAAACCAGGTGATAAAAAAAAAAATTAAGTGTAATGTACCAATATTATTGTTATTTTTTTTTTATAAAGTTTTGTTACCAATGGTTTATCGTTGTTCAAAGATATAAATTAAATAACTTTATGTATCCTACCTTCCCAATTTCTCACCTACAACAGTAGCACACACATCCACAATATCAGCTTTTTAAATTTTTAAAAACTACATTTATTTTATAATAGTGTTTCTAAAACGTTTACAATTTTGTATCTTTATACGTATAAGTTGAGTATAATGCCGATTGCTGATGCTTATGAGTACATAATTTAGAAATAAATGATAAAAATAATAATAAAATTCACTAAATAAGCGATAATATTAAATTATTTAGATAATAATTCACGGATAATAGTACAATGTTTTAAAATTAATTTAAGTACTTGGAAACTTGCGATATTATTGTGTAGATACGTCAGTATTATTATTGTCTGCTTTTTAAAACTGTTCAAATATATACAACCTTCCATGTTTCGTTACACTTTTATATAAAAATACATACTGAGGGCCCAGGGGCATTGTCCGAAGGTCACTACTTTGATAAAATATAACGATAAGTGAACATAGATAATAAAATAAACATTAGATATTTTCAAAATAATACACATTTATGTATAATGTTAAAATCCGGTTAATAGTCACTGTATTTAGGTTAACAAACTTTTCTGAATGACAAAATTAAAAATAAATAAAACACCTAGGAAAAAAAGACGGCAGATTGCGGGGATTTTGTACATCTTGAATGGATTTTTGAAATTTAAATAGTGACATAAGAAAAATGATTATAAACGTCATATTAAAGTTTCAAGCATTGTACAATATCAATTATTAGTTATTAACCTTGTGATGTTCAAGACATATATTAAAAGAAATTTTATTTTATTCAATTTATTTGGTTTTTACTTGTATATGTGTATGATTTATATTTAAAATGTCTACAAATATACGTAGAAAAAAAAAATATTTGAAGTCCTGAAGACTGAGTTTTCTAGAAATTTAATCGCGTTTATAGTTAGTGCTTAGGAACGCCTCTCAAGTTTTAGTGACATATTATAGTCCCCCATCGAAGTTTTTCCCAATTTAACATTAGATTAACATTAATCTTAACATCTCTTATAATAAAGTGATCGTTAATAATTTTTAAATAAATCAATAAAGCATAAATCAACTTCAAAGAAATCACTTTCACAGAGTAAGAGAAGATGCAAAAATTAAAACTTTGTAGTTACAAACCTATAAAAACGAGAAAACAATAATTTCTGTTTTTAGACGGAATTCCTAATATTCTGGTGTCATAACAGAGTTCCTCAGAAAGTTCATTTTAGAGCACTTCAAAAAGGTTATTTTCGTTAATACTGAGGCGAAGGTGTCATACGAATTCCGGAATTATTCATAAAAACTCATACAAATTGTATACTACGAAATATCTATTAATATATATATTTAAAGTTCAAAAATTTCATTTTACAACACTAGTGCGGTTTGGGACAAGCGTTCCAATTCCATAAAAGCTTTTGATGATTTTCCAGGGGAAAGGGATGAAATGCAAATTGCATGCTGAATATTTAAGAAGGATACAGTACAAAACATTGAATGGGGAGTACAAAAATACTTACACGATTACAATTATTAATTCACATCAAACGTACTAAATTATTCTGTGTATTATTTAGCTATTTATAAGTGAAAGATGAAGATGAGCGTGCTGCTATATTATGTGGGTATAAGTACACTCTTCGTCAATACTGTTTTTTTTAACATCCCATGCAAGGAATTGTGAACGTCTCAAAATATTATTATATTAGGATCTAACCTGGGACCTAACTGTAGGAACCTACACGTTGTTTGGGTATCGAGTTTTTAGTTAGGATTACTAGAATCGTAATAAGGTCAGGTCTATTCCGTTATGATTTATATAGATAGGTAATTATAATTTTAAAGGACAACGTTTTTATTTCTGTCACTTTCCTACATCCTAAATGATTGATTGCAGTGCTAAACTTCAATATGATTGATCACGAGTAGTAACCACTATTATACCCTTATTACTTACATTTTTTTTTTTACTATTCATTTTTGAACCTATTAAATATTCTTATTTTAGGTATTATAGTATGATGTATTATTATAATTAAATACAAATATTATTATTTACTAGTCAAACTACGTTATTTAAATAAAATTCGTTAGGCTTTGATTTCATTTTAAAATATCGATTGTTGTAAATCATATATTTTTATTTTCATATTCATTAAAATGTTTCATAATGATTCACAATGTGAATATATGAACTATAAACTATGTAAAATTCGTAGTTTATTTTCAACGATATTTCACAATGACGTCATAAATTGATAACTTATTAACATATGTCTAAAAAAAAATCAATAAATCATTATAATAGATACATATATATATATATATATACAACTTTTATCAGATTTAGTAAAATTAAATAGTTGCATAAAAAAAATAAAATTTAAAAAGTTCAATTTAATCTTTAGTTTGTAACATTTTCAATTACTTAGTACTTACTACAAACATGATCGAATATTTGAATGCAAGTATTGATAATTTCATTACATTATATTTTTAATAATATAAATATAAAGTCAAAAATTTTGAATTAATGCATTGTTTTAAGTTACAAATTATAATTAAAATAAATCACTGAACAATTCTTTAATATTATAACTATTATGAGGATTATTGAATGTACCTATTATATTTTTGTTAATTTAAGTTATTCTAATAAAATTTATACGATTTTCTGTAATACTGATTATATTATACTTCTAAGAATCAATGTATTATAGTTTATAATAGTACACAGATCAAAAAATATTCAATTACTAATTATAACTCGGAAGAACTATAATAATAATAATATAATTACTATTATTTAATCAAATAATTATGCACGTATGTTTATATTTTTTAACGTTGAATTAATTTAGTATGGTTTCTCAATCATATATTGAAAACTTACAATAATATTTGTTTTTAGAATTCCTATAAATGGCTACCTATATTTAATTCAGGTAATTCGACATTTAACTAAAAATAATTTGAACTAATTCTATTAATATGCTAGAGAAAGACCATTTATTTGTATTTTATAACTTTTGTACTTCGATTATAATAATAATAATTTTATGTAGCAATCTTAAAATATTGTTGAATTTAAAATGTAGATATTATATTAAATTATTTAAAAATGTATTAAATATTCACAGATACAAATACTAAATTTTGTATTTAAGTTAAAAATTATGCTAATGTCGTAATTATATTATTTAATAGACTAACACCGATCATAATTTTATTAGGATTAATTATTTCGTTTCACAAATGTTCGATCATAACACACTTATAACGTTTTGAATATGTTATTTTGTATAAATTCAAAAAATATTCGTACGTTTATTAATGGACATTATTTCATATATTTGCAATCGCAGTAAACAGTAGAAATTCATAAAACATCAAAATGCACTTTATGGTAATATTAATATTCAAGATCTAATAATTAAGTAAACAAGTATTAATAGTCATAATAATATGTATATGGTTCTCAATTCACCTTTCTGGTATTTATTTGAATGTCAGCTATTATTATCATGGAAAAAAAAGCTACTCAGTTCTTATCATATTAAATACATGTTATGTTTTATGATAAACAAAAATATATAATATAGAAAAAAATAGATAACCTATAATATGATGTAAGGGGTCGTCGATCTCGTGGTCGACTCGTGATCTATAATCATGTTGTTTTCCCAATATATATATATATATATATCATAATTATAACAAAATAACTCCAACCTACCGATATGAGTGTTTTTATTTTTTATGTCGTTGTTTTCACGTAATACAATTCTCAATGGGCTAGTCGATCAAATCGATCAGCATTCGAATGAACATAATATAATATTATTAATATTATACATGGACTAAAAACACACCATTTATTGTAATGATCTGCAAGTACAACTATACAACACGGCCCTAATGTTATTACTGCTGATTTCTATACCAAAAACCCGACCTATTACACATTCAATCAATTTTCAATTATAGCTTAGGCTTGAAAATAAACTTTCCTAGGATAATAAGGACGGATGCAGCCACTGTTATAGGTAATTTATTGTATGTCTGTTAGCAACGATTAACTATTGTTAACGAGAAAATATTCTGAGCAGAGTTCAATTAATAGTGTAGTTACTTTATCAACAATATATATGTAATTTAATAATAAAATAATTACGTATGCATTATATATTTTCTTTAAAAATGTCTGTTCAATATTGTATCTATTTTCCTATTTTTCCTACGGTTTTCCCCAGATTTCTTGTTTATTGGAAAAACTAGTGAGAAAATCAAAAAGTTACACTTTCAGTACCTCCCCATACCGATTTCCTTTCAGAAAAGGTGCTACACTTAAAAATCGGAGCATGATTTATGGTAGACAAGTTGCGCACAGATAAAAGAAAACAAATAAACATTTTTGTAAAACCATAAACTTCTTCGCTCCACTCAGAACATAAAACGGTTTTTTCGTTAAAGTTTTAAAAAAATTATAAAATTCTAACAAAAATTAAAACTTAATTTTCCATAATTTTAAGTTTTTGCATCTATTTATACCCACTTTTTTTAATTACCGACAGACTTTGGTAATGAACTGTGTTTCGCATAAGGGATTTTGAAGTGAAAATCTCCTAAACGCAATACGAATGACTATGATTTAAAGGTTATTGAAACTATCACAGGAATAATTTTTAATTTAGTATCCAAGAAGTTGGTATACGTGTTGAGCAATGCGACTATTATAAAAAAAAAAAATACAAAACGTTAATTATACCTAACAGTGAACACAATATGCGATGAGTATGTCTCGAACAAGTCACGTTCTTTCTATAGGATCGGTTAAGCAACGTTATCTGATAAGATCGTTGTTTACATAATAATATAACGATAAACCAAATTGCTAAATATACAAAAATAATAATGTAGGTACTATACCTAAACTTATTATACTATTTGCAAGACAAAATATTTTGTACGTTATTATTATAATTACACAGATATTAGTTAGTTATAAATATGTCTACTCACAACACATCAAGTAATGATAACAACATAGTTTAATATTTTTGTTAAATGTTACATAGGTTGTAACGAAACATTTTATGGACCTATTATTACATTCCTAAAAAGTAGGAATGCTTTATTTAGTGGTGATTTCGGGTTGTTAATTTGCTCTGTTTGATATTCTGAAATGCTCTTTTTTTATTTTCTGGTAGTTTTTTTATAGTTGCGGGAAAACAGGGAAAACACTATACAAATTTACGTATTTAGTTATTTTTGATTTTATTCTTTATTGTTATTCGATTAAAAATAAACGTAAAGACTTGAAATTTTTACAGAATACTTATATTCCTAGAAATAGAACGATTTTTGAGTTCTTTTATGATATTTGAAAGCGCTGGTATTCAAGTTTTAAAAAATTTTTATTTGATGTTATGTGGATACAATTTTGTTTGCTCAAAAATGGTAAAAACTTGTTATGGCCATATATATTTCCTGTTACTCAATTTACAAAGGCAAATTCTCCAGTGTACATATTATAAAATAATTTAATTAAATAAAAATATATTTCTAAATTTAATTTATGTCGTAAACTACGGTAAATGTGCGGTATACGGTAGTGGCAATATTATGCAATGAGAAATAATTTCATCCAACTCGAAATACAAGAAAAACATAACCTTATATTATAATCAATAAAAAAACATAAATAACTAATAAGGTATTGTTAAAATATTATTAACGATAAGTAATTTCAGAATTAATAAGAGATTTTTAGCTGGGTCCACACCACGATTTAAGATAATATAATTGCCCAACACCGAACAGTGATAATCTGACTTACAGATCAAATCTACAAATCTAATACACATTTTCGATCTGTTGTTAGCGTTCCAAGCCGATAAATATATTAAACCATTATCATTAAGTATTTTTATTATTGGAGAACATAGTATTGATTCCAAGATAATCGATATTATCTTAAATCGTGGTGACAACATTAAAGCTATACAAATAAATTACAAGAAGTGTTAGTAGTAGATGGAAACAGCTAATTTCTGGATTTAATTCAGTGGTCACAAAATTAATACTTTAAAACATAGTTAGGCAAGCATAATAATATCTTAAATTGTGGTCCTCAGTTCCTAACACGCTAATTTGTCCTAACACTTTTGATGTTCCGGCAGTATCCTGCGCAACAAATACACGCATTTTTGTCGTAAGCGGATAAAGTACACACCAAATGCACCTAACGTTGTAGTAACGTTATAAAACATTTTGTGCGTTTGATGTAGTCCTAGCTTAAGATTGTCAACCTTATACAAAATCACGGACTAATATTTTATTTTATCTTAAGACGGTGTACAAAATAATATATTATCTTATAATATCCTATTACCTATTATCAAACTGGCCTTAAATAATTTATTTGTATATATTTTTAAAACGTAACTGATTTGTCGGTCATTTCCTTTTATATAAGTACAGTATTAAAATATAATACAACAATATAAAATATTAATTTGTATGTAATTTCGGACTTAGTGACATAAAAATAAATTTTCAATCGGAAAGGATGGAGCAAACAATGATCATAAATAAATCGTAAAAACTCGTATGCTTAACTCGAAAATGGGAATTCAAAATCTAGCTCCAAAAAGCTAATTTGTATTTAATAAATCAACCTATTCCTTATAACTTGCTAAAATATATACATTTCAGGATTAAATTACTAAAAATATGCATAGTCGTTGTATTTTTAAATTAATGGAGAGGGGGAGATTTTAACTCCCATCACATCTCCCCTGCTCAAGTTACCGAATTTTCGGTATAATATGATGTGTACACTGTACACGAATCTTATTTTATTCAACGCAAAATTGTGTATTTGTTTAAGAATTAGAATTGCTCCCGCAGGTTATCTCGAAGGTAAAAAAGTATAATACCGCCGTTAATGTTTCGTGTACCAACACGTGATTCCCAAGATGATGTATTTCGTGTAATATTTTTTCAACGCGTCAGTTGACCGTCAAATTGGTAGGCCAAAAACCTCGTCCACGACAAAAAGCAATAACTATATTATGTACGACGTTAGTCGTAGTCCACTATCGTTTTTTTATATAATATACTGTAATGTAATGCGATACGAAATAATATATGAAATTTACAAAGACTGGTGCGAATAAATCGTTCGAGCCGCTCGACGGGAAGCGATTGAAACCGTTAGGTACCTGCGGTTAAAACCGAAAGTAATGCACGTCATTTGCGGACACGGTGATGAAGTGTGAGGGGGGGGATCGTACGTTCAGACTGTTCGGAGTACGTTCAACCGGTCGCGCGCGGATAAAGAAAAAATAACCTCTTCTTTAGTCGGATCTTATTCGACTGTACGAGACGAATAATATTGAATACAAATGATTAAAACAAAAAAAAAAAAAAAACCATTAGAAATGTTCGACGAGTACCTGCGGCTATTTTATTGTTACAAATTTAAACATTTTATTTTCGAGTCATATAATTTTTTAATTGATTCTATGACGATAAAACGTAATGCATTATGCTATAATATTATGTTCTTTCAAACAAGTAATTTCACAAATTTAAAAAATGTCGCGACTCGTAGATACATAAATTAATAGGATAGTTAAAATATATTGAGTACGTGCCGGTTTTCATCTCGAAAATATTACTCTTCGGAAGTTAGAGAAAAATGTGCTATTTTTTTTTCGATATTGGACACTATATAGTACATACGTCATCGTTACGTGAATATTAATTTCGACGGTTGTATTGGACGTATAATAAAATATTATTAATACGCGTGTCGTGTACATAATAAACCATACTATAAACCGTAACCGTCCAGCCGCGCTGCCGGACAGATCGCAGTGCAGACCTCTGGCCCCACAGCACTCCCCGTCCTGGAATCTAGGACGCCCGGCCGGGTTCAATAAACGGTTGCCCATGGTTGCAGACTGTGGTAATCCCGCGCAAGCGTGGTTTTTTTTCTTATCCGGAAACCGGTTCGATTTTGTTACCACAGCTTTCGCACCTCACGGGCATAGCGACCTAACGTACACGTGAATACGTGAATGTATACGCAGCTGTGTAAACCTTTGGGCGAGTGAGTGAGTCACGACGCCACCTTTATTTTTTCGCCTTTTTCCTTTTTTTTTTTTTATTTTATATATATATATATATATATATTGTTTTACATGTAGGCAACCGCACAAGAACCGCGGCGTTACGATAAAATCGTACGCACATGCGGTACAAGTGCACCTATAAACGATCGCACGTAAAAACTGTTGTAGCCGTATTATAATAATTAGGTAAACAATATTATACGGGAACAAAAATCACTTATATTACCAATAATATTATAAATACTAAAGATAGAGTATTTACACACTCACTTGTGAGACATACTCGTATAATGTCAAAAATGGCGAAGACATCTCTAAACGATAACACTGTGGGACCTTGAAAGAGATTTATTCTCCTAGGATGAAACTATCTGAAGGATAGGAGGCTTATGCAGCAATGTCAATAAATTTTTTATAGTTTCACAATCAACCATTCAAAAAAAATCTAAAACGAATCTAGTTATTTAGGCATTGGTAGTATGAAAAAAAGCAAGATACTGAATTCCTATCTTTTTTTGTCCGTGAACTCGATTACGACTACCGATCTTTCTACTTTCATAGTACCAGATTAAAGTTTTTGACCGTCAAATCGTTACAAAACGACATTTTCTTTGAAAATCGAAAATTGGCACTAGAAATTCAGAAATGGTGTGTCTGCCATCAATGGTTGTCCATCACCGTCATTTAAACGTCTATTACCGCCGTCCGACTAACTACTATTACGACATACTGATGCCACTTCCTAGTTACAAGTAAAAATATCTACATTTTTGACTATAAAGTCATTAAAATTCATTTAATTTTTTAGGTTCTTTGATTAATAAGATGGTACCAATCTTTCATTCTAGTCTACCCCTGTATATTCAAAAAATTATAGGAAATTATTATGAAGTAATAATATTTAATACTCTAAAATTTAAATTTCATTAACATAAAAACTACGTATTTAGGTGTAATTTATCCAAGAATTATCCTATTTGAACGAATGGGATTTCGTCACGAGATGAGGATTTAAAAATAATAATAATATAGGTATTAATATTATATTATTTTAATTTCAATTCGTTTATAATCATGAAATAAAATAAATAAAAGATTAAATTTCGATACAACCGATTGATTGACTATTGGAAATTTCAATAGTACCTAATATTAATGGTAGGTATTAAAAAATAATATTCATCCGTCGAAAGGATTTAATGAAATCTTAAAAGAATTAACAATGAGTTATAATTGAGTTTTAATTTATTCCAAAAAAAAATAAACCCTAGTTTTGTGCGGCAAAAACGTTAAGATTAATTATTGTATAGACAATACGCATTATGGATTAAGACAAACGTTTATTTTTATTTGTTAATTGCCTTTACAATAGCTCAACATTTTATACAGATACGTGCAATAGGGTAATTTAATTTATATCTATACACAACGGTAACTGAAAAAAAAAGATTATGATCGAAGTTCGGTTAATAGTGTTGCTTTATCAACAATATGTCATATAACATATGCATTATATACTTTCTTTAATAATATTTGTATAATATTGTACCTTCTTCAATTTTACAATTTTTCCTGTTTTTTCCATTTATTATGAAAACAGCTGAGCAAATCAAAAAACAACTTTCTTAGAGTACTACCCCAATCAGATTTCCTTTCAGAAAAAGTGCTGTTATTGTACACCTGAGTAAAATTGCTGATAGAAAAGTTGTTCACGGATTAAAAAATAAAAACAAAAATAAAAAAATTAACATCATTGTAAAACTAATTGTAAACCATTGTAAACCTCACTCCACTAAGAATCTAAAAAAACTTACACTGGAGACAGATGCAGTAACTGTATTAGGTGGGAAGTTGAGAAGGTAGGATACATAGAATAATTTAATTTATATCAGTAAGCAAGCATAAACTATTGCTACCGAAAAAAGATTCGGATCGAAATTCGATAAAACGTATTTTGAAATGCCGTAGTTTTTTTTAACGATTTATAATCAAAATTTGACCTTAAAAAACTTATGAAAAATAAAACTAATGCATTAAACTCAAATTTGGTTTTTAAACCACTAAGTACACCTTATAATATAAGTTGTGTTAATTTTTCAAGCATTTCTTTTAAGTTGTATAATTTTAATAACAGATACCTACCAAATAAAAATACATATAAAAACACGAAAATATCAAATACATATAAATAGCCTAAAAATAGTTTTAAAGTTTTGAACATTTCACCACATCTACAAAAAGCCAAAACAAGTATTTTATGAACACTACAGATCTATATAATAATTTTTAACCGCATAACAAAATACCAAATACTGTATACTTTACCGTATTTCCTAAGTTTTTTCGTAATTATGAGGAAATCTATAAGCAAAATAAAATAACGACTTTCTCATTCTCAAACTAGAAAATATTTTTTTCCAAAAAATATGCTATTCTTGAAATTTAGATAGATTTCTAGTATACAAATATAATCATAAAAATTTTAAATAATGTAATTGTTGCATCGTCATTTGAAAAAATCGTATTTTACGTATTTTTTTAATTTTTTCTAATTATTATGAAAACTACTTTAGATATAAAAAAAATAATTTTTTCTGTCAGTGGCTTGATATTAATTGGAACTAAAGCAATTTATTGACATTTTTCAATTGGACCAAGATTTCTGGTAGAAAACATCATTTGCAAAAATTAAAAATAATAAAATCGATAACGCCTCGACGCGTCCTAAATATTTGACATTCTACTTATAATATTTTATTTTTGGTTTTTCCTAATTATTTTGAAAACTCCATAAAAAATCAAAAAAATAACTTTCTCAAAGCGTTAATAAATGAAAAAAATTCACAGATTAAAATTACAAAAAAGTTACTACATCAAGCTACAAGCCATAAGAAAGTTACTATTAAGTTTTTTTATCGGAGCAAGATTTCTAGTAAAACTTTTATTTACACACAGATAAAAAAAATAAATATAAAATAAAACCAATGTATTTCTTGCTACGCTCAGAATCTACAAATTGTATTGACTGCTGTAAATTAATAATAAAAAAAATAGTATTTTGTTAGATACATAATAATGAGTTGTAATACTGTTTGTATGCTTGAAAAACAAATTTTCTATTAATACCAAAAAAAATAAGGTTATAATTATTTTATCACTCACCGGGCAATATTTAATGCCCAAAATGATATCATATTAATATATTGATAACGGTATTTACTATATAAAAATACGACTTACAACTTACAAATTACAGTTACATAGGAAGATGCAATATGATACATTTATATAAACGCGTTTTTTACTATTGTTTTGCTTAAACAAAAATAGATATTACTATAAAAGTGGTGACATTATTTTTCGTTTTAAACTACATTTTATTAACATTTGAATTTTCGGCTATCGTACATATTAATATTACAGTATTTTATATTGTCGTTTTTATTTTCAACATCATTGAGATGAATATTAATAATACACAATAATATGAAAACTACGAAAAACGGGTTTTCGGTATAGGTTCATCAACTGGCCATTGACCTATCTCTTCTGTAATATTATAAATTCTATGTAAGCGTATACGGCGAGTGAAAGAATATTTTGATTTTATTTAACGAACACGATTAAACAATTTTGTAAAGAACAAAATATGTTAGGTTTATTTTAAGCCCAATACGTAATATTATGATGATTGTCTAAATTTCAGTAACGGTTCAAAGTATAATATACTAAATTTATAGACATAAACACATAATATTGTATAGTTAAGTGTTTATTTCATCATCCATGGACCCGTGATGGACATTTTATTTATTACGATTCGAAAATTATTAACCATGACATTATGATTATGGCGTTATGGGAAATGGGATAACAAGTATGTAATATGGTTAAGATAAATGTTTTTATTCTTTTTGTATGTTAAATCAATGGTTTACCGTTATCTATCGTAACCATTTAACTTGTAAGTATTCTCAAGTGGGTCTAAAAACCTATTCTTATGAGAATTATCAAAACTATTCCCACACGGAAATAATGAAAAATTGTGTATCAATAAAAGTAGTGTTAGTGTTAGTAACCAGTGGTATATTTTCAATTATTCTGGGAGGTCCATAGTTTAAAACAGCTATCTGGGCATTTTTTGGAGAGAGTTCAATATTAAATAATAGTGTCCTATGGAGATATTGCAACCCATTGCAATATCTCCCGAGATGATGGAAAAAATCAAATTCTGTTTTATTTTTTATATATGGTACTCGTAGGGGGGATAAGGACTACAAATATTTATATTTTAATTAAATTTGTATGTATTAATAAAAAAAAGTAGAAAATAACTTTATTTTTATTAAATTCGTGATTTTTAAAAAAATTTTGAAGTTTAGAGAAAAGTACCAATAATTATACTACAAGCTGTAATCGCATTCGCTAATTGATAATTATTATTATGGTTAATTATCTTTACACTTTTTTTCTTGGTAATTTAAAAAATTATTAAAAAATCTCGAATATAATGAAAATAAAAAGTTAATGCGTCAAAATTTTCAGAAAAATAAACTCTATGAAATCTTCAAATTATTCAAAAATAATGAACGAAAAAGGTATTTTTTTTTTAAGTTTTTTCCGAAAGATTAATAATTAATTGAAATATAAATATTTATAGTCCTTAGTCCTGTGAGTAATGTAAAAAAAAAAACAAACAGAATTTGATTTTCTATATTATCTCAGGAGATAATGTAAAGGAGATAATCTATATCTCCGTAGGACACCCTGTGTATGTAAATTTCAATCGTCTAGTGGCCTAAGTATATATTTTATCTGATTTTATTATTTTTTTACTCTAGAAGGCTTTACTCTTCAATTTCGAAAATTTTTTTTACGAAGTATTTTCTGTTGTTTCGGTTAACTACCAATATATGAGATTTTATTCCTTATCAGTTAAATTTTTATAAACTGTATCGATTTCATTGACTCTGATAAGTTTATGGGAAAATGTACCACTGCAAACCGGAAGCCCACCTATCTAGTTTTGCCTGACCGTCATGGGACGACAAAGTGGGCGCCTTATTGCGTATAAACCGATGATACCCATACAACGTAAAAATATTCACAGTGATGATGTACACGCAGTAATATACAAAACGAATAATATCATTAGGCGAACTGGAAAAGATAGAGTACGGCCGGGACGGCAAGGCATTGTGATTGTGTTGTCCCGTAATCGCTTATCGATTCTCCGGTCAGGAAGGCGGCACGGAGGGGCGGCGACCGCGAAAAAGTTCGAGCTTTTCCGCGTAGAAGAATCTACCGGTGCGGCGGCGGTAGGCCCATAATAAAATATTGTGTACGTGTACACGGCGGCGACGACGGCGGATCGGTTCGTTACCCCAATATTATGGTGAAACGCGCAGGCGCGGTCGGGTGTAGTGGTATTACACGGACGAAGCTGCCTGCGCCGCCGCTATGTGACGTAACGGCAGCCGGTCGGGCGAGTGCGGGTCACGTTTTCGCCGGCCGAGACCCCACCGCCGCCGCAGAACCGCTGCGTAATTGCATAACGTAAAATATTATCTACACGCACGCATAATAATAATATAATATATTGTGTATGCGCGAGCCGCGCGCGTGCGCGTCAAATAATAATAATAATAAACAGCTGATCGATACCGCCGCGCCGCTGGCTGCCAACGCGGCCGCCCAAAACACCGGCCACGCCGGAAGCAGATAAAAAATATACACGTTGTAAATTTAGGCGCGCGCGCTCCTGCCACCCCGGTGATAGGGGGGGGGGGATATCCGTTTCCGGTCGTACAGATCTACAGTCAGATAATACGATAACAATATTATTATGTTGTTCTATTTATTTATTTTTTTCTAACGATAACTAAGTTTTGGCTGGTTTTTTTTTATCGGTGTACACATTTCGATAGCACTCGTCGCTCAGTTGCATCGAATATTTTTTAACTGTTAACACGCGCGTATAAACTGATGGCGGCAGTTCGAGGTCGGCTGTATGATATAAAAACTGAGAAAAACATAAATAAATAAACAGGTGGCAGTAGTAAATTTTTATTTTTTTTTTTCGGTTACCAAAATGTTATTGTTATTATCTCTATTTTTCTATTATTATTACTCATTCATTCGCGGTGTTTACAACCTGCTGTGCGCACCTGCAGTCTGAAAAAATATTATCCGTAATAGTATAATAATTCCAAAAACGACCGATGAAAGAAAAAATTAAAAATTAAAACAGATATTTCGCCTGTGGAAAATATCGACAGTGTCAAACACGATACGTGTTATAATTACAGGAAATACAAATTAGAGACAGGTCGGACTTCAGTTTTCGCAAATCTTCGAATTTGGATTATCATTCATTTTTCATTTTTTTTTTTTAAACAAATGGATGGGATTGGGATACCGTTGACATTTTTTTTCGTTGTCTTATATAATCAATATATATCTATATTCTATATGGCTTACATATACATACATTTATATAGGTATTATTACTCAACTGATCATGAGATCGATCAGAATGTATTGGTTTTACAATGTTTATTTTTTTTTTGTGTACAACTTTTCTACCAGGAATTTTGCTCCGTTTTTCATGTGTTACGCTTTTTCTGAAAGGGAATTTGACTGGAGTGTACATTAGGTCATTTTTTATTTTTCCAGTGGTTTTCATAATAAATGGTCAAAAACGTAGGGAAAATAGGTAATTTTATCAAATGTATTATTTTCAAATCGTAAATATTACGGCTCTTCAAAACATATATAACCAAACTTCACTCAAAATCGTTTTTCGTTAGCAAAGATTAATCTTTTCGTACAGATATACATTAAAATCCCTTCTATATCCTACCTTCCCAACTTCTCACCTATACTAATGGCCAACCATCATGCGAAATATATCGGTATTTTTCACAAATTACTTTTGTACTTTTTCTCTAAAAAAAAGTCTGGGGACGCCTGTACAGACAGCTACATTTTTTTATGAACCATTATTATTTTTTGAACGTTCGACATGTGCATACAATACAGTGAAACTTACATTTCATTTGCCCTTGTTCCAGTATTTCAAGGACAAAAATATTCGGGCATAACGCGAGTACTATATCATTATAGTCTCGTTTTTTAAAACAATGCGCTTTATTATTTGTCTTGTTTTCGGGGTACGAATATTGTGAAATTTAATCAGAATATATAATTCAATATAAAAGTATAAACGAATTTTAACTTAATGATAAGGTTTTAAAACATAAAAAGCATCAAAATTTACAAGCAATAAGTATATAATTTTAAATTTTAGATCGGAGCGTAGCTAGGCATTTATTGGTTTTACAATGATGTTTATTTTTTTTTTGTACTGTACAAAATTTTGATCAGAAATCTAATTCCGATATATCAATTAACGCATTCTGAAAGGAAATTCGATCTAGCTAGCAAGTACTTGAGGGAGGTTATTTTTAGATTTTTTTTTTTGATAAACGGATAAACATTTACGGTGTAAAAGTTCATAATTTTACATGTTTGTAACTTATGTTTTCTTATGTTTTCTAATCTTGCTTCAATCAAAAAACGATAAGAGACCCTTTTTTATTGCATTTTGATCTAGTTGCTAACGTTTTCCGATTTTTAAAGTAGTTTTCATAATAATTAGGAATAATTGAAAAAAAAAAACGTAAAATGAAAACTGACAAATTTACGACGTTACAAATTCATTATATTTTAATTTTTACGCTTTATGTTTTCTACTAGAGATGTTGCTCTAATAAAAAAATAACGAGAGATCATTTTAGTTTTAATTGTAAAATCAATACATTCCTCACTCTGCTCAGAATTTAAAATATTAATTTAAATTTGGTTTCAAGTATAAAAATAAAATTCCAACAAAACAATAATAATTTCCGTAGAATAACATAGAGAACATCATAATACGATTAGTAGTAGTATATTAAACACAAAAGATTAATTAATTACACGGCAGTATTGAGCTGGATTCTGGAATAATAATATTTAAATCTTTAACAGATCATTAAGAAAAAAATTAAAGTCTATTGACATAAAAGCAAAAAATAGTATTTTGTTATTGGAGGATATTTGGTTTCATCTATGGGGGGGCTTAACATTTTTGTCTTATTCATTGGCGGAAACAAATATTTTTAGTCGCTTCCGACGCTTCCACCTACTAACTGTAGTGGCTACTCTTACTTGATTCTAGCTGAGGCACCAAATATATATATAGGGAATAGGAACATAAAAAATAAAATATTGAATAGCTACTAAATTATTTTTATTTTAATTGTATATATCTATTTTTTTGTGCAAATATATTAACAATTGTTTCAGTATTAATAGATTTAGAAATTTCTTTTTCAAGAAGCCGTGAATATTCCAGACCATTCTCGTATCTCAACACAATAAAATACAAATTATAAATATCAAATATTGAAACACATAATTTTTTATTTTGACGTTTACATTCTGGGGGGGCTTAAGCCCCCAAGTCCTCCCCGATATCCACCCTGGTATTTAGTAATATTTTTTTTTAAATTGTAAATAATATTGAATGATTAGTTATTTGAGGTTACTTTGTTCTATTAATTATTTTTCCAAGTCCAGTCTTAGATTTTTGTATTTTACCTACAATTTTCCATTTGAAAAATCTAGTTCATAACAATTAGCTACGTGAGCAAACGTTGAGTAAGAGTTTCGTAAATCGCACTAACAATAAAATCATAATATAAATACATTTTGAGCTAGAAAAGGGTAGGCGGTGATGGAAAAAATGGTACGAAAATCCGTCGAATATCTTTCCAGAACGATAACAATATAACAACAATGCTAAAGACAATCGAAAAAAACAGTTGTGGTCGGTGCTCATTATTGTGAAATGTACTAAAAATACATTTTGAGATTGACAAAAATAACAAATAATATGAAAATAAACGTCTGGGATGTAGTACAGTTATTCGAAAAATGATAAGAACCCGGTACCGGTTCCCGGTCCCATATTAACATAATGTACACGAAATGAAAAAATAAAACACAATAAATTATTAACGATTCTACGGGATTCGAACCAGCGACCAGTCGGCTTCTGTTGGCCGACTCATGTTTCCTAACTTAACGTCTAACCTATCAAGGTACGTATCATTAAAAAGTAATTGAATAATGTGGAAAGTATGCCGACGACAATAATATTAGGATAAAACGATTCGAGTAGTAATTATTATTATTCATAATAGGGATTCCCCATCGGCCAAATCAACAATAATAATAAAAGATGATGAAAATAGTATTACAAATAATTTCGTCGAAAACAGTTGTGCAGGCAATGATTAAACACACGCAACTGACTATGTTCGCTAGAACCACGGTGCAAGAAGGATCCCTTCATCTGCAACCTTGCGTTAGATTCTTAAATATTAGATTATATTATAATCTATTAATTAAACTAATAAATATATATTATGTATTACCTCGTATCTACGGGAGTTCTATAAGCCAAATTTAGATTAGGTATACGTATAGTGACCAGACGTACGCTTTTTCGTAGGACAGTACTCTTTTTTTATTCATTGTCCTATGTCTTTAATAACAGTATTAAGTACATGCAATTATACTGTTTTTTTTTTTTTGAAAATACTATGGGCTAATACATGTTTATGATTTTGTATAATTTAATTATTCATTTTTATTTCAATATTTCATGGTTCGACTTAATGCATTCCAAACGTTTGCAAGTGATTGACAACGGTAGCGACACCTGGAAAACCATTGTTTAACGAAAAAAATAGAGTAATCAGATAAAAAAAAAGTATATAGATGAAGATAAGGTATTGTCAAAATTGGTAGAATAGTATACACATTGGCCAATTCTTTCAAGGGAGGGTTTTTTTTTTATAATGGAGGACCTAAATTATTAAATATACTTTTTTTGGACTTTTATATCTGGTCACTATTGGTATACGGTATACTAATATAAATATCATGATCAAACATGAAATTTTCGATGAGATAATTCTTTCGAAACCAAATTTGAATGAACAGAATACCATTGATTTATAAAATGTGTTGATTATCTTTTATTATTATAAAAACGCTACTATAATATCGATATGAAAATGTATGGCAATGAATTGATAACTGATAATCAAATCAGCAAAATAATTATGTACAATATTATTGAAAAATTCAAATATTTTTCGTTAAAATTACGTTTTTGTCATAATATCAAATTATAATAATGAAACATATTTACGGGCTATGAAATTAATTATTTATCGTTAAATTGTTAAATGCTTTTGAATGTTAGTAAAGTACTTAAAAAAATATTTAAGTTTATTCTTTGTATTTTTTTTATTGATTCATTTTTTCTACTCTAATTAAATTAAGTCACATAAATTGTTAACAAAACTGGTAAACGCGAAAATGGAGACCATTGATCTAAATTCGTCTATTAAGATATTTTAATTTTCAGTAACAACTTGAATGTTAATTTTTAACTTAGTTAATATTAATTTAATTTAGGAAATAAACTTTTATCTTAACTAAACTTAACGAATTGAAAACAATTTATTAATTTACCCAACCTTGGTTATTAATATGTAAAAAATTGACGGTATACAATTCAAACAGGATGGATAGAGTTCATGTAGTCCATTGTATTTCCATGTTATATTATAAACCTATTACAACAATTAGTATAATATTATGTTTGGTTTGTAAGCCAATGAAATATTCAAATACAGTGTATCAAACACTCAACATAATAAATTATGGTATATAAATTGTTCGTATCTAGTTTTTTTTTTTTTTTTTTGCTGCCATAGTTCGCGGTTTTTGGATTTAAATTATTTATGAATGACCATTGACCATCATAATACATAAACAGGAAAAACCCTTGCCAAGTCAGGGTCGGCATGTAGATTTTTTGATTTTTAATTTTTTGGACTATATCATCGGTTATAATTTATATTATAATCGATATGATTTAAAATACACCATAAGTGGCATAAGTACTCAATCAAAGATACACTACAAAATTAATATATAATAAGTATTAATTTTAGAACGACACGGAAAAACGTCATAAATGTATATTTTAATATGGTTCATTCTTCAGTATTTGTTAATCAAACCGTTTAAGCCTCTAAAATTTATGTATAGAGCCATATTATGGTCGTATTTGCCGTATCAGAGTATTCATTTTCATTTACAACACTTCAAAATTGTTATGATGCCATAAGTGTAGATATTACAGGTTTATAGAATACAGTGAATTAAACACAACAATTAAAAAACAACCACATTTTTTTTCTTTATCGATATTAAAATTAATTTAACAGTATTGTACATGCATAATATTCAAATATTGATACATATCGTTTCAATTGCATACAACATACGAATAGTTACAATACGTTTTACTATTAGTTAAACATTTTATCTAACTCGTAGTATAATACTATTACCTATAATTTATGTTCTTTGGTTTTAATTTATTGTAACATTAATTTAATATAACATATATCCATGTACAAATAAATGTTAAATTTATGTTTTTTAAATTCGATTTTATTTCACTTATAAACAAGTGTAAAATTTAGTACAAAATCATATCTGAGAATTAATAATTTCTGAGTCACCATCATTCAACTATTAATAATTAAAAACACTTTTTAAATATTAATTTACCGTTAGTTTACAAATTCAACTTTTAGAATAATGATTCAAATTTACGATTATTCATAAATAGTTAACATTATTAGCTATAATATAGTATTATATATAAATTATTAATTATATTTTTTTAAATGAATAAACTCATCATAGGTATCTATTTAATAAATTATAGAACCGTGTTCCATAATCTATTTAATTTCGTAATTAATAAAACTATTAATTAAATTATTCTACAAGGTATTATGAGATAATTAATTAAATTTATTTTTCACTTCATTGTAGGTAGGTATATATAGATTAAGGTTATACATAGTAGTTAAGGTAGGTTTTAAAGTATTAATATCTTAAAAATTAATCTTCAAATAAGACAATATCAACGCGAAGTGCTGTAAAAATAATATATTATATTATACCTTACATAGAATATGGAATGTATACAAATTTTAAAATTAGTAATGACGAAAAATATTATCATAAACCGTTCATTACACAGCGTAATATTATTTTTTGTACGATTTGTTCTGTAGAAAATCATTAACATCGGCTATAATTTACTAGATATTTAGACATTTATGATTTCTAAATACCCTTTACGATTTATAAAATGTCACATTATAATTAAAGAACTTGTACCCTCCAAGATAGAGATTTCGTCGAAACCAACGTTTTATCCTGAACATCTAGTTTAAATTTTTACAATAATCCATTAGTATAAATGTATCGAAACTGTTAAAACACAAATACAGGTAGTTAAATAATGAACAAAGAAATTATTTTCTTTCTTTCTTCAAATTTTCTTTTATAAATAATCATTTTAATAATACAATACCTATTATAAGATAAATTTTCCTTCCATTTTATTAAAAATTAATAATATTAAAATATATATCTGATAATAATTTTAAAATTTTTGTACAGACATAACAGAGAATTTTCTAGTTTCTTTTCTTATTTTAATAAGAAAATAATAAAAATTTAAAAGTGGGTATACACGACTGCACGTGAATGAAAATTATTGATAAAAGTACCTTATACGAGTACCTAATAATACCGAATAAAAATTAACAGCTAATATTACACTATCGAAAAGTTTAATGGACGATTAATATTTTACACACGCCTGAATATGAAAATGTCAAGTACACGTGGGAGAAGAATTATTTAATTGGTTCTTTAATAGTAATAATAAGTATTTTTAACAATTATCTGTGATACGAATGGTACATGGTTATTTGAATTTTGATTGTGAATAATTATAATTATTGAAATTGTAAAAAAAACCTGATACTACTGATACAAAGTGGCACTGTTGTAGGAAAGAAATTGGAAGGGTAGGATTAGTGTTGGGAAAGTTCTTTTCAAAAAATAATTAATTTCCGTTACATGTTCCTTTTTTAGAAAACGGACTTGATTGTCAGACAATTTCATTATTAATTATCATTTTGAATTTGATATTTATTTTGTCATTATGAAATAGGTTATAATATTGTCCGTTATCATTTTAAACCATTATCGAGGCACCGTTTGTATCATGGTTATATTACTTATATTATAAGTATACAAACAATTTGTATTAATATTATCATATTATGCAAAAGCGTAAATTGACTTTTACAAATGGTAGCACTTACATCGTCAGATTTCAAATTTTAATGGCAATGCAAATTTATATTTTTACACCAGAAAATAATTTTGAAAATTTGTATAGGTACTTATAATTTATATTTTCAAAAGTAAACATTTGCTTAATAGATAGGTAAAACAATTATTATTTTCGTTTTAATAAATGTAATTTTTTGATGAGAGCTACTATGTGTGACAGTGCCATATTTAATATGTAAGCATAATATATTTAATAACTGATATAGTTGTTACCGTTCAAAGAAATCAAATACTTAATTTTTATTTTTGTAAAAAAAAAAAATGTTAGAGGTGGAAATAACGTTTAATTTGTTTTCTTTTAAAACTACGAAAAACAAATAATGAACTTCGCTGAGCCAAAAATTTGTACTCACGCGTAAATCAAAAAATAATACACGAATTGCTGTAATTTTTACAATTTTCATTACAATTTCAACTTTGAACGCTGATAAATTATATAGATTATGGATTTATTATACAAATACAATGACATAAATATAGTGATTTATATATTAGCCAAAAGACCAACTCATGATGGACTTCAATTAAATTTACAAGTATTTTTTATAAAACCGAAGAAATGTTATATACCTACATAAAATCAAATAAAAACTAAAAAACCACGAACATTTATAATGTCTATAAATTTCTCTGTAATTTCCAGAATGTTTTGAACATTTGACCTCGTCTAGAATGGGTTAATACTTATTCTCTGGAAATTTCAGAACTCTGTGTTTATTTTTGACCTAATTACAAAGAAAAAAATCGGACATACTTTCCTTAATGGGTGGGCGACTGTTATAGGTGAAAAGTTGGAATGGTAGGATATAGAGAGGAATTTTTAATAACTACAAGAAAAATCAAAACAGATCTCATCGATATAAGAAATGCTACAAAAGTTCTCACTGTTATTTTGGATTCCTCGATATGCTCGATGCTCAGAATATAATGTATATACATATATATGTGTCTCACGTTGATCTAACATTTGAAATTACTTTTCTATTAAATTATTTTGATTAATATTTTTTTTAAATAATTAGTGTACATAGGCGCTATAGTTAATATATTAAATATTTTAATTTCTCCACCAAAAAAAAAAAATAAAATTGCAATTTTATAAAATAGACTTTTAAAAAAATATTGGTGGTTGAAACACTTTTAAATATATGGTTTTTTATTTTCTACAATTTTTTGAAGATTTGCAAAATAGAATGTTATTGCAGTGGTTCATAATCTATTATATTACTCGATCAGTAGTCAGAACACATTAAATGACAAGGATTTTCTTTTCTATATGTCAATATCATACGTAAAATAACAGTGCTCTGATTACTGATTAATAATTATCATAGATTATAAACACAATAATATTTATATTTTCAAAAACTTCAAAAAATTATAGATGATAAAAGACCATACCTAAAGTTTCAACTACCAACATTTTTTTAAGAATCTATTTTAAAAATTATAGTAAAATTTTAAATTCGTTATTTTTAAGTTTTCTCGCAAAAAAAAATAAATATTTATACTAACTGTAGCGCAGAGACATAGGACAATTTTTTTCTAAAAAAATATTATATTACAAGTTTGTTATAGAATAAAATGTATTTAAAGTGTCAGATCATAGTGAGACACTATATATGCACATATAATATTATACCTTAGGTCATCCCTAAAATTTCTTGCCCACCCTGTAATTTTGTCCTGAAGTATTTTTTGTATTATGTATTTTATTTTTTAAATTTAAAATTCTAAATGTAATAAGGAATGTATTGGTATTACTAAAACGGGAATTTTTTTTTATTACAACTTTTGTACCAAATATTTTGTTCTAATAAAAACGGCAAGAGAGTTTTTTGTTGAATTTTGCATCTAGTTAATGCACTAGGAAGCCATTTTTAATTATTTTTGCAGTTTCCTTTATAATAGTGAAAAACCAGGAAAATTTAAGCGATCGTGATTTTTGTTACTTTAAATTTTACTATTTTGTTGGTATTAAATTAAAAATAATTGTCAAGACTTAACATTTTCAACAAATACATTTATTAACCCTTTCTAAATGTCTTAAAATGTTCGTGATTTTGAACTATTTCAAATTGTAGAGTTTTATAGTATTAATTTTAGATAAACATTTTGTTGACTTTACACGGATACAAATGTCCGTATTTTTTTTCCTTATGTAATTTTTCCATAATTCTATTATTTTCGTCATTTCCCCTCTTTTTTTGGTTATTTTTAAATTAAAAATTGTATTTCATGATATTGATTTAAGTTCTTTTTCCCTTAAACCAGATATATTCGAGACATAATAGGTAATAAAATCAATAATATTACCCAAAAGACATAGGTAAAACATTAATATATTTTAGTGATACATAATTGATAAAAATTTATTGAATAGCTACTAAATAGATCAGTGTATGTTACAAAATCAAAAAAATATTCAGAAAAATAAAAAAGTGAGGTCATAATAGAGTCGTAATAAGTGTTAAAAAATTTAGAGCATTCATATTAGAGCCAGAGTAGGTTGGACTAAATAGTAAGTAGCAATGTTATCATTTTATTAGTAAATATTTGATTATAACACTAATCTGGCAAACCCAATGGTTAAAATTGATAATAAATAATAAAAATTATTTTTTTCAATCAATTGAATTATCTTTTATTAAAAATGTCTCACCTACAACAGTGGCTCATCCATCGCGTGAAGTATGTCCGTCCTATTTTTTTAACACTCCCTCCTTCCCCCCGAGCAAGATTGAATGTATACCACTGACCAGACCTGACCTAACCTAACTTAACCTTGCAGACAAGAAATTAGAATTATTAATATATTATACTATTATCATTTCTCATGATAAGAATTGTAATGACAATAAACGTATAAGAGAAGGTGAGAGAATTTATCCCCGCTTATTCGTCTAAAACTTCATATTAGTCTTTAAAAATGCCGGGACCTATTCTTCTTAAATGGTTATCGGACATCAGATAAGTTGAACAATTTTTTTCGTTATCACATAAAATCATAAAATCGAAAAAAATAATATTTAAATTTAACATAATCGGCGATAATTTGAAAATTTGCTCTCCTACATCAATTTATTTTTGAATGACCACAGTTAACTAGACCTAATTGGATTAACTTGAGTTAAGATATCAAAAGCAACCCATATAAACATAAAAATTCGAGTGATTGTAATCTTTACCGATGAAAACCAATACCATAAATACTTATATTACAATATACGATTCCATTGGTATAAATTAGAAATATATGCACAGAATGTGGTCGAGGATTCGGTTTCATTGCACCATTATTGTAAATATTGTAAGCGCCGGACTGGCGGTGAACAACCCACTAACTGATTAACTAAATATTATGTCTAATAATAATAATAATAATAATAATAATAATAATAATAATAATAATAATAATAATAACAATAATAATAATAATAAAAGTAGTAGTAATAGTAATAGTAATCGGAACGAGACGGGCACGTGTATCCGGTGTGGTGGACGCTACGGTGTGTGTTGGTGCGCATTATTACACAACAATATTATTATAACATTTTTATTTCTCATCGCCTCTTGCCGGCGGTGGCGGCGGCAATATAGTCGATACGGGTCGCCGTCAGACGACGGGACGCGTCTCTGGTATTGCCGCCGCCGCGTCGTACACACGCACACGGACGTCAAGGTCGTGTTTTGGGCACTCGCGCACTTTCCTTTGTGTGTTCGCGCCCGGTTGACCGGGAAAAGCAAAACAAATTATTTATATATTATTATTAAGCCGCCGCCGCCGCCGCCACGCCGGCCCCACCACTGCGCCGAGACGCTTCGACCGCGCTACCCGACGAGTGCGTTACGTCACACGGCGTCGGCGACGACGATACGATCTCACGAAAACAATAATAATTCGGTTGGACAGGCGAACGGAGAGACGAAAAATTATAAATAAAATAACCATCGCCAAGCACAATACCAAAATTATAATAATAATATTATCATACTATAGGCGTAGACTCGTAGACAACTGAAAGGAAAACTCGTGTTACCTACTGCGGCGGTGGTGTTTGAATCGCAACAATATTAGGTATACCATTTAAATATATTGTTATGTTGCTGTTGTACGACTACCGAGTTACAATTCGCGAATAATAGGAGGGACCTTCGTAACGTTACGATATACACGTTATTCTATACGTCGTTAATTAAATTTCGTATTGTCGCGACGGCAAAAATGCAGACGTGCCAAGGGTATCGCCGACGTCGGACTATCGGGAGGTTGAATAGCTTTCGTGCTCGCACCCATTGTTCTACATTGCGTATAGGTAGTAGTAGGTACGGCTAGGCGAACGCCGCGTTTGCCGTGTGACGTCACCTAGTCGACCGCGCGGTAATTACACACGTTTGTTGTTGTTAGTCTGTTACACTGTTGTTGTGTACGTTCTTATAGCGGCGGCGCGATTACGACTACGACAGGTGGGGAGAAGACTCGTTCCTTTTATTATTATTCTTTCATTACACAGACGACTACAACAATAGTTGTAGTCGCCGTAGGCGCCTGTATAAATACTAATTACAGAGCGCGCGCTCGGCGCGTGTGTGTGTGTGTGTGTGTGTGTGTGTGTGTGTGTGTGTGTGTGTGTATGTACTCGTAAAAAGAACAAATGAAAAAATGTGTTACGTCACGGCGGCGAAATCCTTCCAGAAAGATGACACGCGCGCGTACGTACGTACAATAATAATAAAATCCCTCGGCCCGATTGTCGAAACGGCCCCGGTGGCGGTGACGCGAACAACGGCGGCGGTTAGACCTTGACAACGTCCGTCAATGAACCTGCAAGCAGCAAAAGCGCCTCTCACTTGCATACGTACGCGCGCGCACCGCACATACACACGACGTCCTTCGACATTTCCCACACCCACCGACGGCCGTCTTTGTTGTTTGTAAATTGTAATATTAATAATAATAAAAATAATAATATTCAACTCCGCTGCCGGACGGCAACAATAAAATACCTATTATTATATATTATTATTATTTAGGAAGCGTACGCGCACGTGTTATTTTAATAATTGTTCGGTGCGGGCAGAGACGATCGGCTTTGGTAAATATGACTCGGCGGAGCAACAGTGTCGGTCGCCAAACGGTGCGCCCAAACCCGTTGCCAATAAAATATATAATATTATTCGTCTCGATCGTCTCACAAGGTCGACACAGAACACCACAAAATAGTATACGCAATGCCAGTAATGTGTTGTTTTTTTTCACCTATACTTGACGACGATAATAAACGTAGACCCGGTTTTCCTTTCGAATCTGGTTTCCTATAATTTACGACCGATGTTTATAGCAAATCGTATTTCTTTCGGTATTGTGTAATAACACTATATTGTTACATACTTTTTAAAAATCCAGTTTATATGAATGTATTATACAAAAAAAAAAAAAAATTAAAAAACTCATATTAAACGCAACTATCTCAAAAATAAATACTAAATAAATATTAGAGTGAATGAAAATGACAATAATTGCATACAGAGCACCTATTATCACTGCGTAATAGTTACGTTCCAAGCAAAACCGAAACGGAATGTTACGAAGTTGCGTCCTGGGTTTTTCTTGAGCATACCCGAATTGCGACCACACAGCGATATCTACGTCTATAAATTTTAAATGTGATTATCGGTTATCATTTATCACACTAGTACTATCGATTAAGTATACATTTATATTTAGAAATTTAGTTACGTTATTTAGTGTTATGTTAACAAAATTATTGTCGCATTCATGTGTGTGTTGACGGTTATTTAGTCAATTTCACCACACTCCATACGTTACTTATAAATATTTACATTATTAATTTTTATAATAGCGAATAAAAAGAAAATCACGTACAGTAAAAAACAATGTCATTAATTTATTATCGATTAAAACAAATTTCAATTTGCATTTTTACACATTTTGTTTAATTGTAACAAAATCAATGTCATATTTTCTCTTAAATGTGCTTTAACCGATTTTGAAAAAAAAACAATACATTTAGCTTTTTTATCATTTTGAAAAAATATCGATTCCATTATTTGAAAATATTTTTTTGCTTTTATAATTTACAGGAAGCAACTAGTATGTTAACACAAACAATTTTGTACAAAATTAGTATGACCCAAAAAAATAACCGGGACGTAAACCGGAAGGAATTGTTGCCACTGAACGCAATTCGAAGGCAACCTCTTTTATGCAATAATCTAACCTAACCTGGTAATTTGCAATAAACATATAAACATTCCTTGTGTTTATGTTAGTGCTCTATCAATAGTACCTCATTCTTAAATGTATGTATATTAATATCTTATTGTGAATTTTATTCACACTTTTCATTATTATTTACTTTTTAGTTCTTTTTTTAGTAAAATTAAAAATTTGACTTTGACATATATATATATCACACAAAAAGAATATACGAACAAAAGTAATTATTGTGTTATGCATTTTTCGATATTTTACCAATTTTTTGCTTAGTTCCAAAGCCATGAGATGGAAATTGAATAAGGGGGGGAGATATAATGCAAAATCAAATTCTCAATTCTTTTATTGTCATTAGAAATATGAATACGTTTACAATGTCATGTTGATTTGACCACGAAAAGTGGGTTAAAAATCTCGGAACTTGATTAGAATCTTTCTTCCCGTACAAATTAATACTAGTAATAATAATAACAAAACTAACGAACCAAATAAAAACTGAAATAGTTGAATCTCCTCTCTGCAGCCGCGGTCAGGTTCGATCTATAAAAAATAATGAACTCGAAGAATGTCCATAACCAAGATTTATAGGAGTTATTATTGGTAATATCCACACAGTCAGAACGAACGCCGTCAAAGGGATGATTGAAATCTTGGGGGTACGATTGTAACCAAACTCGTAAAGTCGTAAAATATAGGAAGGCAGAATGGACGTGACACTAAATTATTACCACATTTAATTTTTGATAACAGTTGGTTCCTTTATTTTTTTTAATTTTATTTCATGTTAAATGTCATTATTAGTGATGGGCACAATGAGAAAAAATGATTTAAATATTCTATAACTTTTCCGAATAATAAGACTATTTGGTTACGGAAAAAAATATTGTTTAGTTCGTCTATTCGGAAGTGCCCATCACTATAGTTATTACCTATAAACTATGTTTTATTATATTTATTATTTACTTTTTATTTATTGAACCACCGTCACCATAATAATATAATAATATAAAACGGAAATTTGAACGGTTACAAAATATAATTTCACATGCACTCAAGGTTCAAACTTCTATAAAACGAAAACTCGTGATGGACGGAAATGTTAAAAATTAACACTATAATATTATTACATTCCGATTAAATTATCAACCAATAATTGAACACTAGGCTATTAGGTACACGATTTGAAACGTGTATTATGTGCAGTGCAGAATGTATCGAAATTGATTAATTAAAAGGAAATAATCGTAAAAGTATTGTCTGTATTAGCGTTGATTAAGATCGAAAGAAATGCAAATTTGGTCGAAGATTATAAATCAAGTACCTAGACATATTTTTTTTTCATCAGGTGAAACTAAAGACAAATATAGGTATGTGTGTGAAATTGAAATTCTTTGTATGCAAATTTAAGTATAAACGTTTATTACAGATTTCAGAACTGGGCAACTAGAGTCTGATCATCTAAAATACTCTTACGTTTTCGAAATACGATCGTGGATTTAAGTCCTATATGTGAATCGATATTAGAGTAGGCTTAAAAATGTAAAATAATAATTACATCCTAGTGTATATTTTTAAATTTAAGTCCTGTCAGCAATGGCAGCAGAAGTCGCGAACTTGCGATTAATTCAGAAATTAGTAATATTTTATAAGCTGTACAGAAATTATCATAAACGTATAATGCTGGTTGTTTGAGTACATTTACCGCGCTTTTGAGTTTTATAATAATATATTTTAAATTTATACAACGTAAAATATCATTCTACAAACTTATTGTATATAAACCGAAATGAACACTATAATAAAATCGGTAAAGTACGATTCCGTACTATTTTCCGGGCAATGTTGCCATTTATTATTTATTATTAAAAAAGTTAAAAATTTGTCAATTAAATAGAATAAATTATGTATATATTTTTACTACAAATACTTGACAAATATTTTATTATATGTTGGTAAATAAATATTCGTCGATTGTGTGATATAAATATGTTTAGTAATACCTTATAATTCACCACATGTTTACTATTTACTACAAATAGTATCATTTTTTGTTTTTATGCTATCTAATATTATTAATATAACAATAAATTTAATAAAAAAATTAATTATACGAAAATTGATTATCATGTGGGCATCACTCTCCAAATATGCAAAATAAGCCCAAATGCGCTTTAGAATAAGCGCATTTGAATAAGAATAAAATCTTACGTAAAAACCGAACGGAATGTGTCTTAAAATGTGCACGATTCCGTTCGCTGATAAGGACTGTACGTTTAGGTAAGTACAATATAAGTATTATTACCAAGTTTCAAGTTTTTACGTGTATTTATAACCACATTACAGTAAAAAAAAACCACCAAAAATTTAAATTCCTTAAAAGTTCAAAAGTGGCTCAAAAGTTTTGGCGATGATACTGTAAGAAAGTTAATCAAAAATACAACAAAAAAGTATCTTGTGTTTTTTCAATTAAATCATTTTTTCTGGTAGAAAACATTCCCATTTATGTGCTTTTATTTAAAAAAAGGCGTCGAAAATGAACAAAAATGACCTGCTTAAAGTATCATTTAAAACAACTTGAGCTTTCAGAAAAGTTGATACATGTAAAAACCGAAGAAAGTTTATTAGGAAAAAACGTGTCCACAAACTAGAAAAAAAAAATAAAAATTAATAAACAGCATTATAAAACCAATAACTCCACTCGCTATGCTCGGAATCTAAAAAGAAAATAAAATTAATACTTTCCGAAATATAAATGTAAAATGTATGTGAGAGGCGTTCGAAAGTCAACATTTCAGTTAGGAAATGTTTTATTAATATTTTTGGTTACTTTATCTACCTAGAAAAACATTCTACCTACCTAAAAAACCTTTTAAAGACACGTATTTTTAATAAATGATCTTTACACAATTTTAATGAATGAATTCGATGTAAACATAAGCTAAAACTTAAGAAAAGGTTCAACTGTCGATATTTTAACACGCCATATATTAAAATTTAAAAAAAACTATTAACGTTATTATTATCTAAAACTGTTAATGGGTAGTCCATTTTTGTAGATAGGTAGTTGGGAAGCTATAAGATGTATATGGTAATTTAATTTATAATATACTGTGTACAATGAAAAATAATTGCAAACTAAAAACGATTCTGAGCTGTGTTGTGTTTATCGTATTTTCCAATGTTGTTAATAGAACCCGGAAATCAACAAATACAAATTTCGATAAATATTTTAATCGGGGGAAAAATTCGCATCTTTTAAGATATTACATGAAAAAACTGAACTAATTTTATTAACCGATAAAATGTTTTTCGAAAAAGACACACAACTCAGTAAGACTGATGACTTCTTCTTCGTTACACTCAGAATATAAAATCATAATATAACAATGTGAAATCAATATTAGCTATATGTATTACATTATTTTCAACGTTATTTATTATGTTATTATATTCTATTGTAATAATCTTAAATAAATTAATCTCCAATAAAATAAGAACCCGGTTGTGCTTTATTTCCCAAACAAATATTTTACCCAGACTATTTACTCCCTCCCCACCCTTAACGACGATTATCACGGAAAACGACGAGACGGCAGTGTTCACATTTTACGCCAAGCGTAAAACGGTAACGGCCGTGCTCATAACCATGCGCGGGATATCGTGTTAACTGTGGGCGGTCACGGAGAGGTCGGAGGACCTTGGGAGTATGGATACGACGACGACGGTCCGTGTGCTCGAGAGCCGTAACGGACGAAATCGTCTGGGAATGTTGTCGAGACCGGTTTTTTTCTCCTTTCCATTCCTTGGCGTCGTTGCACTTGCACGTACTCCGCCCGTGAGCCGCCGCCTGGCCAACGGAGGAATGCACCCGTGCTAGTGTGTGTGTACGTGTGTGCGCATGCTTGGCACTGGAGATTTTTTTTGCCTACCACTGCCATTGGTCGACCATCTCCATCATGTTTTTTTTTTTGTGTTGTCGAACCAGAGGTTTTTTTCTTATTATTTATTTCCACTCCACCGACTTTCCAACGGGTTATAAAATAAAAATATCGTTTACAGCCTCGAGAATCGCCTAACCGCCGTCGCCGCCGACAAGTCTGATTAACGCATCAGTACCTATGTATACATTAGACAACCTACACACCGGTCGGGGGAAAAATAAAATAGTAGTGAGAGAAAGTGTGGTTGTTTTTTTTCTGACATCAGAGGTTAGCTCTCGAGAAGTTTTTATTTTTCGATCACATTTTAAAACCCCAAAATAAGATTGACGCGTTGCGTTACGAGTAGACACCAGTATGCCACGGTATTGAAGGTTCCGCTTCGAAGCGTTTTCAAATCCTCTACCACCGCAATGGTCCGTTTATCATCGCGTCCGTGATTATTCACTGACACCGCAAAAATATAATAAAATACAGTTTTTTGTTCGTTCGTTATGTCAGCTGAAATATTGACCTAGACCCAAAACGCAGAATCCAAGGGCGAGGACGAATGCCGCCCCCGAAAAAAAAGGTTTTTCTACAAATAACTATATGTATTTATATATAAAAGAAGACAAAATAAAATAAACTGTTGATATTAATATCCAATTCTATATAGAGTTATAATAAGGAATTGGTTGGATAATTTCCAAGGAACACTATACACCAATAATTAATGAAGTAAATGGTATAGCTAAGAGGCCTATGGAGGTTATAGTCCCCCTCTAAAGGGCCGTATTTTCGGATTTTATTATTTTATGATTTGAGTGACAACTCAATTATTTTTTCCACTCCTGAAAAAATGTTTACTACACTAAACCATAATAAAAACGTATTTAAGAAGAAGCATTATACCTGAAAATAGACCCAATGGGATAGCTATAGCAATGGCTAATATAAAATTAAGAAATTAATGAAAATTATATAATTACTGCCTTTGCTCAAAATTTTCCTCACAGGATGTAGTGGTACAATAATACCTATATATTATTATGATCCGTGTCCTAACACGTCCACAAAGTGTTTTGTTCTATAAATAAACAAATTATAAACAATTTATATTATATGAAGTACTAATGTACGCATTTACCTGAGTAACTTTGTAAATCCTAAATAGGGTGGTCATGCCGTTGAAACGGAATTCGAGTTCGTATGCATTTGTATTGATGTGGATTTTAGTATTAAAAAATTATAGTAAGTTAAAAAAGATCAATTTAAATAATATGAAGTAAAAACGCGTTAATTCTGTTGTTGAAACTCGACTGTTGCATTAATAATATTCTACACATTTGTAATCCACGCATCCATGTATTATGCCTAGCTAAGTAAAACGCGAAAGACAGATGTAAGTTATTGTGCCGAGTCAGTAAATAAACCTTAGATTGTTAAGTCACAGACGCAGGAGCCTCCATTTCCTTCTTAACTGGAAGTACAAAACACTTTTAACCCCTTCCTTGGGCTTATAGTATTCAGTATTACAACTATTATTATTATTATTATTATTATATTAACAATTATTAAACTATTTATATATTATACACATATTCACCCTACTTTTTCTCCTCATTTTTAAGGACATGAGAATGTCTGCCAACCGTGATGGGCCGTGCTCAGCCACTTACAACTAATCAGTCATCTATCGGCAGTTTTTTTTTTTTTTGTATACCACCCGGGAAGAAGTGAGTGTATCCCACGATAAACACCGCAATTCGAACGTTATTACAATACTCTGCATAAGTATTTAAACGTCATCGTCATAATAAGATATCTCTAAAAGTGATAATATGGTATAGGTATTGAATAACCATGGGTGGAATACAAATACACAACTTATTTGTTATTAGACTAACTACGTTTTCTCTAAAACCATCAGTATATCGATTTAATTTACGCACATTACAAAATTGCTTACATTTTGTTTAAGCCTCTACATAATTTGTATTATGAGTTGTGAGTGTTATAAATGTTACCTATATATAAATAGTTATGACATAAGTTTATGGTTATAGGGATCTAAAATAGTTATAATAACGTTTGTAATAAAGGTTTAAACGACTTGTAAAACAAAGAAAAGAACATGTAAGAAAATCACTTTTTAATTTTCAAAAAAACATCTGTTTTAAACAAATATTTTGCTCGAAGTTTGAGTTTAGTAGTTCATAGTAGATAAAAGCAGAGATATTAAAGAAAACCATTATAACATAACAAAATGATTTCTTTTTAAATCTTCTACGCAGAGAAAAGTTTCGGTAATCAGTAGGACAGAACGTAGATTTAAATTTAGCATTACTATTATTCTTCCAATATGAACAGAGTTATTAAGTTCATGCAAATCCAATTTGAGAAAATTATACTGTAAAGGTTATAAGCCGAACATAGCAAAATATACAGATGTGTAGAGTGTCAAGGAAAGTGTTGATATCAATAATAGAAAATGTAGAATGTCAATCAAAGGAGGATACAAATTTCATTTTTTCTAAGTCTAATTTTAGTGAATTGTAGAAAGAATGGGTACCTATCAGAAAACAAATACTAATTTGAGGTAGCGAATAAAGTGAGGGTATAAAATATCCAGAGGAACATTGGGATCAAATGATGCTATATAGCAGAAACATTATTAATATACTGGGAAAATTAAATTAAGGAGAGAATCGAGCTTATTGACTCAGAGACACAAGGAATACCTATGGAAGAGGGAAAAGAATGGACGAGTAATTTTAACCAAAACTGGATCAGCAGATACTAGGAAAATTAAAGTCCCAACGTAATATAGACTTTATTATCGGACTTATTGACGATTATATTTTAACATTAGTCAATTAATTGATTGGTATAAATTGATAGGTGTACATCAAGATTAGTAAATATTTCCATTTTACTCGTTAAATATTCGTATATTATAAAATCCAGAATATCGTAATAATAATATAATATACTCATTAAGCATAATAATATTATGTTTTTCCTTATACTCATTAGTTATAATTGATAACTTGCCAAGTAAATTATTATTTAAATAAAAATCAACAATATTAATACAATATGTATGCTCGGACACGAAGCTTTTTTATTCATATTTCATACAAATATTATAATAATAATGTTTTATACCCATTACACTAAAGTGACTATAATTTTTTTCCCTCGAATGGAAACGATTGTGCATTTTAAAAGGGAAAAGTTAATTTTTCATTACTTTTTAAGATAGAATGACAACAATAAAAAGTAAAAATATAGTAAAATATAATAAAATAAATAATTCAAAATAACCGAAATAATGTATTAAGTATGTTAATTTGTTAAAAATTTGAAAATGGAAATAGAACTAATTTTCTACAGTCTGATTGGCTGATGGTTTTTTTTTATATTTTTCGGATGAGCAAATCTGTGTTTAGAGCGGACAGATTCGTAGCGAATAGGTATTGTATTGTTTTATGCTACGATTCATAAATATACGCCTTTTTTTGATAGAATACATAGCTACAGTCATCTTTTTTTAAAAAACGGGAGATTTTAGCGAGCTTCGGGAACAGCTTTGGGTGACATATACCACGAAAGCGAGACATATGGTCACGTTACATTACCTAGGAAAATATTAATTTATTATATTATTACGGTCTGTAATAATTACTATATGTACAGCGCGCAAAAGCCGTTTACGACGACGGTTGTTATCGACAGATTTTCCGTTCGAAATCGTTAAAACAAAACCGGTTGGCGGGCCGGTAAAATGAAGTATAAACTTCGACGGAACGAATTCGTCGGACGAATCCTATCCGAACCGCCGTTGAACGCCGGGAGAGTTTTAAGAAAGCGTATTATTACTGTGAAGAAGACGACTGAGATTACCTAATCACCGCCAGCGTCACCGTCGCCGGTGGTCGCGTTATCGAAACTACGACGGGAGTCGTCATCACCGTCGGATTTTAGTAGACAGGCGGCTCAGCGGTCCGCGGGGATTGCAGAATTTCCGGTCAAGAGTTTCTATTGTGCGTCCGCGGGACCATGACGACGGCGACACGGTTCACGGACGGCCTCCAAAAAAAAAAAAAAAAACGAGCGCACACGCGTGTATTGCGTCGTTGTCGGCAGCACAGTCTTACTGTATGGTATAAACTGTTATAATATATAATAATTAATAATATATAATATAGTAGGTATGTATAAAACTAGAACCTTTCCGCCTTCCACGACCGGAATATCTAAGCGTTTCGTTAAATATAATACTCGGAACGTGTATGTGTATATTATCTATAAACACACAACACAACTGTTGCCCCGTCGTTGCCGCCGTAGCTACGTCGTTATGGTAACGGGGGCACGGGTCTTTAGTAAGATCTCGAGACGGCTACGCCGTTACCATTTCCACGTCGATATTCGATACTAAAGTATACAGAGGAATATAAAAGCATAGTAAACAAGAAATCGATCGCGATCGCAGTGGCGGGTTATCGCCATGGTTACGGTAGGGCGTGCGCGGTAACCGATGCGTAACCACACACACATACACACAAACACACACACACACACAAGACAAAACAGTACATAAGTGTACGTGGCGACGGTCGATTGTGCGACGAGCGTGGCGTGGCGGCCGCTTCGTGCGTCACCAGCCCTTGAACTCCATTCCCAATCGCATCCATTATCGTTGTCGTTTCCCCACAATGACGCCGCCAGACGAGGACCGCGGCTCCGCTACGCGTTCTCTAAGTTAAGACGGGAGACGCCAACGCGGTAGCAGTTCCACAGCACAAGTACTCTCTATTTTTACAAAAAATCTCCAATCGTCGTTTCACCCCCTCTCCTCATCCGCAAACTGCTTCCATATATACACACACTACTATCATTACAATATTACTACAAATAGCGTACTACAACTGAAAAAATTACTATTACTACATAATACGCCGTATTGGTTATTACTAATAACTTATTAGTTATACAATTAGTACTTATTACTTATCGCTACGTTGTGGCCAGACGTCGAAACGAATATCAACCTATTTCGCAGTACTTTATTATTGGAAAGACATTAGTTTATATACACGCGGGAAAACGCTAATAAACCGTAAGACCGTTGTTCCCGAGAGCTTGCAATTGCAGCGCATCAATAACGGAATGAGGAAAATTTGCTGCAACGCTACAAACATACGTACGTGAAGATCCTTCCAATTCAGCCGATTGCTTCCGGACAAATTGTAAACAATTAGAAATCTATTGTAAATAATTGTAAAATCAGTCCCGAGTTTGTAAAATGTTCTTTTGGCTGTAAGTCAAAAATAAGTTGAGGGAGTCAAGTTCACGTAGCCCCCCTCATATTGGCCGAGACTCCAGACAAATTTTAAACAATTGTTTATTCATTGTAAATAACTGTAAATCCAATTATTAAATTTGTAAATTATTAAAAAACTTATAAATCAAAAGAAAGCGTTTTTTTTTTTATTTTCCTTTTAGAGGTTTTTTAATAATTGAGCAAAATAGAAAAAAAACGTAGAAAGAATGGGGAAATTTACGAAAATTATTATTTTATTATTTTCTATTTTGGTTTTTTATTATTATAATTCAGTTTAAAATATTCGCGATAACTTAAAATTTGGACAGAAAACTTATACATTTACATTTATACTTTACATTTTCTAGGCGTGGTTAAATTTTGAATTCCGTGTTAAGGAATATTAATATTAATGATTCCTCAGTTATAATTGATAAAAACCAAAAGTACTTCGTAAGTGATACTTGTGCATACGAATAATTTTCTGTAATAATTTCTAAAGCATGTTTAGATAATCCTAATTATAAAACATTGATTGATTCTGATAAGCATCAATTTTTTAATTTTTCAGATTGTTTAAGGAAACTGTGGTGTGTCTGGAATCAAAATAATTAACGCTGAGTGTTACATATCGTAACGTAACATGGCATATATAGTATCGGGACTCTTAAAAGGTTTTCCTTCATGTAATTTTATTTTATTTGTCCATGTTATAATAAAAATAAGGGGGACGGAAACAGCCACTATGGTAGGTGGGGAATTGGGGAAGTAGGATATAGACGAAAATTGAGTGTATATCTGTAAGCAACGATTTACTATTGCTATGGAAAAAAAATTTCTGAGCGGAATTCAGTTGATAGTGTTGGTTTTTAAACAATGTAATATATGTTATATTTTGGTAAAATAATTGCATATGCATTAAATATTTTCTTTAAAAATATCTATTTAATATTGTACCTATTTTTCCGTTCTACAGGTTTTCCATGATTTTTCCATTAATTGGGAAAACTCCTTGGAAAATCAAAAGATGACTTCTCTAAAGTACCTCTCCAGTCAGATTTCCTTTTAGAAAATGTGTTAATTGTAAATCAGAGTAATATTTCTGGTAGAAAATTTGTTCACAGATAAAAAAAAAAATTAGGAAAAATCTGTAGTTTATATTCTTAGTGATATTGAAATATTTTTTTTCTGTGATTCTATTTGAAATATTGAACATATTTATTGTAACGTCATTTAAATTTATTTTTTTTTTTTTAGTTTAATTTTTTATTTTTTATTTGATTTAATCAATAACTAAATGTACCTACAAATAAAATAAGAAGATTTTATAAGACACTAATGTATTTGGTATCATTTATTAATTTAGTAAATAATACATAGAAACATCTCTTAGACAATTATAATTGCTTTTGGAATAATAACACTAGATTCACGGAAAGGTTTTTTTCGTAGTATAAATTTATAAACATCAGGTCAAATGATTCTAAATTATTAATTGTATATCTGTCCAGAAATCATCAATAAAGTCGACAGTATTTTTTTGTTTTGGGCAATATAATGGTTTATACATTTTTTAAATTGCACTAACACTAAAAGAAGCTTCAACTATATAAAAATCATAATTTGAGAATATACTGTTTGGTTACCTCACTTCGTTTTTTAGTTTTTAAGTTTTTTAATTTTTTAAGTTATTTATAATGAATGAATAAATGTGTATAATTTATTCGGAATCGATTAACCAAAGTGGGGGTTACGTGAACCTATATAGGTCTCTCCGGCAGGGGCTACGGCAGAGTGGGGAATTTACAATTGTTTACTATTAATCAGGAAGCGGTCGGTTGACTTAGCGACCAAAGGGGCGATTTACAAATTCGGGGACTGAATTTACAGTTATTTACAATGGATTTAAAATTGTTTACAATTTGTCTGGAAGCAATCGGCCAAAGTGGGGGAGGGGAAAATTCACGTACGTTACAAACGTTTATGATCGTTATCCGATTCACTCAGACAACACGATGATGTCCGTTATAACTAATAACATAAATTGTTCCGATTCGTGTTCGCCGCGTTTCTTAAATTGGCTCGACAAATGGACCAAAAAAAACCATACATGGACGTACGTGTTCAACACTTAAGACTTGATAAGTTCAACATGCTTTATTATAATTATTTTAGAAATAAAAATAAAAATGCCCGAGGAAAAAAATTGTCTTAACTAGTTTTTTTTTTCTTTTTTTCACATTTAACTGTCGATATTGAACCGATTTTAATCGGATATTAAAACCGATTAAGTTTTTCTTATTTATTTATTTATTTATCTAAACCTATCATAGTTTGTTATTAAAAATTGAATCTAGTCTCTTTATCAATAATACTACATTTTTTTTTTTTTTGTGATAATGTCAGATAGTGGCGTAACCCAGAGCAGTTGTTGCTCTCCAATTAATTTTAGACAGAGGTAAAACCGTTTACAACAATGCAAATTGGTATATATTTTGCCACAATACAAACAAAAAGCAAACTATAAAAGTGTTTTAGAGCGGGGGGAAAATGAATCCGGGAGATCTGAAGGTGCTCCCGAAATATTAGAAAATTTTAAATTATTGTTTTGAATATAGTTTTTTTTTTTAAATACTTAATTTGCTTTAGCAATAAGATATGTAACTGATCAGCCCATACCGAAAAAATTCCTAGATAGACTACTGATATCAGGAATTCTTTCCCAGGGATTCTCAATTGTCTATTTACCTATTTTCCGGAGGATTTTTACACGGTGATTTATTTTTACTGTCGGGGTAAAAGTTATATGCACTTGCGCGTGATTGCGATCGTAACGATTATATAGGTTCTTGTACCTATAGTAAATAGTAAAATAATTCATAAATTAACGTTCTTGTATTACGTACTCATACATATAAAGTAATACGTGATGTAATACAATTATTATTAGACTAAAGAAAACAACTCTTTAATGCATTTTGATTTATATAATAATAAACGCGCCGTTATAGTATTTAACATGCACAAGGAAGTTAGAAACTCTAAATAAGGTCATTAGAAAAAAAAAAAATTTACCGATTATAATATACGTTGCTATTACTAATATTCTTGAACCATCGCAGTCTTACTATTTACACGACCTACATCAATAATGCAAAATAATAACAGCAAAGCGGAGTTTTATTTATATACGTATAAATGAATTTGCTTTACAATTTATAAGACGTATTACTATTAAAAAAATAAAAAAAATACCGAGTATAATGATTCACTAAACTTTATGCGGATACATATTACATTATACAAGCTTCATGGTGAAATTAGAAACACTATTTTAATAAACTTTAGAAAACTAAATAACTATTTTTAAAAAAGTACAGATACCTATATAACACGTTTTAGATTCTGAGTTTAGCTAGGAATATATTGAATTTACCATAACGCGTGATTTGCTTTTTTTTATGTCTGTAAATAATTATTTTAATTACTTATACTTATATTTTATCTTAATTATTTTTTTGGGATCACAATCCAGAGGTCAATATAGGGGTATTTTTTGGTAGCAAATTTCGTCTAGTTGATGGAGGAGAGCATTTTTTTTTAATTTCCACTGCATAAAAGTGTATTAACAATTTAAGAATCATTCTAGTTATATTTGCATTTTTTAAAAAATTAAACAATTAAAGAACTTTCACTAATATCGTTTTTTTGTTTAAAAGGTAAAATAAGTATAAAAAGTGGTTTAGAAACATATTTCTTAGTAAAACGGAAGAAATAAAACTGGAAGTTTTCGAAAGAAAAATTGTTGATCCACGCAAGAATGATTTAACTGAGGAATTATAAAATAAGACAATCTTGAAAATAATTAACAGTGTTGGCTCGTGGCCGCTGATGAAAGTGGACATTATGAAAAAGTCCTCCGTCTCAGTTTAATTACAAAGATATGATAACATACTTCATACTTTTATAATAACGAACAACATTTTTTTAATTATTAAAGAAATGATTAACAGTTACTGTTCTTATCTTAAATAAGTATTATCCCCGGATATATTAATGCTCTCCGCGAGCCTATGAATTGAAAATATCGAGGGAAAACCCAATATTCTTATTATTTTATTATTGTTGGGACTACGCATAAATGCTTGCATAAAATCACGGTTTAAATGTATCCACACGCACAATATAATGCTGCGTAGCCACGTATATTTGAATTTTCACAACCACCACTTTACTTGGTGGTCGCTTTTACACACATTTGCTACTTTGTGCGTATTGTTAGCGTATTGGAACCTGGTACTCCCATGACACTATAGGCACATGATGATACGCTAAAATTAATAGTCAAATTGTATGTTATTTTTTAATTTTAATGAAGACGAACTGAACAATTTTCATTAATTTAAATAAAAATGTAATTTGTCCTTTCCTTTAATTTGACGCAGTGGGTGCGATCGTCCTGTTGTTCAAGCCACGAGCTGCCACTGGTAGAACAAAAGTATTGATTAATAATAATAATTTTATTGAAAACAACCCAACAGGAAAACGACTACTAGGGATATCACGCTTAATATGGTAGAATTGTGTTGTTAATGATATAAGAACGTTGGGAAAGGAGTAAAAATTAAAAGATAGCGGAGAACAGAAATAGATGGAGGATTATTTCCTAAGAGTCTGGTCGTAAAAGCTATTACTTCTTAAAAGAAAAAGTACGAGTAGTATGTAATGTACTGTTTGTAAAAAGTACAAAATACATAATTAAAAAGTATATTGTATATACAACGGATAATAATACCATAATAGTAAATTATATATTTTACTTTTGATTTTTAATTGATATTTTGGAATAAAACAAATAGAGGTAATATTATGTATGGTATATATATTATATTATATTATAGTATTATACGTAATTTCGGTTTCAATTTTTTTTGTATACTTGGCATTTACTGTACTAAATTAATTTTTACGCTAATCACCAGCATGCACATTACCAGTAAGTTTTAATAAAATGTTTTCCTTCAGTCATAGGTATACGAGTATATATGGATATATAAGAAAAAACTAGTTTTTGTATATTATACTTTTTCCATCATAGAAATATTGCTGTCATCTGGCCTCTGAAAACCGGTCATTTTTCAGAGTCGCCTTCGCAAAAATATCCTATGCATGAATACAATTACGACGATTTTTAATGGTCGGGAAAAAACAAGGACATTGTACAAAGATATCACGTAAATACACAAAACATATTATATGAGTTGAAATGGGCGATTTAATTGTTTTTTTTTCTTAATTTATACAGGGTAATTAATCTTTGATAAAACACTATTATTACGGAAAGTATTGATGTTTTTTGGACAATTTATAAAACTAACAGTTATCAAGTATTATTTATTGACGTAATTTTATACCACCCTTATTTTTAGGTGTGAAACCAATAACCGTTTTTGATTTTAAAAAATCAACCCAAGTATACTGAAAATCCCATAAACAGATGAATATTTAATTTTTAAAAATGTCAGTGTTTAAGGTTTTAATTTCCGTCAACCAGTTGACAAAATATTCAACTTTTAATTTTGTTGCTTTGTAGGTAAGAGGCGAGTAGTGAAACATAATTTGGGTGGCGGTACGGCACGTAATGTAATAACAGTGCTCTACTAAACTAAAATAAAACTTCATCCATTTATGGAATTTTTAACATAGGTTACTATTTGATAGTTTCCATTTATTGGAAAAACTCCTTGAAAAATCAAAAAATGATCACTCTATAGTACCACTCCAGGCAGATTTCCCTTCAGAAAAAGTGCTATCATTGTAAATCTGGGCAAATATACTGGTTGAAAAGTTGTCCACAGAAAAAAAAACAACACTGTAAAACCATAAGCTTTTTCGATCCTTTCAGAATCGAAAATAGTGAAACTTGCGCATAAACATGTTAGAAGCGGTTGTAAAAATTTGAAACCCCCAAAAGACACATTTTCGTTATTACCCCTATGCAAATACATAATTGCATCCACTTGGTTTCGTTTGGAAACGTCTGTATAGTAGTTCAAAACTAAAATAACACTCTCCTCCAGTAACAACATTAAAATTCAACCTAACTTTAACCATTTCAATCCCGATAAAAAAAACTCTTAATTTCTGAGTTTGAGCTATTTTTGTCCAAAGAGAGCAGCTGAAAATGTATGTATAAGTATATTATATAAATAGATAACAGACATTGTAGCCAGCAATAGTCTTTGTTTTTGGAAAAAATGTTACTGAAGATGAATTGACAAATAACATTTTATACTTTAATGTATACTTGTCTTAACATCTAAGATTAATCTTTCTGCGGCCACTATATTACATTACAATACTATCTTGATTTAAGAAATAAAATAAAATAAATAGGTACCTGTATACCTTCTAATTATTATGTGTATATAAATGCAGTACGTGCATATGTTTACAACGCAAGGATGATGATAGTAATAATAATAATAATAATATAATGTATATGAATAATTTGAATATGCTATGTAACGAGCGGTTCTGGGTTTTTAAGTTAACAAGATGACTTGTTGAAAAAAAATTGAATGCCACCTAGACATAATACTTCACTGTTATGATCGCATTCCAGAACGTGACTGCATAATTGTCAAAAAAAGTATTTTTATAAATACAATATCATGAAGAAACGAGACGGAATAAATAATTATATACATAGAAAGTGTTTAAATTGGAAAATAAAAATAAGAACGGGACAGAAAAATATAAAAAATTTGCAAGTAACTGAAGATTTAAATGTCTTTATATGTTTATAATGTCCATAATTCATCCATTATAAAAAATTAGAATGATTACTAGATCACATAGTTATCGATAAATTGATGCTATGTATTTGTTATTATTAGAAGTCTGATTTTGATAATTTTACATAATAATTGTATGATTGTATGCAATAAAAATGGTAATGTCCGCGATTGAAGGGAAATTAGCTTTAGATGCTGTAAGAGATTCGAGAAATATTAAAACCCATTAGGACAAACTCGGACATTATAAAAATGTCTATACAATGTATGTATATTAATACAAGTAGGCAAAATCGATTTGTTAGATTCTTTAACAGTCGTAAGTCTTAACATTAGAATGAGGTGTGATTAAAATAATATTTTCTTATTTGCATGATTATAATAGGTACTGTTGTATTTCAAAATTGATCATAGTGCCAAGTGGTTTTTTGTATGGTAGGTTAAAAACCGCTAAGAGCAACACTTATGGTGTCACTTTTCACAAGTATGACGTGGTTTAAATACTATAGTTTTTAATTAAATATTATTAATAACAATCTACATTATTAAAAATTTTAATTACCTTAATTTATCAAAATAAATTAGAAAGTATCCATCATCAATACATTTTTATTTAGTATAATTATACAAACATAGAAGTTTAATTAATTAATCAGTATTGGTAGAAATGAGTACAATAATTATTTTCTTTTATAACTCGCTAACCTACATAGAGTCCACTTGCGCTTCATTATAACATTTAACGGAGTCTCTAATTCTATGATCCAACCACTGACGACTGACCAGTTTAAGTGACAGTAGCGTACGCAGTATTTTAGTTCGGTCAGGGTTTTCATTATAGTAAATAATACTAATATTAAAACACAAAATAATTTTTACAAATTCTTATTTTTTATCTGCTTAAACTCTTAAGATCTTGTATTTAATTTGATAATTATAAAATAATTTTAGTAATAAAATAAAATATAAACTATAAACTCAAATAATAAAATAACTAAACAATATGCATAGTTTTAAAAGTTAAAAAAAAACAATTTTATACTTATTTATACTTACAATAAACATACCCTCAACCATCGAATTGATACAATACGATACGTATCGACCCAGAATACGATAGAGTATACTTAAAAATAAGATATCCATATTCCATAGAGGCATAAATCATAAACATGTTGTAATATTAAGTTTTTATTTGAGAAAATTATATTTATAATAGATTTACTTCAATATGTACAAAATAATTTGCCCTTTATTTTTTAATAACTTTACAAACACAAGTATTTTTCCATAAATGAATGTAATAGGCACTCTTTTATCTAAGTACTCTAAACGTTTAATCATTGGATTCTTTGTCCAACCAAATTCATTTACTAGTGAAATAAAAGTACTTTCGCTTTTAAAACAAATTTGAACAATATAGATTATTACATTATATAACTTACATTTGGTAAAAAAAGATATGATATAATAGTTTAATATTGTACATCAAATTTTACGTATCCAAATTATAAAGTTCAACAGAATTTAGTCTTTAAGAGAACACTGTACCCGTATTTATTATATCTTGTTAATAGATAACATAGCAAAATTACGTTACTTAAACTACACATAAATAGTATTGTTTAGATTGAAATCTGTAATTAAATACAGATAACAAAATTTTTAAAAAATGTTTTAGAAAAAAGGCAAGGTATTTCCATACATATAGCTTTCTATTATATCTCTATATGTACCATGGTTATCATTTAGATAGTCGTGATTTGTATCTATCTTAGCCCAAAATTATCACAGATGTTTTTTTAATTGTACCGTGAACAATAATACTAAAATACTAAAAATACTAAAACTTGAAAAAAAAATGTTGAGAGAAGGAAGAAATTTCGGGAGAGGAGGTTAAAATCCTAGAACTCGTATATCCTGCGTACGCCACTGGTGACAGGTATGTTAATGTGTTTATTATTTTTAATTTGGATATAATTATATAGGAATTAAATTTTTAAATAAATATGTGGTCCAACCTTTTGTACACTCGTAGTTCGAAAAAAAATGTTTACATTCATATAAAAAATGCAAGGGCCAAAAAGATAAAAAGGGTTTTGGAAATTTCTTTTTTGATTCATTCATAAACTAATAAATATTATTATTATTTTTAAATATATGAAAAAAAAAATAGTAATTCAAAACAAATACTATGTAGATTGTACGGTTACTTACTAACCAAATGATAAAGTGATAATATATGATAATTTTCATATTAAAATTAGATTATGAAATATTAAGTTTTAAGATACGAGAGATTTTTGATAAGAATTAATTAGTTTTAATTTGTAATATAATTGATTTTGAATGGAATTATAGAATTACTGTCTTTTGAAAATCTGTGGAGCGATTTATGATAATATGAACTCTTTGACTTAGCTGGCATAGAAAATAGGTGTTGAAATTCGGTATAATTACGAAAATTATAAAGGTTACGAATTTACAATGTTTCGGACCCAAGAAGAAATGAAGCCACGGCGGTGAGATATCTGTGGGATATCAATCAGCCGGCCTAAGACCAAGAGAAAAACCAAAAAATCGCCGGGTTGTCGGGATCGAGATTTAATAATACTATACATGGGGTACTGGAAGAAATCTGTCCAGGATATAGGAATATGGAAAGCGGTATCGGTGGTAGCTAAGACTCATGAAGAGTCGTCATGTCAAGGAAAAGAAGAATTATTGATTTTGAAAACAATTATAACAATTTAAATACATTTACTATTATAACCTGATAACTTGTACACGAAATATGATCTTAGAAAAAAATCTAAAGCGCCATTGCTACAAAATATCAATTAATAAAATATATTGGATTCGTCCACTTAATAATACTTACATGTAAAACTCCAATATAAAAATTAAAGTATTTTGTTTCAAGGAAATATTTTTAAATATTAGTAGAAGCTCTACATAACATTTATAATTTAAATATTACTGCATTAAGTTAAAAATTGTGTTCAATTCTTATATTAACTAAATTCAATATATTAATATTTCTGTAGAATGTAGGCAACTTATTATAAGGTAGCAACCTTGTAATAATAAATTATAATATAAGAACTTAATAAAAATACAGCTACTTATAAATGATTTCGAAAAATATTATTATTATAATTTAATAATGCATTTATTCAAAAGTACAACTTGGTTCAATCTATAAAACATAAAATATACCGTTCACTATCGCGCCTCTTTAGCTCAGTGGTAGAGCACTGGTCTCGTAAACCAGGGGTCGTGAGTTCAAACCTCACAGGAGGCAAATAATTTTTTTTAATTTTATGAAGTTTAATTTATAATTTTAATTCTATTCCATTATAATAGTATTTTTAATATTATATAAACTACAGGAAAATATAACTAACTTGTAAATATTAACAAGTATTTATTTATTCACAAAAGGTTATAAACAGGGGCATAGTTAAACAAAAAAATCATCTAGACTCAGCTGAATTAGTTCAAATATATACTTTTAAAAGTATATATTTGGTAAACATCCGAAATCTATCTTTCAATGGTACCAGCCTATTCTTGGTACCCATTTATTTTCAGATTTGTATTTTAAAAAACGGAAATACTTGACGCAATGTTGAAAGTGAGAAGTTGAGAAGGTATACAAGATAATATAGTTTAGTTTATATAATATTCATATACTGAAATCAACTACAAATTATTACAATTAAATAATGAATATGAGTGGGACTCGAAGTTCGTTGTTTTTTTGTTTTTTTTTTTTTTTGTGTAATCTAGAGAGACTAACCAAACATAAAAACTTACCCTGACATAGAACTCGAAAACCAAAAACAGACATCATTTTCTCGGAGTTTCCTCATAATTTTGAGTATTATTATTAATAAAAAGTGTTTCAAATAAAATAACATCGGGTGAAAGTTTAACATCACAGAACACCATGAAAAAATTGGAACATTTTTATTAATCGAAGCAGTATCAGGTAATCTATTTAAGTTGGTACACTCATTATCTCAGAAAGTATTAACTTTTTTCGGAATTCGTTTTCTAGAACATTTAAGAAAAAAAAAAGCTCTACAATTTCATATTTATGTTACTTTTTGTCACGCTTATTTTTGGGGGTAAAACTGCTACCTACTTTTGACTTTCAACTTTCAAATGACAACCAATATTAAAAACTCCATTTATTTATGGAGTTTTTAATATAGGTTGCCAATTGAAAATCAAAAGTAGATAATCGTTTTACTCCCGAAAATAAGGGTGACAAAAAATAACAGAAATACAAAATTGTAAAGCAACTTGTTTTTTATAATATTCTAGATAACATATTCACAATATTGAATTGTGATATTTCACATACCTACTTATATCCTATTTGAAAATTAAAATATCTACAAAATACGTTACCAATATAATGTTATTTTCTTTAAATTTGTTAATGATATAATAATACACTCTAGGTAATATTTCTAATCTTAAAATTTAAAACCAATAGCACATTACTGTCCATGCTGAATGTGAATATGTATAGTACATTATCGTACGTTTGTAAGACGGAGACAACACATACGAATCACGCCCTTTAAAGAAAATATAAAAAATACGGTAGTTGTACCTATTCAATACTCAATTATATTAATAACTTCGGTTAATAAACAACTATAATCCACTTTTCAGGTTTTTTAAATAAAAATGTATTACATTTGTGATAGTTAAATATACTTGTTTTGTTAAAATTCGCAGCGCGCCTCTTTAGCTCAGTGGTAGAGCACTGGTCTCGTAAACCAGGGGTCGTGAGTTCAAACCTCACAGGAGGCAAATAATTTTTTGTACGTTTTTTGATATTTTTTTTTTTGTTTTGAAGTAATAAAATCACTTACAATATAATTTCAAAAACGCTTTAAAGCTTTTTTAGACATTTATCCAAATTATTAAAGTATTATTTAGGTACATCAAATGTACATAAAGCGTTTTAAAACAAATATAATAATTTATTGTTTTAATAAATTATATAGTAAAACAAATATTATTATCTTACTTTATTACTAAATATTTGTATAACCAAAGGGTCATATTGAAATCTATAAGATTTTTTACCAAAAATAATTGCAATTTTTTTTATGTTGAAAATGAAAAAGTTTTTTTTGTACATTTTTGTACAACTCGAATACATTAAAATGTATTCGAGTTCTTACAAAATAAATTATAGCTTGTTAAAAGTTAGTCAGTGAAGTGAATAGCTAATAACAATTTAATTCAATAATTTTGATTCAGTAAAATCTACACAAATGTACAGTTAATTAATAATAAATAATAATAATACAATTTTTAATAATAAAACCTATCGTTATTATATCGTCGAAAAATATTCAAAAATATTACAAAAAATATTACATTTTTGCTAGTACAATAATATTATGATTATTATAATGATTGTTTATATTTTTTTCCAAACTACTTCATTGGCATTCAGGTTAGGTAAATATACTTAAATTTGTTTGTATGCAAAACATTACCAGATCACCCATGCCAAGGTTGATTGGTGTTTTTTGTTATCTCGTTTATGTGTATAACGCGTTGTCATTTCTTATTTACCCAAACAAGTTAGCTGCATTTTAAACTCTGACACTAAGCAATGACTCATCTAGACCGTGATCTATTTCATGCAATCATGTTCAGTTCCATTACGTTTATGTTATTCAAACCACGAATAGGTAAGTATGCGTAAAAGATGGCACGTGCAGAATTTTTCTTTCCTAAATAAGACCTTGGGATGGTCATGCAGTATGATAATGTACATGCATATAGTAGGTATGGAAGTAAAATAATGACGAAAATAAGGAAATCAAATTTGTTAATAAATGTCGGAAATAGATGCACACTGGAACAACCAAATTATTATGATGATTTCAATGTAAGCAGATTATTTTAGGCCAACTACCTAATAATAGACCATAACGTCAAGGGACATAATTACAGAGGGAGAAACATGGGAGATAGATTCTCCCATGAGCAGTATTTATATAGTATATTGTTATTTTATACAAATTAGAAATTCAATTGCGAATATTCAAAACTATTATGAAATTAAAAAATCATAAATGTTTAATTGTATTAGTAGGTACCAAAATATTCGTAATTTATTATTATACTAGGTAAGAAATATTCTTAATAGTATATATCAAAATAAATGGTAAATTTCACTTTAAGCTGATATTCCAGAGTCGGGCAAAGGGCCTATATCTCAAATATCTATCACCATATTTTATAAAAAACTTGTATAATTAAAAAAATAAAATCTAAAAATTAATTTATAAAAAAATGTTTGTTGATGAAATTTTAATTTGCATATTTTCCAATTTTAGTTGCTTATTATGGTGTTCTTAAGTGCTAAAAATTTACTTTGTGCTATAACATCCGAGCTCTGGTGATAAATTATTAAATGGTGGTAAAGGGAGGGGGTGAGGCTAACTTCCCACAAAATTTCCATGAAGATTTATTTTGATACCCCTCCCCTTAAAACATTCTTATTTACGCCACTGGTAACGTCATAAAAACGAGTCTCAGACATTACGCAAACGCGAACAACCATAAAACCTTATTACATATTATTATTGTGACGTAGTAATTTCAGTTTTCATGTTTTCGAGTTTCATTCGGCTAAATAAGAATACTAGTTAACGATGACAAAATCGCAGAACAATACAATATACAATATGCATAGGTATAGAATACGAAATAATACTGAAAGGCATACAAAATACATAAAAATCTATAAAATAAATGTATTGATATCAGAATATAGGTATCCATATAATTTTTGTTGTATAAAACATTTTTAATTTACAAAGGAGGTGCCCCATGCGATTGTATATAAAATTAATATATTAGTATGTAACATAAAACTACTCTTCTCAGAATCACATTTCGTTTGCAATAGTTTATCATTATACTGAGAAAATTTTGCATACAATTATAATCTTAACCTATATATATTAGTCTATATATTTATTGTATAAACATCTATATACATTAAATAACATGTCCTGATTGATTCATCATCGCCTAGCCCAAACCACTGGACGGATCGGACTGAAAATTGGCATACAGATAGCTATTGTGACGTAGGCATCCGATAGTAAAGGATTTTTGAAAATTAAACCCCTAAAGAGGTAAAATAGGGATTTTTAGGTATATTTTGTACAAATATATAATTGTTTATTTTTATTTATTCATGGGTTATTATGGTGCAAAGGCGTAATGGAAAGCAAATTCAGGCAGAGAGCTTCAAATTTATCCATGCCATCCACCATTTAACAATGAAATTACCAAAAAATTTTTTATCATTCCACTCAAATTATAATGATGTTTATTTATTTTTTTTTTTTTTATCTATAAGCAACTTTCTTCAATAATTCTGGTAGACATTTTTTTCACAGTTAGACAATCAGTATACTGTAGGATGTAGTTATCTAGTTTTACATTCTGAGTGGAGCGATTAAATTTTATTCCGATTTACAATGATAGTAGTTTTTTTTAAAGAAAATCTGACTGGAGAGAAACTTAAAGAGGTCATTTTTAATTTATCCAAGAGCTTTCCTAATAAATAGGAAAAACCAAGAAAAACTTAGGAAAACAGGAAAATAGGTACAAAAATAATCAAATATTATTAAAGAAAATATACAATGCATATGTAATTATTTTACCAAAATATGACATATAAATTGTTGACACTATCAATCAAACTCCACTCAGAATCGTTTTTTCGTTAGCAATGGTTAATTATTGTTTACATATATATATATATATATATAATTATCTATAACAGTGGCTGGACCCGTCCCCATTATCCTAAGACAGCTTGCTTATTTCTATTTTGTAGAGTAACAAAAAAAGTATAGTATAAATAGTATAATGTATAGCAAGGTATTGTACAAACTGAACTAACTAAAGAAAGCCTTTAGACACAAAGAATTCTTTCTCCGAGTTTCCTTCTATTGTAAAAGAAAATTGAACCCCTCATAGAAGGTCCCTGGCACAAATCCTCTATCATGCATCATACCTACTAATACAAGGCAGCTGATCAAAAAGGTTGACACAAGACTATAAAAAAAAATATTGTTAACAATAGGTTCAAATACATCTGCAGTTTTTTGGTTGCTCATAATCGTTAGAAGAAACACCGGTTCCTTCATACACATAATTATATGTCCTCTTTAAAATATATCCCCTCAGCAATACATAAATGAACAACTGTATTTTTATTTGAAAAATAAAATGTTTCTATATAAGGTTGAGTTTATAATAGGTATTATAAATATATATGTACAATTACTTAATTACCTATTTAAATAATACATTTATTTACAGATTTTAAATATTATTAAAAGTCTCCATTACCTAAAGGCGTACTTGAATATATTTATAATTTATCAAAGCGTTATTATAAATACATATTAATATTATATTTTGACCGTAGTAAAGAATTATTGGTTTTGCTATATTTTGTTTGGTTCATACATTTTCTAACAAAAATCTTACACTGATCAACAATTTCAAAAGTGGTTTCTGGTAAAAAATTTAGTAGTATACTAGTATATTTATTTTATTTTTATATCTAATACAGTTAAAAAACAAACTATAAAGTAAATCTCAACGAACAAATATGATATGTATATTGTATATCAATATGAGAATAAACACAATAATTAATGTCAAAAATCAAACATTAAAATTATAGTATTATGAACTAAAATAAACTACTAATACAAACTATAGTCTATAATATATAACAATATAGGTATATAGTATATGTGCTTCGAATATTTTTACATTATATACATTATAATATAATAATTTAAAAATTGTAATAGGATCAAAACTCCCTGAAAGGAATTGTACTCTATAAATATTGTGATAGTTTCATATTATTAAAGACTTACGACTCCTTAAAACGTCACCAAAGTTTTCTTTTTAATTCATTAATTTATCAGTATATTTATTATTGTAACCAATTATTTTTAGTATGTTGTTTAAGGATTTTTTTGGATTACATTGGAACCTCGACTATCTGAGGTAATGGTGGAGAGGGGGTCACACGAATAAATAAAAACCACGGTTAATTGAGACTTTTAGATTCTGAATAGAGCGAAGAAGCTTATAGTTTTACAAAGATGTTTTTTTTTTTTTTGAATTTTCGCAACTTTTCTACCAAAAGACTTGCTCGGATTTCTATGTGTAGCACTTTTTCTATAAGGAAATCGGCGTGGGTAAGTGGCTTTAGTGAAGTAATTTTTCATTATATACTTAAGGGTTTTTATTCCCTGTGCAGAACTTTTCTATCAGCAATTTTGCTCCAACATTTAATGAAAGCAATGTTTCTAAAAGGAAATTTCACTAGGAAGGTACTTTAAAGAAGTAATTTTTCAATTTTCTTAGGAGTTTTCTCAGCAAATGTGAAAAATCGGGATACATGAAGACATGGAAAAACCAGGAAAAATATAGGAAAACTGGGAAAATCGATACAACATTAAACAAATATTATTAAAGAAAATATATAAAGCCTTTTAATTATTTTACTATAAAATAACATATTTATTATTGACAAAACATCACTATCAACTGAACTCTGCTAAGAATCGTTTTTTCGTAAGCAATGATTAATTGTTGCTTACAGGTATACATTAAATTATCTATAAAAGTGGCTGCACCCATCCCTATTATTCTAGGACGTCTTTAAAATAATAAATAATATAATAATATTACATAATTTATTAAACAATTTACAATATTGTTTATCTCCAATAACTACATACTTGCATTGAAATAAATACTAGATATACATGGTCATATTGTTATAGCCAAAAATATCATTAATACGTTCGTCGATACTATATATTTTATGATTTATAATATGTACAGTCCATACTTATGTTTGAATGAACATGATTATTCGCGAACACGGATAATCAAGACACGATTAATCGAGATACCACTGTAAAATAGTCATGAATCATACATAGTACTCATAATAATCAAGTGAAATTACATCTAGATTATTATTAATTAGGCATTTAAAACATACCAAATATGATCAATGTGAGAATGAAATAAATTAAAAACCTGAAAGACACGTTCTTTAAATATTTGGTCAGGTTATAAGAGTATGAAACTACATATAAAGTTCAGTAGGAACAAAAGAGATATGATAATATTAGGTTTGTCTAAATTTAAATTTTACTTGATATCTACGTTTCATGAATAAACATAGAAGTTTCTTTCAAAACCATATACCTAAATCGAATAAAATATCTATCCTTATGATAATGTGTTTCCTTTTTAAGGTCATCATTTCTATAAAAAAACACGAACAAACTTCACAATTATAACCTAATCTAACTAAAATATTATTCAAATTATTGAACATTCGTAGTCACAATTTTTCATTGAACTCTATAATATTTATACTAGTTTCTAGTTATTAAACTAAAAAATCAAGATAATTCCAGCTTGAGACAAATAGCATTAATTCATTATCTGAATATTTTATTATTGTATAAAAAAAAAGTTAGCAAATTTTACTGTTCCTAGTCATCTTGTCGATTCCAGATATTGCGTTCAAAATTAAAATTGTTCCAGATTTTTTATTTTTCTGATTTTATCATTCTAGATAATGCTGCTAAAAACTATTAGCTGTATGCACAGCCGCATTAGGTCGGGCAGTACAAAGTACAACAGCTGCAAGGATTGTATGGGTGGCTAAATTTTTAATGGTTAGTGATCCGTAGATTCTAGCATTTTTCATAATTATGATAGAAAAGAAAATATTAATTTAATAATCTAAAACAATTTTAATTAATGTGTATTAGTTTTTGTATTAACTATTGTAGGATGTTGAATTGTTAAACATTTAGGAAAGAAATATTCCTAGAAAGGATCATAATTTTTAATGACTTGTTGAAGTATATAATTCATTTTAACTTTAAAAAATGTATAAGATATACATTTTTATCTAGCCATTTTTAATTTCCAAATAAAGTATTTCAAATTATGTTTTTTTTTTTTTTTTTTTTTTAATTGTTGACATTTATTTCTATGTAGAAAGTTTTAATAAGTTTATAATCTACTTTTTCTCTTCAACCGATATGTATACATTTTGAATACATGGAGTTTTGAAATATTTTTATCCCACCCTCTAAAATATATACTTATTTTTAAAATAAATTTTACGGTCTTAACTCATAGAGAGTAGAAGGATAATTTCCCTTTCAACCTTCAAGAAATAAGTACTAATAAGAGAAGCAGAAAATTAATTTGAACAAGACTCGAAAATCTTAAACGCAACTATGGTTTTATTTTACTAATTAAGTACTAGGTATGAATTATTACTGAATCAATGATTAAAAATCATACACCTATTACATCATATTATATAAGAACTTATTCAACAAATAAATAATTAAGGATTATAGACTACTCAGCCCTTATACAAGTTTTTTACAAATCTGATATAGGAAATCCTTTTTTATCATGGATCAGATTTTATTTAGCAGACAGAATGCAGTGGGTTAAGCCCAACAGTCATAAATCAGTAGCCAGTGTTGTACCAATTGGTGTTCCCTAAGGTAAACATTTATCTCCACTACTACTTGTCTTATTCTTAAATGGTTTAAAACAAATGTTACTTAACTGACAGTTCCTTCTTTTCACCGATGACTTCTAATTGTTCCAGAAAATAACATCCATAAATGATTGTCACTCACTACAATCTAATTTGTACAATGTGATTTCCTACTTAAATTTTTTGGGACCAATTCTTTAGGTTAATAAGTGCCAAACCATGTTGTTCACTAGATCAGTGGTTCTCAACCGGTGTATCGCCAAAAAAAATGTTTATTTATGGTTGTTTATAGTGTAAGTTTTCAAAACAGAAATATATGATGTTTTTATGTTATACTTAAACCCACAGATAAGACAAACTAGAAAATTGGCATTACGTGTAAGTACGTGAATAAACATGTCCTCAGTCATAATCACCGTGTTGTGACTTGTGGGCATTGTCAAATAAATAAACAAGTAAATAAATAAAACTAAAATCCTACCTGGTAGAAGTTTTTAATGTTGAGTTACACAGGTCAACAATTTTCGATTCAGATTCGTCATCATTTGTAGAGTCTAAATTACTTGAATTACTTAAATTAGATGTACCTAAAATAAAATAAACAGTAATTAGTTATAAACAAAATAAAATAATTTGTTTACATTGAAAAAATATGTATATTTTAATTAAGTATCTACTTTAAATAATACCTTATTATTTATAAATTATTAGGTACAACTAGAAAAATATATGTTTTCTTAAATTGTAATATATTTATTCAATTTTAAAGTGCTTATAATTTGTAAAATTATTTACAAAATATTACAAATATCTACCATTTAAATTTGTTAAAATTATATACACATATTTATATACTTTTAATATAATAACAATTTTAAACTACAAATTATTTTTAAACATAATAACGCTATCTAGTATCTTACATATGAACTCTCATATACCTACAAATTACAATGCAGTTGTTATTAGATATTGTAAAAATAACAATTTCTTTCACAGCCGAAATAGCTTAGTTGGGAGTGTTTGACTGAAGATTTAAAGGTTCCTGGTTTTGGCAAAAATGTTTACATTTTTTTTTCTTTTATATTTGTATTTTATTTAACAGAAAAATATTAAAATCTTAGATAATTATACATAGTTTATTTTTACTCAATGAAATAAAACAGAATTTATCAAAATAATAAATTTGGAAAGTAATCAAATCAAATGGTTGTACATTTGTATACAAAAATTGACCTATTGTAGACAATGACCATATACAATTAATATCATACAGTATACTCACTGATAACTTTTGATGAACAATAATCAAGACATATAAAAAGGTTGATATTTTTATGTCATAAGTCGCAAAGAAAAAAAGAGCCAAGTAATACTGATAATAGGCGGGTCATTGTTTTAAATGGAAAGTTGGAAAGGTATAAAACGGTAATGCAATTTATACTTGTACCTATGCAACGATTAATAACTACTAACAAAATATGATTTTGAACGAATTTCAATTATACAAGTTTTGAAATGTGATTTTTATGATTAAATTGAATATATGTCAAATAAGTCCTTACAAATTGCTCAAAAAACGCCTGAATGTTTTGAAAATTTTAATATATCTATAATTTTAATATATAAAAGACTATTAAATAAATATTCTATGAAAAATTTAAATGTCTACGATTATTTTTAATCGAAATTATACCAAATAATTAAATCTGAAATATGAAATATCCGTCGTTATTGGCGTAAACTTCGGTTTTTCACAATTATATAAAAGACAACTTAATAAAAATAGTTAATACTATAGGCAAAATTTTCTTTTCAAAAAGGTGATAACATTTAAAATTTGGAAAAAGATGTTTGTAAAAAAAATTGTTATAGTAATTCGTTTAGAATCTAAAATGAAACAAACTTGTACAGTTGACATTAAGTCATTAACAAAATACCAAAACAATAAGTTTTAGGTAATATGATATGCAAATGCATATAAATACTATCAACTGTAACCCACCGAAAACTGGAAGCTCTTTACAACCGCGGACATACTTCAGAGCAATGAGCAATGTTCTCTGTCTACTATCATTAAGGGGCAAAGTGAACACATTATATTTTATTTATTTGACCATTATTGGTGGTTTGTTAAAAATGTTGTTTCATACAATTATAAATATTTTGGTGAATTGATGAAATTTTTCTTTTAGATACTAATTTATATTTACAATGCTTGACAAAAAGAAATTAAAAAAGTTATAGTGCTTTTCCTATAAACCAGAATCGAGAATAATTTAGAGAGTTACATCATCTAAATGCACATCCCAGATAGCATATAGAAATTTGTTTATGTCTTCTTAATAAATGTAATAATCTAGTTTAAAGGGAATCTGGGTGGCCGATCACAGCGTACAAATTATTCAATGATGTCTCCTGGCATTTGGTACTATCAGTTTGTTGAATTTATAGTGTAGATTCAAGTCATGTGAAAAACTTTTATTTCAAAATAAAAGATTAGTAAAAAAAACAACTTTTGATTACACGACAATACTAATTTGTATAATACCAAGTATATAAGTTCACCATTTCATATTTAGTTAATAATAAATTGTCTTTTTTACACTCAAAATTAAGTAGTTGCATAATGGCCAAAATAACTCAGTTAGAAGGGCGTTAAGACCTAAAGGTACCTGGTTTTAACAAATACATTGTATACTATTTCTCAATTTAAACATACCTACTAGATTTAAAAACCTATTCTTTAAGTTATAATTTTATATTGTTTCTATAGATAATATTAAACATTTAAGTGTTCACAAATTCATGTACAATTCATATATATATATATATATATATATATATATATATACATAGGCACTTAATCAAAAGTTTATACATTTTGATTAGTAACTTAAAACTTAACAACAGGTACCGTTATTAGATATTTTAATAACTATTTTAAATCTGGCATCAAATTAACCACTATAACATGAATATTAGATAAAATATTCAGTTTTTCAAATTTAATTGAGAATCATTGTACAATTTGTAATCCAAAAAACATAGGAAAGTAAATGAATACATATTAATACTTGTATACAAAATTAATAATATAAACCTTTTACTCTTTTCAAAAGTAAAAACAAATAAAATTGAAATTCTGATAACGATTTAAATTAAGCAATAAGTGTACATATACATGAGAACCGATTGGTTCACTTTTTCAATTTGTGGTTATTAATTTCTGATAAATTGATTTGAAAACTTGAAAATGTACAAAAAAAAAAAATTTTAAATGAAATTGACAAGGTAGCCATACTAACATTATGTATACTTCATAGTGAATTTAAATTTGTTCAGAAATCTTAATATTTACATGATTGATTGCAGGAAAATTAGTCCAAATAGTTATAATGCTTATATGATGGACAAAGAAAGAAAATAAGCTTATATAATTCCCTTAAATCAGGTTAACCCTAGTATATTATACATACTATATTGACTGGTGAGTAAAGTCTATACTCTAAGCCATGATCGGTAGAAGCTATCTTATATACTGTTTCATAAATATTGTAAATTGGTAATAGTTGTCACTGATAACAATATGTGTTATACATTGTAGGTTTATACTTTATACTATAATAATTTGGAATTTATAACTGAGTAAGTATATAAATTGCAACCTTTTTTTTCAAATATCCTTAATAATATTTGATCTTCTAGTATGAAAAGTTTTTGTTAATTTGTTGATAAAATCTAATATAAATAATTAACTGATCGTAAGAATAATTACTAATATGTGCAGAAAATATATTTTCTGTATACATTGATTTTTAGTAAAGTGCTTTAATAATATTAAGTATAATAGGTATCACATTTTATATATTATACCTACTTAATACTTCACAGTTATATTTCATAATATACAGCTAATTATTAATTATGAGAAGCTAAAATATAAAAATATACCTTTAAGGATTTGAACATTATAATTCTCATATGTTTAAATTGTATTGTTTAAATGAATTTAATTAACTTATTTCAATCATTTTTAATTATGTCCATAAGATTAACAAGTGATTACTGATGAACAACTGGGCTGTATTAATGGTAACTATTGAACTTCAGATATTATAGGAGTTGAAATAGCTTATAACTTATTGTTAGTTACATTTAATAAATTAAATTATATATTTTTCATTAAAAATAACTCTGTTATCAATACACTAATATATTATATTATTTATATAGATATTTAAAAATTGTAGTGGAAATTGGTTAAAATTTGATATTACTTGAACTGAACAAATAGTTTAGTGAATAGCATTATCTAAGAAAAATATATTTCCAATACATACTTAGAAAATATAAGTTTTATTTTACCTGATAAAATGTAAGAAATGTACACTTATTTTTTAAAATATGCACATACATTGAACATTTTTAATTTTTGAATTTCTTTGCAGAGAATATTTTATGCTTGATCTACTATAAATTGAGGATATAGTAAAATATGAATCTCTTACAACTTATGATTATCCAAACCATAGTAATTATATTAGGTAACAAATGTTATATAGATCAAAAAAGTATAGGTATTATTGAATTGTAAGTAGGATTTACATTTATTTAAAAATTTTGTACCTATTTACAGTTAGATTGATGGTTTTTTTTTTTTTGGCACATTTGAACAATTCTTATGTATCACTGCTAAAATTCAATTATAAATGTACCTAACAACTTTTACTCAAAGATTCAACAATAGATAAAATTAAAAAAGTGACATGTACAACCCAGGTTCTGTATGCAAAATATTTTTTATAATCTTAGATCTCACAATTAATGATGTATATCAACATTTTTAATTTTATAAAATTAATAACTTTATAAAACCAATATAATTATAAAGTATTTAAGTTTTTAATATCACAGTAGAAACTGTTACTGTAGTACCAACCTATTCAGTTATAGCAAATATTAGAGGACAACCAAGGAGGAATTTTGGGTGTATGGACATCCCACTGAACCATAGTAATAGAAATAAACAGATTTCATGATCATTAAAAAAGATTTACTATAATAGGGAACTAGGTGGACACTCTCATCAAAAAGAAAATTCTAGTTGTACCACTGATCAAATTACAATAATCTATACACATAGGTAAACAAAACAAATATTCATATTGACGATATGTTTATTATAAACTGAAATTAAGTCAGGTAAATAAATGTAATAGTTTGAAATACACAAAGAAATATAATAAAACAAAATACCTACATAGTAACTAATATTAAAAAAGGTTAAATGTAACTAACTTAATAGTTAACATAGCTATTATTAAAATACTTGAACTATCAATTAAAATCATCAAATAATGGAACTCAACAAATTTAAAAACTAAAGTTAAAAAAAAATTACTAAAATTATTAAATTGCACTGACTGTACAATTTTAATGTTTACATAAAATATTATTTTTTGACTGCATCCAGGGTCAAACTAAGAAAGGACAAAGTAGATTATTGTGTTATTCAGTTCAAGTTTAATAAATAACTAATCTTAATGGATTTACTAATGTATTCCAGCAAGCCAATACTGGAAATCAGTGTTACAAGTCTGCCCCTGGTTGCATTACATTTTTATAAATTTAATATTAATTGAATTTACCTTTAGGTTTATTATTGCTAAAGTTGGCATTGCTAGCATTGTCAGTAATATGGGAAGATGATAATTTTGTATGAACATAATTCTCTGCTTTTTTTCGTATGTGACGTATATATTTTAAGTCATCGTCGAATTTCTACAAAATAAAATATGTTAACAAGGAGGTATTAAAGTCCATAAATAAGTTAATTCCTTATAGAATTAATTAATAAAATATAATACATGAATAGTACTCGATTCCATCATACACGTACAATAACATAATAAATAATAAGCACAATAATTTAATTAACTATTGGATATTTGGATGATTCATCTAGAAAGTTACAGATTACAGTCTTACAAACTACAGTAAGCTTTTAATTCTCCACAAAAATGTAGTAAATACAATTTCTATCATCTATGTATTTTTCAAATGTTATAGAAAATGGCGCTTATCTTTTATATAAAAATGATACTTAACCAGGTTATATTCATTACCAGATATTGGTTAGTGTTTACAGTTTAGGGAAAACTACAATATTATATTATTTTGCTTACAAGGTGGATTTATGTATCCTAATTAGCTGGTTATTAAAAATAATAGACATAAATTTTACAATACTTCATTGTTAGGTCTTAGCATATTTTATATATTTGTTTATAGTTTATATACTGTATTTTAACTGCGTTTTATTTGGTTATGATAATATATTTTCAGTAATCAGTAACCTATAACTAAAATCACAAGTTACATTTAGTTATTTGCCAAAACATGACTATTTATTTATTTTTTTTAAGAATAAATCCAAAGTAAACGATTGAATTTAAATTTATTGATTTCTTACTAGAGTTTTAAAATTATTTTTAATATGATTTACCTATCTATATAATTTTCTTTTATTGATTTTTCACAGTTTTCATGGAGAGTGAAACAATATATATTTCGTGATAATAATTGTTTATGCATTACCCAGTCACCACTGTAGATAAAAATTTAAGGTCACCACTGTAAACTGTTTACACTTTATTGTTTAGTGTTAGTGTCTTGTGTTAGTGTACTGTTCATCAAATATATTATTTCTCGTTTAATACATCTTGTTCTGTAAGTTTGTATTTTAATTGTCTTTCATGTTGTAATATATGCTTCATATTTAATTAACTTATTTACATTAAATAATCCAGGTAAGACCAATTATTTATTTAATATAAATGTCCTTAACCCACCCACTTACGGATATTCAATTATTACTGTTTGTACTACTTAATATTAATTATTTAACCTATATCAAAATTATTTTTATTAATTCATAATTTAATTCTAAAAACAAACTTTAATTGTAATTATGATTAGTTATGTACGGTTATGTATCATAGGTATAATATTTTACTTATATATTATATGTATATGTGGTATAAGTCTAATTTACGACTCAAGCTCATTTTTAAATTTTTTTTCAAAATGTGGTTGTTTTAATTATTATGATTTGTGGCTATTGATATGTTGACAACAAAGTTTTTTTGTTGAAACCAGAATAAGTCTACCTGGCTTAGATTTAGAGATACCAACATTCAAACTCTAGTGACCCCATTAGGTCTCTAGGTGCACCCAAAATGCTATTTTTCAAGGTTTATATACAATAACTATAAAAGTAATTATAATAGGTAAGTTTTGATTATATCAATGGATTAAGCATTAAAAATCACACATTTTGGAAAAAAAAATGTGAAAATGTTCAATTTTCACTAAGAAATATGCGAAACGGAAAACCCGAACTTTATGAAGTTTTCCCTATAACTTTCAAACGCTTAGGTCATAAATTAGATTTATTCCAAAGCATGTTTGCGGAAGTATGTATTATTTTGTGCTTAGAAAATAAACTTTTGTTTATTTCAACAATATTTTTGCGTTCTAGCTAGCGAGTAAATGTAATATAAAAGAAAAATATATTACAAAAACTAATAATATAATGATATATTGTAAATTGTGCATTGAAACCTCAATGTGTGGATATCGATAAAACTATGGTACTCTTTACTCCAGAGGTAGTTTAGGTGATAATCGCCTCAATTACCATAGTCTCATTTAACAAAAAAGTACCTTTTTCTAAATATGTGTTGATGAATTTTTTGTGAAATTAATGCATTTCTTATAGCTTTAAATTGTTTATAAATTCATTTACCTACCTATATCAATTTAAAAACATTATAATATATTCTAGTGTTTCTAAATTATTTTTTGAAATTTTCAGGTATTTCTCGTAGTTCTTCCTTATTCTTGGTAACTATGGGTGACAAAAGTACAATTGATAGCATTGATTTACCAGGACCAATGAATTCAGAAACTAACAATTCCACTCAATCAAATGCAGAAGTGAAAAAATCAGAAGGAATTGAAGTTATAGTTACTCAAGAAAATCTGAAGCCTGAAGGAGAACTAGTTTCTGTTGAAGAACCTGAAAAATTGCAATTTGAAGACAAAAAGACATCTGAAGTTGAAAAAGTTAATGATGCTGCCCAACTTGAAGAAACTGCAATTGTGGATGAGTCTGCTGAGCAAAATCCTTCAGTTGGACCAGTATCTGATCAGTTAATTTCATCAGCAGACAACTCAATGGAATCTACTGCTCCTTCACAAGAAGGCCCTATTCAACCAACTCGGGATCAAATTGTACCAGTTGGTCGTGAAAATTTGATTGAAGGAGGGAGTCAACAACAAGTTATTCCTGTTACAGAATCTGATCCAAATAGTGTGGCTAAACTCGAAGACAGTGGTGTTGATTTAGATCAGCAATCAGTTTTAAGTATGAAAGATTCTGAATTAAAAGACTTGGTTATGAGGGAGTTATCTGAGTTTTTAACTGAAGAACCACCACAAAATGTTGGAACATCTTTCATTAATGTTAAATCAGAATATATGAAAAGTGAAGAACAAAAAAAAATTGAAAATCTTGAAAATTCTATGAGTGAGAATAAAATAGATCAAAAAGATACAAAAAAATCTGAAAATGATATTGCTGACGCGTTGTCAACTTTGGCAACTGCTGCTCTTAATCAGGCACCTCCTGCCAGTGGGTCTGTAGATACTGTTATAGCAAAACCGACACAGCCAGTGCATGTTAAACAAGAAGGACCTGCTTGGTGTGATGTTGGTGTAATTAAGGGTACTACATGTATAGTGAAACAATTTTACTCGACATCAATTACTGATGAACATGAAAATACTAGCTTGGATCATTTACCAGACTATACAAATAAAATAAAAATTGATATCCAACCAGGTACAGCTTATAAACTCCGTATAGCTGCCATAAATACTTGTGGCCGAGGAGAATGGAGTGAAATATCGGCATTCAAGACTTGTTTGCCAGGTTATCCGGGTGCTCCATCTGCTATTAAAATTACAAAAGCACCAGATGGTGCCAGTTTAACATGGGAAGCTCCCCCAACAAGTTCTGGTAAGATTTTGGAATATTCGGTTTGTTTGGCAATCAAAAACCCTAAGGAGGGGACGCCACAAAGCCCAAAACCAACTGCAACAAATTTAAATTTTGTTCGTGTTTATTGTGGACCGCATAATGCAGCTGTAGTTAGTCATGAATCACTTGGTGCGGCTTTGATTGACAGAACTAATAAACCTGCTATTATATTTCGAATCGCTGCGAAAAATGAAAAAGGTTATGGACCAGCTACACAAGTTAGATGGTTACAAGATAGCAATGTGCCTGGATCAAATAAGAATTCTTCAGTGAAACGGGAAAAAAACGTTAATCTTTTGACTGGGGTTCCAAAAAGACCTAAAGTTTAATGCGTTTTACAAGTTTTATAAATCTAATATTCAAGTACCTATTATTAATTTAAAACTTATTATTATTTAGGAAATTTTGATGTAGTCATCATTTTTGAAAGTCTTAAAATAGTAGTCTTTAATCATTATTATTAACTAAAAACTTTTATTCAATCTAGTAATTTTTCTATTAGTTCATAATAAAATATATAAATTAATTAAAATAATTGTTTTACTATGCATTCAAAACTATTGAAACAATTAATGGTTTATTGAAGAGGGAGGTATCATTACTTTTTCCTGTGTAGTTTAACTCTTAATTAAATATACTTTAGGTGAACCAGAACTATGAACATTTTACATAATATCTTTCAATACAACAATTGTAGGTATATATTTATAAATCAGAGTGCCTAATATTAATGTCATCATAAGTTTAAAATCATGTAATCCAGATATTCAACATGTAAGGCAAAAGGTATTACTAAGTAGCATGTAGTTTTATAATTGAAAAAGTTATTTACTTGTTATTTAGTTCAACTCAAATTGATTAAATTTATTGACTAACAATATACAATCATAAGACAAGTTTATGATAAGTGAATTTAATATTGTAAATATGATATTAATAATCCACTGTGTATTGTTTTAATTTATTGTATAGGTACTAATGTGTTGGTAACTGCTACATATTTTCTTAGAATATTATTCATTAAAACGAATGGTGTTTACAATTCATACAACTTTTTAAGTTAGTATGAACATAATATTATTGCCATATTGTTGTACACTTGTATTGGTACATTATTCTAACTCATAATAAAATTATTGATTCAATTGAGACCCAAGCCCAAATTAAAATATCTTAATTGTGGTTCTGAGATACAGTATTGTGTGTACAAAAAAGATAAATACCAATACTGTATTAATAATTATAAATGTACTTACCTGTAGTAGGTAATTAAATACAGTTCTTTATTAATTATTACCATTTACCTATACATTTTCAGAACTTTTATAATAATTTTGGTAATATTTTATTATTCACCAATTTATTTCCACACCATTAATTTCAAATAATATTAATTATTTAATACTTATAAATTATGATTAATAATAATAGGTTGTTTCTATACCAGATATTCTAGTCATCTCTATTATAAACATTTATAATTATAAATATTATATAAAATGAGAAATACAGTATGAAAAAAAAAAAATGTGTGAATAAATAAATGTAGCAATCCTCCCTAAATGAATACCTGATAAAAATAATAAAAGAAGTCTACTCTATTTTTAAGACTTCTTAATTAAGAATTATAAACTTTAAAATGAAAATTAATCATAATTTAATTATATATTATATATATGTATAATGTATGATATATTTACATCAAATTAAATTAGTTTGGTACCTATACCCAGAAATTATAATTCTATTGTATAGGTACCTACCAGAAACAAAACTTACTACATTATAACATCAATTCGGTTAGGTTTATGTTTTGTATTGCATTATAATATGTGATAACTACTTTCAACTGGGATATTATTCAATAAACCTATAATTTTGTTCTAATATATTTTTTAGATCCTGAGCATTGCGAGGAATATATTGGTTTTACAATATTGTTTATTTTATATATAATATATACTGTGTACACAATTTCTACCAGAGTTTTTGAATTTCTCAGTAATTTTTTATAATAATCAAGAATAACAGGAAAATAATAAAAAATAAAAACTGATAAATGTATGGTACTAGCATTCCTTATTTTAAATTTGTATGGCTTAAGTTTTCTATAAAAAAAATATTTCTTCAATAGAAAAACAACAAGATACCTTTTTTGTAGCATTTTTTTAATCTAGTTGATGAGTAAAAGTGTCTTTGATTTTTCTATAGGCGTAATTAGGGGAGGCGTAGTTGGGTGTGCTTTTAGCGCCCTTTTATAAGTTTAAAAATTAGCGCTCCCCAACATTTGTCATACTGAAAGGAAAATGATTAAAATAATAATAATGGTTCATAGGTTCCTATTTATTTTCTGAGTATTTAAGTTGTAGTAGTAGTTGAGTACCTAAGTAAGATATTTTGAAACAAAATATCTAAGGCAATAATAGAATGATATAATTTGTTTATTTATGAAACAGTTTGCCAATGTTTTATAATATTTTATAGATAGTCACTAGCCACAGTCTTTATACCAAAGAAGTATACGTAGGTATACCTACCATAAACAACAATTAACCATCACTAACAAAAAACGATTCGAAGCTAAGTTCAGTAACATATTTTGAAATGTAGTAATTATTAAGATTTTTATCAAAGTCTGATCTTAAAACACTGTTGAAATAAAAACTAATGCATTAAACTCAAATATGTTTTTTAGACCACTAACCACAACTTATAATGTATCTTATAATATACCTTGTTATAAATTTGGAAGCCTTTTTGGTTTAGTTTAATAATTTTGTTCACCAAATACCTGAAAAATAAAAATTACATAAAAAAAACATGGCAAGTTAAACTATGAGTATTTTATGAAAACAACAAGTCTCTTTGTATGTTTTCTAATTTTTTATAGAATATTAGTATAATATTTTAAGTGTTAAGAGAATATAAATTCGGATTATATCATCAAACTGTTATCATTAAAATTTTCTCTGTAATTAATTATACAATTTAAGTTACATTAAAGTATAATATTGCATATGCATATGCATAATAATAATAAATAAATATTCATGCAAGGGCATTCTATAAATAAATAAATAAATAAAAATAAATTTCAAATGTTAGGTTTTTCGGTAAAAAATATTAGTAATGACTTGACATTTTTACAGAAAACTTATATTTGCTTTTTTTAGACGTGATGAAATTTAACTAAATTGAATTATTTATAGATGTTTAATTTAGCTAGTTTTTTTTATGTAATTTTTATTTGGTAGGTATTCAGTAGGTTAATTGTTAGACTTAACAGAAATTTTATTAGACATTCATTAAAAGTCGTACTTAGTGGTAAAAAAAAAACATTTTTATTAAATCTATTTATTGTATTTTGTAATTTCGAAGTGTAAATTATTAATTTTTATAAACAAAAGTTAAATATATAATAAAGCATAAATATGAAGAAAAAACTAAAATTTCATTTTTGTTAGTGATTACGATCATTTTAAATTATACCTACACAGTTAATAATAATTTGTAAACTAAAAAGTACAAAAAACTAAGAATAAATTTGGTATATTTTTATTATACATTGCAAAAATAAGTAAATAGTGTTTGAGTAATCTAATTTAGTACTTGCATAGTTAATATAAAACAAAATATGTAGTATGTTAATTGGAAAAACAATAAGTTACCAATGTGTGTTCCATGTTCATCTTTTTGGGACGTATATTTGTACTTTTAGATGTTCATTTTTTTCTTTTCGTGAACAATTTTTCTATCAGATATCTTGCTTTGCTGTATAAAGTGTAATATGTATAGGTCAATTTTTTGATTTTCCCAGGAGTTTTCATGATAAATAAAAAAGAACGTAGGAAAAACGGTAAATTTACAAAATGTACCTATTATTTTGAAATTGTAAATATAACGGCCTTTCAAAATATTTAAACATATATAACCGAACTCTGCTCAGAACCGTTTTTCGTTAGCAATGATTAATCTTTGAGTCCAGATAGATGTTAAATTTCCCCTCTACCTTTCCAATTTCTCACCTACAACAGTGACCCACCTATCGTGCGAAGTGTGTCCGTATCTTTTTTCACTTGCCTGGTGTATAGTAACCAAGTATGTAAAAACATGCATTCTCTAATGTTCGAATATGAAAAAATATTATGGAACATACAATTTTGTTATTTAATTAATCAAGTAATGGTTAAAGCCGGAATCCCACGGCTCGAAGGACGTGGTGTGGTACAATGTGGTACAATACACCCGCCGTGGGATCGATGTTGCTCGGCTCGTCGTGTAGACGCGTGTAAGCGCGGCGTGATACGAACTTTATCAAAAATTGTCAGTCTCTGTAAAAAGCGTCAAAGGAAATGGGCCTTGTGATTCAATCAGTGTTCCCACAGCGTGTGTTTGAACGCGCGTATTGGTCATACTTATGCACCAAATAGCAAGTTTCAAAGGTTTTGGATCTAATGAAGTTTCCATGTTTCAATTATTATAAAATAGAATTATTCACCGAAAATGCATGATATTCAGACGTTTAAAATTCAAGAACTACCGCAGTGCAATGATCGACTGCTGGTTCTTTTCAACGAACACATGCCGCGCCGTGGGATCGGAGGATGTTAAACTCCTTCAAAAGTAGGCAATCTCCTACATTGACAGTGTTAACTCCTATAACAGATAGTTGTAAAGTTATAAAAAGTAAAATAAGGTATTTTAAAATAAGTAAAAATCAGTCATAAACTACATAAATCAAAAACAATTATTGTTTTCTCTACTTATTAAAATAAATAAATCGGTCATAAACTACAAAAATGAGAGATGAACTAGATAGAGATTGTTGTATTTCCAATTGATGAAAATATCGTAGGTAGACGTTATCGAAATGTTCGAGAATTTCCGATACGATAACTTATATTAATATATTTACTAAATTTTATTTTAAATTTAACTATCTTATATTCCTAAGTCTACGAATATTTATCCAAAATGCAACAAAAAGGTCTCTTATCATTTTTCCATTAGAGAACTATTTCTGGTTTAAAACATCGTGTGTGTTAAATTAAAATAACGAAATTATAAAATTGTACGTTTTTTCTCACTTAAGTGCAATTATCTCAAATAAACATCATTGTAAAACCAATGTACATTCTTCGTTATACTCAGAATCTAAAATGTAAATAGGTCTGTGTAGGAGATTACACTATGTTTTAACTATAGGTAAAATGGTCATTTTTGTAGGAGTTTACATGTAACCATGTCGTATAGACGCGATATAAGCGTGGTACATAGACGATTCACGAGCTTCTCGAAGCGCTACGCGCCGTGGGATCTCGGCTTTATATACGCTCATTGATTGCATGTATACTGTATGTGATTTAGAAAATATCGATGTACATTTTTGCAAAATCCGGCCTTTAGTAACATATCAGAATTTTACTGAAAGTTGAAAATATATTTTATGGTAACAACAAATTTATATTGTAATATTTAATAATACTATACACTATACTCCTATTTCCTATGCGCATAATATTCAGTAATTAATTAGTACATAGTGTACAAGGTAATCTATTTCGGTATACACTCATTATGTCGGAAAATATTAACTTTTTTCGAAATTTGTTTATATAACATTTAAGATAAAAGCAGCTCTAAAATTTTACATTTTTTTTTAACCTTTAGTTTTAAGGATGAAACCGCTACCTACTAACTTTTGATTTTCAAATAGTAACAAATGACGTGACACTTCTTTCTCCCTACTAAAAACTTAAAAGTGGAATATAATTTTCAATGGATTGAAATTTCCCTGCTATCATTGTTTTGTTATACTCGTAAAAAAAAAAATAAATATCTACACGCCTATTTGATATTATAACGACTATATTTATTTTTATTTTAAAATTTATATTGTTCCTTTGTTAAATTACTTTATGTAAACCATTTTATAACATTGTTTATGAGCAACCTGATGATGGTGTAAGCCAAAACTAAGTAGTTGCCTAAATAAAACTTATCAACACTTTATGTCAATATATATTTTAAATAAACATTTTTTATTTATAATTAAATAAAAGTGTCAACAAATCTCAAATATACAAGACATTAAAATTGGAGAACTTTGCATATCATTTATAGTAAAATGTTTTGTGTAAAATAAATTTAGAGATTGGCAATTCATTGATTTAATTTTATACCAGTTAGTACTTGGTCATACTAAATCAATTTAATTATTCCTGTTTATAATTTTGTTATTTTGATAATGTGTTGCGTGTTTACTAGCTCGATTCAATTATACGCGTATTTAAATTGCATTCATTTAGTTATTATATTATATGCACGTGTACAAAAATTAGGAACTAAACATTTTATTGATACCTAGCAGTTTTTTCATAAATATATTTATATACTTATAAAACCGGCTACTGCGTGGAATATATTAGTTATATTATATTATTCATATTTCATTAATTCGTAAAAGGATGATTTATAAATACTTACAATTATGGTAATATACGTCTATACATGGTAAATATATTTTAATAAAATTGGTATTTTTTTAGTGCCAATCATATTAACTAATAATAATAGTTTTTTTCATACGTGTTACCAAGATAAGGGTAATCCATAATTAACAAAACTAATTCAATTTTTAAATCAAAAATATTAAAACCCTGTATGTGAATCACCCTTTAAGGATTGCATTTTGGCTACAAGATGCTCACGGACCCGTTTATAGACTCCATTTACTTAAACGATCAGACTTTTGCGCACGATAAATTTAGCAGTACGCCATTCACAGTCAGACAGACGTTTTTTTATTGATAATTATGGATTGTTTTTTATAATTATCTATTTAAAAGTTTTGTTTAATATATAGCAAATAAGCTAAAGCCACTATAACGAAGATGTGGAAATACCTTTTAAGAACTCTCAATAAAACAAGCATAAGCTTACAGAATCAAATTATAAAAATAGTTGTTCCATAGCTGTTGATGGGTTTGCCACATTATGTCACATTCAATTTATATCTATGAACAACAATAAACCATTGTTAACGAAAAACGACCCTGAGTTTATTTATACAAAATTTATAAGAATGTACCTAATATTTACGATTTTCTTCAAAATTTGATCTTAAAAAATAATTTAGAAAATGCTACATTACACTCTACATTTGGTTTTCACCACTAATTACAATTTATAATGAACCTCTTGTCGAATTTTCAAGCATTTCTATTAGGTCAAATAATGATATTCACATAGTATCGACGAAATAAAAACTGAGTAAAAACTCGCAAACAAAATGCCTATAAATGGCCTCTATCCGAATTTTGGAATGAACAACATACATACAGTTCAATTTTAAAAACTATACTTGTAATAACTATTACTATACATTAAATAATACCTGTATGATTTATTGATACTCGTTTTGAATGTGTGTTGTTTGTTTGTAACTCAGAATAAAAAAAAAAAAAATGTTAAATTTAAGTAATTAAGTAGACCTAAGTAGGTACCTACTTCTTTATTGCAATAAATTCAACAAGGTCCTATCATTACTTACATTGCTTTCTAGTAGAGCCAGAGTATAATATTATGAATAATACAATATATGTTCACTTTATAGATTTTAAATTTTATAGTTAGGTATTTGTAGTTGCATAAAACTCGTAGTTTTAATCTCAAACATTTGTGTTGAATCTCTTTTTATTACTTCCTTAGCGACTAGCGAGGGCGACGTGTTTTGTCACATTATATAAAAAAGTGTTAAATAAGTACTATATGTTAATCAAGGCCACAACTGAATACAATTTTCTTTTGGAGAGGGAGCCAATATAAAAATAGGTATGTACACAGTAAAGTAGCTAGGTATATAAAATAATTGTAAATTCATATTTTTACGATCAAAAAAAGTACGCAAAATAGTAAACACTTAATAATTAAGTTATTATTTATTATATTTATTTACTTCAAGTACTAGGTCACTTCAGAATTATTAAGTATAGAATACCTATAAAAGCTTTAATATAAAACTTATTTACAATTTTATTTTTTTTTTTGGCCCTGGGAGAAGTTTGAACCCGGAACCCTCTTCCCCGAAAGTATGCCATTGGATATAACCTTATAAACTTACGATTTATGTACTTGATATATTGATAAAGATTTAAAAAATTGTATTTCTAATACAATATAATAATTAAAGTTTTAAAATTACTTTTCACAATTTTTGGTAGTTTTTGGTTACATTACCAAATAACCAAAAATTCTAAATTATTTGATACCAAAAACATATTTTTTGATTTTTAGTGGTATACGTCCTTTTAACAAAATACCATCGATATATTTAGACGCCCTAAAAGTTAAAACTTTTAAATTTTATAATTACCATATTCAGATTATCACATAATATGCACTAAAAATATAAAAGATATGGTTTAAATAAATAAGAATAATAACAATAAAAACGATAGTAATAAAATATATTTTATTCAACTAATATCCTTCTTTTTTTTCTGTAATTATTATAAGTCTTTAGATACGTAATTTATTATGTTATTGATAAAGGATTAAGTTAACTTAAGCAAGTTAAGATATAGTTAAGTACTCTTGCTCTTCGATAAGAGGCTTCACCTCAGTGAAGAGCAATGCTACTGTTTTATTTTCTCTCATCTCTCATCTTGGAGCAAAATTGCTGGTGGAAAAGTTGTAGTGACAAAGTATTAACAAAAGAAAAATTAATATCTTTGAAAATCAATAAATTCTTCGCTCTACTCAGAATCTAAAATAAAAGCTATTGTTTTAAAGAAATTTTACCTACGTCTAATTTTTTAATTTTATTTGACGCCTGCACTCTTGCAGTAGCTATATTACGTCTCGTTAAATTTGTCATAAAAATATATATACATACATTTCATCAAATTAATTAGAATTCCTAACTCATCTAAAAACCTGTATGAATTATTAACCTAACCTAACCTTGTATGTATTCAATCAATAAGTGGGGTGCTTTATAAAAATATAAACGGGTTTCGCCGAACGACCGACCGACCTTTTGTGATGGTGATTTTAGAGGACCTCTACATTGCAACGTTTTCTGTTGTAGTTGTGGTTGAAGCTTTGAAGAAACGATTTCCATCCTTCGACATCGCAAAGTAAGTTGTAACTTATAAATATATTTAGGTACCTACCTAATAATATTTTGACTACATTATCGAATTTATCGAATTTATAATATATATATTACGGTAAATATTGTGAAATCGGTTCGATTGTTATATTAAATTTATAATATTTTGTAAATGAAAACCGAATGTGTGATATTAGATTTCGCATTAGGGTGAATTTGTTTGCTATTAAACCTAAAGATAAGAACATTGAATATATTTGTACGTTAGTTTTTTTTCAATATTTTAATTTTCAAGCGAGTTACGAATATGTAAAATATTACAATATAAAAATCATCTTATCTCGCTTAAAAATTAAAATATCAAAAAAAAAAAAATCCAAAGTATAAACACGAACAATATTCTCACCTTTAAGTTTCACAAGCCAATATCTCTTATATTAAAATTAAGAGGAGATTAATTTAATGGTCATTGTTTATTATAATCGTAGTTTATGTATCAATCATTTTATGTTATCAAAAAGTATGAGTATGGACTGGATGTATGTTTATATACATAAATAATGTCAGTTAACGTAATAAATACGTCGACAATGTTATCAGTTTAAGGTCATAAAATCAATATTTGTACATAAGTACGATTTTACGAGTATTTAATATATAATCAAAGTTATATCTTTTAATGACTTATTATAAAGTTAAAAATGTTTATATCTGAACAACCTTTTGCGTGTTGGTTTTACGTTTCGTTCGCATACTATTGAGACCATAGATATTATCTATTATTGAGATATTAGGTACCAACAGTATTACGCTTGTATATATCAATGTCTCATTTGTGTAAAAATAAGTGAAAACCGAAAACGAAGAGATTTCACAAATAACTAAACAATTTTATTATTACAGCGTTATATATAGCGACATACGTTTTGTTATTCTTTCAATTTTCATTTAGTATTCAGTCATTTTATGTTCTTAGTTTTGTCCAATACCAAAGTGATTACAATAAACGGTAACCACTGTATTAATTAAACTATTTAAAACCTAATAGTTGAATATTTGATCCTTCTTTAAAAGTACCTAATTTGACTCCTATATATTTAGATCCATTTATGTATAAAGGATTTATAATTATTATATATGTAAGGAATACAAATTTAAGTATTAGAAAAAATGAATTGTAGAAATAGTTAATGCTTCTACCTACATAATTCGATTATATTGGAATATATTGTCGACAATTTTATAATTTTATTCAAAAGCAAATAAGGTTAATTTGTATTTTTAATATAGTGTTTAATGATTAAGATAGATATAATTTAAAGATTAATTTATCATATTTTTTACAAATGAAACGTTACTTATTACCTATAGTGAGTGCATCATTTGGGGAATATTAGAATTTAGATTCACTCAAAAGTTTAAATGTACTAGATATCAATTTGTAAATATTATATTCTTAATCTTCAATTTAATATATTATTATTATTATTATGTATAAATCAAAATTAAATGAAATTTCACCAACTCTATGAAGAAATCATACGTGACATGAATACCAATGTATATTGACTAACACGATTTCATTTTATTTTATAAAAACTGCGAGAAGAATACAAATTGTACGAATTGATGTCTGAATATTAATAACTGCTAAACTGATTGTTCTTCAAATAATACCGAATACTAGGTATTGATATCTGATTTCATAAAAAAAAATACCTTCAAAAAAAAACTATTTTATCATTGTATGTTACCAATACTATACTTTATGTTAGTAAAATGTCTGCAGTAAATATACATTTTACCATTATATATTCAATATTGCAAATGTACCATTTCTAACAAGGATAGATAATTATTGTAGTTGATTTCCCAGTTCTACTTCATAATTTCCGACATCCTGTCTACCTTGTATAAGTACGTATATAGTAATGATGTAAAACATCTTTTTCAACATAGTTCCAAAGAATTAAAAAAAAAAAATGTTTTATAAAACATAAAAGTATAAATGTTGGTACGTTATTATATATCCAAGGAAATTCATTTAAAATATATATAAAACAATAAAACGGTTATTCTAATCGTATTACATATTCTGTAAATAGTTTGTGTAAGTACGAGTTCAACTAGATATCTAAGTACACAAGGTCGTTGGATGAAAAAAAAATTGTATCAATAGAGCATTTTAGTGCGATTCATTGTTAATCCAAGGTTGTTACATTTTTCAATTTGATTCATAAAATTGCAAACAATTATTGTACGAATAGGTAGCACCATAGTAGTATACCTATAATAATAATTAATTTACTTATTCGATTGTAATTTTTCGTAGCGAAACCAAAATTCGGGGTTATCTATACCCTATATTATTTAATATAAATAAAAATGTAACATTCATAGTTATTAATTATAATATATATTATTTAATTTATTATTATTATATATATTATATATATATATATATATATATTATAATATAATACAAGTGTAATGGATCAAACGAATCAAATATTTCCGAGTGGTGGCGAAATTTACTTAGATATAGGTAATATAAATATACGAGTTACGAGTTTTGGTCAAAAATACAAAAATACCTACACAGAAATTTGGTTTAGGTTTTAATTCTCTTTATATTTTAGATATTTTGGTTGGACACGAGTAAACTACCTAAACTGTATATGATAAATATTGAAAGATATTGAGTTAACTAGTTTAACACACGAATTTTACTGGCTTCTAATTTTACCATTACCGATATTCACTAAACACTAAACAAGTTAAACTTTTTAGTGATTTTATAGGAAAATCATAAATCAACGTGGGTATCATACATAGAATGTTAGAATTTTGGATCAAGGCTATAACTGGAAACAAATTTTTGGGGTGGGGGGTCGGTCCAACATTTGTTTAATATAGATACTGGACAGTCATCATTTTTATGTTAAAAATATAAAATATCTTTGTTATCATTATTAAAAAATATAAATAAAAAATAAATAAAATATAAAATACAAATTCTTCTAATATTAAATTGATAAAATAATTTATAATTAACACACATATTACAACCGTTGAATGTTTTAAATACACTTTATCAGGGTCTAAAATACATCTGATTTCAAGTACTCTGGACACCCTTTTTAATTCAATTATTATAGAACCTTAGAAAAGAAATTATTAAAAAAAAAAACCTTTGGGGTTGAAGTGCCCAAAATTCTGGAACAAATATAGTTTAGCTCCCAAGCGATTTTTTGGAATTTTTTTTTCTAAAATGTGTTTTTACTTGCTTAATTTGACGGTACTTTGGTGGAAAGGTAAATGTTTTTCTTCAATATAATCAAGAGTTTCAATTGCTGTATTAAATTATCCACTTACATCTGCATACACCAAAAGAAGTTTTATCACCTATGGACTTATTCATATTCATATAATTTGATCAGTTCTAAATGAACATATTATAAAGTAAGTTTATATTAAACATTATTTGAAACTTGAATGTAATATGTTGGAAAAAGATCAAGAAGATGAAGTAGAAATGAATTAAGACACGATTTAAGTTTATCTGATTATGTTTATGAAGTTTCAACCTTTTTTTAGTTATTATAATAACTTAATTATAAATGGTTTATTTTTCTTTTTCTAAATTGTATAATTTGCGTTAATCTACTTTGGTTAATAAAATAAAAAATACAATTATTACCTAGGTATACTTAATATCCAAAACAAGGCTGTTACTGGGATAGTCCAGGGGTCCAGAACCCCCCCCCCTCGAAATGGTTTTAAAGTAAAACAATTTTGGTAGTGAATATAGTTTATTTGTTATAATTGTATAAAGCTGTAATTTGAAATATGGTAAAGTGCTGATAGTTCGTATATTTATAGTATTTTTACAAAGTAGGAATACACTAATTATTCGCTAAATGGTAAATAGGTATTCGCCCTAAACCTCCGTATACCCTCTGAAACACCACTGATATTCATAAACCTAAAAAAACCAAATAAAAATTACACTTTTTCAAAATTGTTTTTATAATTGTAGTAATCTATAATACTCAATACAAAAATACCTATATATTTTGACGACGACGGGACATTTGTTTAGTAATTTTAATATTATGTTTATAGATAAAAATATTGGTAATATATTATTTTATTATAATACTGATTGTATAATTTTTAGGATGGAGGTGTCTCAAGGTTTTCACTCATCTTCTAAATATTTAGCAGGTGGATTTCGATTGACAAAAACAGAATTGACTGCATATGCAATAATTTCTTTTCTCGTGATATTATGGTGTAATTACAAATGGAGTCGCAGACGCTTCGAAAAATTGGCCGCCAGAATGACTGGTCCTCCGGCATACCCGATTATAGGCTCAGGACTACAGTTTATCGGCACGCCTCAACGTAAGATGAACAAAAAACTCTACCTAGTAAATAAATTTGTGACATATATGCGATTTTAATATTTTCAGAGGTCATGGAAAGAATAATTAAATTGTATGACACATTTGGCCCCGAACCGTTTAAAATATGGTTGGGTACGTCTTTAGGTGTTACAATTAACAAACCAGAGGATGTTCAAGTAATTATATTGTTTGAAGAATTTAATACCTATATAAAAAAGTACATTACAAAGTACATACAAAGTAATTTAACCGTTTAAAAAAAATGTGTTTTATTCCAGCAAACATTTCTTTTGGCTATTGAAAAATTCCCGACAACTTGATATAAGTTTCATTATAAGTTGTTATTATGTCTCTACACAAATATCGTAAATCATTATTAGCCACAATTTTTTTACGAATTGCGTAACTAAAAAATTAATACAATTTTCAGGTCATTAGATTTTTTAAAACATGATTAACCGAACTTTTTTTGTTAGCAATGAATTATTGTTGCGTATAACTATAAATTAAATTACTCTATAATTTATATAGGGAGATAAATTCTCGATGAGACACTCTGAAAGTACTAATTTTGTTCGGATTTGTTTTTTTCTAAAATGTATGAAACAATCAGTTCTGTTATAATTCGTTATTTTTTGCCAACCTTTTTTTTAGGGATGAAACCACTACCCACTTTTAATTTTCAAATAGCCACCTTTGTTAAAAATTTCCATAAATAGATAAAGTTCTAATTGAAATATGTTAACAATTTTAATTTTCATCAACCCGATGATTAGATATTATACTATTATTTTGATTGGAAGTAAAGTAGTGCTTCACTATTCTCCCCTACCAACAAACCGGTAATCTTTTAAATACCTCGCCAATCGGTTGACGGAAATTAATGAATAGAAAACAAAAATGTATTCAAACTAAATTTCTGGGAATCGTTCTAAAATATTGGTTTTACTAAGATGTTTATATTTTTTTTTTTTATATACCGTGTATAAAAATTCTACCATAAATCTGGCTTTGATATATACGCACAGCATTATTCTGAAAAGGAATGTTATCCAGATGGTACTTTTGGGAGGTCATTTTTTGATTTTCCAAGCGATATTCATAATATCCTTTGAAAAACCAGGATAAAACGTAAGGAAAATTTAGGGGAGAGTAGTGGTACATTCTTAAAACGCCGCGCACTATGCCACCACACAAATGTTGCTTCACACTCACCCTTGACCAAAACTTAAAAGTGGAATATTTCGTCAACGGATTGACAGAAATTAAAAACTGAAACACCAAAATTTATATTTACTACTTCTCTATATATTTATAAATGTTTTAATATAGGTTGCCATTTAAAAATTCTTAAATTAGATGGTAATTTCATCCACAAAAATTAGGGTTACAAAAAATAACATATGTAAAATTGCATAAAACTAATGTCGAAAAAAGCAAATACTTTCCGAAATAATGAGTATCTTAAGATAGATTGATCACTCCGTAGAAATCGAATTTTATCAAAACCAATTTGTTCATAATATTTTACTATAAAAGTCGTTTTAAAATTTTCTTACTTATAAATATATTTTATTTAAGTATTGTAGGAGTTTTGGAGACAAAATTTTGGGAATAATTATGACATCATAAACTAATAATTTGTTTTAGTTCGTTCAAAGTATTAAATTATTTCAGAATTAATATACAGCATAATTTATTTATTTTCATTTTTCAGTATAAAATAAAATAAAAGATACAAAGTTATTTTTTACATGACTCAATAATAGAAACTTTTTTCCAACAATTTGTTAGCCTATGTCGATTGCCGATGATAAGCTGCCGACGTGGATTAAAATAGAATCCATAATTGTTTTTGCAGTATAATTGACAACTGGTTGTGAACAAGTTATTATCTTTTATTTTCGTTTATTTTTGGAATATGAAAACGCATAAACTTTGTTAAGATAATGAATATTTGATATCATTAAAAAAAAATCCTATAAGACAACAATATTATGTCTACTATATTTTAAAATCGACAACTAAATTTTAAAACCATCAAAATCTTTATACCTAACTGGACCCATATAACCTCAATACAGAAGACGGACCAACCGGCAATTTCCGGCTAGTTAACCGGGCTAGTCCACCGTTGCTCTCTCCAGTGTACCCCACACCCTACACAATTATTAAACAAAATAATAAACTTTTTAAAATTGAATTATAAGTATAAGTATAAAAAATTAATCTTAAGTAATGTTAAACCGGATTTTTTCAGATTGTATTAAATAGTTCCAAAGCTCTGGCCAAAGACCCGTTTTACAAGTTTTTCAGAAATACTGTAGGGGAAGGCTTATTCTCGGCTCCAGGTTAGTATACATAAGATATGGAATAAATAGTAAATATTTAGTTTGTAATTTATAATTTGTTTTAAAAAAGTTAATATGCTAAAATTAATTTTAAAAAATCCTTGTATAGTCATCGATTGTAACTCTTCTTCCATCTGCCGTTTGCATTTGTTAGTTAATATTAGTTTTATAATGAAAAATTGAATGTAATAAAATTAATAAATAAACGAAAAGTTATATTGTATTATTATTATTAACTCGAGGACCCTGTCCTTTGCTCACTTCGATCGCCAATCTCCGTGATTCATATAGTATATGATTTATCAATATTTTGAAGGATTAGGAAGTATAAATATCATTTTTTATATAATAATTGGTTGTTGTATCTAATTTTATTATTTATAGTTATTATGTTAAAAATACTTCTAATTATTTACAGTTGATAAATGGCGAAGACACCGCCGTATAATTACTCCCGTGTTTAACGCAAATCTTCTGGAACAATTTTTTCCAGTGTTCAATGAGAAAAATAAAATTCTTATTAGAAATCTAAAGAAGGAAATAGGTAAAAGTGAACCGTTTGATCTCTGGGACTATATTGCAGACACTACTCTCGATATAATTTGTCGTAAGTTTTCAAATAATAATTTCAACCTATCTACAGTAGTAATCTGTAGCATACTCAGGATTTTTTAATGGGGAGAGGCTATACTAAAAAACTTAACTAAAAAATATTTTTGCAAAATACATAATTATTTAGTAAGTACAATATTTTACATTTAGTTAAATTATTAATACAAATATGCAGTGATTATTTTGTATTCATAATAATTTCTTGATACTGAATATTTCATATTTTTATTTATTTATGTACTTAATACGGCTTATGGTGATGGGAGGGCTGGATAAACTGGTAGTAATAAAATATGTACGTACCAAGTCACTTTATTTTGATTTTGTTTATAGAGACCGCATTGGGCTATAATCTTGACACCCAATCAAATAGTGAATCCGAATTTGCCGAAGCTCTTACAAAGTAAAGCAGTAAAATATCTCAAATAGATCGAATTAGTAATTAACAATATTTATTTTCAGAGCATCCGAGTTAGACTCAATGAGAATTTATAAACCGTGGTTATATCCAGACATAATATTTTCAATTTACGTAAAACTAACAGGACTACATAATATTTACAAAACGTTACACAAACTTCCAATCCAGGTATAAAGGAAGGAATATCCTGTAAATGTAATAAGTCTCATTAATTATTGAGTATATTTTATTTTAAACATTTAGGTGATCAGTGAAATGAAAAAAGTGTACGCACAAAATAAAAAAGCAAAATTAGCGAGTGTCATAGATGTTAGTTGTGATGAGGGTGAGTTATTGAAGAATATTTTCACTATACCTACATTCCAACGTCATATAATGTTCTTTTTTTTTAGAAAAACGTCTGAAAGTGTTTTTGGACACATTATTGGAATTAAACGAAACCGGAGCAAACTTCTCCGATGCTGAAATCAGAGACGAAGTTGTTACTATGATGATAGGCGTACGTATATATGTTTAAACAATACATAGTTAAATGGTATAAATACTTAAATGAATTACAGGGAAGTGAAACCAGTGCCATCACAAATTGTTTTTGTCTTTTAATGTTAGCCATTCACCCAGATATTCAAGTGAGTAGAACTTTTTATATTGTTTAGTTCGTTTACGTAACACATTAACACTAGTTTGGGGTTCTTCCAATTTAATGTACACTTAGTAAATTGTATCATTGAAAATTTCAAATTTGATGTATACCTATTTTAATCTATTTTACTATTAACTTGATCAAGTGGTACTTAAACTATACTTTAAGTGCAGCAGTTGCTACATATCATATTTTGGGTGGATGTTTCCGGTAATTGGGATTGGAATAGTGTGGTAGAATGGGTGTAAAAATGCAAGGTAGTAGATTGTAGGAGTTGGAAAGTATATATTTACATGAGCAAAAGTTTTTGAGGTGAGTGTTGATTTAGAATTTCAAATTCTGCTAAACCATAAAAATATAATTTGAACGTCACTGAATATTTCCCTTTTTGACAGTATTATTGATTTGAAAGTAAATCTCAACTTATTGCCTGATTGCATTTAGTTTTATTGTAAACATTTTAGGATAAGGTTTATGATGAAATTTACAACGTATTAGGAGATGGTGACGAAACAATTACTATTGAAGATACTACTAAACTTGTTTATTTAGAACAAGTTTTGAGGGAAACCCTTCGGTTATATCCTGTCGGGCCATTATTGCTTCGACAACTCCAAGATGATGTGAAAATTAGTAAGTATTAGTATTAAAATTAATAAGTAAGTATATGAAAATAATAATAAATAATTCATATTTTAGTTTCTGGTAATCATGTATTGCCAAAAGGAACAACGTGTATTATATCTCCAATGGCCACACATCATCTTCCTGAATTGTACCCAAATCCTTGGTCATTTAATCCAGATAACTTCGACCCAGAAAATATCAATAAACGCCATAAATTTAGCTTTATAGCTTTTAGTGGAGGTCCAAGGGGTTGCATAGGTATGAAGATAAACCATAAATTATTTATACACTCGTAATTTTAAAATGTAAATAAAACCTAATTATTTACAGGATCAAAATATGCCATGTTGTCCATGAAAGTTCTTATATCTACGTTTTTGCGTAACTACAGCGTGCACACTGTCACCAAATTAAATGACATAAAATTAAAATTAGATTTACTAATGAGAAGTGTCCACGGATACCCTGTAACTATTCAGCCGAGAGATAGAAGACCCACTTATAAACGAAATTAAATAGATGGTATTTGAATACCTATACTATTTAGTAGTTTGTAATACAATATAATATAATCATATAAAAATATACAATTTTGTGACATGATCTTACATATTATTAATTGTGCAATAAACGTATCTATGTTATGTTTTCATTTATTGATATTTTTATAAGTTGACAGTTATAGATCCTAAGCAAGGTAACTAGGTAGCTATGAAGTTATTGTTTTTCTAGGGAACAGTTTTTACCGGTATATACAGAGTTATTCGCTAAGCATGTTTACCTCATTTTTTTTGGTTAAATTTTGCATATATTCAGATTCTGATTTTTGAAAATTTTAAATGTAGTTGAAGCCGATATTTTCGAATACTTAAATTTTTCACAACATTCAAGGAGTATCCTGTGGTGATACCAACTTTGGTTTTTCAAATTAAAACCTATAATAAAAATTCCATAAATAGAGGTAGTAATACTTTTGAACTACAACACCCTGGAAGTGGCATATACTATTATTTCCCAAAATAAGACTTTATTTGAATTTAGGGATTTAAAGGGATGGTGCTTATGGGCTAAAGTGCTGTCTCGTGAATTATATATTTTTAAATAATAAATATAAATAAAAAAAATATCCCTAAAAAAGATAAATTTAATTAAAAGATTATAATTTATAACTGTATATACTTTTATAGTTTATAGTTCATATTTAATTGTTTATTTTAGCTATTGATGTCATTGTGATTGATGGGCTGATTGATTTATAGCCGCCTAGAAAGGCAATCACAGAGAAACATTTCACATTATAGTATTAATCTAATGAAAAATGATTAGCTAATGCTCTCTACCAAACAAATCCTAGATCCGTGCATTCTTCGCAACTAGTACCTACTCCATAAGTAAATTAGTTCATCACTTCGATGTCAGTAAAACGGATTTTAGACGTGTATATTCCAGGTTTTTATTAATAGTTGTGTAATTTATTATATAAACTTAATATGTTTTTATAAATGTTGATAATATTGGTAGTAATGATTATTGTAAATTTTTATGAGCACCTTCAAATTTTTGTGTACATGCCTAATATGCTATATGAGTAAACTATACGTGGAAAATTAACTTTTAGATTTGACCGTAGGCACCTATTAAAACATAATGATTTTACTATGATAAGTGTTTTATTTTTTTTTCTTTCGCAAAGAAATCATTCTCACGATGTATAGATTATCTGAAAGGAAATTTTGTCTAGTTGGTGCATTAGAAAGGACATTTTTTAATTTTCAAAAGGGTTTTCAACATAATTGGGAAAAAACCGAAAGTAAATTATATTAAACGGCAAATATTTAGTACATTTTGCAGGGTTACCGATTTCATTATTTTAAAGTTTAGATTCTGAGTGTAGCAAAGAATGTAATAGTTTTGCTAAGAATTTTGTTTTATTTTTTTTTATCCTGTGTACAAAAATTCTACCAGAAATCTTGCTCAGATATATATCAACGGTACCATTTATGAAAGGGAATGTTGTCCAAATGATACTTATGGGTAGTCATTTTTTGATTTTCCAAGCGGTTTTCATAATATCTGGAAAAAACCCGAATAAAACGTAAGAAAAACGAGAAATGTAGAAAAATAATGCTTATATTATATTTCAATTTTTTTTTTTTTTTTTGATAAATGTATATTACCGATTTAAAACAATGGTGAAATTAGAATTAAGCGGGCTGACTAAGTTTCGAAATAATAGCTTATTGAAGTTCTGATATTATATGTTATGTTAAATTATTCTTTATTGTTCTTTTCAAAGCATATTTGTCGTGATCGTTATTTATCATCCTAATATCATCCTAGGGGTTCCGAGTTTGAACTAGTGTGTCGAAAAAAAATGTTTTGCATTTTTTTTACCTAAACAAAAAAAAAACAAATGCATTTTGGATGTACCTATAGATGACCCAAGCCTTCGAACTATTTTAATCTCAAAATACCTCTTGATTTGTTGTGCACACTTTTCTACCAGAAATCTTGCTCCGATGTATCAAGTGTAGCTTATTTTCTGAAATGAAATTTTATCTCCATGGTAATTTAGAGAGGTCATTTTTTGATTTTTCAAGTGGTTTTTATAATATCTAGGAAAAACCGGAAAAATGTTGGAAAACAGAAAATGTACGAAATGTAGCTATTAGTAAAAGAATATAATGGCTTTTTTTTATGTACAACTTTTCTTTTTTCCTCTAATTTACAATGACAGCACTTTTTCTAAAAGAAAATCTGACTAGGAACTTACTTTAAGGCGGTCATTTTTCGATTTTCCCAAGAGTTTTCCCAGCAAATGTGAAAAATCAGAAAAAAACATGGGAAAACCTGTACAATATTTAAAAAATATTATTGAAGAAAATATATAATGCCTTTTTAATTATTTTTCCATAATATAACATATATATTGTTTAATAAACCATCACTATCAACTGAACTGCGCTCAGAATTGTTTTTTTCATTAACAAAGGTTTATCTTTACAAATATATATTAAATTACCTATAACAGTGGATACACCCGTCTCCCATTATTCTAGGTCGTCTTTTTACAACTTATGTTTTCTGGCAGATATTTTTCTCCAATCGAATAATGGTAAAATTGATTTTGCTCCTTTTAACATACAGCCATTGACAAAAAAGACGTAATTGTATGTGTTAGCATCTGTCCACAGTATCAGCTTTCTTAGATTCTGAGTTGAGCAAAGAATTGATTGGTTTACAATGTTTTTTTTTTTTTTTTTTTTATAAACCATGACAAAAATTTTTCCCAGAAATCTTACTTCAACATGTCCAATTAAATCCGATATCCAATTTTTTTTTGTTGTAATTCGGTTAAAATTATTCGTAGAGATTTGAAATTTAGACACAAAACTTATTTGCTTTTTCTAGACGTGAAAAAATTTTCAAAAAATTGATCCATTTTGAGCAATTTATAAACATTTTAATTTTAAGAGATTTGTGAATCATTGTTATTCGGTTGGAACTCTGTGATAAAATTTTTAAGACTAAACAGAAATGCTTGAAAATTGAACAGAAGTTTAATTATAAGCCGTACTTTATGGTAAAAATAAAAAATAAAGTAATTCAATGTATTTAGTATACTTTTGTTATAAGAATTTTATTATCAAATTTTGACGAAAATCTTTTTACTCAAAAATGTTGTGGTATAAATCTAGTATTAGGTACAGGTCCACACAAATTATTTTAATTATATATTTATTTTACTATAATATGACATATATATTGTTTAAAAAGCAGTACTATTATACGAGTTTCACTCAGAATCGTTTTTCATTAGCAATGATTAATCCTTATTTATAGATATACACTAAATTCTCCTCTATAAATCCTATATCCTTTATACTTTTCCAACTTCTAATCTACAACAATCGTCCACCTGGTAATCAGCAAAAACGCCACAAAAGAAAAAAAATCCACGGAAAACAAAGCCAAGGAAAAAAGCCATGGAATAAATTCTACAGGAAAAATAAGCCACGGAAAAAAAAATCAATCTGTATACTTTATATTTTTAATTTTTTTTTTTTGTTTTTCCTGACTCACCATTAGTTTTCCCATCAAAAGTTACTGAAGTTAAAAATAAATTTAACAGTGTTTTTAGTAAAAATAAAAACAAAAAATACACATTATGCAATCAATATTAATCAATATTAAAAAATTGTTTTAGAAGGCATCAGTAAACAATAATAATAATAATACATTCATTACTATTATATAAGTATAAAATGTTATTGTTATTATTATATTATTAATAACACTTAATGTAACTAATTATAATATAATAAATAAATTGGCCTTTTTTTTTTTCTATGGATTATTTTTTTTCTGGCTTTGTATTCCTATATTCGATCCACCCATAGTACGAAGTATGTCCGTCTTTTTTAAATTAAATCTTCTTCATTTTGAATAAACCCCAATTTAAATGTTACCTGTCATATGGAAATACACTAAACCACTTTTTCTGATTATTTCAGCACGTATACCTATGATGAAATATTTATTACATTAACAGTTTTAAATTAGTTATTGATCATAATTATTATTTAATTATTATTGTGGCTATAATAATTGACCATAGGGGGCAACTACCTAGGTACACCCATTATAACATGGGTATGCTCACCACACGACACCTAATCATTATTATTTTATTTTTTAAAATACCCACATATTTCAGTTTCTAATTAAATCTATTATAACAATTAATGAAATATAATATGTCCATTAATTACTTTATGAAAATAATAAAGATAACAAATTTAAGCAGTAATTAGGTTAAATATGAAAATTCGGCAAAATAAATTTTAGGTAAGCTGGTTACTACGTGTCAAGACAGCCGACCAATCAGAAGTCGCCAAATCGGCGATTTTTTTCTGTTTAATCGATTTCGTTTACTTCTGTTCTGTCTGTTTAACAGTTATTGAATTTTACGTACTTAATCTCGACTTTTAGTTATGTTTATATATTAAAATTGTACATTTGTAATACAATTCTACGTACATTGTTCTCTATTAAGTATAATAAATTAATTTGTTTTAAAATAGTTGCGAAAAATTAATCATTGATAATAGTATCAATATTAAACATGATAGTTTCTACTGGACCCGGTAGATTTTACTTTCTTTCGTCGTGAGTCGAATAAGCATATATACGGGATACGGCCGAGATACATTCAAAGTGAAATTGGTTAACTAATTTGATAGACAAGTAAGTCATTTTCAAACATATTTTTGTCGTATATTTAATTTAATTATTAAATTGTTATCGATTTAGTTAAGTGAATTTATACATTTTTGAAAATGGACATCCCACTTTGGAAATGTGTCACAGCTCTGTCAACCTTCATGATATTATGTTTTCAAATTACTAATGTACACAGTTTAGCTGTAATGAGTGTTGATCTTGGTTCAGAATGGATGAAAGTAGCGATTGTTTCTGTAAGTGATCTTATACTTAACTAATCTATGTACATAACAAATATAATATATTAATATGACATTTTAATTTACTACAGCCTGGTGTCCCAATGGAAATTGCTCTAAATAAAGAATCTAAAAGGAAAACTCCAACTGCCATAGCATTTCGTAATGGTGAACGTACTTTTGGAGAGGACGCATTAACTGTTGGCGTTCGTTTCCCATCAAATTGTTACATCTACTTTATAGATTTACTCGGCAAACAAATTGACAATCCAGTTGTAGATCTCTATAAAAAACGTTTTCCTTATTACAACATTATCCCTGATCCTAAAAGAAATACAGTTGTTTTCAAACACGGTGAATCGTATGTCTAAACTTTATATATTATATTTAAATTATACAATATTATTAACTGATACATTTGTAGTGATGAACAGTTTTCACCTGAAGAACTAGTAGCAATGATGTTGGAAAAAGCAAGAGAGTTTGCTCAAGATAGTGCTGGACAAGCTATAAATGAAGTAGTAATATCAGTTCCTGGTTATTTTGGTCAAGCTGAACGATCGGCAGTACTTAAAGCTGCAGAAATTGCTGGAATTAAAGTATTACAGTTAATCAATAGTTATACTGCAGGTAGTTATTTTTATAGACAAATAAAATTATGTATTTTAAGACTAAAGTTAACAAAACGCATACCATCATCAATCTGAATACTTGTCATGGACAACCTGTCTTTCCCTGAACTAGTTATGATAGGCTATATGAAAAAAAAGGTATAATTATTATTGGAAAATAATATATCTCCCGTATGATAAGAAATATCATATATTCATAATTATTATAAATTTTTTTTGAACATAAATATTTCAAAAAATTCAGTGCATGTTTGAATTGTATAAGATGACCAGTCTTCGATAAGACACTGATTATCTCAGAAAATTTAAATTTTCTGAGAATTATTCTAGTATGGTTCCCATGGAATTTTTTTTTTAAAAATATATATTGTTGCTTGTACATTAAGAATATAAAAAAAAAGATGGTTAAACTTCATTTGGAAGTTATGGGGGATCAAACCAAAAACCAGTTTTTCATTTTCAAATAGCAATATATATTAAAAATTCTTAATTACATGAAGTTTTAATTTAAATATATTATGATGTCGAAATGTTTAATTTCTGTGAACCCATTGACGAGATATTCCACTTTTTAAATTTTTAGCATAGCGAGGGATTATTGGTTTAACTATGATGTATTTCTGTAGTTTTCTGTCAGTAAACAACTTTCTAAAAATGAAATTTTTTTTGTTGGTGCATTTGGAAGATTTTTTTTTATTTCATAATGGTTTTTGAAATAATTGGGAAAACTAAAGATAAAACGGCAAATCATTACAGCCTTACCATTTTCATTGTTTTTATTATGTTAACGAAATGTTTTCTGCCATAAATATTGCTCCAATAGATAAACAACAACCTATTTGTTGAATTTTTTTAATTTTGTTTATGAGTAAGTTAATCAGTTTTTTTGTAATTTTATCTTTAGATATGAAAAACAGGAAAATGAAAACTGACAAATTTACAATTTCATTATTTTAAATTTGTACGTTTTTCATTTTCTACTATAATTATTGCTCCAAAAAATAAACATCAAGATATCTTTTTTGTTGAATATTTAATCCAATTGGCGATCATGAAAGTTGTTTTTTTAATAATTGAGCAATAATAAAAAAAAATGCAGAAATTATGGGAAAATTTACGATAATAATTCTTTTATTATTTTCAATTTTGTTTTTTTTTATTATTATAATTAAGTTAAATATATTCATAATGACTTAAAATTTTGACAGTCAACTTAATTTTTTTGAAAATATGCATTTTCTAGGCGTGGTCAAATTTTCAAAACGATCCATTTGATCCATTTTTGATCTAATTATAGACATTTAAATATTTTTCGTATTTTTTATTTAATTTTTATTCGGTAGGTACTCTGTAGATAGATAAAATTGTCAGACTAAACAGAAACGCTTAAAAATTTAACAGGAGGTTCTTTAAATTTTCATACTTTGTGGTCAAAAGAAAACAATTTGAACTATTTGTAAGTATCTTTTTTTTTATAGAGGAATTTTAATATCAAATTTTGACGGAAATCTTTTGAGTAAAAATTTATATGGAACTAATTTAGTTACTCTTCCATGCAAATGTTTTATTTTGTTTTTAACGTATGTATACCTGTTAATTTAAGAACGATGGTGAAGAATTAAGCAGACTGACATATTTTCTAAATTATAGTTTTTTGATGTTCTCATATTCTGCGCTTATGTGTTATGTTAAATAACTCAATATTATTGATTTAATAGTATGTCTATTGGTGGTATGTACATACTGTCATCCCAGGGGTTGTGAGTTAAGACCCGAGTTTCGAAAAGAAAAACAATTTTGTATAACCATGTAGGGGCAGTTAATAAAAGGAAAAACACAAAAATATTTTGTTTGAAAAAATAAAATTGAGTGTTATGTTGTGTATTTTTTTTTTTTTTAATAAGTTTTAAAATGAAATTTTGACAGAACTTGTAAATATTATGGCCTTTCAAAACATGTATAACAGAACTCCTAATCGTTTTTTTCGTTATCAATAATTTATCGCTGGATACAGGTATAAATTAAATTACAAATAATTTTTTATATCCTGTCTTCCTAATTACCCACCTACAACAGTGGCTACAATTGTCCCCAATATTAACTCTTTTTAATAAGTTTGAATGGGGGCAGAGTAGTAGATCAATATTTAGACCTCGTGCACCACATTGTTACACAAACTATGGTCCACTACTCCAATTTAAAAGTTAAATATCTTGTCAATGAATTGACAGAACTAAACATTTCAACACCTAAATATATTTAAACTAAAAATCATTTATTAATTGAATTTTGAATTTGAGTGACTAAAATTAAAAATTAAAAGTGAGTATGGGTAAGATAAGAATAACTTTTTTGAATACTATTATATATTTGTTTTAGTATTTAATATAAAAAAAAAAAATTTCAGCTGCATTGAATTATGGTATATTTCGTACAAAAAGTTTTAATGAAACATCTCCCATGTACATGATGTTTTATGATATGGGTGCATATGGTACTCAAGCAACAGTTGTTTCCTATCAGCTAGTAAAATCCAAAGACAGAATAGCTCCTGAACTTCAACCACAACTTACTGTATTAGGAATAGGGTTCGTCATATAAATTTTAATCATCATTTTAAATACATAAACATTATTACTATTTTAATCTTATGTTGTTGTTTTTTTGTATACATTTTACAGCTATGAACGTAATTTGGGTGGCTTGGAAATTCAATTGCGTCTAAGAGATTACTTGGCAACTAAATTTAATGATTTAAAATTAACATCCAATGACGTAACTAAGAATCCCCGATCAATGGCAAAATTATTCAAAGAAGCTGGTCGATTAAAGAATGTTTTAAGTGCCAACACTGAACATTTTGCTCAAGTAATTAAACTTTTATATACTTCAAATTGTATGAAGTTTACAATTAATATAAATATATAATTTCAGGTAGAGGGTTTGATAGATGAAAAAGATATGCGTATAAAAGTTACTAGAGATGTACTAGAAGATTTATGTAAAGATTTATTTGATAAAGTTGTTATTCCAGCTCAAAGAGCTTTAGAATCGTCTGGACTTACTATTGAACTTATTGAACAAGTATGAATAAAATTAATTTATTCCAACAACAATAAACTCATATTAATTTAATAATATTTTAGGTGATGTTAGCTGGTGCTGGTACTCGAGTTCCTAAAGTTCAAGAACGTTTAGCTAAAGACTTAAAAAGTGGACAGTCACTTGGTCGATCTTTGAATACTGATGAAGCTGCTGCCTTAGGGGCTGTATATAAAGCAGCAGATCTTAGTAATGGATTTAAAGTAAAAGCATTTATTACTAAAGATGCTACATTATTCCCTATTCAGGTTAGTTATACTACTATTTCTTTTTTATGTATTTAAATTAATATTTATTTGTATATTTAAATATTTTTAGGTTACTTTTGATAAAGAGTTAATAGATGAGGATAAACCTGCAAAACAAGTAAAACGTATTTTGTTTGGTCTTATGAATCCATATCCGCAGCGCAAAATAATAACATTTAATAAACACCAACAAGATTTTGATTTTACTGTAGGTTATGCAGACCTTAGCCATTTAGATGAAAATGAAATAAAATGTTTAGGTTCATTATCATTAAGTAATATTAAACTAAACGGTGTGCGAGATGCTTATACAAAACACCAAAGTCAAGAAGGTGTAGATACCAAAGGAATAAAAGCACATTTCGCAATGGATGATAGTGGAATATTAATTTTACAAAATGTTGAATTATTAATTGAAAAAACAGTTGTTGGAGATCAAGAAGAAGAATCCACATTATCGAAAATCGGGAACACTATTAGTAATTTATTTAAAGGTAATATTGATGTAAATTTAAAAGGTGAACTAATTATGTAAACTATTCAAATTGTTTGAAATTCAGGTCCTGATGAAATATTAAAAGAAGAAAAACCGGTACATGAGACTCCAGAAGAAGGTCCTATTCATCAATCATCTAATACTACAATAAATAGTACTGAAACAATTGATCAAACAAATTCTACTGAACAATTAAAATTAAATGATACAATTCCAGCTCTTAATTTAAAGAAGAATTTAAAAGTTGTAGCTGTTAAAGAAACTATTGATGTTAACCATGAATATTTATTTGTACTTCCTGCCCAAGGAGATAATTTGCAGAGTTCAATTAAAAAGTAAGATACTTAAAAAAAATAAATTAGTTCACTATTTAGAATAGCGGTTTTTAACCCATAGGACACTGGCAACATGGTATTGGACCATGTTTGCTGGTCAAAGGTATAAACCACAATTAAAGAACAGAATTTGGTTCCCGAAGTGTCTTCTGTAATCTGTTGATAAAAAGATAACTAGCGATCATAACAGATTAAGATACCTTAGGGTTTGTGATTATCATTATTTATTATTCGTTACTGCGTCAGTTTATTTTAAAATTACTATAGAGTGTACCTTAAGATATTTCTTATCGGTTAAAAGTAAAAGACACTTCAGGGGTTTTGTGTAACCACGTTTGCTGCAAATGATGGCTTAAGACGTTATTTATACAATTATTATCAATTGGTTTTAATTTGGTGTTACATTTCATTCATCAGCATTGTTCAATGTGTTCAATAAATTTTATTTATGTGTGTACAATTTATATCTCTAATTTTCGAAAATAGACGTCATAGAAATGTTTTAATAAAAAAACGTAATTTTGACCAGTGCCCCAGGTATGGGTATACAAAATTGATCAGCAGTGAACGTGTTAATTGTGGTATAAACTTAAGGTCGGCAAATTCTATGTTATTTATATTATTATATAAACTTCTATGTTTTGATCAGTAATAATCCCACAATTATCTCTATCATACAATTTTATTGATTTCAATTTCCTATCTTGTATCCAATAAAAATTTTCGTCATTTTTATCATATTTTATCATGCTTGGCACTGTGCGGTGTACTTAATCCTGATATAGACTTTCGTGGGAGAAAAACAATATCAAAAATTGTATTTATTTTAACTTAAACCACTTGTTTATAAGTTTTTTATTTTTCTTTACAGTATTTCATATTTCTTATACTGATTTATATGTTATAATATGATATATACTGATCATATGTATATGGGTGTCTATTTATTTTTACCTGTATATTAGTTTAGTGGGCGTCAAAGGTTTTTTTACATTGATATTTTTATATTTAATATTGGTGGTCTGAACAGCCAAAAAGGTTGAAACTGCTGATTTATAATATTAATTCTGTTTAGAATTATTGAACTGAAGCAGATAGATTTAGCAAAGTCTCGTAAAGAAACATCATTAAATAATTTGGAAACTGCCATTATTGAAACTCGTGAAAGATTAGAACAGCCAAACTATGCTAGTTCTGCAACTGATCTGGAAACTCAATCAATTTTAGATAAATGTTCAGAGGTGATTAGCATTAAGTATAACTTTGTATACATTTTTAATAACTTGTATAATATTGTTAAGATATCCAATTGGTTGGAAGATGATGGCTTTGGTGCTAATGCTGAAGTCCTAGATTCTAAATTTGAAGATTTAAGAAAAATAGTTATGCCTGTTTGGGAAAGAACATTTGAACATTTAGAACGACCTGCTAGATTGGACGCATTAAATGGTGCAATAAATAATAGTAATTCATTTTTGGAAAAAATTAAAAATACTACATTAGATGAAACTCCATTCACACAAGTAGAAATAGATACTCTTGAAAAATTAATATCAGATATTAAAGTAAGTACTTTAAATATGTTATTTTAAAATTGATACATTTTTCGTATATTTTATTTGTAGATTTGGAGAGATAAGCAAGTCGAAGAACAAGAAAAGCTTCCAAAATCTGTTGATCCTGTGTTAACATTACAAACAATCTCATTAAAACACTCATCCATAGAACGCGAAGTATTTAATAACAGCTAAACATATATTAATACACAGTGAAAACTTTATAACTCCATAAGTTAACATTTTTATTAATTTTATTAATAAAAAAAAGTATTTTTTAAAATTGTTATATACATTTAATACTAAATTAATATCACAACAACAAACCAAAGACTTTATCCTTATCTTTTCCCTAGGACAAGTGGTTGAAATTTCACTGCATTTTTTTTAAAAAAAAAAAGTTTACTTTTAACTATACATATGTTTTTTTTTATTTTCAGATGAGATATTTAATGAATAAATTTACTTCTTGGAAACCAAAAAAAAAAGAAGACCCAAAACCAAAAGGTAAATGTTTTTAACTCTTTATTAAGTACTAATAAATTACCGTGAGAATGTTTTTATTTGACTTAACTAACTAACAAAACTAAAATCGATTAATTATTGTTCATGAAGCACCAACATCAACATCTAGTAGTGAAAAAGCTAAATCGCCTGATCAACAAGAAAATGATACCATTATAATAACAGATTCTGAAGGTGGTGAAGTAGATAAACCTGAAGCAGTCGAACCAATTAATAATACTGTAAAGGGTAATGCTAATATAGAAAATCAAATAAAATCAGAAGACACCAAACCAAGTGAACCATCAACAGTTGAACCTACCAAAACCGGTGAGAACCTGAAGAAACTTATGAACATTGGAGGGCGCACGGAAAAAAAAATGTATTTTAGATGCTTTTTGCACAATGCTTGCTCAGCTTTGAAATTTGTATTTTCCAAAAATATCCAAATTGCCTTATAATCTGATAATGGAAATATTTTCATCATGGATTTCATCGGCATTCATTGTTTGTTTCATACAAATTGCATTTCGCTTATTCTAAATCTAGTATTTGTTACAAAAAGTACATAATTAAGCATGCATGTTTCACTACCTTATCACATGCTTGGACATACTCTATTATTTTGCTTAGAAATAAAACATGGGTACAGATTTGTACAGTTTATAATTGTACTTTCAGTAAACTCAGATTAAGAATTTAAATAAGAAATAACCATTTTTCTATTTAGCCAATATGTGCTTCGTGCAAAAATTGCTTGCACACATCTATATTTAAAATTATAATATGCGAACAAATACATTTACAATATATACTATTTATTTGTATTTATTTTATAACTTTTAAATTAATTACAAGTAAATTCATTTTAATATCAATTTTTAACCCATTTAATATGAACATTTATTATCTATCGAATCTAACATTTACAAACCCACAAATAAATCAGAGTTATAATCGTAATCATAGTTAATAGATGGATTAATTACTGAAAAAATTCCTCATTTTTTAATATATTAGTTCTACGAGTTTATATTGGTCACATTGAAATATTCATTATATACATTTTAATGTTTAAACATAACTTCACTAATAAAGTAAATTGGTGTTGGAATTTTCTAGTTTTTTTTTATAGATAAAACATTTAATTGGATTTATATCCTACAAGTAAATATTAAGTTTCATTAATATATATTTTGTACAATTTTTTTGTTTCAGATGAGAAAAATGGTGACACACACACAGAATTATAATCAACTTAATATGCTGTGTGTAATTTATCCATGTGAACACGTGCTTATTGTGCATTCCAGAAACCAGTCGTTAAAGACTATGTTTATTCTGTATATTATTTATTTATTTATTCTGGATAATTGCATTTTGTTGTATTTTTAACTACATCGTCGGAAGAGTATTATTGGGATACAATATTGATTTTGAAAGAAATGTGTTTGCAACAACTGAATAAAATGAAATAAAAAATCATAATTAAATTGTTTTTAAATTGTTTCTGAGCACACATCAATATTAACAAAATATAAAACAATGGTAAACTGTGTACATTTTTAAACAATTTTGATAATGATAAAAATAATAATCGTTATTATTTAAAATAGAAATTAAATTAAGTTATGTACATAATATTAAATTTATAAACAAAAATAAAATATATTCATTAAGATGGCGTTCGGAAATTATAATTTAAAAATCATTCAGTTATTCAATTATTTATAATTTTTAGTAATTTTCAAGCAATATAAAACATTTAAAAAAATATTAATTAATATAAAATGTATTTCATTAATATATTAAATAATGGTTACCTTATATTATATTTAAATTTATTGTAAAATAAATAATTATTGTTCTTTAACCTTCAATTGTATAAACTAGGGTTCTTCAAAATTTAATTTATGTTTTATGATAATTACTGTTAAATTTATTTATTCAGATGTATTATTTTTCATAATATATTTTTACCCACCACTCACTACAAGATTGCAAGATTTTAATATATTTTTATTGGTTATCTAATGTAGTAACAACAATAATGGACAGTAGGTATAAAAAATAATCTTTATTTACCTTTTTATAAATGACATAATATTCAAAATTGTTACATACAATTAATTCACTAAGATTCTTACAAAAACATCTAATTTTCACTATTACTGGTTTTTCATAGTAAAAAAAAAAAAAATACCAGTGCCTTTGACATCCTCGTTAAAATTAGTTTATAATCGAACAATATTTTTGCCTTTAAAAACAAATAAAACATCAAATAGCTTGGATATAAAATTAAAATACAATTTGTTTTACCTAATCTATATTAATTATAAAATGAAAAAAAAGTCCATAAAATAGGCATTAAAGCATTAATTCAAGTAAAAGCACAACCGCATTTAATTAACAATATGTATATGTATATGTAATAAAAAAAATGTATACCTACTAATTATTTTTATAAAATAAAATAAATAAATAATTATAAATAGTTAATTTTCCTATTAGAATGTTTAAAAGTCTTATGGAAGATGGTAACACCCAAAAAAAAGTTCTTAATAAAAAAAAAAAATTATATAAAAATTTAACAATTGTATATTTATAAACCCTGACTATTACAACAAAAAAAAAGTACTCTTCAGTGGCTAATTTCTGTAATTCAAAGCTGAAGACACAACAAATGTGAACATTTATATAATGCCACATAACGAAAGTATAATTTAAATTAAGTTTCCTTAGAATTAAAAAAAAAATTTAATCTTTAAGGGCTTAATTAGTATAGTGCAAAACATGACATGGTGTTTTGTAATAAAATTGAATTCCTTAAAAAAAAAAAAGAATATAATATTAGGCATTGGTTAAATTAAGATTTAAGTAGAATAACGAATAAATCAAAAAGGCACTTATTTAATTCCATAAAATTATACATCCAAAAACAGTGGTTTGATAGCCAATTGGTGGTAAATAACAATTTTCTCATTGCCTATATAATAAATTATACTAAAATATATAAACTATTGAAATAAGTGCCTCAATGACATTAAGGAATTACATATTAAATCAATGACTAAAAATTTACCAGGTACATAATTTTTCTTCTATCTAGTTTAGTCATAAAGTGTTTTTGTTTTTAACCAATTTCACTTGGCTTCCGGTGCCAACTGATGATGTATCTTCTAACGAATCCAAGTCTAATGCTGACTCTATCATTGTTGTGTCTTGAAGTAGTTGTAGTCGACTAGCACTCAATGGTGGAGCACCAGTCATAGTTTTTGACCCATCATCCAAATCTAAATCTGGATCTAATCGACCCGGTTCAATAGTCTCGTAGATGCCATTATCGTTGAATGTGTTAGTCAATGATGTTACACTTTTGTTGAATTTCACTCCTGCACAGTAAAATAGTGTTATTTATTTAATTTATAAAATGCCAAATTAAAATTTAGGACTTTATTCAATAACTATTTCACTTACCAACAAATATAAATCCTAATCAACTTACATGGTAGTGAAAGGCATTTAAAAAATAAACAAAACAAATATTAACAAACTGTTTAATTAGATTCTTCTCATTGCTATTTTCAAAAATAAAAAATATGAGCATTATTTTAATTGGCGTTATTTTGACGAGTACTATTTGCAAAGCGTATTCTATGTATGGGTGTAATCCCATGCTCTTGGCATTGACTATAGTAAAGTTTTTGATTGTTCCTACAACGATAACTAGGTACACGAGAAACGGTTGAATAATACATTGCTGCACGGTCCCTACGTAAGGGAAGACTCGCATAAAAATAATTAGGGTTAGTGGGCACTAAAAAATAGTCTGTAGGATAATGAGAAGCTATTAGAATTGATGAATGGGAATTTGGCGGCTTTTGATACAAACCATTTATAATATGATTTTGATGCACATGATTATTTTGTGAATGATGAATACTAGGCATTGATGTTGTAAATGTGTGTTGATTACGATCAAGACTACATGGTTGTAACATACTTGATGAACCATATTGATGTAATTGGATATCATCAGTGTTTGGTTTGATATTCTATATAATAAAATGTTTAATAATATTAATTAAATATATATCGAAAATTAAAAATAAATAATTTTGCATTACTTGGTTAACAGGTAACTCAGGAGGCTCAAACCCTTTATTAGATATCACTGTATCTCTACTCTGGCTTTTGTTCATAGTTTTAGATTCATTCAATGATAAAACAACACCGCGTCTGTCTTTAATTTATACATTAGTAAATTTAAAATAACATAATTTGTATACATTTATCAATACCTAAAAGACTTGGAGGACGAGGAGAACACAATACATAACAATAATTGGCACAGATGTTACCTTGACTGTAAGGATTGGAATTTGGCCGTCCTGTTCGACTAGCAAAAGATCCTTTTATCTAGTTATGATATATTATTGGATTAAATAATTTATTAGAGAGAAATAAACTCAAATATATGTGTATTATGTTTAAAGATATAAAATATTTACTGACATCTTCATTAGTAGTTTGATTGGATGCAGCAAGAAATGTATGAAATCCAGCAAGTCCGATCACACTCCAACAACTGAAGAAAGTAATAATTACCACTATCACACTAGTTGGGGACTCAGAAATAGCATCTACCATTAGTCTGTTTTCAGACACTAAAAAAAGAAGGAAAGTAAAATCAATGAATATGTACATAGATACATTTGATTAAAATTTAAAATCACTTACAGTAAAATAAATGTAGTACAGCTCCGATGAACACGATGATGATTAATAATGATAAACAAACAATAAACATATAGAAAAACCTGTAGTTCCGACGACCAACACAATTTCCTACCCATGGACAGTGATGGTCAAAGTTTTCTAAATTATAACAACATAAAATATTTTAGAATTTAATATTATACATAACATTTTACAATCATTCATTTTTTTATAAAATTGTAAGTGTAAACAAATTTATAATATCACTAATATCCATTGATGAAATAGATAAAATTGAAAAATATGGATTGAAATTCTCTTATTTTATTAACATACCGACACAATTATTGCATAAGCTACAATGGGAAGCTCTAGGAGGTCTGAAAATCTTGCATGTTACACAATACTTCAACTTAATCGAATGACCTTTAATTACTACCTCTTTGGTCCTAGGTGGTGGTCGAGTAGTCGGTGCCCCTCCATTGTTTGGTATACTAATGTCTAAAACATAATCCTTAATTAAATTATGAATTATTCAATAATTATCTAGGAAATTTGTATAGTTAGTTAAAATATATACCTACACTAATTTATTAAATAATTTAATTTTTATAAAAATCTCTTAATTAACATACTGTATATCATATGAAATTTTGTCATTATTTCTTCACACTTACAGACTTGTTTCTCTATGTAGGCGGCTTCATCAGCAGTCGCCCTAGGAATTATACCAGGGTCTGTGAAACTGGTTTTGAACAATGAACCAATGACAAAAAGAAACAACACTCCAGATATGATTGGAATAACAGGAGTCACTCGATAGCTAAGGTATGGACAGCTAGATACAGATAATCAATGATAATTTATGATACAAACAGGACAAATAAAAAATATAAAATAATTTAATAAAATTTCGATTGCTGACTCACTCGAACACAAAAAACAAAACACTTGTGCCGATGATCAAGATCACATTGATGTAGAACACTGCCGCGTGCGGTGCCATCATGAGCCGGCCGTCACAACAGAATCGGTTTCTGCCAGGGAATATTTCCCAATTCCTAGTGACTCTGGCCATGCCCGATGGGTCATTTGAATCCAAACGGTATTCCGCATAAATGTCATGAAACGTTCAGTGAAAGAATATGCATTACTACATATAATATTCCCGGGTGAAATGAAAAACGGACATAAGCAAATACAAAACAAAACAAAAACCTTTTAAAATATGCTAAATATATAAGTTATAATTTTTTTTTTTTTTTTTTGTTATTATTTAACCGTGTCGTAGATTAAGAATTTTATCAAAAAGTTCAAAGTAAACAAAAAAATAACCACTGAATTCCCATCGTAACCTGCAGCAAACTATTGATTATAGATAGATGATTTTGAGAACCACTGAGGTCGGTGGATGATGAGCACATTCAACCACCGTCCACCAACGTGTAAGCCGTCCCACCTTCCCATCCATCAATAACGCATAATATTATTTAGTTGGATGCAAATATTATAAAAATAATATAATTTAAATACAATATTTGGTAGATGACCCATACGGCTATATGATATTTTTATTATTGTTATTATTAAACATTGGGCCACATATGTATAAAACAATTAACGAGTACACAAATTTAACCTGTTAAACAGAAATATGCAACTCAGACGAATCCCGGTAAAAAGACCAAAGAAAAAAGAACGGAAAATAAGATCAATGAAAAAAAGTAAAAACATTAATCAAAGTCTTTAAATTAATAATTTACAATTATGATTATTAATCATCGGTGACACTATACATTATCAATTTGACGTAAAACAAATAAATTGTTGCGGAAAGTTGAACTGATGTCATGAGTTACCTAGGGGTTAGTTATGATTTTCCCTTGTACTTGGTTATATAAGTAGGTACTTATACTCTTCAAAGCCTGTCTTCTCACCACCTTTATTTAAATTTAATAATATTAATTTAAATAATATTTATTGAACTGTCAACTGACTTCATATTTACTCAAAGAACAACACAACAGTACAATTTACCATTACTATTCACAACTTATTGAAGTTATATATATATACATTTGAACTTTTCAATTAGTAAATTATTTTTAATTTTAACCCTAATTTATAGTTGAAATTTATAAAACTCATCAGATAATATATTAATTGAAAACCATATCACGATATAATAAAATACCGTAATTTATACTAGTTAGAAGATAATTTATTATTATTATTATTTGTATTAGTAATTCATTTGTTAATAACATTACAAGTATTTCAATAATAAATAAATATAAAAGTAAAAAATGTATTATAGATATTTACCCATAACAAAAGAAAAAATTGTTTGCAATTAATATTTTAAATATTTGTTTTAGATTTAGATTTTTAATTTTTTTTTTTCCATTGGTCTTTTAGATTTGGAGCGTAGGAGGTATCCACTCGTAATGGTTTTACTATGATGTGTTTGTTATTTTGTCTGTAAACAACTTTTTGAAAAGAAATCTTGCTCCAATGCATAAGTATTTAGTATTTTTTCTTGAAGGAAAACTTGTCTAGTTGGTGGCGTTAGTGTATTAAAGAGGTCATTTATCAAGGAGTTTTCAAATTAATTTGGAAAAACCCAAAAGAAAATTATAGGTAAAACAGAAAATATTTTCGGTAAGCCACGGCGTTACGGATTTTATTGTTTTTAATTTTTGCAACTTATATTTTCTACCAAAAATATTGCTCCAATCAAATAATGACAACATTGATACATTTTGTTATTTTTAACGCATTGGCAAAGAAAGTCGTCTTTTGATGTTCAAAGTCATTTTCATAATAATTGGGATAAACTAAATAAGACGAAAAATACGATTTTTTTCAAATTGCGACACAATTATTCATTAGCTGATATTTTAAATTTGTACGGCTTATTTTCTACAAAAGCTATTACTCAAATAGAAAAACGACAAAAGTCCATTTTTGTTGAATTTTTAAACTAGTTGGTGACCAAGAAAGTTTTTTTTTTAATAATTAAGCAAAACCGAAAAATAAGTAAAAAAATCGAACAATTTAGGAAACAATTATTCTATTGTTTTTAAATTTTATTTTTTTATGTAATCCAGTGAAAAATATTCGTAGACTAGAAATTATGACAGAAAACTTATATTTGCTTTTTCTAGATGTGGTAATATGTTTAAAACATTTGAGGTATTTATAGATATTTCAATTTTGCAAGATTTTTACGTAATTTTTATTTGGTAGATACTTATTCTATAGATAAAATCGTTAAACTGAACAGATATGCTTGAAAATTTAATAGGAGATTCATTATGACGTAGGTAATTATAATGGTCAAAACAAAAAATTGAGTGTAATGTAGTATTTTTTTTTTTTTTTTTATAAGTTAACAATATATTTGATGAAAATCGTAAATTGTACGGGCCTTCAAAACATGTATAAACGAATTTTGCTCTGAATCGTTTTTCGTTAGCAATGGTTTATCATTAGTTACAAGTATAAAATTAAAAAATCTATGTATCCCACCCTCCAAACTACCCACTAGGTACAATAGTGGCCCCCACTCATCCAAATATCATCTCTTTTTTTTTTATTGTAATCAATTTCAAAACAATCATTGAAACATGATATTTTTCCCAAATAATGTAATTTCTATCAATGGTACTATAATGTTCAAAACATTCTGTGATTTTTAAACTATTTATAGACATTTCAAATTTGCATTTGGTAATATATTTTTTTTTTCTTTTTAAACCGCCCGAAAGCTTTTATTATAACGATCAAAATAAATCTTTAACAATACATTATCAGAGACGTACATAAATACTTGTGATGTATTTATATACAAAAAAAAAAAAAATAAACGTGTGGAATCTCACTCCCAGTGGAGTGGCCCCGATCTTAGCCTAAGCCATATGGTGTTTGATGTTTGAGACGCCTAATGTCTAGTTGAATTGCTGCTGGATTGGTTTGTTGATCCAGTTTTTTTTCATGTTTGCGGGCAAACTTGGTAATCTCGTTCTGGATGAAGGTGATCATCATATTTCGCCACTGAGAAACGACATTATTCACATAATGTTGTTTCTGTCATACCGGTAAGCTGCGGCAACGTTGTATAATCTCAATATTTGACTTGCTGGTATAACCCCACAGTTAAATTCCCGTAAGTCCATATTGGTTTAATTATCATTACGTACAAGAGGCGTTTGCTTATGAGGTCTATTTCGGAATGTTTTCCGACTAGCCAATATAGTTGTTGCATTTTCTTCTTAATTTGCAGGTTTTTCTATCTAACGTGGTGTTTCAGGTTGAGCCGAGAGTCCAGGTGCATTCCTAGATATTTTGCTGAGTCACACTGTGAGATGCTCTGCTGATCTAGTAATACCAGTTTCTATGGTAATATATATGTGGATAAAATTGTAACCCGCCAAAAATTCACGAAAAAAATCGTAACTTTTAAACATTTGTTTAACCAAACTTCGTTTAAAATTGTTCAGTATGCAAATATAAATTAAATTTCTTTTTACATACTTAGAAAAAAATCAGCTAGACACTTCCCTATTGTTTTGTTCAAAAACTGTAGGAATAAACGTAAATATATCGGGTAAAACCTATGACAAAAAAAATATACATATATGTATTTATAGAGAAGTAATTTACCTATTATACAATTTAATCACATAATCACAAAATTAAATTTAAGTAAGTTATTTGAATTTAATTACACATGGATTTGAAATTTATTGAAAACCCGAAATGTAGATTTTTTTATTTACATAGGTTCCTCTTTTATATACTATTTATTTTCTAAATAAAATATATATTTAGTACATTTAAACCAAAACCAATTACATTATGCATGCACTTTATAGGAGTGGCATAGCCATTTTTTTTATTGTATTAATGCCAAACAGCAATTTACAAAGAATAAGTGAAAATACATAAATTAAGATAAAATGATAACAGTACAAATAAAAGACAGACTTAAAAGTTAAAACTAAAATGATTACATGCAAAAAGCAAAAAAAAAATTAAGTAGCATAAACAAATATATACAAAATAAACTAGCATCAATTCATTGGAAGAAATCGAGGGGATGTTTTAAAAGTACGAAAGAGTAGTCATGTTGTGAATGTACAATTTTAAGAAGAAAAGAGATATATGAAAGAAACCTATTTTGGGACTCTCTTCTTAACTGGTCTCTTACTAAAACAGGAGTGCTAAACTATCATACTATCAAAACTTTCAGTGCTTTGCAGACAGTAACATTAATGTTATGGTGGTTAATATTGTAACTTTTCCAGTATATTACGAAAACAACATTGAAAATCAAAAATGATCTCCGCAAAATATCACACATATAAAATTTCCCATTCAGAAAAGCACTAGGCTTGAAAATTAAAGCAAGATTTTTGATAGAAAAATTGTTTAGAACAAAACATAATAAATATCATTGTAAAACCAAAACATTTCTCATTCCACTCAGAATCTAAAGTTTTGTTGAAAAAGTATAACTATATATTATTTGGAATTGGACTTTTTCTTTAAGTACATACCATGAGGTCAAAACATGATAGAGGTCTAATTTTTACATAAATTAATATTTGTCAAAAATTCCTAAAATCTTAAAAATGTATAATTTTCTTTTTCCAAGTAAAAAGTATATCAGTTTATTAATAAATTAATCATCAAGGAAATACAACTAATTATAGCTACATATCTCGTAAAAAAACAAAAAACTAATTACTACTCACAGACAAAAAGAAATAATGCAAATTAACGGCATACATTTTATTAAAAATAAATCATGATTTTTTATTTAAAAACGATATTCCCAGTTGTAATTTATCTGCTTATTGGAGGGAGGTCAATTTTTGTGAACAAACAGGAAGGGGTAAGATATATTTTTCCCAAAAATGGCATTTTAGATTATTGAGGTACTGATTATCTTAGAATAAGACCTTAAACAAAATTAACCTAAAAATACTATAAAAATATATGTTCGTATAATACAATCCATTGAGTATACTGTATGTCCATAATGGTATAAATACATAAAATAATAAGTTTTACTACCAGAATATTTCATATTCAAAACAATTTCATAGTTGAGTATTTTAAAAGAGCAATCAATATAAGTGGTCTTATAAAATAATTTATATTAGGTAAATTATTAATACATTCAATTATAGTATATTCATTAAAAAATATACTTCTCAAAATTTTATTAAAAGAGGTAATTAATAATAATTAAAATTATATCTTAATTCAAAAATGAATACATAACTTTAATTACATAAAAACAAATTGCAATCACTTAAATATTATTTATATACATGTCTTACTTATAAACTTAATAATACACAAATCTAGGTCACTAATATTAAAGAAATTATAAGCAAAAACAATAACATAATTTTGTTTGTATTTAAATAAAAAAACTGAAATTTAATTTTTGATGGGAATCTATGAAAAATTAATAATTATAATTTTAGGATAAAATGTATGGATATTAATCATCAAATTTAATTGAATTAACACAAACATCAATTTGTCCACCTTTGTAAGAACCACGTTTTTTTTTTGTTTTTTCGTGTCTAAATGATTTTCCTTTAGTGTATTGTAAGTCTAGAGCAGCTTTCTTACCCCAGTTTTCGTATTGACCTTTCTAAAAATTCAAAATTATTATTTCACCAAATTTACTAAAAATTCATACATTTAAGACAATATAATACATTTTAAAGTTTTCATATTGGCAAGCCATGAGCAATACTTACTTAATCATCAAATTTAATTTTTTTATTTTGAGGAGAAGAATTTGAATCAATACTATTATTAAAATATCTATCTTTACCAAAACCACCTCTGCCACGATCACCACCACCACGACCACCAAATCCTCGTCCTCCACCTCGCCCACCAAATCCTCTACCTCTATCACTACCACCTCCTCTACCTCTATCACCACCACCACGACCACCAAAGCCTCCACGTCCACCACTGAATCGGTTACCACCAAAACCTCTTTTATCACCAAAACTACGACGTTCACTACCATTTTCATCACCATCACCAAAACTTTTTCTATAACCACCACCTTCGCCATCACCATCACCTGAATCATCAAACTTTCGTTTAAAACCACCTCCACCACGGCCAAAACCTCGGCCACCACCACCATTCTGATCATCACCACGATTGAAACCCCCACGACCACCACGACTACCACGGAAACCTAAGCCACCACGTGATCCTCTATTTCCTCTACCACCTCTAAAACCTCCTTGGCGATCACCACCAAAGTCGCCGTTGATTCCATTTTCATCCTACACAGGAATAATATATATTATTAGACTAATCCAAACCGAGCATGAAAATTAATTATTTCAAAACAGTGTATTACATATTTTGGAAGAATATAAAATTTAAATAATTATTGTTTAAAAAATGTTTTCATGCGCCGGTTTGGTTAGCCACCAAATCAAGGCTAACCTTACCTTTGCTTTTTGAGAATTATTCAAGAGACGTTCATCAACATTGACATTATCTTCACGAACACGTCTATAAGGATCTGATCGTCTGTTTTGCAGTTTTTTCTTTTTATCAGAATCAAAAGAACTGTTTAAATAGTTATTACTATTTTGATACTGGTTTCCCTACAATAATTAATTCTAAAATCAGTTTTTTTTAACCCTTATGTTTTATTTCAACCCTACAAATAAAAATTCTTCCAAAATAGTAATCAACAATGTATAAATAAACTTACATCATTTCCAGCTTTAACAAACGGCTGAGCTTGTATCTGAAAAAAAGTTTTACTACATAAATTTAAAATTATTATTTAGGAACACATTTCTATTTTCTTATGATTCTTAAGTTCATTCTCACTAACATAAAAAATGTGTTTATCTGATTCTTGGACAGATTTTATGACTGATAACCGACCACGATTAGTTTATTATCTTATAAACTCTGTTTGAAAATCAACGTTTATATTGTTAAGAACGGGCCTTAGTCATTTATACCATAGGAATCCACTTAATATATATATATATGCATTCTTTACCTGTTTTGGAGTTTTATTTTCTTCTTCTTCCTCATCATCAGAATCATCATCACTTTCTTCTGCAGTTTTTGCTATAGCAGGTTTAACTACAGCTATACCAACAAAATTAGAATTAGAATTATCAGGTATAAAAAATTATACAAAAATTTATAGTGTTGTCTACTTTTTTTTACTGGTGTAGCTGTTGCTACAGTTTCATCTTCTGAACTTTCTTCTTCAGAACTTGAGTCTTCCTTAACTTTGTTTGGTGGAACAGGAGCTATAAAGAAAAATAATAATGCATTACCTCGATTTGAATCAATAAAATGTATTAATAAAAAAATAGCAGTATGACAATTCTCTATAGTATCACCATTTGCAGAGATGGTATATTTTATTTATAAACTGTATAATATATAAATATTAGGGTTGAACAAGTACTATACTTTGAAAATAATGTCGAGTCAAGTTTGAGCACTCAACTCAAATGAACACTAAATTGTTGAAAAATATTAAAAATAATTGTAAAAACTATAACTATCTCGAAACCCAAATATTTTCAATAACTGATAAGAAAAACCAAGGAAAATATAATAATAAAGGAAAAAAATAGAAGGTTTATTGTTGGAATTTATAAAAACAGATTAATTGTTTTAACACATTTAATATTTAGTTTTATGACTACTAACATGGACCATCCTGGCAATAGGAGCATTTTCAAGTACTCAACTATATAACTTGACTCGGCATTAAAAAAATAATACTTGTCCAACCTTAATAAATATTATTACAATATATCTAATAATATATTAGACTCAGAGTGGAACGGAATAGCTAATGGTTTCACAAAGATGTTTTTTATTCTGTGGATGACTTTTCTACCAGCAATTTTTCTAAAAGGAAATTTCACTGGAGAGGTACTTTAAAGAGGTCATTTTTCATCAAATATGAAAAACCGAAAAAAAAAAAAAAAAAAAAAAAAAAAACTAGATCCATTTTAATATGGAAATTGGATTAAGGAATTTTACCATAATGACTTATACGTGGTGATCAATCTATCGTAAGACACTCATTATCTCGGATTGTTAACTTTTTAAAATTTGTTTTAAAGAACATTTAAGAAACTAGATATTCTAAAATTATTTACATTTTTTTTTTTGTAACCTAATTTTTGGGAGGGAAACAATTACCTACTTTTTACTTTCAAATGGAAACCTATAAAAAGAATTTAATAAACAGATCGAGAAGTAAAGTAGTTAAAGTTTGTTATTTCTGTCAATCTGTTGACGAGATACTTCACTTTTAAGTATGGGACATCTCCGAGTAAAATGTAGTGGCACAGCACCCGGAGTATTCAAAATGTACCACTAATGTCGCCGACTAAAACTTAAAAGTGGAATATCTCATTAACGAATTGTCAGAAATTAAAAATGTATTTTAATTACTACTCTATTTATTTATGGAATTTTTAATACAGGTTGCCATTTGAAAAATAAAAGTAGATAGTACATCCAAACCCAAAAATAAATGAGACAAAATATAACATAAATAATGTAAAATTTGGTAAGTTGTTTGTTTCTGAAATTTTCTACAGAACAAATGTCAAAAAACATTAATATATTCTGAGATAATGAGTGTCTTATGATAAATTGATTACCCTGTATATCGTTGACTAAGAAGTTCTATCATCTGAACTTCTTTTATAATCGTTTTTCGTTAGAAATGGTTTATCATTGCTTTAGTTAATAACCATTAATTACTTATAAAAGTGGCTGCATTAAACCCCATTATCCTAGGACGACTTAAACTTTACCTTTAACTGCAGCTTCATCTTCTGAACTATCCTCTTCGGAACTAGATTCTTCTTGGCTTTTCTTTGCAACAGGAGCTATAAGAAATACATAATAAAATAATATTATATATTAAATAAATAATATATTACTGTAGCAGCATATATTTATTATTTTCACCTTTAATGGGAACTTTCACTACAGCTTCTTCCTCTGAACTATCTTCTTCAGAACTAGATTCTACCTGACTTTTTTTTTGAACAGGAGCTAAAATAATATTTTTTTAAAATTAATATATATAAAATAGATTGAGTAATATTAATTTTCTTTTAACAGTAAAATAGTTATAATAAACATTGTTAAAAAGTTATTCTAAATATTTTTAGAAAAACATGAAATTATTATTGTTTTCATGAATCAATATTAGTTAATATTATAAGTAAACCTCAAACTATTAACTTAATTTAATTTTTAAACAGTCACACATATTTTTATTTTCCTAAATCTTTAACTAAAAATGATTTTATGCATGAGGGTATTTAAACTTATAGCAAATAATGAAACAGTGGAACCTTAAGTATCTGGGGCTTTCACAAGGAGGGGTACACGGATAAATAATAACCACAGTTAATCAAAATGTATGATAAAACAAATTATTATAATGTACAATGTTATATCTGATATGTTAAAGTGTATACTAGCATATACCTGAACTTTACATGGTGAAAAAGAAATTTTGAAATACTTTTAATTTCACCACCTAAGTGAGTGTGGATATGTATAAAAATAAACTACATTAAGTAATAAAGTGAACCTGTGCCAACTTAAAATCTGAACTGTTAGAAATATTGAAAATTGCATTTTCTAAAACACATGAGGAAATACATTTTAATATATTATATACCTTCATGAAGTATATTGATTTAACTGAATAAAAATGTACATATTTCTTTAATTATTTTATTAATAGTAATAAAAATGATTTTTATAAAATTTCCATGGCTTCTTTTATCACTTGTCATTTATAACTTGTATATAATATACTGTTGTAGCATAATGCTTTTATTTTTGTTCTACACAAATTTTCAGAAGAGTGAGCTTGGTCAGTCACAAACACAAATAATCTAAGATCTATTGTATATATCAGTAAAAATAGGGGAAAATTTCCTTTTGGACGAATATCAACTAAAATATTCTGTATAATAAATGTGCTTAAAAAGAGTAAATCATATCATACCAAAGCATCACGAACAATAACTAAAGTTAATATATATAATTTAAAATAAAAAAAAAAATATACAACAGAAGTTAATACCTTTAGTAACTTTAGCAGGTGTTTTAACTACAGTTTCTTCCTCAGAACTTTCTTCCTCAGAACTAGAATCTGCTTTTTTAGCTACTACTTCTTGAGGAGCTTTATTAACTTTAGCAGGAGTTTTAACTGCAGTTTCTTCTTCAGAACTTTCTTCTTCGGAACTAGAATCTGCTTTTTGAGCAACTACTTGAGGAGCTTTATTAATCTTAACTACAGTTTCTTCTTCTGAACTTTCTTCCTCCGAACTATCATCAGATTCGTCTGCAGCTTTTTTACCAGCAGGAGGCATTATAACTTTAGTAGTTTTGGGATTTTTTGCAACAGGAGGAACGGATTCTTCCTCTGAACTTTCATCCTCTGAACTAGATGCATCCTTCTTGGACAGTTGATTAGGTGCAACACATGCTTTAAAACAATTATTACAATTTCATTTTAAATTCGGAAAGTAGTGGGGGTTCTACTATTAATTTGTAACTGTGTATTTCTTTTTGTAGTTTGTGAACAAATTATCGATCTTAATGATTATAAAGTTATTTGATTTATAATTTTCTGTGTAGTATTGATAAATGAGCAAAATTTGAAAAACATTTTTTAAATAATCTAAAAGCATTTAATATTATGAAGTTTTTTTTAACATAATCTTTAATTGATAAGTACTCGGTGGATAAAATTATTTAACCGAATAGAAATCCTAGAAAATTGAATACAAGGTTCATTATAAGATGTACTTGGTGGCCAAAAAATTTTAAACAGGCCATGCCCAATCACTTAGATTATTATAAAATAACAGTTGTTCATTAACAATAAAATATAATACTTACAGCTAAGAAATAACAATTACAATATATTTATAAGAGTTAAAATTTGGTGATATGAACAGATCAATTTTTAATTTATTTATAAATTTCGTTATTTTATTGAGGGAATATTGCTAGCATAATTGGTTACTTCAGTATTAAGAAAAAATATATTTATAAATCGGGTGTCATGAATAGGGGTATGGAAAGAATTAAAATTTAGGAACATCTTATAAACAGAGTAGAAATCTACTAATCGCAAAAAGCGTTTCAAGGGAAACAAACGACAAAATTGAGGTGTACAAAGAATGCGGTTCTTCTTTGGCTATTAAACGAGAACACCTGAAATAACATTTGCTGAATTTTATTCCATTTATCACCCGATTGGTAAACAGATCATATTATTGAGCTGTATTTGCAAATAAAACAGCGATAAATGGATTTTAAAGCTCATTATCAAAATCAGTACAATTTTGACAAATAAAATATTTTGTTTAATTTGTTTACAATGTTGTTAAAAACATTCAAATTTAAGTCTAGGATCAAAATAAATCAGAAGATCTTTGATAGATCCCAAAGTGCGATACAGCGTTTCACCATTGATATTGTAATTAAATGTGGTAACTGTATAAGCTCTGGAAAAATTCATTATCTGGCATTTATTGATATTCAGAGGAAAGTTATTGTTTATACACCATTCATAAAGAATATCTAAATCAGATTGAAGTAAATCAGCTTTAACTTCATAAATCACAATACAGAACATTTTCATAACATCAGCAATCATTAATTTATTGGAATTTTGAAAATGAATGTCATAAAAAATAGGAAAAAATATTGGTCCTTAATGGGAACCTAGAGGAACACAATGTAACACATATTAGAATAGACCAATGGTCTTAGTAAACTGATTAACTGACAATCTTCAATAAAAGAGATAATCCAAGACAAGAGCCACAAATACAAATTTGTTTCAATTTAGTAAATTAAGATTTGATGATTAATTTTATTGAATGCCTTAGTAAAATCAGTGTATGACATCAACATTTGATCCACTAGAAAGGGTGTCGGATACAAAATTATTAAGTAATTTAGTTATCGTACTTTTATTTCATCAAAAATCATGCTGGTCGTCCATGATTACATTACTTAATCAGATAAAACTCTATTTTTAACTATCAATTCAAACAACTTAGGTATTAGAGAAAGCAAGGATATAGCTCGGTGGCAATTTGAAATATTGAAGGAAGACTTAGGGATAGGTTGAATAAAATTAGTTTTAGAGTATCAGGGAAAATACCATATGAGAATGATAAATTAAACAGAAAAAATAAAGAAGAGGAAATAACAAATTTTGTAGTTTCTGAGAAAAATGTTAAAAGACCTAGACTGGAATTAGAAATTAAAAAACTAAGTGATTCAAATACCTTATTACTTAAATTGAATTATACAATAGATAAATCACACATCTTATTAATGATGGCCCTCAATTAAACTTTCATTTGGAATATTTACCTTTTTTTATGGGAGGTTCATCATCAGAGCTGTCTTCTTCAGAACTCTCTTCATCGGGCTGAACTGCAGAAACTGGCTTACCATTACTCATCTTTATTATCTTATCAACAGCTAAACAAATAAATCATAGATTGAGATAGAAAACTACTAGTTTCATACTTACCGAAACAGATACTAAATTGATATAATTGTAAATGTATGTTTTAATAATATTCTCAAAACAATAATAAATTTAAAACTTAAGAAAATATGTAGGTATAACGTGAAATATTTTAAATGATTTACAAACAGTTCAACTACAGTTCATTATACAATGTGCCTAATTTGAATCTAGAATTATGAAAGTACAAGTACTTAAAAAATACAATTTTAAAGATTTTGTTTTCCATTACCAGTTTTTACTAGATAATTTTTCTTTGAGATTAAAAGCACTGACAAAACCCAGATTTTGTTTTATATATTTTTTAAATAATTTTTCCTTTTCATTTTACTATCAAACTTGTTTTACTTACTATTAATTTTAGTCACATAAGTTGACATTTGACATAGAAAAATAAAAATTCTGCAAGTGTACTTTTAAATTGAAAAGTTTTATGATGATTTGATTTTTAAAAATATTTAAGCGCTAATTATGAAAATAAAAAATAATGACATAAATAAACAATAAAAAGCCAAATCAAATAAAATAAAAAATAAAAAACTAATTATTAGTTTGGCACTACTATACTTTATTCCACTTAGAGGTATACCGGATGGCGAATGAAAACATATTAGTTTATTTGTTTACAATAACGCTATACAGTTTTTTTAATAAAAATACAAAGTAGAATATAATATCAAGTACCATCAAAGAAGACAATAATATAAATAAATTGGCTTATAGCATACAACGACTGAGCGGTTGGTTTTTTTCATAGTAAGAATGAAATTATTGGATGTAGAATGGGACAAAATGATTTAAGGTGTAGGATGGAATTTTAACGTTAATTTGGGACAATAATAAAGGAGAATTTTACCATGAAGTATATTATTAATGAAACTAAGATTGGTATCATGTGTACAATCAGCTAAAGTAGTTAATTGCAGATATGGCAATACTGGAGTGTAGTCATGAGGGAGACAGTCTATTTTGAGAACAAAGCTGGCGAACCTCAGGAACTTACGTTGAACTCTTTCAACTTGACAAGAGAACGTAGCTGCAGAGGGCTTCATACGATGGACCCATATTCCAGAATAGGTCCGACGAATGGACAGTATAAAGTCTTAAATGGTGCAGAAAATTTGAGCTCTTGTGCTATTTGTTTGGTAAAGCCTAAGGTTTTTTTGTACCTTACAACATGCATTCTACATAAGCAGATTAGAGCTAAGCGTAGGAGTTAAGATAAAACCTAAGTCACACACAAACTTAGTAAGTGACAAAACAGGATTACTAATAGTATATGTGAATTTAAATGGATTTCTGGTACGAATAAAGGTCATAGAATAACATTTAGAGACGTTAAATGGATTTCACATTGGATTCCACCCAGGACACCAATCTGTTTAAAAAAATCATTTTAAAGGACATAATCATTAACAAAGTTGATACGAAGAAATATTTAAAGATCATCCGCAAACGCTTAAAGTATCACATAAAACCCAGTTGGCAATAGATAAATGGTCACCCTGAGGTACACCTAATGGCATATTTGTAGAAGGAGATACTACCCCAAGAATTTTTACCCATTGTTTTCTACATGAAAGGAATGAGCCAAACCATGATAAAAGTGGTTTGCTTATTCCAGTTCGATAGAGTATTGTGATACACACAATCAAAAGCCTTTGCAAAATCAGTATAAATCACATCAACCTGGAGAATGAGTACCAAAAGCATCAAATATAAAATTGCAGAGAGTTACATTGCAAGTTGTAGTCAAATGACCAGGACGTAAACCATGTTGCTTATCCATCAATATGGGAATGTGATTGATGGAAGGCAGAATACAATCAGAGATAAGAGATTCAAATAGTTTTTAACGTGAGAAAAGATGGATATAGGTCAGTAGTTCTAAACCAAAGAAGCATCACTCAATTTTAAGACAGGTCTCAGTAACTTATTTTCAATAAATCAGGAAGTATTCCTTATATCACCCAAAAAGGAGCCACAGTAGAAAAACTAGTGTATATCCAAGATAGTAAAGAAACAGACCGGATAGATATGCTATATGGACCAACAGACTCCACTCACCCACTTATCAACAATCTAACGCACCAATGCTACCACCAGTCATCATCTTGCCGCCGCCATATACATGGTATACAACACATTTAGCGAACAAAATATAAATAACGTTTAAATGGCATTACTATGTACATGTAATGTATTTTCTTGCACAAACACTGTGTTAATTTAAATAAACTTACAATTTATGTTTTAAATAATATAATAAATTATGCCATGTTTCCCATTAGTTTGATTGGAACAGGATATGTGTATACATTCATTTGGCGGTGGTAACAACCTCGGTACACGGCGTACGGATCATAACGATTACTTCAGATTAATTAATTAGGAGCCCGGCAACGTTCAGCGCTCAGTCGCGTATGTGTGAACCGGTGTACTCTTAAGTTGAATAGAGTATAGTTTTGGTCTTCAGGAACAAAAAAAATATTTAACTTTAATTAAAAAAATAAAAATAAACTTACATGGTCCATTTTTCTGTAGTTTAATTGTCTTCTTTGAATTTCTAAAAATATTGTTATGCAGATAATTTAATAAATGTATCTAGGTAAGTAAATGTAATAAATTATAAATCAAACTACACATACTTTAAATGGTCATCAATTATCTGTGCTAATTTATTTTGTCCTCTCTGTAATTTTGACTAAAAATTTAAATTAAGATTTAATTAATAAAAGATACGAACAATAAAATAAAATGCTGTATGAAATATATATATTAACAAAATAAACCTAAATACCTATTACCATAGATTATATTATGTTTTAGAAGCATAGTTTTTGACTTTGACTAGATTTTGGTTTTTTAACTAGAAAAAAATATATTACTAATTATTTGACCATATAGGTAGGTAGATAAATAATTATCAGTAATACATTACTATTACTTTTAATTAAATTGAAGGATTTGTTTTTTCTAAAACGTTCTATTAAGTATATCAAATTAGTTAACAGAAGAAATTAAATTGTACTAAGTTTAAGGTAATTGATCAAATCTTTTAGCTCCAATTAAAATTTTGGATTAGATTATGATTTACAATAATTAACGTAAACCATTTGAAAAACCTACATTTATAAGTTAAAAATATGGATTTATAATTATACTAAAAAAAAAGGTAATAACAAGCCTACAAGTTTGTGTTAGTAATTTCTAAGAAAATATCAATATAAAATAATTTGCGAATAAACCAATTCAATATGAATGAAATATGGTAGAAATCTAGTTGCGGATATTAAAAACCACAAAAATCAAACACATACACGTGGTTTCCATCACATATTAATAATGCATTTTGATGAATACTAAATACATGTTATTACTCACAGCTTTCGTCTTGGTTTGAAACATATTCGCGAGATTTTGATCCAATGAATTCAAATAATCGAATACCAAAGCATTCACGGTTTCTGTACTCATTTTGATAAAATATATTTAATTCAATAATGGATACCAAATAACTACTAAGAACGCGACAGACCGGTACTACGCGTCGTGAATGCGGCAACGAAAAGAATCACGATTCCCAATTAATTTTGTTTGATTTGGCATCAGCATTTGTTGAAAACCTGCACCAACACACGAGGCGATTCATAGTGGGTGGGAAAAGTGGTGCTACCAACGTTATTTGTATACTTTTTTTTTGAATTCCCCGACAACCATTTTTTATAAACACATTTTATTTACACAATTTTTGTCAATAATTAATAAATCATAAATTTTTAACAGAACCAACTACCAACACTACCAATAAAATAAAGATGTTAAATATGATAGATCTTTTTGTAATGGGACAAAAACAACGACAAGAACATTTTCTAATGGATATTGTATTTTGATAACAGCATTTTAACAATGTTTGGCTCTAATAATTATAATATCGATATTAATGATGATATTATCAGAATAATATTTTTCTGACAAATTTCTATTCATTCCAATAGCTGCTGCTTACCTGTGTTATTTTATATTGTGACAGGTGTTAATAAATTATTTCACTTGTTTGATTATTTTATTATTAAGTAATAATAGGTTTATAGTTTGTCCTGTAAAATTGTTGATTATGTTTTAAACAAAATTGATGGTCCAATGTGCCTTTAACATTTCGAAAAAAAAATTTGTACTTTATTGTAAGATGGAAATTTCAATGGCTTCAACTGACAGTGTTAAAGTATTAGTGGTCGGTGATTCGGGTAACTGTTTAACAACTTTCTGTATAATTCTAAATGTTTGCATATTATGATAAAATATTTAGTTCTTGGTAAGAGTAAAATTTACCAAACAATTCACAACTTACTAAAATTTTAAATGAAATATTTTGAAATTATGTACATTTGAACTTTTTCAATTTGGAACTTATTTTCAACTTCAATCCATTTATTTCGACTTTTAATTGATTTATGGTTGAAATGTATTAAAGAACTCTACACATTTAATCTGAAAACTGAACTGATTATTGTACAATCATTATTTTTACTAAAAAAGATAAAATTAATTTTGATAAAACTGGAAATGTGTGTCGATTTATACCTATACCTTACAAAAGACCAATATTTAAACTTAATTACTTTTAACCTAGGTAATCCATTTGATATTAGTAATAATGATGACCATATACACCTATACATTATATATCTTCTTATTAGTTTTATGGTACTAATGTACTTTAGTACCTACGTATTTATTTATTGACATGAAATTCAGTTAGTTGTCCACAACCCACTTACATTTTTTAGTACTGACATTATCCTGAATGGAGAGATTTATTGATATAGTTTTTTTTTTGAGTTTTAGGTAATGCGTGCTATGATTTATGATCATTATAATTAATTATCTAATACAAATTCACCTTTCCTTATCTTAAATACAAGTGAAAGAAGCTCAATTCTACATTTCATCTGTTAAGACCACTTCTTTGTTCTAGCTTAACCTTATCAATAAAAATTATTTTATATAAAACTCTTCTTCCTCTATGGGCGTTTAGTATCATTATCTGGGGCTCTGTTATGAATTCAAATAAAAGAACTATACAAGCTTTCCAAAATATCTGTTTACATATAATCACTGGCACATCTTGGTTCATTTCAAACGAGTCCCTAAATTCTGACCTCAAATTATCACTACTCTCTACTACAAATAGTTTCACGCCAAACTGCAAGGTAATTCCCACCAACTAATCAACATTAGCATCATTCAAACTTCCCAGTAACCCATCTAGACGCCTCAAAGGGAACCTATCTAATTTGGTGCCACGACTTATTTACTTAAGATTTTAGTACTTAGTATTATTTAGAGGTGTCACAAATATGTGGTTTCCTCCTCATGTGTCTATAAACTTGTTAACTGTCTGTAAAATATTAATATTACATATTGTATAAACTGTATAAATTGTAATTTTTTAAAATAAAGCTGTATTCATAAAAAAAAAAAACATTCACCTTTAAATTTTAAATATAATTTAGGTGTTGGTAAAACATGTTTAGTGAATCTCATCAGTAATAATAAGGCAGTAAAAAATCCAAAATGGACGGTCGGAGTGACTGTTGAAATCAAACTTTATAAATATATGGAAAACACATCTAGACAACGAAACTGTTTTATAGAAATGTGGGATATTGGAGGAAGTTCAAATCATAGAAATACAAGAGATATATTCTATAATTCTATACATGGTACGGTTATTTTTACTTTAATGTTGATATCAAATTTGCTTTTTAAATTTTTTTTTTACAGGTATAATTCTTGTGTATGATTTAACAAATCTTAAATCTAGTGAAAACTTACACAAGTGGTTAGCAGACATTTTGAATAAAGATTATAATTCAAAGTATAAATTTACAGATGGATTTGATATGGAACAACTTGTTGGATCAAACAGAGTAATAATTTAATATAAATAAATAAGGAATACACATGCATTTTGCTCATAAATTTCTACTTTTTTTTTGTTTTGAAAGATACGTTTTTCGATACTGATTTTAAAAATGTTTGAATTTGTTTGTGGAAACCATTGTTGAAGAAGTTACTATTAAAAAGTTTTAATTTTCCTAAAATACTTCAGCCCAATTATTATTTGGGATTTGCCATCCTTGTCCTAAATTTCCACTTGACCTGATCACCCACATTGTCTCTGCATACACTCACCTCAGCTATCTCTTATGTATTCATTCCTTTGAAAAGATTATGTCTTCCTTCTGACAAATTATAATTGGAAAACTAAATGTTGGGAATACTATTTTGGGGAAAAGCGTACTACAATTACTACTGTATTTATAGGTTGTCCTATAGTTTTTGGTCAAAAATTGTTTAATCCTTGTTTCCAGTAAAACAAAATTAAATGGTTTCAAATCAGTGTCAATAACCACATCTTTTTTAAAAAAAAAAAAAATTGTTGAAATTTGTGAGGGGGTGTGAGGTAAATACACTTTAACCTTAAATAAAAAAACCATTTTAAATTTAGTTTCTACATTGATGTTAATATTTGTTGACTGAAATATTGAATGGTATATTAATACTATTTTTACATGGTTTCCCTAGCTAAATATTTAACATTTTAATAATGACAACTTAAATATATTAGGTACCTATTTTAGTCTGTGGTACAAAATTGGATATGGCTCCAGAACGTGGTAAGAAATCGCCTTCAACTGTAGCTGCAGAATGTGGTGCTGATGAAATATTAATTGTAATTATCAAATTTTGTAATAAATTTATCTCATTTGTTCAAAATATGTTACTGGATTGTTTTTAGAATTGTCACGATTCAAAATCATTGGAAGTAGGTACAGTTGCAACATCAAAGCTTAACAATTTTCTAGATAGAGTTATACAAACAAAATATCCAATCAGTAACTCTAGTCCATTTAGTCAAGGTGTCTACTCTAGGCAACATCAATATCAAACACCTAAAACTCCACAGTATCCAGTCACTAGACAAATAATATATGATGGATCTCCAACAATTAGTAAAAATACATTTTTCAACACTAAAACAATACATAAAGACTGAATATTTTATTTATTTACATATTTGAATAATTTCTGTTACAAAATTGTATTATATTTTATTACCTACTTTAATTTTAAATTAATATCTATTTGGGTGTACTACAGCGTATATACTATTATATAATTATAACTATTTAATAAAATAATAAGTACTTTTGAGATGAACATTTAAGAAGTAAGCTTAACAGATAAACACCTATAAATATCAATATTAATCTTGTCTTTCAAAAAATTTAAAAACCGACTATAGTATAGTTTAGATAATTATTCCTGCCTTAGTGAATGTTATTGTTAACAATCCTGTTCAATTACTGAAGTACATTAGATGAATTATGAAATCTGTATTCTAACTTATTAAGTAATATATTACCTGTAGTATGTTAGTGTATTTTTCTTATAAATAATAATATAATATAATATATAGTTCAAATTTTGTGTAAGCATTAAAATAATTTGTTAATTTTCATATACCTATATTATTTATATTTACAATTTAAATTGTGATTAAAATTGTATGTAAGCAATATACACATTCATAAAAGAAAGTATCTAGTAAATAATAAATTTAATAATTCTTATTTTATTAATGTTAAATTGTAGTGTCCCAATTTGACCAACAGGAACTTTCTGAAATACCTTGTTACTTCATTAATATGGTCTATATCTATAATCTTTATTTTCTTTACGCTTTGCTGAAGATAATAACTTTTTAATTGTAGTCCAATCTTCAAGTATCTCATGTTCTTTAAGCATATATACAATACATGGTCCAGATACAACAACTGGTTTACGTTTGGGTTGTGCATGTCCATAAGGACGACGACCACGTCCACGTCCACTGCGTGTCAAGCTACGACCTAACCAGAGAGATGCATCTATATCCACTTCATTACGGGCATCATCTAATTGTTCAATTTGATTTTCTAAATCAGCTTCTATACTATCATATAGAATTTCTATGTTATTCTGAAATTGTAAAATGCATGTTAATACTGTAACTTTGGTTATTGTGCATGTTAATAGCAATATATAATCATGACTTTCTACATAATGTCTAATAATTCTATATAATGCCAAGTATAATTGGCAATCTATAAAATTGTTTTAATTACCTATTGTATAAAATACCCAACAATATATAGGTAATGCATTTTTTCAACATTTAAAATCATTCAATTATATAACAGATAATAGAGCTATTTTTATAGACACGTCCCTACTGACATGTGACTTTCTTTGATGTTTACTGACAACCATCAGTAATCCACGGCTTTGGCCGATCGGTTACAAAAGCCGCATGCCTTCTCATCTAAACCAAAATATTGAAGCTGTGCGGCTTAGCTGCACTTCATTGGAATCACACCTTAAATTGTCTTCCCAATCTAGCCTATTCAATCTCTATAGTAATCTATAACAATGATAAGTATAAAGGAGTGTCAACTGTTAAGCTATACTTTACTCTCTATATTTGTAATTCTCAAGATAATGAACTTAAGACAGAGGTTTCATCGAGAATACAATTAGCTAACAAGGGATATTATGGATTAGAAAGAATACTAAAATCGAGGACACTCTAAAAATTTTAAAATAAGAATGTATATGACATTACGAAGACCTATTCTTCAGAATGGTTCTGAGACGTGGACATTGAGGAAAGCTGAAGAACAGAGACTAGGAGTATTCGAGAGGAAAGTTTTAAGAAAAATATATGGACCGGTCCTTGACAGTGAAACAAATGAATGGAGATAATTACATAATTATGAACTCAAAAGATAGTTTCAGAGACCTGACATAGTTAAGGAGATCACAAAAAGAAGAATCATGTGGGGGGGTCATGCCCGGCGTAAACAAGGATCTCTAGTTAGACAGGTGATAGAGGAAGAACCAATAGGTAAAAGACCTTTAGGAAGACCCAGAATGAGGCGGGAAGACTGTGTAAAAAAGGACTTAAAAACGTTGAATCCAGATATCAGATGGAGAGAAGCTGCAGAAGACAGGGACAAGTGGCAAGATTTGTATTTAGCGGTATAGTCTTAAAGACCAGAGCCAAAAAAAAGAAGATCTGTAATTCTCAAATAAAAATCTCAATTCTCTACACAATTTTATATGTAGAGAATTGAGTAGGCGTTATAAAATACTGTTTTAAAATCGAGTTAATAATATTAATATTTCCCCTTGGTATTTTAACAATTTTTCCCTTCATTCAGACTTTAGAATCCAAAATATTAATACATTAGCCTATTGCAATAAACTATTTCACAAAAAAACATTCAAACATTCTATTACCTTAATTTCCAACCTCTTCTCCTATTCACTAGTTGACAACGTACTGGGTCATTGCCCTAGGGACCTTAACATTTGAAAAATTGAATAAAGTAGTCTAAAATTGTTTATCAGTATACAGAATGTATTAATTTTTGCAATATTTATTAATAATAAAAATTGAATTATTGAAGTGACAATGTGATATAAAAAATTAGAATGTTTAAATGATGGACAATATTTTTAAAAAGTAAAACATATTTCTAGTTACAAATTTGAAAAAAAAAAATAAAAAACTCTCAATATTGTTTATTTAAAAATATGATGTTTTTAATAGTAAAATAAATATATATTTTGTCGTAACCGCATTTAAAATTAACAATTAATATTGCCATACAATTTAATTTTTTGTCTTTAAATTAAATGTCTGTTCATAATCGTAATATTAAATTGGTATTTTTTAATAAAAATGTGTTCATATTAATAAAATTAATTGTCTGATTTGATATATATCATTATGATAAAAGGAAATGGATTGCTAGTAATTTACCTATTCTATACATTTGTATAAATTTGTTGATAAAATGCCTAGTTATTACATAAAATACTTAGGCATTGTATGAAAAAAAAAAATAATACTTCAAAAATGACTAGGTAATATATATGTAATACAGTGTATCCAATCATATTCAACAGATTTTTCTAGCGATGTTAATATTAAATTGTTTAGATTTTTTTTTTCAATTGTTTGTTTTCGAAAAGGACATCAATTTGGAGAAAAATTTAAAATTTTTATTTTTATACCTTTAAGACAAAAAAAATAATTTTATTTATTCACTTTAGAAAATGTTGTCAAAAATATTATTCAAAAAATTTTAATGTATCACATTCATATCTGATGAAAAACACGTTTCATATTAAGGAATTACAATCAGTATAGTAATTCTTTACTTTCTATTGAATATTAATTGTTTTCATGCCTATTTTCTAGAAATTAAAACAGCTATAATTAGGAAACTATTAATTGGATATGAATGTGTGATACATTAAAATTGTCTGAATAATTTTTTTTTGAAAATGGCTATTTTTAAAATTTCCTAAAGTGAATAAAGTTATTTTTTTTTTATGTTCAGGGGATGAAAATAAAAATGTAATATTAACAATTCTAAAAAATCCAACAAATACACGGTAGGACACACTGTGTTGTTTCCTAGGTATTACATATAAAGTCATAATATAATATACATAAACCAATTGTATAAAAAACTATAATCATATTTTAATTAATAATATAAATATTAAATAACAACTTATAATAATAATAGCTTTTTTAATAGTTGCTTTGAAATATTACCTTATAATTTTGTTGAATAGTTTGTTCTTCAGATTCAAATTTATGTTTTAAATTTATTAATTTAAATATTCTTAATTCAGTAGCTACTCCAATTCGAGATTTCATTTGTGCTTCTAACAATTCTAAAGGTATGCGGTATTCTTGTGCTGTACAAAATTTAACATCAGATAATTTGTCATCAATTTCTTTTATTCTTTCTTTATATAACCTGAATACAAATTTAATTCAGTTAAATTTAACAAAGATGAACTATACATTATATATAACAAGTTACAAACATTTCTTTTAGGAGAGAAAATCCACTTTCAATCTCTCGTAATTTGTCTTCACACCTTTGTTGCTCTCTTTCGATTTCGTCTTCGTCTAAATCTAAAGGTGTAAAAAAAAATTTTGTTTAAAAATCAAATGATTTTATTTGAATTATATTTATCATGATAATTACCGGAACTATTATCTGTATCAGAGTCTGAACTACTGGAGTCTGATGAACTACTAGATGATGATGCAGATATTTCAGAAAGCTTTTTCTTTTCATACGAAATATCTAAAACTTTCTCAGAAATTATAGACCCAACTTTATGCGCTGTATCTTCTGATCCACTTTCTTCTTGTTTATCAGAGATATTCTTGATTCGACTAGCAACAATCTCAGAATTATCACTACTGAAATAGATTAAATATATAATCTTATATATAAAATACATATAATGAGTTAAGTAGGTATAATTTTGTAATTACTATTTATGTATTTATTTTATTCTTCAAAAGTTAATGAAACACAAAGAACAAAATAGTTTGAGAGCTCATGAGTTCATAGTGTACAATATAAACAAATAACAATGATAACAGGATAACATATTTGTGTAATAAAGTTCACAAAACAATGTTAGATCAAATTAGTTAAACTAGGTATAATATACCTCTATAAAGGTTGTAGTTACAGTTTTAATGTTTACAGAGACATTGAAGAAACTTATAAAAATAGTTTAATATTATGTATATACATAATGACACAGAGATCAATAAATTCAGTTTTGATTGTTTTGTAGGTATAAATTAATGTCACAATTATTTCTATAATAAATAATATGATGAAATTAGTAATAGAGCAAACAATTCATATTTATATTAATTGTAAATAGAAAATATCCAATAATATATAATATTAAAATATGATAATAATTATAATATTATTAACTAAAAATTTTTAAATTTTCAGTTCATATTTCTCGTTTTTTTTTTTTTTATAATGAAAATAAAATACCTATGTTTACCTTGTTACAGTAGACATTATAAAATATCCAGAATTTTTAAGTAATTGATGCTTAATATATTGACCTTACATATTTAGTCAACACACATATTTAAAATTCACCTATATATTGTACCTACATAATATTAAATCTTTGCATGATAATACTCAGACAAAAATTAATAATTAAATCTTTAGTATACTACTTTTAATATTTTATAACCAAGAATAAACAAAAGCGCAACTTGCAAAATTTAATAATAATAATGTAAAATATGTAACATTGTTAAAACACTCTAACACTTGAAACAAAGATTGTTATATAATATAATCTAGAAACGAACAAATTGTTTACAAAACGAGAAAATATTTATAATAAACTAATAAATAATAATTACAATAATTATTATGATACAACACACAACTTTACATAAAATAATTCGCCATTAACAAATGTACCTTCCGCTGGCAAAATTTGATAAGAAAGCCCAGTGGTTTCCAAATTATATACAATTTTACCTAGATAACTACTGATTTATGCTTCGAATGTTTAATTAGTTGCTTACCCAACACCTAAAAATTAATTTATAAAATGTATACAATTCTATTGCCAACATCACTTTTGTAAATATATTGCCTATCTAGCTCCTGAAATTGTTCAACATATCTGTTTATTACGTACCTTACTTTGGAAATTCTATTGCAGTTAAAAAAATATATTTCTATACCAAACAACATAAATTTAATACAAATACTGCCAATGTTCAATTCTGAGTTTTCATAGAAGTTTGCATAATTAACTATAGAATAATATTATTATTTCATCATTTTTTGATATATAATAGGTCTATGCATAATATGGGTACCTAACAACAAAGCTGATCACTAACTAGTGAGAAATTTACTTTTACAATTAAATTTGTCAATACTGACTTGTTCAAAATGAAACAATAACTGTTATTGAATTGTTACCTATTCATTAAAAATTAACCTGTAATTTACTAGTTGTAAAAAAAGATAGCCTTTTGAAACTTTAATTATAGTAGTATTTGTGATTACTTATTACAATTTTGCAATATTTTAAACAGCTAAATTGTGTAAATAAGGTTGTCTGTTGTTAATCACAGGTGCACCTTGGTTCATCTCAAACGAGACTCTAAATTCCTTCCTTAAATTACCTTCCAAAAACAAAACTGCTGCTACCCACTATAAACGCTTCTACGCCAAACTACTAGATATTCTAAACCAACTAATCAACGAGTTAGCTTCACTAATACTTCCAGGAAACCCTAACAGACGACTCAAAAGAAACTGGTGTCGAGATCTGAAAACTTAAAAACTAACAATGTCATCTGTCTATAAATCTGTAAATTATTAATATTACTTATTGTACAAGATGTTCAAGGTTGAATCATTGAAATTTCTTAACTTTCATACTCAGCCAATATCAGTCTTCTTTTATCAGGAGACTCAAATCCCTTACAAGTTACTACTGCACATTTAAGCATATTAGAAATCAATGGATTTATAAGTACAATAAATAAAATTAAAAAATTTGACAATAATAACAATAATAAGAAATAACTTAGTAATAATTAAATATATTTAATCAAAAAACAAAAATAAAATATAATTTAATGCAACATAAATAATAAAGTATTAATAGCATTAATTAAAGAACAATATTATACAGAATGATTCTTATATTACACAATACTTATTATTTCATAAAGCATTGCAAAATATTTTAACCTAACCTTGATACATATTCATAAAAATCTAATTTTGGAAAAGTAATTCGTGAATTATATCTACTTAATAGTAGTTAAAATTATTACTCTACGGAAGTGTACTTTGTGAAATAATAAGTTTTGTGCGATGAGAAAAATTACTCTGTATACAGAGTGGCCCAATTGTCAGTTCCCGCTTTTTAAAATACGGGCCCGCTTTAATTTTGTATATTTACGCCTACGAAATATCGGTCTGAAGCCATACATACCTTGCCGATGATCATGATGTACATTAAAATAAAGAGGGGAACCTGACGAATTGTTTACATACTAGAGAAGGTAAATCTATTGTCTCACAGCCAACTGGTACCACTGTTTATCGTGGCGTTGTTACATGCTAGCAACACATGTTTACTTTTACCTCCTCCCCCTAAAAGTCATAACGGCGGCAGCAAGGTTTTTAAATAAAATTGTATCTAATAACAATTTAAACAACCTTTTTTAACAGTATGGAACGGTTTAAGCTTGTCTGGAGGGTATAACCCTTACTTTTTCGACAGTTCTTTAACTGAAAATGCATAACACGATTTGCTAAACAATTACCTACTTCCTGGACTGCGCGATTTTTTAGATGATTACAACGAACTGTACTACCAACATGATGGAGCACCTACCCATTCTACGATTAAAGTTCGTAATTTTTTCAATCTTGAATTCAATAGTCATGTCTAGTTATGGGAATAATCAAATGATTTTGATAATCCAGATATTATAATCGAAATATTGTATCTAATCGAATAGATTAAGATCGTTATCTAATCAATAAACATTTTGATTTTCATAATCGTGTGATTTATTCGATGTACCTAATCGAGTAGATAAGAATCACTCAATATATTGTGAAAATTCATGCTATTTTAGATTCTGAGCAGTTACACAAATGTCGACTAGAAATTTTTCTCCAGTCAAAAAAAAACAATAAACCTGATTTGTTGCATTTTGGAACTAGATGGTTTATAATTTGATATGATATTAATAGTCTCGATGGAATGTAATTCGGAATCTGGATCGTCTGCTGCAGAGACAAAAACAATATGTGATGAAGGATGTTTCCGTTTCAAATGCTCTTTAGAAAACAAGTTAAAACGATATTGAGAAATTTACTTTTTTTATAGGTACCTACATTTTTATTTTATAACATTCATTATTTATTAAATCTACAACATTCTTACCTTTTAAATTAGTTGTATTTCCGTAAAACTTTAATTTTTTTTTTACAGATTTGACAATGAACTACACTTTTATCAGCATTTTTTTTTAAATGCTCCCACACTACAAAACGTTTTTGACTGCCTGATCGCATTTTAAAATTTAAAAATTTATTTTGGATTTTTTACGATATGCATTAATTTCGTATACGATGTTTTACGATACGCGAACGGTTTCAATAAATGAAACAAACGATACAATAAAATATACCTAAATAAGGGTCATTCAATTATTTATATAATAGTTAAATATTATATGGTATGTGTGTGATCAAAATTAGAATACTGGAACAGTAAATTAACAACTACCTATTTCATTTATGATTCTAGAATCATCTAGAAACGATTAGAATGATCTACTTAGCATTTGCGCATAATAGTAAACTATGGGTTATTTTATTTTGATTCTTATTGTATATTATTATACTATGCGCGAGATAAGAACGTCATTGTGCAGGCATGCCACTGTTTTAAATGTTTTGATACACTGTCCACGATAAGAAAATAGTAATATAGGTAATATTAGTTAATAGTAGTCAATAAAATAGTAGAAAGAAATAAGAATGATTACTGATACTGTTTTGAGTAATCACTAACTACTAAATTACTAAACTAGTAAATATAAAAATGGTAACTACTAATTAGTAGTTACTAATTTTTCATTCGATTATTAGAAAAATAATCGAATTACTCGATACATTCAAATAATCGAGTTATTCGATTACTCCCATCACTAGTGTCATTGGTCGCCGCGGATTCATTGGCTAACCTCCACGCAGTCCTGATCTGACCTGCATGGATTTCTAATTTTGGAGAACAGTGAAAGATGTGGTATACAATTTCCTCAACAGTCTCTTTCCTCTTTCTAATAATCTCGTCCCCGTGCTTCTCTCTCTAATTGAATACCATATATTATGAGGTCCATGAACATATATACCATGGTTGTAGATTTATCTATCTATGGTTTATTCCATTAACACTCAATAGAATCTCGTTTTCGTTGAAGTTGTCATACCATGTTAATTTTATCATAGTATTTGCCTACCTGGTAGGTACGTCAAGGTTAAACTATAAACTAGGCAATTCATTTGCTATATTTGTTAATGGTTAGACAGAGAGTAATAAGAACGACAATAATAATAATATTAATTATTGGGTTCAAATAAATAATAGATTATTATAGTTAAAATTGTTATTAATTCTAATAAATTAATTTTAATTTTTTATTTTATTATATTATTACAGTATATATAATATTAACAAATTATAGGTAGGTAATTAACAGTCATAAGCTCAAACATTTTTATAAACAAAATAATATAATATTATCTTCCGTTTCCTCCAGGTCATTACATTTTTTTCGAGTATATCGCATATTCACGTGTAAGAAGGGTTTAATTTAAAAAGTAAACATGAGCGACCATTTTTAAAAACACGTTACATATTAAATTAGAAATATATCGCTTGAGCAGTAAATTAGACTTATTTGTATAGTTAATGTATATATATAAACTTATAAGTGTATGGTCTTTGTAATTTAAAATAAATAACGTTCTTAAATCAAACTTCTATACTCCTTGTCTATTGAAACACTCTAGAATCACCATATTATATTAGAATAGATAGAATAGTATTAATCTGTGTACTATATGCTGTCAACTAACTAGTTTAATTTTCTCACCTGTACCCGTCCTTTCATTTGCTCTTATAATATTATAGTCTTTTTAATGTTTTAAAATTTATAATTTTGCAGACAAGACATTCATTATACCTACATATTTTTAACCTATGTATTATTCGTGTGTTCAGTTAACCCAGTATACCTATTAATTAAAATTAATTATTATTAAATAATAATAATAAAGTAGGTAATTTTTTATTATGGTGTTACATAATTTTTTTTGTATCTCAAACAAAATCGCAGTGATATTGCGTACAGAAAAATTACACAAAATGGCAAATGTTGCATTCCAGAGTAATCTGTATAATACAAATAATGTTATTAAAACTCAAGTACGTTTAGCTTATAACGATTTCAAATTTCCAAATTATAACAATGATCGTCGTAGCTCTGGAAAGAATCCTACTATTCCTAACCGTGACACTTACGAAAAACGTAATGCATTCACTTATGTGGTACTAGGCACTGCAGCCACTGGCTCATTATTTTGCGCTAAGGCAATTGTACATAAATTTGTCTTATCGATGGCACCAGCAGCTGATGTTTTGGCTATGGCTTCAATAGAAGTTAACCTTAGTGAAATACCTGAAGGCAAAAATGCAACCATTAAGTGGAGAGGAAAACCTCTATTTGTAAGACATCGTACTGCTGCGGAAATTGAAACTGAGCAAAATACGTCTTTGATTGAATTAAGGGACCCAGAAGATGACTCTGTGCGAGTACAAAAACCGGAATGGTTGGTTATCATTGGAGTATGTACTCATTTAGGCTGTGTACCAATTTCTAACGCAGGAGACTGGGGTGGTTATTATTGTCCATGTCATGGATCACATTATGATGCAGCTGGTAGAATTCGCAAAGGACCAGCACCAACAAATATGGAAATACCACCTTACATATTTTTAGACGAAAATACACTTCTTGTTGGTTAAACTAATTAAATTCATTTATTCATTTGTATTGTTTATTCATATTGTAATTGTATTGATTTAAGAAAAATATTTTACTTATTCATTGACATTATTTCTAATAATCTCTAATACTAGTTGTTTTTTTTTTTATTAAATATTAAAAAGTTCTAATATATAACAAAAATTGCCTACCCCTTTTAGCTGAGCTTGTAGTGGGGTAGGCAGTTAAATAACAATCAAAAATTATGACTTAACTATAATAGGTACATACTACATATATACTAAATATACATATTTATCCAATAGATTAAATATTAGAATTATTCATACATTTTTTTTTTTTCATCAATTGGATAATAAACAGACTAATAAAGCATTCATTAGTGTTTATTATTTTTTTAATAATATTATTTAGCTACAATTTTGGCAAGAATTATACTAAATTAGTTATAAATTTATAATATATAATAATCAGAATATATTTTGCCAGTGAATTTTTTGACATTTTTAAGCCTTTTTTCTTTGTGAATTTAAGTGCATATAAATCCGTTTCTTACTTCTAACTTCATTTATTCAAAAAAAAATGTCATACAGTGGTTCAAAATTGAATAAAGGTGGCCAAAAGTGATTTCTGAAATTTTTCAGAAATTGCAAATTTTTGTATAATAATAATTTCTATGCCAATTTAGGTATTCGAAAATGCCCAATTAAAAAAAGGAACTTTTACCTTTCAAATTTATACTTGAAGAAAAAAAAAATTTGTTTACTTATAAAATGTTTGTAATTTCGTTAATACTGCAAGTTTTTGTACGCTATGAAATACTACAGAAATACAATGAAGATCAGGTTTTTTTTTTATTTATCAGACTTTTAGAGTATTTATCATAATTATTGTGAAAATATTATATCTGCACTATTAATAATTGTAGTGATAACAAATTAATACTAGTTATAGCATCAGTTTATACGCAAAATAACGTACGGTTTTAACCAATTCTTCCATCGACCTTCACATTATTATATAAATTTCAAATATTTATCAGGTTATAGAGTCGGTAAATGTTTAGATTAGCTGTCCATATTTGCCCCTTGGAAAATTATACCATGTTGAGTTTTGGTAACTTTTTTTTTGAATTTTAAACCATTGTACTTCTCTTCATATTGCCCAACTCAAAATCTATGACCCGTGTTTTTACCTATTTGAAATATTTATGAATTTTTAAATTTAATTTATTTAGTGAACTATATAAATGGAGTATAGGAAAAAAAAATCAAAAAATGAAAAAATCTACTTTTGTAAGTAGGTACTAATATATTGATTGAATTGCTTTACTACTATAGACATATATCAGATATATTTTATGTATTAAATACATCAAAATTAGTTTATTATAATTTAATAAAAGTAATGATTGTAAAATAAAGTTTATCAGTTTAATTTTAAAGTTTTGTAATTTATTGGGTATAATTTTACAGAATTTTCCACGAAGATATACATTGCGATATCTCCTAACTCCTGAGATAATAAAGAAAATCAAATACTGTTTTAGATTCTTACATTTTATATTACTTTTCGTTAGTATTAAATAGCTTTCTATTGTCTGTATAATTCAATATAATATATGTCACATTATGGTAAAATAATTACATGTGCATTAAATATCTTCTTGAATAATATTAATATTGTCTCTAATTTCCAGTTTTTCCAATTTATTGGGAAAACTTCTAGGAAAATAAAAAAATGACCTCCATCAAGCCTGATTTTCTTTCAGAAAAAGTGCTCTTATTATAAATCTGAGTAAAATTACTGGTATAAAAGTTGTTCTTAGATAAATAAAATAAACATCATTGTAAAACCAATACATTACTCACAGAATCTAAAAGGTGAAATGCTGTAAAATTGCTAATATTGTGTATGTATGTATTTCTCAATTTCCGTTCGAATTGCAGATAAGAAATTAAAAATAACAAATAATTTAAATAATGAGTATTTCAGTCGAAAAATAATTTAATTAAAATTAAAATTTCCAAAATCATCGGATAGCTTTTTTTTTTTTAATAAGTGTTTTGAAATCAAATTTAAATGAAAATTGCAAAAATTATGTATTACCGAACTGCACTCGGAATCGTCTTTCGTTAATCAATGATTTATCGTTGCTTACTTTTATAAATTAAATAACCTTTTGTATACTAGCTTTCCAACTGTTCACCTACAACAGTGACCATCTCCAGTATCAGATCTCTTTTTTATTCAGTCATTATATTAATTTTTATTATTATTAACAATTTTATATAGTTACATTATGTCAGCGAGAGACTAATACTATAGCTTTTACTATTTTATAATTAAAACCAACCTTTCTACCGTGATCTACATGCTCCGATTTTTAAGTGTAGCACTTTTTCTTAGAGGAAATCGGTGTAGGGAAATACTTAAGGGAGGTCATTTTTCGATTTATTCGAGTTTTCTCAACAAATGTGAAAAACCGAAAAAAAACGTCGAAAAACCAGGAAAATCGGTACAACATTAAGCAAATATTATTAAAGAAAAATATATAAAACCTATTTAATTATTTTACTATAATATTATATATGTATATTGTTGACAAAACATCACTATTATCTGAACTCCACTCAGAATCCTTTTTTTGTTAGCAATGGTTTATTGTTGCTTACAGATTTTCATTACCTATAACAGTGACTGCACCCGGCCCTATTATCCTAGTATACCATTTTTTCACTTCAACCTATTTCAACATGGTTGCATTATATGCATTATTATGGTTCAATATGGTTGCATTTTACTATTTCTGAACCTCTAACAAAAGGTCTTTTATTAGACCAATATATTGAATTATGTCTATTACAGAATTAAACATTTTGTAATTTTTTTTTTGTTTTATTCATATTATTTTAATAAGTTATAACAAATAATGAAAACAAAGTAGTAACAAAATTGTGATTTATACAATTATACATACAAGAGAGATCGTGAAGGCAAAAATAATTATGTATGTATGTCATGTATATCTCAAATTTTGTAATTTATTTATTTTCATCTAAAGAGTATTCTTCATGTTTAAATTTTGTATGCAGTATAATATGGAATAATATATTTAATTATAAAACAGTATTTTATACTGAAATAATAATTTGATATTACATTTAATATGTATCTAATCTACCTATAAAAAAAAAGTAATTTCTTCCATACATGTTATATTTGATCTAATATGGATGGTATTTTAATGATAGTCATAAGAACGGTGTATTTTAATAAAACAAATCACTTTTTAGTTTTTACAAACTGAAAGGTTTTAAAATCATAACTGATAATGAAATTTTTATCTTGTAGAGCCAATCGGAGAACAGAATTTTCAATGCTTTACGGTCTAAGATATGTATCAGCATAAATTATTATCATAACGTATTATCAATGGGTATACATTTACATATATATATTATCTAAGGAGCTTGGAAGGCATGATAATATTCACGTGTGTTTTGGTATAGACTTCATCAACTTCAATTGTGATATTACAGTAAATATACATTTTGTATTAAGTTTAAAAAGTTTCAGGTTAACATATTTTAATTCTATAGTCATCATGAATATTGAGAGTGATATTTTACCAGCTAACGAAGACAAAAATCTTAAAATGTCAAATCCATCATGGGCGGATGCAATGAGCAAAATATTGAAAACAAAAAAAAAGAAAGGAAAATCTTTAATACTCTCTAAGGCAAAAATAATTTCAGCAACTGATCTTAATAAAATAAAACAAGAAATAGAGGATATTGATGATACATTTGAAATTGTAGACAAAGGTGGACAGAAAGTTGTAATCCCAGAGAATGCCAGATATATTAAAGAAGAAAAACCAGATTTAGAAATTATAGAAACAAAAATACCAAATCGAATTCGAGTATGAACTTTTATTTTAAATATTTAACTTTTTAAGTTATAAGTTAAGCTCTTCTGTATACTGTTAAAATAATACTTTTAATGTTGGAAGTCAGAACTTTGGACATTGGTTATCATTACATTTTGATACTTTTTTTAAATTCAATTTTTCTCGATTTACTTAGTAATATTGATAATTAAGGTTTAAAAGTAAATTTAAAATTATTTTAGATTTCTGAGTTTAATGAAGAATTTATTAACAAAGATGTTTATTTTTATTATTATTATTTTTTGTGAACACTTTCTACTAGAAAGCTTACTCCAATTATCAAGTATAGCATCTTTTCTGAAAGGAAATGTTCTCTGTATGATATTTTAAAGAGGTCATTTTTATAAAATTCTCATTATTATTTGAGATAATGAGGAAAACCTGGTTCTTAAGGTTAAAAAAGATTAAAAAAATAAGGTTATTGGTAAAAGTTTTTATTTATTTTTTGTATTTTTTATTATTTTGATCTTTTTTTAAACAATTATTGCTGTAATTATTTTACTATAATATGACATATATTGTTGACAAAGCGAGACTACCAAGTGAATTCCACCCAGAATAGTTTTTTCGTTAGCAATGGTTTATCATTGCTTTCATTTAATGTATAGATATACATTAAATTCTTGTCTGCATCCTACTTTCCCAATTTCCCAGCTACAACAATGGCTACACCCTCGTGCGAAGTATATCAGTCCTTTTTCTTCTTCACCTTTATCCAAACTTTTCCAAGCTGTCATTGTATCATTTTCAATCACATACAACCAACTCATTTTAGGTATTTTTCTTCCCCCCTTTCTTTTTACATTAATTTCTAATACAATTCTTACTGCTACAAATTCCTCTCTTCTCGAGATATGTCCAAATCACCTTAATCTATTGTCTCTCATTTTATCTACTATTGTAAACCACACCTAAGCTACCTCTTAAATACTAATTTCTTATCATATCTTTTCTTGTCACTTCACTCTTCCACCTAAGTATTTTCATCTTTGCTACATTCATTCTGTTTTATTTTTCTGTCTACTACCAAATACTCCAAACCATAGTTGTTCTTAGTACGGACTTTTGTAGAACTTACATTTTAATCTCATTGAAATATCTTGTTACATAAAACACTAGATTCTTCTCTCCACTTTATCCAGCTTTGCTTAGTCATATGTTTCATATTTTTGTTAAAGCCATTTTCATATACAAAAGATCCTAGGTACTTAAAACTTTGAACCTCTCCTATTATATCACTGCATATTGTTAACTATATTATCTTGTTTATCCAGACACATTCTCTAAGTATTCTGTTATAATTCTACTTATATCTAGTCCCTTTCCTTCAAGTGCTATTCTCAGTTCCTCAACCTAGATTATCCCTATCAAATATATATATCATCTGCAATCATTATGTACCATAGAATCTTCTCACATCTGCTATCCCCGCTCACATTGAGATGGTACAATCTGCTAAGGTTTTGTTTAAAGTTTCTTTTACTAGCTGTTTGACAGAGTTATAGAACTTCATTTGCCGTCTCAGAAGACAGGTTGAGGTACCATGGGAGTATTTTGATCCTCTTCCACGAGTAGAATGGTATTGTCAATTGTAAGGTGAATTTCTTCACCCTACAGAAACAATGTTATAAGTCTACTGGAATCATCCACTTAGGAAATTAAGCATTCCACCAGTAGTTGCTTGGGCCCTTAGGTTCACTAAACATATAGCATATATGCTTTTCTGAAGTCTTAAATATTTTGTAGATTATTATTCATATAAAGTCTTTGTAAAATAAATATTTATTTATAATTTAAATCTTTGAATTCTGGTTTAATATTTTTTTATAGATAAGAGAACAAGTATTAATGGGAAGACAAAAACCATCCGTTACTGATAGAGTTAAAGAAAAGAATTTATCTAAAATTGCTACTAAGTAATATCAATTTGATTAAAAATATAATAATTAATTTTAGTAACATGTCTACATATAAATGTTATAGAGGTGTTGTACAATTATTCAATTTAGTTAAACAACAACAAAGAACCGTAGAGAAAAAACTGAAAACTGTAGGACCTTCTATTTTAAAGCAAGACAAAGTGTTGGAATCAATAGATAAAAAGTCATTTATTGATTCTATTGACCATCGAATGGTAAGTATATTTGAATACAATACAATTAAAAAAAAAATAAGCACTGATAACCAGCATAGCATTGAAGTTTAATTTTCTTCCAGCCGTATTATTAATGTTACTCAACTTGAATAGTTTGTAGAGGTATTTAAAAGCTATAATGTTATACAATTTGTGCATATATATTCTAAATGTTATCCCTCTTCATTGCGGGTGTTTGTAGATGTGTTCAAAATTTAAAAAAAAAAAACCTTCCTGTAACAACATATTTATATTGATTTTGAAATTTCTCTAAGGGCCAAGTTTGAATCTATTTGGTCTCATTTGGATACCTGCTAGAAATGTTCATAAGAAGCAAGTAAAAGATATAGGTATATAAATATAATTTGAATAGAGAGATAAACAATAGGCACAATACGAGGTGTACTCAAAAAGTTTCCAGACTCTTTGAATTACGTGCCATTGGAATACCCAAGGACAGCAGGATTTATGTCACTGTTTCTGTGACTTCTGAATTTGTAGATTCTCTATAACCTTTGTTTTGATTAAAAAAGCTTTTAAGGGTTTTGATTGGAGACAATTTTTCCTTCTATTTTGTTGACAAAATCTTGGTTGGTAAAGAAATGTAATGTTTTACATCACTTACCTATGCCAACAAATTGTAACTGAAAAACTGCAGTTGTGCTGGGTGACATCAAAGTTTGTTTCGAGAATCAAAAAACCAATCCAAGTTCAGGTTTGTCAGGAATTTTTTGATGTAGTAAGTGACAATAAAAACTTTTTTACATTTTATCATAATAATAATCATTACTAGTATCATTATGTAATTATCAAAATAAAGTAAGAAACTTATTTTACAAAAAATCTATCTCATTAAATCAAAGGTTATAGGAAATCTACAAATACAGATGTACGCAAGAGAAGTCACTGAAGTCAGTGATATCAATCCTACAGCTCTTTGATGCTTCATTGGCATTCAATTTGTATACAGTCTGAGAACTTTATGTACATTCCTTGTACAGTACAATAGTTTATTTTAATGAAAAAATTAAAAGCAAAAAAAATAAAACAACCTTTACCTGTGCAAATGTTTTTTAATTAAAATATAAAAATTTGTGTTTATTTTAACGATTTAATATCAATTTGAGAATTAAATAATCTTTTCATTTTTAGGAACATGATGAAGTAGGTTGGGATGTTCTTCGAGATGATTTCATGGGTGGAACTAAAATTAAAAATTGGGATAAACAAACAGAAAATGATAGCGAAGATGATGATATTAATGTATAAGAGTTATACATAAAATGACGATTGTTAAATTTAAAATTAATATTGTTAAATTTAAAATTAATATTGTTATTTATAATTTAATAAAAAAAAAATGATAATTATATAATTGCATGACTTTTATTTTTCAAATACAATAGAATAATTTGAATGTACTCTTGTATATTGTAAAGTATGGAGTTGACAGATATTTAGTTCGTAACTATTGTTGAACAATGAAATGTAGCCATGGTTTATTATATATTTATGTTTATCAAACAATAAATGGATTGGATTATTAGTGTACTTGCTAGTAAAACATTCTAGATACAAAAAAATATTAATTGAATAGCACATATTTTACAGAACCATTAATGGATGTACACATCCAATAGAAAAATCTGTAGAAATCGAGAGATTCGGGTTCAATCCCAGTCTTGCCATCTGATTTTTGGTGCTATTTTTAATTTCTATCAAATCTTCAAGGATTTCCATACTACAATTATTCAAGTATATGCGGTAATGAAAATATTATTTTTAAAAATGAACTAGATCATGTTCTAGTTAATAGTTTTCAAAAAAAACTAACTTAAGTTCATCAAATTAAAACTATTTCACAACTTTAGCAGCTATATTATAACATGTAGTACCGTAGTAACAACTAAAGTTGGTAGATAATTGGAATGAATATTTTTTCATAATATTATATTTATTTTTAAGGGGTAAAATAATGACAACCACAACTATAATCTCGAAGGATTGCCAGTTTGTACTTTTATAGAAGTATATAGTATTTGAAATCATTGACCTTCCAGTACTTATTGTCATTTACAGAATTTGCTACTTTCAAGTTTGTACAAATAACAAATATTAAATAAGTTGATAAACAAAATTGTTTTGTGAGACTTAGCTTTCTGATCAATTTTTGTTCGCGTATTTTACCATGAAAAGCTGAGTCTGTCGAATGATACTTCGACATACTATTAGTAATCAATAGTTAATCTTTGGAAAACGCAATGGTATCTGCCATATAACACTAATTTTCCAGTAACAACGTACATAATAAAAATAAATTATTCATGTTGGTATTGCTAGTTAATTGTATTAATTATGTTATCCATTTTATAATGATACAAATGTTATAGTGCAGTTTTTGTTAAATTATTCCATATTTAATTTTGAATAAAGACATTATTCACCCACTACAAAAAACATTTACTTTTTTTCTATAAATTCATTGAGATTTGAGAGTATAAGTACCGATGATTTTTAAAATAAATGTTTATATACGGAACACATGGAATCACCACTCCTACTAATTGTTAACTATCATAAAATAAATTGCATGCAGTGTATTTTAGATTCTAAATGAAGTGAGGAATGTATTGGTTGTATAATGATAGCACTTTTTTTGAAAGGAAATCTGACTGGGGTGGTACATTAAATTGTTTTTTGATTTTCTCAATAAATTCGGAAAACATGGTAAACACCGGGAAAATAAGTACAGTATTAAAAAAATAATTTTAAAGAAAATAAAATATCTAAATCCATATGTAATTATTGTACCATAATTTGACATATATATAATTGACAAAGCAACATTATCAACCGAATTCCGCTCAAAATCGTTTTTTATAAGCAATAGTTAATTATTACATACAGATATACATCTTAAAACTGCTTTACATTTTAATAAAATAATTTAAAAATGTAATGATACATGTTTATTTTTAAATATTTACATGAATGCATAAATTAATGTTTTATATTTTAATATATATAAATAAAAGAACAAATATATGATAACAATGACTAGACAGATAATAAATGTTTAAAATTGAAAATGAAGTCATGAAAGTTATTTAGTTATTAACTATTATCTATTAGTTACTTATTGTTAAGTAGTTTAGCTATATTTATGACCAATAAATACCTAACAATTAACTATTAGTTTAAAAAATGATTTTGTATAATTAAACATTTTTTTTATAAAAAAACAATACAGAGAGACAATTTTTTTTTATAGGTATGAAACTACTTAAAACCAAAAGCTTCTGGTTGGGTGTAGCAAGTTTATAATAGCATATATGTTACCGGTAGTATTGATAATTGAGGTATTATTTTGCATAATATTTAGGCATTTTACATAATTCCCAAGCATTTTATAAAATACCAAATTTGTTCTAGGTAAAGTAAAAACATCAATTTAGCAACTACTACATACTCAATATTTATTATTATTATTACTTATTACATTATGTAACTCAATTAATTACATTTCTTGACTAAACAAATGTTATTTGGCTCCATTTTTTAATTTTAAAAATTGTTTCTATTAATTCATCGTACTAATGAATAAAAAACTAGTATTATTAGCTAAATTTGTACAGTATTTAGGTAATACATTATCCCATATTGACTTAAAAATCTATCGTAAAATTTGTTCTAAAACCGTTATAATAGGCAAAAATTGAATGAACATGTATGGACACAGGCACGTCATTGCCGATAAACAAAATAATTTCATACCGCTATTCATAATTGTTATAACTTATAATATTGTTACTAACAACATAATCTTAGACATTCATTGCTGATAAACAAGATAATTTCATGGCATTTAATAAAAATTACAATATTTGCTTATTAACTGATAAAATATAATAATCGGGAACTACCATTTTGTATATTATTTCATGTTTTTATATAAATAATATATAAAAGAATAATAATATTATATAGGTACCTCAATATTTATTATATTACCTAATTTACATTGAGTATTATTCATAATACTGGATTATAAATATTGCCAGTAACATATATGTATACCTATATAATATTATTTATATACTTTGAAAAATGTTAAATACATAACTGGAAGAAAAAGATAAAAAAATAAACTATTAAATATTACATATTAATAGTTTACAACTCAAATTAAAACATTATTTAATTTTTGGTAATTTAAAAACTTTTTATAACTGTAAATAAAAGTTCAAGAAGTATTTAAATTGTCTATATTTCTTCAGGTTTAGAAAGTTTGTTGACCATTTCAGTGATCATGTCATTGTCAATAAGTCCAATAAATTTGTCAATGACATGACCATTGCGAATGGCTAAAACGGCTGGAACTGCTTTTACCTCAAATGTATGCACCAAATCAGCATTCTTTTCTACATCCACTAATGCTAAATGAACAGAAGGTAAGTCTCCAATCTTTTTTTTTAACATTGGTGTTAATGTTAAACACGGTTCACACCAATCAGCGTGGAAGTTGACTATGACAGGAATATCACTTTTTAGTACATTCTGTATAAAATCTTCACTTCCATATACTGTAAAAGATTTACGACTGACACGACCAACGGACATTGACCGTTTTGATGTATGATGAATCTTTTCTAAACAGCGAAATCGGTTAAAAGACATTTTAGTGAAAGTTTATAGTACCCAAGATTTCAGTTGTGGTACAGTTTTCCGACTCATAACATGTGAAGAGAACAGTGCAGACAATCCTATTATTGTACTCAAAATGAGCAGACTTAGAATTGCTAAACGCCAAACAAATAGTGGATCAACAATCTAAAAATTAAAAAAATTAAAAAATTATGTTATGTAGTATAATATTCAAGTATTACTTATATGCTATTAAATTGAGTGTAATTTGATTTTTAATTCTTGATTTTTAAGTATAAAAAGTTCTATAAAGATGGTTGAGAAATTACTAAAGTTTTACAAAAGATTGGAAAAACATTGAATATTGTTTTTGTCGAATTTTCCCTGAAAAGAAAGACTATTGTACTGTTATAACGAACGTATAGATCTTTTTTCTAGTACCTTTAGAAACTTTTAGTAACTCCTTCTTGATCAAAAGAGCTCAAGTTTTTTTTTTTTGTAGACTGATTGAACTATAGAAGTGATAAAATTTAGGTTGAACTTCAATATGAACTTCACCATGTTGTTGTAGAAGGTGATTTACAAAATATAAAACCTGTTAAAGGCAGGGGCATATAGTTTTGCATTTGCATGGTGTAAATATCAAGAATGGGTTTAGGTGGTATCAATAAAACCATAATTTTTCCCCTCGAAGGGGGATGTCAGTACATTTTGATATGTACGGATTTTTGACATTGCATACTTTTGGTTAAAATATTTGTTGAAATTAAAATTATCCATAAACGGCCTACGATAGACAAATTATTAAAATAGCTCTAGTGTAAAATTTGTAAAATGTTAGTTAATATATTTTATCTATTGATAGCTATATTTCTTTGTACTGTGAATAATAAATACGTGCCCTTTTTCGATAGAATGCATTTCCACAGTCCCCATTTTGTCAAAGCAGGACATTTTTGCATTCTTTAGGGATAGTGGGACACACAGGTCAAAAGTGGGACATATGATTACGTAAGGTATCAACTTTCAACCTCCTCCCCAAACATTTGTATGCTCAAATATCATATTTTTACAGCATATAGTGGATTTTAAATAAATTTAATGAGAGCACTACTGCTTAAGTGTATTTTAAGTAATATTATTGAGTAGGGGTAAGTTGTAATATACATACTATCTAATAACTATTTTTAACAATAGTATAAATAGATAAAAATAGTTATTTACATACCTTATTATCAAGTTTAGGTGTATCTGTTGAACTACGCGGTATTGCAAGTAATATAATTGTTATTAAAATAGTAAATATAAAAACAATTGGACCAATACTATGACGAGTTCGGAGAGACAGTAGACATAAAATAAAAGATGACGACCAAAGCCCAATCAAAATAAAAGCACCTATACCAATTGCTGGAGATGACATTTTATCTAAAAAAATTATATATTAGTAAATTAATAAATACAAATAAAATTATCAATGACAGACATAAATCTAATTTATAAGATTATATATTTTAATTTTTTTAATTTTATGTACATACACATTAGTAATGCCTAATTACTAATTTTAATCAGCGAAGAACAATAGTGATATTCAACTCACATGGTTGGATTTTTTCTATAGTTTACAGTCATTAGAAGTAGTACCCACATTAGGGGAGAACTAGGGGGAATAGAACTCCTCTATTATTTTTTGGTTATTTAGTCTCTTTGGCCCTTAATAATTATTTCTATTGTTATATATTTTTTCAAAAAACATGCATCATCAACTCAGATAAATTATAAATTAATTTTTTCTGTATTGTATACTTTTGTCAAGCATGGTAATAGATAGTTAATTTTATTAAAATCTATACATTAAGATTATTTTTGAAAGTAAAACACAAATATGTATTATTTAACGGGAATAGTGAATATAACAGCTTATTTAAAATATCACTGAACAGATTTGAATATGGTTTTCACAGTTTTAATAATCTTGGTGGAGGTCAGTGGTTACTTTTCAATCAACAATTCAATTCCTAAAAAGTACATTACACTTAGTTCTATAATTTAAAAATTGTATAATCATAATAATTATTGTTATTATACATGTCAATCTCCCTTTAAGACTAATTTCTGGGTTTAAAAATAGCCATTTACCTTCTAGAAGAATTGCAGATCAGTGAATGTAATATTCAAATCAATTCTGTGATTCTTAAAATTAGCTGTTACCAATAAAATTTAATTCCACATTTATATAAAATAAATAATTTTTGAATGAAGTTTAAAAAGTGGTGCACAGCCCTCCATTGGTTAGATGTAGTTTAATCATCACAAAGGGACAAGTCTCATAGTCCTTTTGTTATTTTTCTAATTCAAGCACCAATTAGAAGTATTCAATTAAAATACTAGAGCCATTATGTATAACATAGTACATATTAATTATGTATTAAAAGATAGGTGGCATTTAACCAAAAAAAATATCTTTACCTTGTAAAATTTTAATCTACACATTTGAAAAAACGTAGTAATACCCATAGAAGTGGAGCATCAATTCAACAAATTAGTTGAACTGATATAAAAACTAATAAAACAATTTTAGAAAGATCGCAGTAGAAAATATAATAAGGCGAAATTAATGGAAAGGTAAAATGTTCATGCACAGAATATTGTTAGGGATAGTCTTGGAAGTAAAGAACCATAGGGGTAGTCCAATAATTGTAATACATGACCCAAATCAGATCAGGAAGACTACAACTGTAATATCAGAAAATGAAGAGAATGATAAACAATGGAAAGAAAAAAATGAAGCATGAAAAGTGCTTACAATCATTACATTGAAAAATGCTAACTTAGAATACAGGATAGAAAAGAGGAAAGATATTGAATTAAAATAAAATATGCTTTAAAACTATTTTGAAATTACACAATATATTGAAAAATATTGCTCAAAATATATTTGAATAAAATATCTATTAAAAACAATGGCCAAAATGTTATTTTGAAACTTAAGTTAGGTTTATAAGTTTCCATTATGTATATTATATTTGCATAGCTTTAATAAATACATTATGATAGGTTAGGTTTATTAAATTATTAAAATACATTTGAATTAGTCGTACCTGATATTTTGTAGACATTTCTATAATTAATATTTAATAATTTTGAACTACTATAATATATTGATAATAATATACATAATCATTAATCAATAGTATAATATATTATATATATATTATAAACGTCTATAGTTAAACCGACTCAATGTCAATTAATTTTTTATAATATTTGATTAAATATTAATTAAATAAAAATAATAATGCTAAGTTTTATATTATTAAACAATATTTTAATTTGTAATAGTAAATGGTGAAGAAAATTCCTTAATTCACAACGATTTTAACAGGTTATCAAGTTTTCCATCAGCTGATTTATGGTTATCACACGGACGAAATTAAAATCCATCAGACATTATACTAAAGATTACAGCGTACACCGAATTGTATCCAACATCTCTACCACTTTTAAAATTTCACAGTACACGATACAAATACGTATGCCCAAAAATCAGCGTTTTATGACGAATGATACGTGATAATGTTGAAAATAAAACCAAATTGTTTGATACTGATTTGTGGGCAATTGTGTCGTGTACCATGCAATTTTGAATGAATGTGGTAGATCCCTACCATCATCCGATGTTAGACAAAATTTAGTGCTAGAGAAATTATACACATAGCTACATCCATAGTATACGTTCTAAGGATCTAAGAGTCTACGTAATCCGTAGTCATAATCACAAATCACTGCTATAGATAATAAGGTTGTGGAACAAACCGTGATAATGTGAAGCTCAAATCATATATGAGGACGCGTATTAAGTACGAAAATATTTTGTTAGAATGATATTTTATTAGAAAAATAAAATTGTCGAAAAATAAACAATTCAGAAAATATTTCGTCGAACCATATATTATGTGTAAATATATTATCAGAATAATGTTAGGTACGAAAATAATTTGATAGACAAATATTTTGTCAGAACCGTATTCCGGTAGAAAATACCTATAAAGGTGTTAACGCTGTTGTCTTATAGCATCTGTTAACCACTGAACATTGGTTTCTCTACTACGGAGTTCGGTTATATAACATAAACTTAGATATATCAGGTATATAACCCTCATTACTCAATGCTCAATGTTAATTATATAAATTACTCAATGGGATCCAATCTAACTTTATTGGTATTATCTACTTACAATTTAACTGTGACCATAGATATAAATATATTTATAGCCCTGCTATCGCTTGCCATTTCAACAGCGCACTCTATTTGTATTAAATATGACCAATTTTCTAACTAAATGTGCTTCTAATGAATTGTTTGAAAAACTTTTCCAATAAAATATTTATCTAGAATTTTATTTTCGTATAAATTATACTTACCACTATAAAACTTTCTGGTCAAATATTTTTCGTAAGTAGATTTTCTACCTAATTATTTCCCAACGAATTATTTTCGAACAAAATGTAGGTAATCACGTATATTGGCACAAATATATATAATAAACTAAATTGGTAACTAGTGATAACTGCAGATGCCAAATAAAGTTATGTTGATGGTAGGCTCTGCAGTGTTGTCATAACTACGTGATACTTAATCTATCATTTGGTGCCTGGCGGGAGATATTTCAAATTAAATCATACATATTACCATTGATACAGATACCAAACAAAATTATTACGTATATAGATAAAAACATATAATGAAAAATAAATTATAATTTAAATCATTAATCAAAATGATTGAATAAAAATATACATTATAATATAAGATTATTTATAAATATTTATTCAGAATAAAGAATATTTATTTGTTGGTAAAACTTAAAAAGAAAAATCAAATGTGCATATGCATTTTAAATGTTATGATATTTTAACTTTGTGTCTTAACTTTTGTTGGCAAAAGTTTAAGTAAAATGCCACTAATTTGCTGTGTACATGGATGTGCTAATCGTTGTGGTCGTGATAAAGTGGTTTCTTTCAAATATGTATCAGTAGTTTTCAACATGGTTATCTGTACATGTAGTGTAATGTTATTGTTGAAAATACTTCTGAGTTTATGAATTATGATAAAATGAATTTGTGTATAATTACAACAATAAAAATTGATAAAATACCATAGTCTTCAACCAACATGGCAGAAAAGTGGCGTCGCCCGGCATGCTTGTGAATTTTTACTACAAAAAAAATTATATAGTTAGCAATCTAGTTTATTATCTATATTTGAGTATATTGGTTTTTACACCAGTACACAACGCTCCTAAGATGATAAATAGTATGACTGCATTAATAAATATTTTATTGTTCAAACACCTATAGGTTATAAAAGTAAAATATAGTAAATAGTAATTATTATTTAATAATTAATAAAATAATACTTATGTACGTGTATGCAAATACGAATAGGTATGCACAGGTTCACAGTTATCACTCAAGTATTTTTATATATTAATTAATAATTCTCAATAAGTAGTACCTAACTATTTTATATATTAATGATATTTCACACAAATATTAGCCATTTTCAAGAATTAAATGAAATTCAACTACTGCTGTTTCAATTGATATTTAACATATAAATTCGAGCGGGAAAGCTAGTTGTGTACAAATACCTATAGTTTATAGTACATTATAATCTGTATTATATCTATAGCCGTGGTACAAGTTCTATTAAATACCGTAGATGGCGCGACAGGTTCATCATTTTAGTTACGTGACTTTTTAATAATATTCTGGCTTGGCGTATTGTGTTGTTTAGTATAGGCAACTACATTATCTATAGCCATGCCATGGATATATAAAAAACCATGATTAAATCCTTTGATCATATAGTATATATCCATGGGTATAATAAACATTGAATCGATATAAAAATCGATAATACTTATATCGATGTCGATTATATCCTATTTAACAATCGTTTTTGCCCCACCTAAATGGTTGAAGACTTTAAATGTCAAGCCAGTATACAGAGTTTGTTATCTAGTTATATTATATCTATGCTTTATGATAACCATGGACCATGATTAATTCATGAGAATAACACACAGTATTAGCGATTAGCCCATTGAGTGTTTATTAGGTATTAGGGTAATAACTATTCATTAAAGCTGTCTAATATTCTTGTATAACAAGGATCCTGTATACTTGAACCAATTAAATTTAACTATTTAATCATTAATTATTAATATTTACAAGTTTTTTTTTGGATTAGGTATCTGTAATATTTGTGTTTCATATGAAATTGGAGCAAAGATGAGTAATACATATGAATGCAGGTAATTGTAACTTTTTAAATAAAACTTAGATTCCTAATTGAATGAATAATTAGTTTAAATTAAATGTTTTTATAATAGAATAAAATCTGTTTTATTATTATTGCAATAACTTCAAATAATGTGATTTTAGATTCTTCGCATTTTATTTTGTGTATTTCCTGGCTTGTATAATTAAATAATTATTTCTATTTTTACCAAAATAAATAATAGTTTTCCTTTGATAGAGTTTATATATTAATTTATAGTTCATACAGACAAATATGGTTTATATCGAAACAGTAATTTTATATTTAAAATGTGTTTCATGACATTTATCTATAATTTGATAACTAATATTGAACATTTATATAAAATATTTTTAGCTTGAAAAATCAACATAATTATAACAAGAGATCATTAAAACACGGAGAATCTTATGAACCTAAACACAGTAAGATTTGTATTATATAAATAATTGTTTAATTTTGATAACTGTTAATATTTAATTTCAGAAAAGTTTAAACAAAATCACTTTGATTCTGGATATAAATCAGTTGTTGATGTTGTTACAATATTCAAATTAGAATTACAAAGAATTTTAAATAATAATAATAATAAGTTATCAAATACAATTATTGAAGATATACAACCTTATGGATCTAGAATTTCAGGCATTTACACTGATGATAGTGATGTTGATATTCATATAACCTATAGTAAGTAGTATTACTATATGATAAATACAACTTGTATTCATGGTTTGTTATCGTATATTTTTTACATAAATATGCATCGCGGAAAAAACTCGTATCTGATGGATTAGTTAGATTTTTATGTTTTATTTTTTATTTTTTTTGAGAGGAAGACCGTTAATCATATTTATTTTAGTTCTGATAATTTAAATTTCTAGAAACTGTATTATAAATCTGCTTTAGTTTGTATTTGTTTTCTTTTGTAATCAACAAACTTAAGATAGGAGTACAGCATAAGGCCCCCCTAATGACCCTCATGATATTCCCAGACCCTATAGTTTTGGTAAACATAAATCTAAAAGGGATAGAAGGCAAGCCTGAAGAATGAAGGGATTATGGGAGAAAAAACATTTAAAAATAAATATGATCCAGGTATGTTAAGAGTAAAACTCTGAGTTCAAATTATAAGTAATGCTGAGAAATTATAGAACATTAATATTAGTTTAGTGGTACAAGACAATAGAGAAATTATGAAGAATGCAGCTTGTAGAATTAAGTATGATTGAATGAAATAGTTATAATCATTTATTTTTTTTTTTCTGAGATTGATTTTATTTTATTATTATTTTAAATATTTTTCAGCTTCAAATTTATCTTTCAAAAAAGTAATAAAATTATTTGCTGATAGTATTCGCAAAAGCAACGTGTTTAATCAGGTAGTACCTATAATTCATGCAAAAATACCTATCATAAAATGTTCTTTTCATAAAAAAACAGGTATTGATTGTGATATATCATTTAATAATATTAGTGCTGTTCATAATTCTTATCTACTCAATTATATTATTAGTATGGACCATCGTATTAAGCCAGTCCTAACGAAGTTTAAGTCGTGGGCTAAAAATACTGGTCTTATTTGTACAAATGGATTTTCCAGCTATTCGTTTTACTGGATAGGATTATTTTGTATGCAAGTTAAAAGAATATTGCCACCTATTTATGAATTACAAAAAAATATACCTGAACGAATAGTTGGACATTGGAACTGTGCATTTTCCAAAGAACAAGAATTTAAAAAAGACAACCAAAAACATTTAAGTGAGAGTGACATATTAACAATGATTTATGCATACTATTCAAGTTTTGACTTTAAAACATATGTAATAAGCCCATATGTCGGTTGCCCATTACTCAAAAAAGATTTTGAAAATGTAGACCAACTTCAACCAGAACTATGGAAGTACAAACAATTTCATAAAGAAAATTTTGAACAAACGAATTTATTATTTTTAAGAACTTCACAATTTAGTATGTATACTCAAGATCCATTTCAACATAATTTAAATATTACGGCTAGAGTGACTCCAAAAGTATTTGAAAAATTTATTAATGCTTGTACAGAATTAAAAGATAAATAAATAAAAGAAAACTTGGGTTATATAAAAATGTATTGTGTTATTCGTTTTCAATCATTTGGCATTCCTGTTCAATTATCTTAATATGTTCCAATAGTTTTTTTTCTGAATATTTTTTCAAAAAATACTCTACTGCATAGCCAACTCCATTTGGTTGTGTGCCCGAAAAATCTGTTATACCATCAATTTCATATTTTGTCCTTAACAGAAGAAATTTAATATAAATAGCTTATAAATGTTATACTACTTTTACTGAAGACAATAATAATCTTACCATGTAGGGGTAGGTGTAATTGATAATGTAATTATATTTGACAATGTAGCTATTTCTGACCAACTTAAATTCCTTGTTCTTGCCCAAAATTTTTGTCCTTTTTCATCATACCAACATTCTTCTTCAATAATAAATTCTGGAACGTGTAGTGTTGGATCACGTCTTAATACTTCAGGAATAATATTATGACATACTAGCCTATGTTTAGTATATTCGAATCCATGTTCATCTACAAATAAATTATTTTTTGTGAAGATGTTTTCAAAATTAATAGATAACAATTTTTTTATAATATGTATACATAGGTAAAAAAAAATTAATGCCATAAGATATTACCAATATGTTCATCAATTAATTCAGAAATTTTAACAACTTCGTCCTTTTGTCTGATTTGATTATAGTATGTTTTAATTGTTTGAAATGGTTGCTGGAATATGTGTACCAATGAGATTGTTAAAACCATATTTATTTTTTTTTACTTAACTTAATGTTCAATCACTATGGTTTTTGTTTAAGATTGTGTTATAATAAATAAAATACATATTATTGACGTACTTAATGAATAAAAATGATGACATTTTAATAATTGAGAAAGATTAGAACTTGAACAGTCTAAGGTCTCACCGTTTCATAACACTTGTTGATAAACTAGTTTTAAATGATTGCATTAGGAGGATAACAACATAATATTTTAAAGTCCAAAGATGTTCCAAATTTAAAAATAATGGTAATGTTAAAACTTATAAAATGAGATGTAATCAAAAATAAACTAATACATTTTAAAAAACATTGAAACGTTTGTAATTTAAAATAAATAACATTTCATAGGAAATAACAGATAACAATTCTTCTTGGCATAGAAATATTTATTTATTTTATAATTGAATGCCCTAAGGCAATTTAACAAAAATAGGTACATAATGATAATAAAAAATAATACATTAATTATAAATTTATAAAGTTAGTTATAAATATACCAAGTTATAAATGCACAAGTTATAAATATACCAAAAGGATGTGGCTATGGATAAAAAGCCTAAATTGAAATATGTATGCCTGAAGTAATCTAAGGTTCTTAGCTAATGTGTATCCACCTTACCCTCATCATAACGAAAATGTTGGTTAAAAAAATGTATAATTAATCATGATTATAATAAACAATTTTTCTGAAAAGAAATATTCTATAGTTTGTGCATTGGAAGGTCTTTTTTTTGATTTTCCAAGCGGTTTTCAAATAATTGGGAAAATCTTAAAAGAAAGTTATAGGTAAAACAGCAAATATTTACGGCTCATTTCATCATTGACGATTTTATTGTTTATATAATTTTTGTAATATATGGTTTTTAACAGAAATATTGCTAATTGCTGTATACTTATCTAATATTAATACCTATAGAAATCATGCTACACATGAACGTACATTACTTATCTGTTTACACTGGGAACATTTTTTGTCTGATTCATATCTTTGTCACGTTCTATGTTATCAGTTATCACCTAAGTTAAGGTTGTAGGAGAGTAGTAATTGTGCATTATTAACCGTCGACCGCCCTAAACCCACTCAAGTGATACTCCATTACTTAACTCCAACCCAATATTAAAAGTGGAATATCTCGTAAACGGTAAACTAAATGTGAATAATCAATTTGCAAAGATATAATAAAGTAATACATTTTCAGAATCCAAATTGGAAATGATTAATTTATACTATTTCCTCTTGACTGCAACATTATACTTAAAGCGGGCAGGTTTTATTGCCCGAAAAACTGCCCAGTGCAGTCGAATCATGAATTATCTGGAACCAGAAACATAATTTTTATAGTTATCAAATATAAATATTATTATATTAATTTTGTCAAAAAAAAAAAAAGTTTGCTAGTTTACCTTTGTATTATTATTAAGTTAAAATTCAAGCATCGAGAATCTCGATTAGAGATCATGGGACAAAATAAAATGGAGTATTATTAATATATTACATTATATTCTATTATATGTCTATGATCGAGACTGGCATATTTATCAATAAAAAATAAGACGCAAGAGCTTTAAGATTGCAATCGAGGCAAGAAACTGGTATGAAGCGCGTATGGGAAATATAAAAGCCTGCACTAAATGTGTTTCAATTACTACGTTTATATGATACGAGGTAATCCGTTCTTAATTTAAACCAATTTTATTATTAGTCGACCTAATTGCCTGACTTGTTTTTATGTTAGTCTTTAATATTAAAGTCGTAAGTAATAATTTATAAAAAATAAAATCTGAATAATATATATTATGATTTATGTTATCACTTATTAAAATAAAAATGATTGTCCATTTACATGAACAAAAATAAAACAGATTTTATTTATAAAACTAATTTAATTTCGTTAAACTACATATTTTGAGCGTCTTTAAATTAAAACCTGTTTACTTTAATTAAGCATTAACATGATGCTTGATTAAACCACTTTAATTTATAAATCGCCTTTAATTGTGCATGTAAATATAGTAAATATTTCATATGGAACATAAGAATGTACATTAGCGCAGTCGGTGCGGTCAAGTGGAAAACGCTATTAGATAAATTACTAAAATGGCTACTGTAAAATGTGTGAATTGCGACTATTCACTTGTTTTTGGCACGAATTAAGATGTACCTTAATTTGTGTTTTAGAATAATTAAAATGATAAATGGCATAATAATGATATCATAGTCAATAAGAAATTTTTCCTGCTATGATTTATTCGTCTTTTATACGCATATTGCATACAGGTACATTAGGTAAAGTTCTTATGCCAACGCTCACACTTATGACGGGTTCGTTTAGACATATAGGTACATAGCACTGATAGGTAGATCTTAAGACGAACGCAACTATAAACATTGATTGTACGATCATCGCAGTTATCAACTGTTAATTGTTATCACTAGGTACTATAATTGTAACAACTAACGATGTGTTTTTAAAAATTGTTAAAATGATATGTACTTCAAACATTTTTATTTCTATAAATGTATGTAAATGGTAGTCTAAACAGCGTGGTAGTATTCTACAAAGAATAATAATTTATAATTAAGTGAAAATATAGTCAAAGAGTTATCACTAATTTCGATGTATCTATTATCATTTAGCTTGTGAGCGTTAGCTGCCTTACCTCGATGGGATAAGCGTTTGTTAACATGAATCGATGACGTAGCTCGTATTCAGTGACGTCATGGTGATAGTCTAAGTGCTATCAAATGCCAAACCGATGGTGCGGTGGCGCTGATAAGCGCTTATAATCGTTTAAGTGAGCTACACGAACGTACCCATTATGTATGTGATGACAATAAACGATAATTTATAATATTTAACGTTTTCACTGTTATCAGTTTTCTTTCTATCTTTGGGCTTTCAATATTAAATACTTGTGAATTTTAAATTTTTAAATGTTAGAATTAAATTTTCTGATGAAATACAAGTTATGAATTAAACTGAATTGTTTAGTTGAAACTTGATTGTTTACGTATAAATAAAAGTAAGTGTTTTATTTAAAATAAAAAGAAATTAGCGTACATTCATTATTTATAAAAGTTGAGAGGTTAAATTATATTGTATTCTTATTTATTTCAATATTAGCTAAATTAATTTTGAAATCAAATAATTTATATAATTTTAATTTTGTTACTATAATAATTTTACAGAAGTTTAATTTAGATAATATAAGTAATATTCTTAAATCCTAAAATATAGAAATAAAAAATTAGAATATTATCTTGAATGAAAAATTAATTAATTTCACCTTCATAAGGTAACATTTTTGTGTATGTACAGTAAATATTATATAATTTTGTATAAAGTGAAATCTGTTATATATATATTACCTACATTCACATAATAATATGAATTGGTATGAAAAAAAGCCCCATTTTAATTCACCCTTTTGTAAAAATAATAATGAATCTGTAGGCGAATTGAAAAATATCAGTTTTTTTTTTAATACTGCCCAAATTGGGTTCAATGACAAAGGTTATTATTACATATTTGCATGGTTTGGATTTTCTGAATTTGCTAATTATAGGATATGGATGAAAATGCTAAGTGAGCTTTACATTTCTTTTGTACACCAAGGAAGAGGGGACTCCAATTATTTTATTTTCATCTTGCTTTTTTTTTATTTTTTTTTTAAAGTATTTTAGACTTTTAGTGCTATTATTTGGTAATATGCATTATATAATGATTTATATTATATTTTTCATAAATAGTATAAAAAATCATTTGTGTGAATTCATAAGAAAAATACCTATATTTTTGTTTCAAATAATAATTTCTTTCCCAAATACTCTGTGTATTGACCCACAGAACAGTCTACATTTATGACTTATTATCAGTTTAATTTATACATTTAAAAATAAAAAAAAATTTTTTTTGTCATTTGCAATTTTTTTGTACACTATAGCTTATTTTAAGATTTGTTAGGACATAGCGCATATATAAATTATTTTCAATGATATAAAACCCTATTAGCTTCTTAGCTAAACAAAGATTTTACATATAATTTACATTTTTTTAATTTTCTTATGCTATAATGTTTAAATTAGTTTATACAGATAAGTCTGTTTATTTTAAACATTTTATTATTTTGTTTATTTTTCTATTTGTGGTACTATGATTTCATACAAATTATCTGGTATATTGTTTTCTTTATGTTTAGTTAGTATATGTTTTATTAGTGTATCATTTATAATGATTAGAAATCTAAATTTCAAATTTATGTATATGTGTATGAAAATAAACAGCCTTTAAGGTTTTAATATGATAAACAATTATTATTTGAAGACAAAAAAATTGGTTAAATATTACTCTGTAGTCTGTTTAATTTAAAAAAAGACCTCATAATTATAATATTAGTTGCCATATTTATGCCATGGGTTATTTGTCTACTATAAAATCAATGGTAAAACTTATATTCCTTACTACATTCTAAATATAGTATATCAAAGAAATTATAACATATTCATAATGTTTTATTGGTACTTATTAAATCTTATGCATTTTGTTTAATACTTGATGATTGTACATATGATTATTTGCATTATTACTTACTAGGTACTTATATTTTTTTCTAGAATGAAATAATTTTATAATAAACTAATGGAATCAAAGTTACATCAACAGCAAAATGCTAAAATGATTTCTTTAGCAAAACCAAAACATTCAGTTTCTTTAGCTGAAAAGCACAAAACCTGGAGTAATTTATTAAATAAAAAAGCAGTTGGCACTAATACTATAGTGCCTTCCAAAATTAAAATTAAAAAAGATTCTTCTGGTTTTGATGGGAAAACTAAAAGTATGAACATTACATTTTTTAATGAAAATAATTTTGAATACATTTTATTATTAGCAATGAGCAAGAGTGTACAATGTGATCCATTCAATAATAAACTATGTTCTACTAATTCACTATCTGTATTTAATCCAATTAGAACATTACAATTTCTACTAAAAGAAATTAAAGAATTACCAAATGCAAAAAGTTAGTAAAAATTATTTTATTTTTTTAAAAAAATACTTATACATGTACATACTTTATATATTAAATACATGTTATTTATCAATATGTATGCATATATTTTTTTTTAAATACAAATATAGGTATTACACATATTATTGATGAAATGCAAGTGGTGGTTGAACGAATTACTGAAGAATTTAATGTAAATTTACATTACTCTAAATTGACCAAATTACCTTGTCTAGTTGAAAATGAAAATTCTATGATTCCCACAAAAGAGAATGATTATCACAGAAATGAACAAAACCAATTTGAAAATGTATGTAATGTATGCAACTAATAAATTTTTAGTATTATTATGTGTACCTTTTCTGTTTATTTAAAATTTTAGAAATATTGGTTTGTGTTGCTTGGAAAAATAACGGAACTTGAAAATAATTATAGCCAGTTAACAAATAATTATACTAAATCGGAAGAGAAACTTCTATCTGTTACATCTGAAAGAGATAAATTGCTCAAGTAAATTTAAAATTACTTTAATTTTTTTTTTTTTTTTTAAATTTTTTTTTTAATTATTTTAATAGACAGTTTAAAGAGTCATGCAATTCATTGGAAATGTTAAATAACCGCGAACGAGAATATTTAGATACAATTAAAGATCTTAAATCAAAACTAATAGCTTCAGACAAACTTATAAGCAAACAAGAAGCCATTATTATAAATTTAAACAAGTCTTTGAACGATTTAGCAGTTAAAAATCAAGTTTGTAATCAAAAAAAAAAAACTAATAATTATTAATTTACAATAGTTATTCTTGTAATTTATAGGAACTTATGAATGGAAATATTTCAAATGAACAATATAAAACAATATTGGAAGAAAATAATGATGCAAGATCAAATTGCTGTGTTACCAAAACAAATCAAATCACTAATGATTTGAAAGATAATAAAACTCTGAAGCCTAGAACTGACACAAAGTAATTATACTAAAATTTAATAACAAATTACTAATGTAAGAACTGTTAGAATTTTGCTTAATTTATTATTATATGTTTACATTTAAATTAAATAAATAGAAAATAATGCAAATAATTATATTTTAATCGTAGATGATATAGAGTTGAATCCACTTTACAAAAAAGTATGAACCTTGAGTTTCTAACTATAGCTAGTGTTACAATGTTTTATTTTTAAGCATTGATGTCTTAATTCTATTAACAATATGATACAAAGATAATATCATTTTGTATTTATTATTTTCCTATAAATTGTAAGCAACTCTTTTGAAAAATGGAATATTATTATTATTCGTTTTATTTAAATAACTTAAAAACTTTAGTTTTGTATTTTGAACTAGAATAAAATATAATTTTTTGTATGATTCAACTCAATATTCCTGCCCGGAGGTTAAACACACCATTTCACAAAATAGAAATTTTACAGGAGATAAAATTTTGATAATTTTCATCTATAAATTGGTTTTTTTTTTTGTGATTAATACAAATTGCACTACACAACTTTAACACATCATTATTAATATTCATTATATAATAGAAACAGTAATTTTATTATTCGATTTTGATCATTTCTAAAACTTATGCATCTCTTGTGAACATAGTGTTGTACACTTATGGGCATAACCGTATGATTTTATTTTCCATTGCCTGATTTACATTAGTTATGATAACTGAATGTAGAACAAAAAATGTTCAAGAACATGGGGCTAACTCAATTTCATCAACAATGAACATGGTCCTTTACCTCCGGGTACAAATATCATCAGCATATTAATTTAACATTTTCTTAGGCAAATGAAGAAAGGTGTGTTGGCTGGATTAGAGAAAACAAATAATCATACTGTATCAATATCAGAAAATAATACGATAAAAGATTTGTTCAAATATTGTGAAGATCATAAAAATAATATTGAATATGATATTGATAGACAGTATACTAATTATAACAGACAAGCATTAGCTATAAAACTTGCTAAGACAGAACTTCAACAGTTATTTGAAACAATAAAAATGCAAGCTATCCTTTCAAAAAAATTGTTTAGTTCAACTATAGTTGATGAAAATGAAAGAAATTTAAGTGACATGTCTGATGAAGACGAAAATCATTCAAATGTATCAAACTTTATGAGTATAGTAACTAATTCTAGTTGTTAATTTTCTACAATATATTAAACATGGCTATTTAAAATTTCTTATATATTTTATTTTATTATTAATATTAAGCAATATGAACATTTTTTAATGTTTTACAAAGAATTTTTCCAGCATTTGTATGTAAATTATTAGACCGCCATTGTGCCTCACATGAATTAGAAACTTTCAAATCCACCTACAATAAAAATTTGTGTTTTTAAAAAAACATACATTTGAAATTTGTATTATTGAAATTATACCTGTAATTGTTCCCAAATTTTTTTTTTTGGATTCAAAATTTTATCAGGTTCACCTTGTTCATAACCTTCAACAAAAACTTTATCACCTGCTTTGCTTCCATCGGCTGGTTCTAAAGGTTCAACAAATTTTACACCATCTTCTTCACTATTAAATATAATAATTGATTTAATGTTTATTGAAAAAAAAAATTCAAATTAAATAGAGTACACTTACACTGATGCACAGAGAACCATTCCACTTGATTCAATCCCTCTCATTTTAGCAGGTTTTAAATTACATAAAACAACAACCAATCTGTCTTGCATTTCATTAATTGGTACAAATTTCACAAGACCACTAACTACTATTCTAGGCTGGTCTTCTCCTGTAGATAATAACGGAAATTAAATATGAAGCATGGGTAAATTGTTTTATTAAGATTCTAATAATAAAACTTCAGGTTTATGCCCATCATAAAATCAATGGTTTTAACTTTTTAAATTTAAAATTATTTTTTTTTATAAAAAAATATAGATGTTACACTTAGAAACATCACTAAAACACTTTTTTTTTTCAGGAAAACAAAAAAAAAAAAACTGTTTTACAAAGAAACAGTAAAACAAAATTAATGTTTATCATGGAGAATAATAAAATTACTTGTATACATAATACCTTGTACATAAAGTATACATGCATTGAATGTAGTATATGCTGTTTTAAACAAATCAGTATTGATTTAATTATATTTTAAAAGGGTGCTTGGATATCTTTTAGTCCACATTACTAACTAAATTTTCTGTATTTAAATACGCCTTTTTACTAGCTTATGTTCCTAATTTTTTGATTTTTAGTGGTATACATCCTTTTAAGAAAACACTGATATAAAATATTTATATTTATATATAAATCCGTTGATTCTTTGACCATTGAACACTCATTATTTCAAGAATTATTGACTAATTTTGAAATATAATTTTTGAAAACTAAATAAACAAACAGTTCTACAATGTTACATTATCATTTTTTGTTACCCTTATTTTTGGGGTAAAACGACTGTATCTTTTTAATTATCAAATGGCAATCTATATTGAAAATACCCTAAATAGACGGAGTTAAAATAAATTTTGATGATTTTTATTTTTATTTTTTATTCCACTTTTAAATTTTGGTTAGGGGAAAGTGATAATGCATTATTTAAGCAATGTGCACCACTTGCCACACAAATGACACTACTCTACTACTCTCCCCCGACCAAAAATTTTAATGCCAATATTTATTTTAACTAAAACTTAATCTATTTAAGTCATTTTCAATATAGGTTCTATTTGAAAATCAAAAATAATGATAATATAACACAACATAGCACTATTTGTGTCTTTAAGTTTTCAAAAAAAAAAAATTAATTCAAATAAACAATAAAATTGGTTGGAAATTTTTTTTTTTTTAGCAAAATATAGTGTGTAGATACATAAATATTAGTGTTATAAGTTAAGAACAGATTAAAATAAAACTTTTTTCATCATTATTTTTAATTGCGTGCAAATTTAGGATTTTATATTTTCTAGAAAGTAGACACATTGCTCATTTAATTTTTGAAAAGAGACTTCAACTATCTGGATGCATTAAAAGTAAAAAATGTGTATTTACCAAAAATTCTTAGGCTAAAGAGTAGACACTGTTGATGGGTGTGCCACTAACCCAACATTGGTAGGATATAAAGAGTATTTTAATTTATATCTAAAAAATAAACAATAAATAAATGATATAGAAAAACAATTCTGAGTAATTTTCATTAAAATTTGAACTTGTAAAAGAACTATATTACACAATTTGTTTTATCACTATATACAAATTATGATGGATAAATTATACATTTTTGTTGGTTCATAACAATATTATCAACATAAAAATTTGAACATTTTAAAAATCCTATCACATTTAGAAACATATTTTCAAATACTGAAGTTAGTATACATTCAAGGTAGTTCTCATTTAATGGGAAACACTTATTATTTACTCAAAATTCACTCTTTTTTATATAATTTAAGAAATAAGCAGCTCTAAAATATTACATTACTATTATTTTTGGGGTTATATACAAACTGTTATTGTGAATATAAATTATTAAAAATTCCAAGGAAAATCAAAAAAATGAACTCCCTAACTAAACAGAATTTGTATTCAGAAACAACCATTGAAATTGATTAAAACAAGATTTTTGGTAAAAAAATGTTTTAAAACCAATACATTTACAAAATAAATTAATATTATGAACATACCAACATGAATCTTTTCAACATACAATGCATCAGCCTCTGGGTGTTTAGATACTTCTATTATTTTACCAATGCGAATATCCAAACGACTAGGTAAGATTTCATCTTGTTGATTACTGTTATTTTTTTCTGTTACATGTAATCAGTAAACAATGATTATAATTTAATAAAATATCAAGTATAATTTATAAAGGAAAATCCTACTCCTACAGGAGACATGTGGATATCACTTCCAGTAGAGTAGGTTAGTTGGTTAGTAGTAGAGCCCGGAACTTATTACATTTGGTTTTTTTTTTCATTGCTATACAATGAAGATATACCTCTTGAATAACTCCGGAGATCATAAAGATAATCAAATTCTGTTTTTTTATATACTAACACAAGTATGAAGACTACAAATATTTATATTTAAATTACATTTTTGTCAACCCTAGAGCACATGCATTAAAAATATTCATGAAAATCCACGCACACAGTGTTTTTGTCTGTGTGTTGAAATATTTATACTAAAACTAACAAATTAAAATAATTATTACTTATTATTAAAAGTAAAATTTAATGATGATAAATGAATCACCAACAATGATCTCGTCTACGGCAATATTTGTATTAGATTGCACATATGACGTCATATCCGTACGTATAATATAGTTACACACAGTATGGTGAACCAATGTCAACTAACAACAATCTCGCCAGACACAATGGAAATAAAGTATTGATTGATAAACATTTATCGGCCAAAAATTATTAAGAAACATAGTTAAAAATAACCCACAATTTAATTTGTATAAGATTAAATTGTTTATAAATGTCACAGTATAGCACGCACACAGTCTTTTAGACCGTTTTTGTATAAATAATGAACTTTGAACTATTCTATTTTCTAGACATCAGATCAGAAAAAAACCAGTATTTTAGACCATGAAATGTGTACTCTAGGGTTAATAGTTTCTAAGTAACAGTCATAACGGTACACATAGCAATCGTCATCCAGACACCATTGACTTCTTTATCTTCCCAATCGTTTTTCCACCGAAATTGTAAATTTAAAAGATCCAGCTTCTGATCTTACTTTTCATTGGAGCCCAACCCTCTACTGATGTTGACCAAGGTATCGCCAAACTTTCTGCTGACATCCAAAATGCCGCCGCCAAGAATTTATCTACCTTGAAGCCACCTTTTACTCAAACACCCAATCTAAATCCAGAATTAAAACAACTTATTGCTAAAAAATATAGAGCTAGATCGAAATGGCAATAATCTCATTACCCAGCTGATAAGACAAAATACAATTCCCATTCCACAAACTAAAGTATTTACTTAAATCTCACAAAACCAACTTGTACAAAAACCACATCCAAAATCTCTTTTAAAAATGGATCAAGACAAACCCATTATTACAGATAAAGGAATACCCATGTCCCCTACGTTGTCCTGATAACTTGCTACTACAAATTAGGAAAAAGCTGCTATTCTAAAAAGTATAATAAAATATCCTAAAACACTGGCAAATTAAAATTAAACACTAAATACTTTGATTAATATATTTATTTTTTTTCTATTTTTTATTTACCTGTTTTTTTGGGTTTTGTTGGAGCTGGATATGCTTTGGCAACTAATTGTTGTAACTCTGGTGTATCAAATATTTTTCTAATGGGATCTAATAGTCTATTGATATAAAATTCAACAGAAGCTTTTAAATCAGCTGGGTGAAGTTTTTGTTCAGCAAAACTTTTTTCAAGGTCTTCATACTTGTTAAAATTTAAATCGCCTCCATTGGCTTCATTCCTGGATATTTTAAATTCTTGAAGTAAAAATAGTTAGATTTTATGTATACAGTGTTTTATAAAATATATTATCATACTTTCATCTGGTTGAAATAATCCAAATATTACATGTTTGGCAAATGCAAGTAAGCCATTTTCTGTAATATTTCCTGGTTCACAGAATGCTTTTTTTAGTTTTTTTTTCACTATTGCAGGTGAGTCTAACAAATCAATTTTACTATCTTCTTCAGAAGAAGACATTTTACCTCCAGCTAATCCAGGAACTAACAAACACAAGAAAATATAAGTTACAATAAGTTCATTAATTAAAATAATTATTTGTTCATTAAAAAAAAAACTAACCCATTGGATTCATTAAATGTATTCTTTTAGTGTAGCCCAATTGCGGGAGATATTTTTCAGACAGAGTAAATATCTTTCGCTGGTCAACACCACCAAATTGAGCATCAACTTTGAGATACTCTTCATCTAACGCTTGCAATCCTTTTAATTATATTCAAATAACAAATATTAATAACAGTCCTCAAACAAAATTTTTGTTAACATAAATATATATGTTCATGTTAGGCTATAAGTGCAATATAAGTTATGAACACCTACAGTGCTCTATACATTATTAAAGGCTCATATACAGAAAAAAAAATGCATATTGTGTCAATTCACAAGTAAAAAAACTAATATTTTAAACTATAGAATTAGTACATAATGCTTTAGAAATGGCATTTTTCAAATTTCGAGGGGAGGAAATAGAGGGATTAATTAGAAAATTAATTTGTCCCTCTGAATATGTAGTACATATTCAGAAGTTTTTATTCTTCTATTTAAGAAATAAGTAGGTAGCACTGAAATGTTACCATTACCATTATTTTTGGGTTTGAACTGACTACCTACTTTTGATTTAATAACCTATATTAAAAATTGCATACACAGACAGAGTATTAAGTACTTTAAATTTTTGATTTCCAGTCAACCCATTGACGAGATAATCCACTTTTGAGTTTGGGTAAAGGAGAGTAGCGGGAACAATGTACCACTATACAAAAATGATACTTCACTAAAACTTTTCCTATTCCGAAACTTAATCAATTATCAAAAATGTCAATATCACAAGGTATTCACATCAATAATCCATCTATTTATGAAATTTTTAACATAGATTGTCATTTAAAAATAAAAGCAGATAATTGGTTCACCCTGATAAATAATATTAACATAACATTTTAGAACTATTTGTAAATAATTTCTAAGATATTGTGATGATCACATCTTTGTACAATACTCTCACTTTCTATGTATACATACATATTTAGTAATTGTAAAATCAATACATTCATGTACTAGTAACAATACCGTATTGAGAAATATAATTATCAGAGTTCGATATAATTTAATGACTCAACATTCCAATTTACATTGGCCCAAAGTATAAAACACATTGCGGGCCACTGAGCTTTACTTGATAACTTTCATAGTCCAATATATGATACTAAATAGAATACAATTTATATAACATCAAGTTTAAGTGAATATTACATAGCATTTGTTGACTCTGTCCTAAAAACGCATAGCATAGAAAATTTACATTCACCAATTTTAAGGTCCTAGTTTTAGAGTAAATTCAGAAATATCAAACTTAAGGGAAGAACATTATCTGTATTTGGATGTTAGTTTTTAAATTTTTAAACGAGATATGAGTATCAAATATTGCAATTGAAGAAGGCTTATAATTCAATTAAAAATTAACGTGTCAGAAAAATTAAAAAAAAAAAAACATAGATTATGACCTCATGCTGAAGTTTGATGATAAGTCAATTCACTCTTAATCAAAACTAAAACCATACAACTGTTTTTACTAAATGCAAATGAGCTGTCATGTATTAGTAAGATAAGGGAACGAACACCCGTGTAGCATGTTCTTAAATAATTTGGTTGTATAATGTCAAATAATATCTACAACAAACCAGGATATAGTAACCCAGATAATAATGGATTATCAACTTGTTTCACAACTTCTGCTCCAGCTTTTTTAGCATCATGTGCAGTAATTGTTGAACTTAATCTGTACATATCCATTGTATATTCTCTAGAATAATTTTTTTTTAAATTTTAGTACAAATAAATTATTAAGTCAATAAAAAATCACTTTGAAAGCTGATATTCTGTTCCTCGAACAAATTTTAATTTTTCTAATGGTACACCAATTGAACTCAACATGGCCTTAATTGAAAATTCATAATATTGCACTCTGAGATCCAATAGTTCCCATGGAGCTTTCATATTATCTAAATAAGCATGCAAATTGGCAAATAATATTGTTACCTGTAATCATATTTTTAATGGTTACACATTTTTAACCCTAAGGGCACTAAATAATACATTTTTAATATGTTATGTTTAACTTAGGCTTTTCGTTTTTGGGTCAATAAAATTGTATAATAATATGTAACTATCAAAGGCGAAATTCCATCAGTTTTTAATTTTTAAACATTATAAAAACTAATAATTATATTAGTAAAGTGTTATTCAGCATTCTTTATTAATAAATTTAAGAATACATGCCTCACAGCCAGCTTTTAAGTAATCTGCTATTTTGGATATGGGAACAAAATATGCAATGTGCGGTCGTCCTGTAGTGGCTGTACCCCAATAAATTTTTAAATCTCTTTCTTTCAATATGGTATCGAGTTTATCTTCACCGAGTACCTCTTGTAGGTTCCGTACGATTAAATTTTTCTTTTCGAGGTATGACATGATTTCTCGCCACGTATTTAACTAATCAAATATTAACAAAACCAAGTACAAAACTATGAATTGCAAATAGTGAACGGACAACTGAGCAGACGATTGAATTTCTACCTGTTACTACAGGTACAACATAAAGATAAGATCATAGACATAAAATAAATATAGACCAATTAGATCGTGGACGTGTATTCATTGATAATATAAGAATGGATGGGCCATGAGAATTTATCATAGGAGAACGAACATTTTTGTAATTTGAGGTTACAAGGGGTTTTATCAATAATGTTGTAAACTTTATTAAAAATAATCAATAGCATAACTCATTACACTATTATTTAGTATTAAATAATCTATTGTTAAATCTAGTTAGTTAAACTTAATTAGTGATTAATAATTATATGTAATCATTATTTATTAAGACGTATTAATATTTTAACCAAAATATTCAAATAACATTAAAATTACATAATAGACTATTAGAAACAAAATATGTGTATAACAACTCTGGTTTATACAAATTTGGTATACCTAATAATAGTAGGTACAATGTTATAGGTACTCAATTGAATTTATTCATGTCTGAAATGAATATGTTTCGTTAATTTAGCCCTGGTACAATTTTCATTTATATCATTTTTAATCTCTAATTTCGTAAAAAATATGATTGTAATAATATCAAATTTTATTGATATATCTACTTGAAATTGTTTTGATGTACAAAATTTAAATAAAAATATATTGATTGAGTTATTATTGTGAAATATAATTATTAATTAATGATAAAATCCCTTGCTGTATGAGTGAGAGCGGTATAAGCAGTTTGTCTCTATTTCACATTTCGGAACGCGGCACCTCATTATATTAATGTAGGAGTGGCCTATTCAATTTTTTATTATCTATGCGTATACTAATGAAATCGACGTATGTGTGACTGTATGAGATAGACAGGTTTTTTCAATGAGGTTAGATGCAAATGTATAACACTCCTTGGTAATAATCACGGTTATAGATATCTATAACTGTGGTAATGATGCTGTAGTAATAATATTTCAATATTATTAAACTATTAGTATATACTTCGATCCATTGACTTAATACAATACATTCAATATTATGTCAATGGTTCAACCAAACATTAAATAAAAACAAATGTCTCTAGACCATGATTAAAGATATCTTTAATCGACAATCGTGCTCGAAAATTGTCTGATCCACTGATATAATACATATATATTTAAATATATTATATTATAATAAAGAAAGTAAATAAATATATAAATAAAAAATGTACATACACAAATAAAGTAAATAAATGAATCAATGCGTCGTCTGGAGTAAAATACACTTATCATAATACTCCAGGCGCATTGACTTATTTATATAATATTGTATATACATTTTTATTTATATATTTATTTACTTTATTTATTTATGAGTATTAATAATTTTGTTTTTACTTTATTATTTTATTATTAAATAATAACATTATAATCTAATTATCGTTTTTGATTTTCGTTGAATCACGGCGCACTCTCTTGCTGACAGTGGCGTAATTATGGTGGGTGAGTTTGGGGGATATATCCCCCCAGACCATATTTTTCTACAGCAAATAACTATTAATATAATTTATAACATATACTCTTTCTTTTTCCCTGTATAACCGGCGGTTTCAAGGGAAATACTTAGTATTAAAGCTGCCACAACATCGTCTTAATTTATCCAGCATATTCAATTATATATAAGTAAGTAAAATAACATATTTTACTATATAATTAAGATAAGATTTTAAAACAAAAATTAAATTTCAGTTCATTAACCATTGAACCAATAGTTAACCATCTATTGTCACTGATATGTAATACAATTAATAAAAGCTCCGTGACTTCTATTATCATTTTTTATATCATGGTCGGTTTAATGGTTACACGTGTGTTTTATGGACTAAACGGTTTCATTTTCGATGGTATATATGTTATCACAAAATTACAGAAAAGTAAAAAATTGAATTAAGGGATCTGCACGCAAGGTTTATAGATAATATCTATAAACCTTGGCCTGCACGTAGCTATTAATTAAGGAGTAAAATTTAGGCAATTTCTATTCATGTCGATGGTGGCTGGGATCTTTGTGTTAGTCGGAGACAATTATTAGTGTGAGTAAGCTACTATGCGTGTACTGCCACAGCGAATCCACCACCTTTCCTGTCAATAAACAGGTTTACTGCTTACTTTTGCACAAAATGAATTAAATTTCACTACCGCTTTTCCTGCCGTAGATCTATCACCGCGTGCCTCATCGTTATCGCAAATTTATTATAGCAAGATTATAATATAATATTATAGTTATTCGTTCATCCCTCAAACGAGATAATGAATTTTAGTTTGCTAAAATAGAAATTCAGTTGATACATTTTTACAAAAATTATTTTCTATCTGAAATAGTGCAATCTAAATTAAGAACATAAAATTTACCAATTAATTTTAATACAAATTATTTTACCTATTTTCACTCATTATTATTTATTTATATTTTTGGTAGATATGATTATTTCATTTTTTTAGATTTGGAACGTACCTAATAAGGAACCTATTGGTTTTACTATGATGTGTGTACCCATATTTTTTTGTCTGTGTAAAACCTTTAAACTTGTTCCGAAGTATAAACTATAGCAACTTTTCTGAAAGGTAATTTTCTTTCATTGGTGCATTGGGGAAGTCATTTTTGATTTTCAAAGGGGTTTTTACGAAATAATTAGGCAAAACCCAAAGTTCCAAACAAAATTATAGGTAAAACGGCGAATATTTACGACACGTCGCGGCTTTACCGTATTCATTTTTATATGTTAACCATTGTGTTTTCTACCAGGAAAATTACTCTAATTCCAAAATGACAAAAGATCGAATTTTTTTTCTCATTATATTTCGCCATTAATAGTATAACTCGTATTTTGATATCTAAAGTATTTTTCATAATAATAGGGAAAAACAAAGAAAGACGAAATATACGATTTTTACGGCTTATTTTTTCTACCATAAATATCGTTCCAATAGATATACGACAAGGACCTTTCTATTACATTTTTTATGTTGTTCATTAGTAAGTTTTTCGGTTTTTTTATTTTATCTATAGTTTTAAGTTAAGCTAATAAAAAAAAAAAAAACGTAGATATAACTGAATAATTACGAAAATATAGTATTTTTAATATAATTCAGTTTAAAATATTCGCAGAGACTTAAAATGTTAACAAAAAACGTATATTTACTTTTACTAGGCGTGATAAAACTTTCAGAAAATTTGAGAAATTTTTGAACTATTTTTAGATATTTTAATTTTACTAATTTTTAGATAAATTTAATTTGGTAGGTACTCTGTAGATAAATTGTTGGACTTAACAAAAATGCTTTACATTTTTGATAGAAGGTTCATTATTAGGTACTTAGAGATCAAAAAAAAATTTAGCTTAATGTAGGTAGGTACTATTTTTTTTTTTTTTTTTTATGAGTTAAATTCTAAGTTTGACGAAAATTGTAAATATTATGGCTACAACAGTGGTTTCACCCGCATGCTAAGTATATCCGTCTTTTTAATATGTTAACTATACAAAAATTAATAATTTTTTCCTAGTAATTTTTTGTCGGGCTTTCTTTTCCTAGTACCCATGATTTATATTATTTAATATACCTATATAAATAATGAATATCACTATATCCCTCTTCCGCAGTTCCACTATCAATTATTTATAAATATGTGATATTATGAGCCTGATATTACGATAATAATCCTGGTTTGATTCATTCGAGAAACGAGTTTATCAAAATCTTAGAATGTGCATAATTGGTTCCAATCACAAGGCATTACTATATTATTATATAGTTTAATTATTTTGATCACTCATTTAAAAGTAAAAAGTCTATAAAATTCAGAACTATTCAAACATCAATATGTTCAAACTACCTACATGCATTACGTCTTGTTAGCTACTTGGGATCAAGGATGTTGCCAAATTTGGTAAAAATCATGGCATGATAAAAATGGTCGTTGTCAATGTGTATTAGATATGGAACGAATTTAAACCAATCAGATAAAGTTTTTGTAATTTGTCCTTGCTTGAAACAGTTGAAACCATGATAAGTGAGAATACGTCATAATACAAATTAAATCTATTATAATTATTGTTGTTATTATTTATTAAATTTATAGTCGTCAATTATTTAGTTAATTACAATCGCAGGTAAAGTCCTTATTTTATTTTAAAAATAAGATTAATATTGTAAGATCGATGTTTATAAAATGTTTATAATATATAGATAAATTATTATAAATAACTTTATTGTTTGTTTAGAAATATTGACCATTTTAATTAGAATGAATTAAGTTATAATTTTGTCAAAAATTACCTATTAAATAATGGCTTATGTTAATGTGGCTGATTGGAAGTCTGACCAAGTAGCTGATTGGCTTAAAGGTAGATTATGAAGTAAAAAAAATTGTACAGATATTTTGAATTTTAAAATTTTTTTGAATTTATCATATTATAGGTTTAGATTGTGTTATTTTACCATATATCAAGTACTTCATTGATATAGATGTTAATGGACAAAAATTATTAGATATGCAACCTAATGATTTAGATAAAATTGGTGTACGGAAAATCGGACACCAGGAATTAATATTGGAAGCCGTTGATTTACTTAGGAATTTTGTAAGTTTTGAAAATGTTCATATTATACATTGGACTAATTGAATTCAATAATAACTGCTGATACTTTATTATGTTTTATAATATTTTATTATATATATATATATAATTCTTCATTCTTGTTTCTCCTTGGTTAAGACCACACTGCTAAGTACAACTCTGTTCATTTGTCTCTGTTTTCTGCAGCTTCCCTCCAATTGATTTCCTACTTCACTACCTTATTCTTTATTTTGTATGCAGTCTTCCCACTTTAACTTGACTCTCTAAAAGCCCTATAGGGTCTTCTTGAATCACTTGCCTATTTAACATAATTCACAATTTATTATTGTTGTTGATATTTATTGTTTAATAAATATTAAATAAAATAAATAGAATAATATGTACTAAATATTAATTATCCATTAAAACTATTCAAGTGATTTAATTTTAAATGTATTATTATTTTATATTTATGATATTATTACATTATATTGGTAATTACCTAGGTATTTATATTTTATGTTTTTAACATTAAATTATCTATTATAATGTATATGTATATAAAAGTATGAATACTAGTAAATCCTAGTTAATACAAAAGGTTTGGTAAAACTTAGGATAAACAATCAGTTTTAGCAATAATCCAATCTAACAAAGATCCAAAATTCAACAAAAATGTTGCTCATAGACACAAAGAAAAAAACACACATTAAAATCATCAGATTTCTCAGAATCTAAAAAAAATGATTATACCAATATTTATAAAATCTCATTTGTAGGTTTGACTAAACTTAATCATAATCTATCTATTATTAATTTGTGAATATGATTATCCTTTTGGAACAAATGTACTTTATGTAAGAACCTCAATTATCAAAAAAATGGTGATTTCAAAACCTATCTGTGTGTTATAGATTTAAAAAAAGTAAAGTAATTTTTTTAAATTTTTTGTAGCTTAAAATATGTTCTTTGTGTACATTCTTTTTAAATGTGTTAATTTTAAATTAATAATTTCAGCATTATGAGCTAGATAAAGAAAATGTACAATTATTAGCATTAAGATTGTCATGCAGTGCTCATAGTTTATATAAAGATATAAAACAAAATTATTTAAATTCTACTCAAGTTCCTACTAAAATTCTAACAGATGTTGCGAATACTGTTGCTGCATTAAAACCATTGGTTAATTGGCTAAACAGGTTTGATTTTATTGTAATTTTAATGTAAGAATTATTGTATTTTTATTATTTGATTAAATAAACATACTGTATAATTATTTTAGGCCTCCATTTTGTGGACAACCACATTACATAAGTATGAAAAACGATTTACTTAAATTAGCTCTTGAAATAGTTACAAGTGGTCAACGAGATCGTTTTGCTGAAAATCCAGTGGAGAACATTTTTGAGATTGCTAAACAACTATCTCAACTTGCTGATCATGTCATTCAAGAAAGTCAAGATTCCTTAATTTTACAACCAGCTACTTTAGATGTTGCCACACTTAAGAAAAGATCAGGAGAATCACTGGTATATGCAATATACATAAGTATTTATATAAACCTTTTATGTACTATTATGAATTTGAATGAATAAGTAAAACATGATCAAAGTTCTTTTTATAATGTAATAATTCAATTTTTATATATATATTTATAATTTTTTACATTTTTTTTATACTTTAAATTAATAAGTATAGCTACATATACAGTCAAGTTGTTATAACTCAAAGTTGAAGGGGGATAAAAATTCACTTCAAAATATATATTATTCGAGATACCTAATTTGGATTTATCAAAATTAAATCAAAACTTTAAGTTATGTAATGAAATATAATTTTAAAATGTTATGATAAATATATGTACCTAAAAATTGTACAAAACTAAAATAGATGCTGTTTTTGAATAAAATGTCATTAATATTATATAAAAAAAAATTAATTTTTTAGGGATTTTATATTGTACCATCATTTCATGGCGTTCATCAGGTAGGAGAAGTTAAATGTAATAGTGTGGCACATCAATGTGGAAAAATTGAGGCTGGTGATGAAATAGTACAAGTTAATTATCAAACTGTGGTAAGGTGTAACTTTAATTACCTAAAATATAGGTTATAATAGTTAATACATTATAAAACTAACAAATTCTATGACACTAATAATTAACAGTTTGTCACCATTTTAATTGTTATTAATTAACCATTTGTGATTAAAGTTATTTCTTTTCTCTTTATTGAATTTGGATTGAAATTCAGGTTGGTTGGCAAGCAAGACAAGTAATGGCTTTATTAGAAGAAGCATCAACTGACATATTTTTGACACTTAAAAAACGTCCAAGGCACAGTAAAGTATTTGGACAAATATATATGAAACCATATCGTTTACCCAGTAAAAAGCTGTTCAATTATCCACAAAGATATTTTGATCAACTCACTCCACCCAGGCCAAGTGATTTATTGACAATTCCTAATTTCAGTTTTCCAGTAAACAAGTAAGTCCAAATTGTGTACTAATTCCAGAGTTTATTATTATTAATCATATAAAAATGCTTATATATTTTGATTTATTTAAATTCAATCACTTTAGTTTAAATTTACAAATTGATGGTGTTTTGTTAAAATGACGTCTATCAAATTTCATATTTTTTCAGAAAACCAAAAAAAATCACAGTTTTAATGATGTTTATAATGGAAAACAATAAAATTACTTGTACACATATTCCCTTTTACACTAAGTATACATGCATTGAATGTGATTTACGCCCTTTTAACAAAACATCATCAATATTTTAATAATAAGATGTTAAATTATTATAACCAAATAAATTAATTGAAAGCCAATATATTGTCTATCTATAGCTTATTTGAAGACATTTATACACATTGCTGCTTCCACTATGCTCCTCCACGCTTCTATCCAACGCTATTCTTTTTCCATCTCCGACTCCTAAGGTCTTCAGATCTTCTCTGTTTCAATCGCTCCACCTCTGTCTTGTTGTCCTCTTGGTTTTGTGCGATCCGGCTTCCACATAGTGACCTTATTTGTTATTCTATACTCCACCCTTCACACATGTCCTCCCCCAGCTAGGTTTTCGTTTTTTCAAAACACCTGCTATATTGGCTTCATTAAATAATTCCCTTAGTTCTGTGTTTGCTCTTCATATCCATTGTTCTTTTAGGGTCAAAAATCTTCCTTAATATTTCTTTCTCAAATATCATTAGTTTTTTCGTATGCTATCATGCCTCACATGCATATAATACTATAGGTCTAACCAGGGCTTTGTGTAGTTTAATTTTTGTTTTTCTGGATAGTAGTTTTGACTTGAACAGCGGTACTAATGAGAAATAGCACTTATTCTCTACTATTATTCTATGATTGATTTCCTCATGGCTATTTGCCCTTTCATTCACACCTACCTCAAGATATTTAAAGTTAGGTACTTTTTAAAATATCATATCTCACTGAAATTGAATTTTGGTGATATTGCCTCCGTGACAAAATCAGGTACTAAGTTTGGTCTTTGTTGATGTTTAGTGCTATACTTTTTCCTTCCTCATTAGTTTATTTGCTGTATTTCTTACTTGATCTTCTGATTTACCCATTATTATTGTATCATCTGTGTACACCACTATCATCATATTTTGTTCTCTAATTTTCAGACCTATAGAGAGTTTTTTTGCACTTTCCTTATTACTGGTTTCAGAGCAATATTGAAGAGTATAGGGAGATAATGTATCCTCTTCTCTCAAACCAGTTTCTACTGTGAAATCTTCTGACATTACAGAGTTGAATTTTATTTTATATTTTGAATTTTGAACACGTGCCTTCACTAATATCACAAGTTTTGACAGTATTCAGAGTTCAATCATCACATGCTAAAGACTATGATATGTTGTATTATATCAACTAATAATATTTTTTTAAATATTAATTATTATTAATGTGCATAGGTATTAAACAGTATTATTGTGTACATATGAGTATTATGTTATCTACTTATTTTTATCCAAAACGAGGTAAATAATTACCCTAGAAATAATTATATTTTGCATGGATAACAAATAATGAGTTTATGAAGAAAATGCTATGGTAAAAAAAAAAAAAAACAAGTGGTAAAAAAAGCAATATATTTATTTTACATATCATAATATAAAAAATAATATTATTGGTTAGTACTACATATTATATAGTACTGTATAATAGGTACCTACACTATATTTTAATATCATTGACTATATTATTCAATCAAAATATTTTAAATGTTTTCACAAAAATCATTATTGGAATTTTTTTTTTAATTTAATACAAAAATTGTTTTATTTATACCTATGCATAATTTAATATACTATTATTTCATATAACTTATTATATAATGTACATTATACCTATAATAATATAATGCACTGATTTCCAAAAAAAAACAATTATAAATAATAAATCATGGTTATGGTTGTATAAATCCAAATTTCTTTTTTCCTTCTGTTCTTATTTTGAGTAAAAAATATTTAGATAATTTATTTGTTCTACTATATGCTAAACCCATAGGTTTATTTAAGTTGACTTTTATATATTTTTTACTTACACTACAATTATAGTAATCATTTTTATTACATTCGATTACGAACTGCAAATTTCAATAACTTGCTCCGATAATTATTTTTGTGAAAACGTTTAAAATATTGAATATACCTGTAAAATAATATAATCAATGGTATTAAAATATGGTATAGATAACTATTCTATAGTACTGTATAATATGTAGTACTTACCAATAATATTACTTTTTATATTATAATATACTTTATACATTATGATATGTAAAATAAATTTATTTCTTTTTTCACTTGTTTTTTATTCCTGGTCCCTAAAATAATTAATATAGCAGTTTGTCCGCATCAGTAGCCATAAATTATTTAATTAATTATTTTTTAAGTTTAAACACCCTTACTTAATATTAAATACACTTACAAATAGAAAGTTTTGAGTTCTATGTTATTTCTGTACATTGTGTATTATCTAGAGCATCATAAAGTCGCTATCGTCTTTATCTGAAAATTATTTACCATATCTTAGCATATCAGTTTTAATTTTATTGTTGTATATAGTGTGGATGTTTTGTTTTATAATGTAAATGCTCTTTGTATTTCACTTAAATATTATGCACATAATACTAAAAAGTATCCGATAATATTTTATCATATCAATGAGTTATTAATAAATAATGTAAAATTACAACTATTTACGCAAGGTAAATATTTACCCTGTGTGCGTAAAACATAAAACCGTGCGCCTTACGACACGTTAATACAAAAGTTATCTCTAATATGATATCTAATATTTCCTAGTTTTTTAAATATTTTTACTAATTCGCCTATACTTGTTTAGGTTTATTATAGTTTCTATAACTAAAAGTAATTTATATAAATTAAATTATTTACAGTTATAAATACATACTACAGTAGAAACCGTTTAAAATGACATTAAAGGGACTTGTTAAAATTGTTCATAATAACCAAATTGATAAAAAAAAATTTATAACTTGATTATGTATATGTATTTATATGAACTTAATATTTTATTACAATCAAGGTATCATATTTTTATCACTAAATCATGACTTTAATACATACAGAAAATTTTTAGTTTGTACGTTGTATACAAATTGTTCAAATTTTTTCAATATAACCAAAAATAACCGTCATTACATCAATTATTTTATATTATAATAAACCATCATATTTAGCATTTATAGTTTATAGAAATAATATATTTTTATAGGTATCATGCAAAATAAACATTTTTTTTTTCTCTTGATGAACCCAGTTAACAGTGTAGCGATATGTAGCATATCAAAATAATACTGTAATTTTGTATGTTTTTATGTAATTCTTATTCATTTAATTTATTTAATTTAATTCGTTTTTTATAACAATTAATTTTTTTTAAATTTTTAGACAAGAAAAGAAGATACCAAAAACTCAAGAAAGTCAACTTTTAAGTGATCACTTGTTAAGTCCTCCTCCAGTTATTCATTTAAGCAGACGCTCAATTTCTCCTGAAATTTGTTCACATAGTAATAGTAGTAGTGGTGATGAAAGTGAGCTTGAGAGTGCCAATTGCTCATCGCCTACTTCTGTTAGACTTTATCTTCCAAAGCCACATATACCTGTTCAAAGAAGAGCAACAATAAGTGGAGCAAGCCCTATTGGAAAACATGCTCCATTCAATTTTGATCAGGTATTTATTATAATAAATTATTAATAGTATTAAAAAATAATAATTATTATTATTATCTTTAACATTACTACATGTTACCCAATTAAACTATCATATTATAATATACAAATTTGAATATAATATAGTATATTAAGAACTGACTTCCTCAACTCGATTTATGTGCGTATTAAATGCACTTTATAGCTTGTTATTTTGTTGAACAGGTAACACTAGACGTGCCTAAATAAACCTATATGAAAGGTTAGTCAATTTGTCATGCCAGCTCAATTTATTTTACTATTTTTTATTGAAAATACAAAATTATTTGTTTTTATAATATTTATTTACACATAGAAATATAAATATAATACTTACCTATTAAGTTATTTACTTCTTATTTTAATGTCAAAGTTTTCTCTAAAGTTCAATGTGGTTTTATAATATTCTGGTGAACATTCAAAAAGGCATAATACACTAATCTAAAAAATTGGATTACTAATGTATATTTAAGAACGAGTTACAAGTGATATAAGTAAATATTTACAGGTAACAACAGCCTTCTTCACTTTCTATTATATTGGCTATTATTTACTACTTATATATTTATGTTAAAAATTTGTAAACTACTGTTTTGAACATTTGGTTTATTTTTTTAAGAGTTATATTTTATTAACTATTGGTCAGTTTATTAAACTATTCACAATTTCCTGACAATTATAAATCAATCAATATGTATTTATGTTTTTAAAATCCGGCAGAGTGTAATTATTTAAATATAAAAGTATATTATTATAAAATATCATAACTTAGATAAATATGTGTCTAGGAGAGTAGTTAATTTTTTTTTATCCTTGTTCCCAAATAGTCAAATTTACAATTTTGTTATTATTTTTAAAGTAAAAAAAAATCAAATATTTAGAATTGAAGATAGTAATATTTATCTTTATTATTATAATATTTAATATTAGTCCTTTATAACATAGAAAAAGTTGCTCTAAATAATTGACTTTGTGGGGGGGGGGGTAGAATAAGTATAACACATTTTTGAATTTAATAAGGCCTCAGGTATAAAATATTTTATTATTGAATTTAGTCAAAAAAACTCTAAATTACAATCATTTTAGCCTTCCAAAATTGTGAAACAGTATTAATAATTTTAAGTTTACTTGAATTTGAACCTCAGTGATTTATTTAAAGTCAAAGTAAATAAAATCCTAACTAATTAAAAATGTATAAAGTATAAATGTTTTAAATTTTTAAACGTAATTAACATTAACATTATAATATGAATTATAACAATATTTAGATGAAATGTTTAGAAATTCACTATTTATGAATTGTTTTATTTTAGACATAATTAATTATTAGTAGACTTTTATAACTTGCTCTGTCAAATTATTTTTCTTCTTCTTGAAGTTCCTATCCGTTTCAGATGTTGGAAATCATATTTATTATTTCTTCTCTTTCTAACAAAGAACAAGATAATTCATCTGTTTTCACCTGTTCATTATGTCAAAAATATTTCAACCATGATATCCTTCGTCTAACAGCACTTTTCTTTTCTTCTACTTTCTCTTGGAGTGTGAGTTGCAACAAACCATATATTTGTTATTTCTCATTATATGGCCTAGGTACCGAGTAGTCCATTATGGTACACTCATTATCTCTGAAAGTATTAACTTTTTTCAAAATTTGTATTCTAAAACATTTAAGAAAAAAGCAGCTCTACAATTTTTTATTTTTTTTATTTTTGGGGTTATACCACTACCTGTTTTTAATTTTAAAATGGCAACCTATATTAAAAACTCCATAAATAGATGGAGTTATAGTTAATATAAATTTAAATGTTGACATTGTTTATTTCTGTCATATATTCTACGTTTAAGGTTAGGTTGTAGGAGAGTAGTGGAGTATCATTTATGTGGTAGTATAGCTCATGACGTGTTAATAATTTACCACTACTCTTCTCCAATTCAAATTTAAAAGTGGAATATCTTGTCAACGGATTGGCAGAAATCAAAAATGTCAACACTACAATTAATTTTAACAACATTTATTTATGAACTTTTTGATATAGATTGCCATTTGAAAATCAAAAGTAGTTAGTGGTTTTACCCCCAAAAATAAGGGTGACAAAAATAACATAAATATACAATTGTAGAGCAGCATTCTATATGTTCTGGAAAATAATTTCCGGAAAAAGTTAATATTTTCCTAGATAATGAGTGTACACTTGTGGTTCCCTGGTATTCTAATTTTCGTATTTTTAGTCATTATTAACTTCTTTTTCTTTTTGCATTCTTTGAAGCACTTTTGTATGAAATACATAATCTGACCATGGGATATTTAGGATTCGACTATACAACCACATTTCCAATGCCTCAATTTATTGCTTAAAGTTTCTGTTAAAGTCCGTGCTTTGGATCCATATAATGATATTGGATAGATGTAACATCTTAGTAATCTAATCTTAGTACTAAGTTCAAAATCATGACATTTAAATATGGCCATTTCAATCTTGAATTTAATTTCAATTGAATATTCCTTATCTTCATTAACTCATGTACCTAGGTAGCAGTACTTTTGAACCTTTTCTATTGATTTGCCTCTTATAAATAGCTGTTCTTTTGTAGTTTTTTCTTTAAAACTACCATATATTTAGAGATAGTCTAAAACTTATGCTTTCATTTACTACTTTACACATCATATTTGAACTTGACATATTATTTGTGAATACAACTGAATTGTCAGTGTATCTTATATTATTAACATATTCGTCATTAACTTTTATACCCTCATTAATCTCTTTCAAAACTCCTTGGAAAATAAATTCTGAGTATACATTAAACAGAAGTGGCGACAGGACACATCCCTACTCATCTCTCGTTTTATAACATAATTAATTAGGTATTAGTGGACTTGTATAACTTGCTCTGCCGAATTATTAATTTTTACTATTTACATTAAGTTCTTTTGACATAAGATATTAATGTTTATGTACCATGAATTAAACTTATAAACCTTAAAAGTGTATGGTGTAATAAACAGAACTTAGTTAATAAAACTAGGTTATTTTTTATTTTTTTATTTTATTACCTATTCAATATTCTATCTTTTTGTTTTGTACAATTTGTACACCATTAAATTTAAGTTATAAATTCTATTTGATTATAGGACCATATTCTTCTTAGTATGAATTGTTTGTGTGTATACGTACGTGTGTGAGTTACAGTAGAAAGTTTTTTAAGGGTCTTCCATAATATATTGAATCAGTTAAAAATATATTGCGAACTGGTAATATTCAATACTGATTTATTACTAATACTACAAGAATCAATTATTGTAGTTTATTTAATAAAACAATTTAAACATATAGACGTTAAAATTGTTTTACCTTATATATCTATGTATACTTTTGATATGTTGGTATGCTAACAAATATCTACAGAGTTATATTTGTATTTAATTTTGAATTTGTTTAAAAAAATATTTCATTATATTAAACTGTTAAACTGAAGTGTTGTATATTTATAAACATTAAAACAAAACTTATTTTATTTTATATTTAATATTTTGAAGAAGTTCTTTTCTTATATTGTCTTCTAACAAGACTTATACTGGTCATTTTTATTAGTTTATCTGTACAGTCACTTATTGTTCTCATCAATTACAACACTCCACCTTATCATTTTGGATAAAAAGAATATCAATTTTGATTAGGTATTATTAGATTGAGCAAGGTTATTATAAATATAATTTGAAAACAAAATTGATTGTAGTTAAAAAAGAGCACTACAGTTTAAGTTATTTGATAGTGAATACATGTAATACTCAATATTTGTCACTTGTTCATTTTTTCGTTTTATTTAAATCTATATTTTAAATTTTTAAAAGAAAAATTATAAAGTATAAAAAAGTACTATAGGTATTATTTTAGATTAGAAACTGAATATAGCGAGAAATGTATTTGTTTTACATGATGTTTATTTTTTTTTTTTTAGTCAACTTTTCTATCAGCAATTTTGCTCCGATTTACAATAAAATAGCACTTTTTCTAAAAAGAAATCTGATTAGAGGAGCACTTTAAGAAGATCATTTTTTGATCTTCCCAGGAGTTTCCCAATAAATGGGGGAAAACAGGAAAATAGGTACAATATTAAATGAATATTATTAAAGAAAATATATAGTGCATATGTAAATATTTTACTATAATATGAGATATTACTATTATATACATCTAGGACATATATATTGGGTGGTATATATATATTGTTGACAAAGTAACACTATCAACTGAACTCTGCTTAGAATTGTTTTTTTTCGCTAACAATGGTTTATCATTGCTACAGACATACATTACGTTTTCCCTCTACTACTTTCCCAACTTTTCACCTATAACAATGGCTGCACCCATCCCATTTATCCTAGGACAGATTTTAAATTTAATTCTAAAAAATATTTTTAATATCGTCATCAATTTCTCATTTATTTTTATTTATACACTAATTATCTTAATGATTGGTATTACTATAGTTTTAGTAATATGTTTATGTTGATATAAGATATGTGTTTTATTAATTATTGATTCAGATAATTAAAAATAAATATGCATAATAAGTATAAGTAATATATCAAAACTTCTATTTGTATTGTATGTGCTATATTCCTATAATTATAATAATAACCATTCTTATATAGTTTTTGTATATTTATTGTAAATTTGCTTATTATGATTTATTTTGGTTAAATTGTGTTGTGTGTTGTCTTGGTGAATGGTTAAATTAAATTATTTTTTAAATTACTTCAAATATTTTTTCTAATTATTTAGTATCTTTTTTTTATTTTTTGACACTGATATTGAAAACGGTTGGAGTGACAGACCAAGTTATCAAAATACATTTTTGGTATTGAATTTAAAACTTACATATATTTAAATAGTTTCAGAAATATTGCACTTTGTTAAATTATATGTTTAAGCAAAGAAGAAATAAGAATGAATTGAAAATTTCAATTACAAATTGCAAAAACCTTACTTGACCATAATATATATATTATCATTCATGATCAATAATTGTGATAATCATAAATAATTTTTCTTTGAAAACTGTTATCAATTTAAAAAAAAAAAAAACAAATTCAGTTTTCCTAGAAACTAGAAAGTTAGTTTAAAAATATTGAATGAGAACACAAAACATGCTTTTAGTTGTGCTTTTAGTGCTTTTAGATTTATGACAAATAAAACAGACTGTTAATAGAGAATATTATTAGTAATACAAGTGAATCTTGTAAGGTTCGCAGACAACTTAAATGCAATAGGAGAGGACTAGAACAGTGTTATACATAATATAAAAAAATTTTGAAACATGTAAGGTGAATAGGACTGGATTTAAATTAAGTAAATATCAATCTGTCAAAGCTATTTAATATTACAACTAAAACATGAAAGTGTGATGGGTGTCTTTTTGTAAATTTGAACTCATTAAAATACTTTGATGTAAATTTAAGTAATAGAAATAAACGGTTTATGAAAATAGAATGCAAACTCAGTAAAGTAGAGCAGTCTTTCGACACTTAAGATAATCTTGGACCTGAGGTATTTTAATAAAATCAAATTTTAAAAGTCAAAATTGAATACAACGATTATAAAACCTGTGTTAGTATATAGATGTAAGGTATAAATGAACCAAAAAAATGTACAGAAGATTTAATATTATATTTGTAAATAAAATATTGAGATAAATATGTAGTGTGGTTTTTGATGTTAGAAAGGATAATGTAAGAGGTATAATAAGGAGCTGTGTAAGATACCAAAATTACCATTTATAAAAAAAATGTATTCAAATTTACTATAATGTTTAAGTACAGGGAAAAGAATACAAATTAAGTGCAGCTATTGAATAGAAACCAACAGGTAAAATGCCAAGGGTAAGACTTAGTAGGAGCAATATTTGGATGGATTTAAAGAAGACCTAAAATAAGGTAGAAGATAGTAGACCATAGTGAGTCACTTTTATATTAAGAAGTGCAATGCCCTTGAGACAATAAATTCAAATACAAGTTAATAACTGTTAGACAATTATTCTTTAGTGTTTGTAGTATATTTGAATATTTCCTTTTTATGTGACTAAGTAAAATGTGATGAGACATAAGTGATTAGTCAGTGAATTTAAATTATTAATTTTATAATGTAAATTATATACCTGATGGTTCATTTAAGTGGGTTTAAGTACTCTCATTATTTCTGAAAGTATTACTTTTTTCTAGAATACTTAATCAACAAGCAGCTTTACAATTTTATATTTATTTTATTTTTGGGAGTAAAACCACTACCTACTTTTGATTTTCAAATGGTAACCTGTACCTAAAAGTTCATAAATAGATGGAGTGTTAGTTAAAATAAATTTAATATTGACATTTTTGAATTCTGTCAATCCGTTAACGAGATACTTCACTTTTAAGTTTGGGTTAGAAGAAAGTAGTAGTGGAGTTTCATTTGTGTGACAAAGTGGAATATCTCATCAACGAATTGACGAAAATAAAAAATGTTAACTCTAAAATGTATTTTAACTAATACTCTATTTATGTACATTTTGTTATAGGTTGCCATTTAAAAATCAAAAGTAGTTAGTGGTTTTACCCCCAAAAATAAAGGTGAAAAAATATAATATAAACATAAAATGTAAAGTAGCTTGTTTCTTAAATGTTCTAGAAAACAAATAACTGAAAAAGTTAATACTTTCTGAGTAGAATTAATGATTTTACCCACTTAAATGGATCACCTAGTATGGAATTATGAATAATATAAATTCGTTTTTTTCTCTACTCATTGATGAACAGTTTGAAGACAGGAAGACCCTTAATAAAATATAATTAACTTTAATCAATTGAAAATTCTATGAATATAATTATTTAGGTGTAAGACGATTGAGTGCATTTGTTGGCTAATTAACATAAGTATAATATTTCTTACAAAAATAAATATATATATATAATTATTATAGGTCTCAATTATTTATGCACTAGGTATTCGTTGTGTTTATAGGTTATAACTTATAAGTGACAACTTCTACTTATACAAGTATTAGTAGTTATCAACAAATGATTACACAAATGCTATACCTACAGCTATTTTGTTAAATATACATTGCCATTTTAATTTATGTATATTCTAATACATACTAATATACATTATTATCCATGAGAAATAGCCTGTAAAATAGTTGTTCTCAATCGTATTTCACCAATTTATTTGCATGGATTGAATTTTTCCCTATTTTAATTTTTTTTTTTAATACCAATAAGTAAACAATTATTTTTGAATTTAATAATATTGACATTTTATTTTCAGTTTTGGAACGAGTTAAAACAAGTTAATGAAGCTCATAATAACAATAAAAATAATAGTGAAAAGTCTAATAGTGAGATGCAACTTAGTAAACGTTCTAAACCTACAAAAGTTCATTGGACATCATTGCCACCAAATGAAGAAAAACTTGAAATTCAAAAATGTCCTGATAAGAAACCCATAGATATATCTATTAAAGATGATGTTTTAAATAGCAGTAATTTAATTTCCTTAAAAGAACGTATTAATCAATTAAAAATCAATAACAATCCAGAACAAATTGTTAACAAAAAACCTAAAATAATGCCAAAACCTAAAGTTTCTAAACCAATTGATAATCCATTAATAATTAAAGTTCGTGGTAAATTAGATAAAAGTTATAGTACTCCATCTTATGACTTCTCTACTGATGGTAGTCTTCATAATAATTTTGAATATTTTGATTCTGATTTACGAATGTCAGTTGAAGATGTCAAAAATTATGATATAAAAGAAGTCACTAGTAATTGTGTTATTAATGAAGATATAATTAAAAGACCTGATAAACCAGTACTAGTTTTCCCAAAGCCTCCTCCTCCAAGAAATGATGATAATCTTTCGTATGATACTATGCCAAATACTGTTAGTACTAGTAATATAAATAAATCAGTCAAACCAATATTATATTTTCCGAAACCTCCACCTTCTATGACAGAAGATTTAGATTTTTCAGTAACAAAAGATACTGATACTGATATTAATATTGAAAATTTTGAATCTGAACCTCAGAATAATAGAACTGTAGAACAATTTAATAGTATAGTTTCAGAATCTGGCAGTGGATTTTCATTTGATTTAAAACATGAAGAACATTTACATAGTTCAACCAAAAGTTACTCAGAAAACCAAATAGACAATTTTTTAGAATATTATAACATACCAACACATTTATCCAAAGATAAAGTTCTAGTACCTATAGATTCTAAAAGATATTCAATGAATCGTTTTAAACATAAACCTTATGTTAATAACAATAATAATCATCAAGATCTTCAGGATTTTGAAAAAAATTCATTTTCTGATTTGTCTGATGTCTGTCCTCCTTTGTCATTAACTGACCTTAGTGGTAGTGATGATAATATATTTCGAGTAGATACTAAAGATAATATATCACTGCCATCTGAACGAACAGCTATTTTAACTCATCAAGCTTTACTTAATGCTCCAGCTACATTTCCCAGACAAAAAACTGAAGCAAAAAAATCTCAACCACCAGTTCCACCTCCTAGACCATCTAAGCCTGTTGAATTGCCTAAAAGAACTAGTTACAGAGCTATGCTTGGTGCTAAAGCCATTGGGAAAAAAGAAAATAAAGGACAAAAACAATTATTCCAAAGAAACCCTTTGATAGCTAGTAATTTTTTACCATAGTAATATAATGTATTAAATACTAATAAAGAATATTTTATTTTATTTTAGAACGCCGAAATATAAGTGCTAGAGAATTAGGTGCATGTGAATATCAGGGATGGTTATACCAAAGATCTAAAAAAATATCCCCACGAATGCAGTGGATTAAAGGATGGTTTATCATAAAGGGAACAACTTTTTATGGATTTAATAATAAAGAAGTATTAAAAATATGTCATTAAAGATTAATTATTAAACACCTATTATAATTTTAATTAATTTATATAATTTAGTCAACAAAAGCTCAACTAATGATCATCTTATCTGGTTTTACGGTCTCTATTGCTGATGAAGTGAAGTCAAGAACTAATGCTTTTAAAGTATATCATATGGGAACTATGTTCTATTTTGCTGCTGAAACACCAGATGATTTATCAATGTGGTTGGATTGGTTTTCAACTGCTACTATTGCTGATGGTCATAATTCAAGTACATCTTATTAAATTATTTAATGTAAATAGAAGGTGAAAATTCAATTTTTTTATATGACAATCAAAAGATATTGTCATTATGGGAGTAAAGAAGGGGAGTGTGAGGCTGATTTATAATAAAATATTATTATTATTTTTTTTTTTGGTATACAGGTGATTCATTAAGCATGATGCTCACCCATTTTTTATGGTTAAATTTTGCTTGTATTTTAAGTTTTGGAATTTTGAACGTTAGTTAAAGCTATATTGTAGACACTTAGATTTTTCACAGCATTTCAGAAGTATCCTGTAACGATACCCACTTTGGTTTTTCAAATTAAAATCTAGATTAAAAATTCCATTAATAGATGGAGAATTAGTTTCAATACATTTTTTTTGGTATATACCTTTTTGATTTTAGTTAACTTGTTGCCAAGATATTCCACTTTTAAGTTTAGGTAAGTGAAGAGTAATGGATCAATATGAAAACACCATTCCTTATGAAAACACACATATGATGCTTATTAGATTGTTTTCCTTAATATTTTTAGGTAGAATAACACAGAAACTTTGTTCAAACTATGATTACAATACATCAAAATTTCCTTAGAAATCATCTGATTTACAATTTGCATTAAAATATGTAGGTTCTTATTTAGAGAACCAAAGTTGGTATCACCATTGGATGTTTCTTAAATATTGTGAAAATATCAGCTTTAACTACATTTAAAAATTACAAAAATCAGAATTGGAATATATGCAAAACTCATAAAAATAAGGTGAATATCTTTAATAAATTACCTATTATTGGTAATAGTATATGTATTATTAGGGCTGTGAATTTAATGCAGTAAAAAACCTTAAAAAAAGCATTTGAAATCTCAAAATGCACTTAAAATTTTTTTAGATGCTTAGAAAATCAAAATTTTCTGACACTTATTATATGCTTGTCTTCCAATGTGGTGGTTTATTGTAAACAATTTTTGGCTGGAACTATTACATTATATATTTTGCAGTACAATATATTTTTACCTTCAATAGAAAAATATCTGCACTATATTTATTCATTGATGTATTTTTCGCAAATTTGATGATGAAGTTTGTTTTGTTTTAGGTATTTTACTGTACACTCGCAAATTCCAAACAGGTAATAAAAGACAATGCCTATATTGCCTAATAGTTTACAGTCACCTACTAAAATTATAGATTAATACTGCAAATACTATAGATTAATATATTTATTCTAGAAATGTACTATTGATATTATGCTATAGATAGATAAATTTAAACCTATTTGCTTTATCTTATTGCATTGTTACTAAACATCTGTTGTACTCACATACGTAATATAGCTTTGATATTATGTATAAAACATAAACATGATGTGTATACAATCAGTGTAAAATAAAAATAGGTGTGTTACGATGATAACAAATTTGTACAAAGAAAGCTAGATTTTACAATTAGCTAAAAAAAAATTCTACAAATTCACAGCCTTACGTATTATTATAAAAATTATAGGGAAAAAGCCATAGGGGAATATCCCTTCATCTCCCCCTGTTTAACTATCCCGGTTATAATAATACAATTTTGTTAAACTTAACAGGTAATAATTGACATTAATAGGATTTTAATTTAATTGTTACAAAATCTCATAATCTATAAGGGACTTGTTGTGTAAAGCTATTAAAATATTTAATATTTTAATGAAAAATATTATCATTAGAAATTGACATTTCTTGGATTTTAGAATTAAGCACTATTCATCATTATGTGCATATTGTACATAGGTAATGCAGAGCAAATAAAATTCACTGATTTTATATTAAATGTTTGTAATTAATAGATATTGTGGCAGTAAGTGAGACTGATGGAGAAGAAGATGAAAATATTCATGATAATCATGAACCTGTAGATACATTTCCATTAAAACCAGAAACATCACATGATTCTTCGTTTACAAGTTCAGCTTTAAAGAATATATCCACATTTCTTTCGAGTCACATGGGATCGCATTTAAATCCTAATACAAGTTCTAATAAAAATAAAACGTAAGAAATGTTTATTATTATTTTTTTTTTTTTTGTGATCACTATATTTTAAATAGTTTTAATTATTTATTTAACTTGTTTTCTCAAGTTTAATTTAATTTTTTTAAATTTGATTAATTTAATTTTACATTTAAACACTGTATTTTTAAAGCTATAATTGTCTAGATTACTATTAGTGATTAATTAGTGATGAATAGTAATTTATTCTAATATGAATTAGATAAAAGCAAATATTAAAATTACTATACATTATGTTGTTTTCATTAATTTTCACCAAAAGCAAAAATTATAAATTTGTGGTTTTATACAAACAACAGTTCAAAGATAATAATGTCAGACTACCTAGCACACAATAGATTATCGAGACTACTGTATTATTATAATTATTATATTTTTCATTTTCATTTAAAAAAAAAATAAAAGTATATTCAATATTTTCCCTTAGTGACAAAAGTTTTCATTCATTAAAAAAACAACAAAAAAAGAATTTAGCCAAAGAAGATCAGACAAAAGGTAGCAGTCTGGATAGAAAACATTGGAAATTCTTAGGCATGGGTATGATTGGGCGAGATTCAAATGAACCTGTTCCCACATCTCAATTTCGTAGTTACCGAAGGGTACCACCAACAGTTCCTAAGTGTACATCAGATACATCTGTCCTCTCACATTCTTATAACCAAAAGTAAATTTATATTTTATTTTTTTATAATAACAAGAATATCAGTAATTTTATTTTATTTCAGTTCTGATATTTATCCTATGCCTCAAATTACTCATAATCGCCCAGCAGATATGGTTGATTATCGATTAGCTTCAATAACAAAAACTGATAACACCCAAAGGTACTTACAATTAGTTGGGTTTAAAAACAATCATCATTATAAATACTAAATTGAAATTGTATAGGAGAACAGAAACTACAAATAGTTCTGAGATGACATTAGAATCGTTTATACAATCACGCCAAGATGAAAGACGGATACAACATTTACATATGGGAATGAGTGTACCTCAGTATGTAGCTCCACCACCACCACCAGGTAACATTACTCATAAACAATGTTGCAATTTTAAAAATTAGCTACATTTTAATATATTGATAAACAGGTATTAGGGAAGACCAAAGCCAACAATTTCTAGAAGAAGCTAACTATAGGTATGTAAGACATCATAAAATTTAAATTTAGAAGTCAAGTATTTTTATATTTAATATTCCTATAGAGAGTTAGATTATTTTTATTACTATTTGTACAAGAGTAATAGACAAATTTGGTTTATTATTAATTTGCATTTATTAGTCTCTGTATTATAGTATTTCCTTTATTCTTGCTTTTTAGAATTGCTGCTGAAAGTGAACCTCGATCAAGGCAACCAATCACTGCATTGACTAGTGTTGAACACAATTACAATTTAAATGTATTACCACCTTGTAAGTATATATTTTTTTTTATATTGTTTTATAATACAGGATACACATTTATCATGAACCAGAAATTTTCTCAGATGATTTAACTGAATTTGATTTAATTGTTTAACTACTTATCATTCGTAATATTTATTCAAGATGTTCAACTTCATGTTTTATTCTTCTAGAATTAGCCGTAAAGAAATCACTAACTACTTGTAATATTATAAAAAATATTTAGGTAGCAGCGGAAAATAGTGTCTTAACCCAGTTTTACTATATTTGAAGTTTTACCCTTATTCCTTATAATTGAAATTAATATAAATTTTTTACTATCAGATCTCCCTTACATTAAATAATAGCTTTGTTCGTTTAAACATAAAGTGTACACATTTTATTATAAATTATATTTAGCAATATACTTTTTGTACATCACTTAAAAATTTAAAAAAAATTACATCTTGCTTGTTAATAGATTAGCGCCATGCCTCAATTAAACAATGTGGCAAAGCTAATGTTCCATGCATTTTTTGTAGATTTTTAGTTTTTAATATTCCCCATGATTATTCAACTGCTTGTGTGTGAGCTCCAGTAGTTGGATCAACAAAATTGTTTGATTAGTTTACTGTTCTATGTCCATAGCCTCTATTTTTGAAATAAAAATATGGTCTCCATTCATCTGATATAATAAAACCAGGTAATATTTCTTTTTTGATAATCAGAATTAAAATTTCTCTATCACGTTTTTTTTCTACAACAAAAAACATTCGTTCCAAATCTCTAATTTTGCTACATAATCCAAATACCCAAGATCCTTATAGTTTGCAACCATAATTTCTTTTTAATGTAGGCAAATTAATTAGATTTATTTGATTTTTTTGATTAGTATCAGAATTTGAGTCTGCCGAGTTATCTTGTACTTGTTCACAACACCAATCTCCTAGTAGTTGTCTTTCTCAGTTATTCTTTCTTCTCCCTCTCAATAATAATTTATCAATTTATACTACTATATTTTGTCCTTCCATCATTTGACATTTTTTTTTATAATGAACAATACATGTCTTTACACAAATTAAACCAGTCAACAAAGCATTTAAACAACCCATTAAATTGGAAACAGTTACATTCTTGTGACCAATAATAAATAAGTTCTAGTAGTTGACCCAAACTAAGATTTGAGTTGCATTGTGCATTAAGATCTTAAATGTAAAAAATCTGTTTTTAGTCATTTCTGACATCCTTTTTTGATACAATGTATAGTGCTGATTTCTCGAATTTTACCCGTAGTCAATCTTTTTTTTCCTATATACATCTTTGTTTCACTGTGACATTTATAACATAAATTAGTTTGGTTATTTTATGGTAATAGTTTATTCCTTTGTAAAAATTCTAACACAGTTTTTTCAGAAGAAATAATTGCATACAAGTCGACTGTGAACATTTTAAAGTTTTAAACTCACACGATTTAGAATTAACGACAGAACACGTACTGACAATATTGTCGATAATAAACAATGTATCATGTATTATAAAATATCTATTAGTAAAAACCAGTGAATATAATATTAATATAATAAAACTATAATGATAAACAAGCATTGGTTGTCCGTACCTATAATAATAGTATAGAAAAGCATTTTGGCGGGTCACCGAGTAGGTCACATACTAAACGAAAAAGTGATGGAAGTCGCTTGCTTTTGGACAATGGAAGGAATATATCAAATGTCTATATCTACAACTTACAATTTTATTTATTTTCTTTTTTTTTTTATTGTTATTTATTTATTTATGTTAATTAGTATATTGGAATTTTTTAACTTTATGATTTATATTTTATTAGTTTTAAATGGCCTGACACGAAAGAAAAAAATTGACAATAGTATTAAAATAAAACTTAAACAATTTCATATTGATTGAATAAATAACAGGAATTAAATGTGCTTATGATCTTCCAAAAAAATTTCTGGTTCATATTAAATTAATTATTTTGTATATTATACATTAGTTAAGTACTACAATCCACGGAATAACATATTTATTTTTGTATTAAATTATAAATTAAAAATTCAATATTTAATATCCAAGACTGTACAGACCCTTGCAAACATTTTTTTTAATTTACTATAATATATGAGTATATGTGCTTGTTATAATGTATTGTATTATATATTCATAGATGTTATAAAATAAATGTATGTATAATGTCAGTTTAACATATTTTCAGGGATAACTGAAAATTCAACACAATCTGGTGACTTAAATGGTAATAGAAATACTAAAATATTTCCATACCCCCGTGATAGTCCATACATGCCTCAATTGTCAGAATCACATGAACATCAATTATATTCTAATCGATATGTTAGTAAAGTTTTACATTTACTGTTTTTTATAAACAATTATTTTATTTTTAATAAAATAAAAACTCTAATGATAATTAATAACTAAATGTAAGTACAGTGTCTTTGCTGTATATTTTTATGTATTAGACGAGTTTATAATTAGCTCTAAAACAAATTATTAGTCAGTTTACTCTTGCATTAGTCAAAACTTAGATTATATACTAAGGTTGTAGCCATAATGTATTATTTTATTATTGATATTAGCGACAAGTCTCCCAATTTAAGTGTTTGATGTGCGCATACGTGATGCAACTCCTCATATAATTATCGATGAATAGATTGACATATTATCAATGAATTAAATTAATAACCATATTAATATGCCATAAGTTACGTCGCACATGCGCATATCAAAAACCTAATTTGGAGACTCGACGTTGATGTCAGCAATATTTTTTTTATTTATTTAATACGCTGTAGCTCCATCCATAGTATATGATCTAAGAGCCAAAATCAATCTTTATGATTGATAGAAAATAACAAGTCAAATGTAAATGTGATTGGAAATAAAATTTAAATTATAACTTGAAAGGATCTGTTCTGATTTGAGACTAAGACTAGACTAGATAATTGTATTATTTACAAAGTACTTAAACTATAATGTAATTTAACTGAATATAAAAAAACTAATTTAAAAATGTTTAACAGCCATTGGATCAAATAAGTGACAGTGAATCTTTAGAATACCCACCTGTTTTTGAACCAGAATCTTATACATTGGTGGATGTTCTCTCTAGAAGACGTGATCGATCAAATAATAATTTTGAAACAGATTACTTGCCTGGAAATAGTAATAATTACAGGTAATGTATTAAAAAAATAGTCTCTACATTTTATTTTATTAACGATTCATGTAAGTTTAAAGATTTTTTTTTTCTCATAATTGTATACTTTGAAAAATTAATGCATATTATTTAATGGTATTCAAGTATAGTAAATAAATACAAAAATATATTATTTTGTGAATCGCACATAAATCCTAACATAATTTGATCATTTAAAAACTGTGTGTTTGTGTGTATATTAGTTTAATATTTTATTGATATATATTTATTTTATGTCTACTATTTTATTTACTGTTAAAATATAATAATTTATATTAGAGATTTATTTATTTTTTTATTTTTATTTAAAGTGTTCCCAACTGGATATCAAGGATGAACAATCCATGTAAATTTTTTCAAAGTATAGAATATTAGTCTTTTTTATGATTCTATTCCAATAGCTTACAATATAACAATAAAACAAAAATACCATTATACCATTAAATTGATATTGTTGTAATAAAAGACAAATTATTTATTTGAAACATTTTTTTTAAAATTTTCAACAATAAAAATTTCTCTCATTTTTATACCTTTGGTCAAAATATTTTAAAATCTAGAATCTAGATACTCGACACTAAATAATAAATACATTGAATTCAGTATCATAATACAAGATATAAATGAAATTACTTCTAAAATATTAATGATATTTTTACCAAAGATTATGCCTAACCCCAGATATAGTTGTCCAAAATGCTTATGATTTTACAAAGATGTCTATTTTTTTTTTTCTGTGGACAACTTTTCTACCAAAAATCTTACTCCGATTTTTAAGTCTAGCACCTTTTCTAAAAGTAAATTTGACTGGGGAGGTTCTTTACAACAGTAAATTTTTGATTTTCCCCTGAAGTTTTCCAAATAAATGGGAAAACCTTAGGAAAAACGGAAAAATAGGTACAATAATAAACAATTATTATTAAATATATTAATTAATTAATTAATTAATGTGTCGCCTGAAGTATTATGAAATGTGTATTGTAAAACCGGTTTCAAATTAAAAATTAAACATCAGGTAAAATCAAGAAGTAAAGTCAAGAATTAAAACGCGACTGAATATGAAAAAATTAATGAAGGAATACAAAGGGAAATAATTTCTTAAATATAAGAAATTATTTAAAGTGAGTTGTTATTATACATAGAAAAAATGAAACACCACTCACCGAATAATGTTGTTATCTATTATTGTAGCATGAAATATCAGAATAATATGTCTAACAAATTTTCTAAAATTCCGAACAATAATATAAATAATGTAAAAGTCGCTTTTAAGACTAATAATAATTTAATCAAACATGTAAACAATAGAACTAAAAACTTAACAAAAAAATCGCCCTTCTTTTGAAAATGCTAATATATATAAACTTAAATGTAACTGTAACACATTTTATATATGTACAACAGGTTTTGAAACCATGTATACACAAATAATACAAGAATATATTTTGAAAAGGCAAACGAGGTAAGGAGAGGTTTTAAATCTAGGTATATAATGATAAGAATGGAGGGTAGAACCTTGTCTACAGAAAATGACCAAAAAGCGAAGGCATTTAAGAACTTGTTTTAGATTCTCTTAAATCAACCTAGAAAAAATGTAGTATTGAAAGAACGTGACTTGGTTGAACAAAAGATTGAATGACCATCAATGGAAGAAATTGATGCTGTCTTAGAAATGCTAAAGAATGGAAAAGCACCTGGAACAGATGGTACAATATCGGAATATATTTAGAATGGAAGAGGGAAATTAATAAAATAGCTACATAAGCTAATTAATACAATTTGGGATCAAGAAGAAATACCAAAACACGGAGCACCTTTATCTTTTATCCAGTATTCAAAAAGGCGACACCATGAGTTGTACAAATTATAGAGGGATTTTGCTACACAATATGCCGCATAAGTATTATCGAATATCCTACTCAATAGATTGAAGCCGTACATAAAGGAAATTATAGGAGATTACCCAATAGATTTTATACCAGGTAAATTTGCACTTGACCAAATTCATATTGTCAAAAAATGTCACGGGTTTGACAAAGACGTATATTTAATGTTTGTGGACTCAAGGCTGGTGAGACCCATAGTGTTATAATGCTTGTGGTACATGGCAACAACAAAGACGGATGAAAACAAACTAGCTACTTTTGAACGAAAGGTCCTTAAAAAGATATTTATTCCAAAAAGAAACGCTCGTGGGAGTTTTAAGATAAGATCAAACCAATAAATAGAAACACTGTATAGTGAAATAAACATTATTGGAGTCTTTAAGAGGAGTAGGTTAAGATGGGTTGGATACAAGTTGGAAACCGTTCACAAAAATGCCGAGAGGACGGCCCAGACAACCATGGAGAGGCAGGATCACCAAAGTTGCATCGTAGCTGGAAGTAAATAATGGAGAAAAACTGGCTCAAGATAAGAATGAGTAAAGATATTTCGTTGTTGTGGCAATGATCTTAAATGGCACGTAAAAGCAAAAGAAGAGAAGACTGATTTTTAATTTTTTTTTTTTTTTTTATAAGTAATACTGTTAAAAAAAATCGTGGAAAACTGAAACGTTTACTGAATATTGGGGTAAAGGAATAAGAGTGTCAAATCCCACATTTTTTTTTCTGTGAACAAGATTTCTACCAAAAATTTTCTTCTGATTTTTTAGAGTAGAACCTTTTCTGAAAGAAAATTTGACTGGGGTGGTACATTAAGGAAGTCATTTTTTGATTTTCCCAAGGATTTTCATAATAAATGGAAAAAAAAACGTAGAAAAACTGAAAAATGTACGAAAAATATTACTTTCAAATCATAAATATTACGGCTTTCCAAAACATATGGTTAAATGTTACATGTTTTGAAATCCGCTTAAAATCTATTTTCGTTATTAATGATTAATCTTTGCATACAGATATACATTAAATTTCTCCTTAACCTTTCCAACTTCTGACCTAAAACGCCGTGCGCCGTGCTACCACAAATAATACTACATTACTCCCTCTCTAATTTTTATTATAGGTTCTCACTTGAAAAACTAAAGTTGAGATCACAGGATACTACTTGAATATTGTGAAATACCTAAGTATTTGAAAATTTTTGCTTTAACTAAACTTAAGAATTCCAAAAACCAAAATTTAAACGTATACAAATTTAACCAATAAAAGGGGATGAGCACGTTTAGTAAATCATCCCTTATAAATAGCTAATGACATAGGGATGTTTGGCAACTAAAATTAGAGTTATGCGAACTTCCCTTGAGAGAGTAAATACTAGATAATACAGTCATATTCAACAAATTATTTTTCTGGAATGTTTGATGTTTCGTTTGTAATCTATAGACTAAAAAACCATACGGATGACAATGATTAGACGATAATTTATATATATAAATACAATTGAAGTATATATGTAAACTATTTTAAATGTTACCTATTATTATTGACAATATAGTTCTAGTTTTAGAGATTTTTTTCGGATAAGATATCATTATAATATTGTATTCTTAAGATTCAGTGTTCGTAAATAAACCTACTGTTATTTGTTGATAACGTTAAATATAAAGCATTATTTAATAAGCTTATTAGAGAAGATAGATAGTTCATTTTTATTTTTTTTTGTATTTCAATTTGTAGTTGTTATTTAAGTACCTATATATTATAAGTTACTGTATTTTGTAAATACTATTATAGGTGTGATATAGGATTATATTTCTAAGAAAACTTCGTAAATTTGCATAGTTCATAATATTAAATCACAAACTGTAGTTGATTCAGGTGGTTATATTCAAATCAATTACATAAAGATGTCATTTATGATAAAAACATTTATTGTAGGCAGTATATCACTCCCCTTCCCCCCTTTTTTTTGGAATTTTATAATGGTGATGTTTTAATCACAGATACAAGCTATAGCCTAAAGATAATAAAATACAATATTGTTTATATCTGTGATGTATTACAATTTTTACAGGTATAAGGACTATAAATATTTATATTTTAATTAAATTTTCGATAAAAAAAAATTAAATAAACCTTTATTTTCAAGCTAGGTTGCTATAAATCCAGTCCATACAGAAAAATTTGCAGCTTCTATAACTTTCGAGCCCTAATAATATATAAACAGTATATTATACAATAAATAGCAGTGCGGTATCTAGAAATCTTAAGGGGCTATATAAAACACTTATCAATCATACATGAAACATTATACATTATGATTACGATTTATGATACGAGTAGGTGTAAAATGTGCAATAATTACGGATCAATGCCCCTTCCCCCTAAATATGCGATTGATATACTACTTACCTATATTGAATATTTTAAATAGTAATAAATGTATAAGACGATAAGCGTAGAATTAGAAGTTAAAAATAAAAACTCTAATAAATTAGAAAAATGTACCTACCTAACGGGAATTAAAAAATATTCTATTCGCAGATACACTACGTCTACTTATTGAAGCGCTGCTTACATTATATTTGAATAATATTATTACGTCACCTAGATATTTACTTATTTACTGGCCAGCCAGTCTGATGATTATCACCACGTGTCTACACCTTTTGAATTTTCATATAAATTACTATCTATTATTTTTTATTAACTCTTATATATTAAGAGTAAAGAGATTAAATAAATTGTATAAGTCAACTATCAACATTGTTCAGATTTTATTTGCTTATTTACTATATTTTTTTTATTTAAACTAAATTTTAAAAAATATATTTTTTGTTGTCAAAAAGCAATAGCTCTTCAAGTACTGAAATTGATACTTTATACATATAAGATACTTGTATTACGAGTTATGTATTTAACAATTTATTTATTCGTATATTTACTAAGCAAGAATTTTTTTTTTTAGATATGCTATCTATGTTAACAGTTGTTAATGTGAATTTGAATGTGAGAAAAATATGTACCTATAGCGATATATGTAGGCATTGTGTATAATAAAAGTGAGTACTTACTAATAAAGAAAGTGAAAATATTCCATTTAAACGAAGGGAAATTGTATCGACATTATCTAGGTACTTGTTTAATTTGGACTCATTCGAAAAAATATATAATATTAATAGATACATATTTTCTTGAATATATTTTTCATATCATTATTTATTAGTACAAAGTTTTATCACCTTAATATTAACCTATACACAATAAAATCTCGATAACTCAAAATTCTTGTTAGTTCAAAAAACTAATAAATCCCCTTGAAATGTCCTACAGGACATTAAATATATTATACCTATGCATTATTTAGTGTTTGCTAAATCGAATTAGTTTATAGAATTATAAGATTTTAAAATAGATACTTTTTAAGTTTTAGTCACAGTGCTCGACTAAGGGAACGGAGTATCTCAACTAATTTTCCAGAAATTTATCTGAGCTACCTCTAGTACTACTTTTCAAGTTGATCACAGAACGGCACACATTTTTAATAAAATTGAAATTTACACGCTTATAAAATAATAATAAAATTATACATATTTTATTTTTTGTGATAAACCTTGGGTTAAATTTTCGAGCATTTTTGATGGGCGAAAACAATTTTAATCACATAATCTTTATATTCATATGTAACAATAAGCCATTCCATATGAAAAACTATAAGGGTGATCTTCAATTAAATATATTTTTTTTAAAAATGGACTAGTTTAAATTTAAATAATAGTAAATTATTTATATTAATAACTGTTTACTTAATATAATGAGTTTAAATGTGCATAAAAAAATTGTTTATAATAGGTACATTTATGAAATATTAAGCACAAATGTAAACATTCATTCATCACACATCAGTGTATTTTAAGGATTTAAATATTTATTCAACAAAATATTGTTTCACAAAAAATTAACTAACACTAACTAACTTTTAACTAATGGATAATGAATATTAAGTTATTAACTATTCTAACTAAAAATTATATTTTTATAATGAAAATTAAATACTGACTTAACTATTAAATAGTATCTTTATAATAGTAAATTAATATGTTAATAATATATATAATAATGCCATATAATATATATATATAATTGTAGAAAGTTAGTAAAGAAAATGTGTTCAAAATTGTAATTAATTTGCATATAGTGCAATAGAAATTATAATGGCACATATACAGACAATTAGATCACAATTTATTTTGATTTCATCTCCAATGTGTACTAGCTTAACTATAGTTTATGAAAGTAAACTTGTCAACAAGCAAACCAAAAACGTTGACGTTAATGAAAAATAAAAACTTAGTTCACATTTAAATTCATTTCTTAAAAATCAAACGTGTTCATGCCTAGTTTACATAAAATAACCACATTATTTTCCATCATTAATAATATATAATTTATTGATACTATAATGTATGTCCTAGTATGATTATAGAGTTAAAAGTTTTAAAATAAAATTTTTTTTACAGTATTTGATTAAAAGTAGGGAGTTAAATTTAATTTATAAGTAAGTCACTGTAGTTGCTTACCTACTATACTTTAACTATGCATTATAATTAATATTATATATTTGATAAATACATAAAAATATAATATATTAATTAGACTTAATTTCTAAATGACAAAATAAACTAATAAACATGTATATAATAGTATATTATGTAAATAAAACCATAGGTAAAACATTTAGATATTAGGTACTATAGGTCATAAAAATATTGATAAAAAACATACCTATTAAAGATAGGTAATTAAGGTTTATAGATTTATAATTGCTATAGCCGCCAAATAAAAACACAATATTGTTATACAGAATGTCCCAATGTTCAAGAAGTATTTTTTTAATCTGATTTTCTTTGAGGGTGACAGCTGTTAAGAGAAAAATTAAATTCTTAATTATATCCACTAATTTCTAAAAAAAAAAAAAAATAACATTTCCTTTAAATGTTTTTAAAACAGCCATTTTATAAAATACACTATTCTAAAGTATTTAATTTTTCAAGTATTCTAGTCGGCCAGAATTTTAAATTTTTAAATATTTCATTAAGAGGTTCATAGTATAGAGACAACCGTTTTTACTTCTAGAAAAAATGTGTGAAAAACAAGACTAGGAAATTACTTGATTTAGTGTGTTATAAATTGAAAATGTTAGAAATTAATAGTTGTTACTAAAAATTTATTAAGTGGATATGAATCATCCATCAAAACTTTTAGAATTAATCTTTTACAAAATGGTTACTTTGAACATTTTGTGAAGTG